ATTCAACTGTATTTTTGGAAATATGTCACACGATCTTCGCTAATTCTGAACCAATTATGATATAAAACTCATGTTAAATATTTGATTTGCTATGTCTAAATAAAAATTTCTTTTGCTATTTTACTGCGTCCGAAAGAACAGTATTGTATAAGTTTACAGAATCTCTCTTCAAAGCATATTAATATGTTCGCACGTTACATAACAGATACTATGAAGTCTGTTAAATTAATTACTATTTGACGCAGGTGGCTATCAATTGCAGGCACTCTGTTCCCGACCAAGTAACTCATTGAGATGTTGAGCATTCATTTAACAATAATGAAGTGCTTCTGTCTGGTTTAGTCACTATATATTGGACGTCAAAGTAATCAATTAGACGATGTAAATTGTGCTATGTCTGCAATATTAAATTGGTTTACATGTAATAACCTATTATTAAATTCCAGCAAAACAAAGTGTATAAAATTTACACTTCCTAATGTAAGACTAATAAATACACAGTTATTGCTTAATGATGAAATAGTAAATTTTGTTAATGATACAGTTTTTTTAGGTATAACAGTGGACTCGAAATTACAATGGGGGCCCCATATTTCAAAATTGGCCAGTAGACTCAGTTCTGCTGCATATGCAATTAGAAGAATTAGACAATTAACAGACGTGGCAACGGCTAAACTTGTATATTTTAGTTATTTCCATAGCATAATGTCTTATGGCATACTGCTGTGGGGTAAAGCAGCCGATATAAATACTATATTTGTTTTACAAAAGAGAGCCATACGTTCTATTTATGGTATGGGTTCGAGAGAGTCATTACGTCAGTGCTTTAAAGACTCAAATATCCTCACAGTTACTTCACAATACATTTATGAAAATATTATGTATACACGGAAGAACTTAGAGAGTTTTAAAAAACTCAAAGACTGTACAAGTAGAAACTTACGCAATATAAATAAGCTTATTTTACCTAAATGCCGTCTGCACAAAATCAGTAATTCATTCTATGGTAATTGCATAAGATTTTATAATAAACTGCCGGAATCTGCATTAAATCTGACAGAGAGGCAATTCAAATCTTATATTAAACAATTTTTATGTAAGAAAGCCTATTACAGGATAGACGAATTCATAGATGACAACATATCAAGTAAATAATTAGTTTATTAGCATACAACGTTATAATTTTATTTTCTCATTGCTTTCTTGATTTAATTGATTAATTTTAGAAATATGAAAGCGTAGCGGTTTTTTGTATTAATTGCCGCATGCATTCTTATGTAAAATGTGAATACTATAACTATCAGATGGCAATTGTGAGTAGCTTTGACGTGGTCTAGTGTTTTGAGTAGTCATGCTCACTAAAATGTCCAGACTTGTGGCGGCGTGGTGGGCCGGGTCATTGGGCTCCCTAAAATATGGTCGAGCGCAGTGATGGCTGGCTCATCCGTCATACTCGTGAACGGGTGCTGCTTGTAGGGACTGGTCTGCTCTAATCACTATGACTGATTTCCTCTTATTAATTGTTTAACCAGTTGGTTATGTATTCAATATTTTTTTCTTTTTGAGTATTTAATTGAATTAGTGCTAATTGGTGGTTTGTATTCACACAATTAAACTTGAAAATGTAAAGTAATAATAAAATTATTTAAAAGAGCAACACGCAAGTTTCTTGCTCGTTCTTCTTGTGATGAGACAGCTTTCCGAACGAGCGGTAGATTAAAAAAAAAATGTAATGACTTTTCAAAAGTGCTTCAATGTAAGTTTATTTGAATAAATGATTTCTATTCTATTCTATTCTATATAATCTAACCTTACTCCTATATCACAGACTATCCTACAGACCCGTAGCAACAAGTTTTCAATTTAAACATTGTCTGTGCGGCTGCCTTGCTCATGATATGTCACTAACCGAGTACAATACGACAATATTAGTGCAAACGACATTTGTATGGTCGTGTCCACTGATGATTATGCACAATATTTCTGTTGCTTCCTTTTTATTGTGATCTAATATAGCCAGAGAGATCCAAGCAAGTGGGTACATTGGTGACTGACCTCAAGAAATTTAATAAACCAGGTTGGTTCGAGCATGAAAAAGGAATGGATGTCAAAACAGATATACAAATGCGAAAATGGTAAAAATTCCGTAGTGAAAACCCACTTGTTGGAGAAGACGAGTTAATACTACCATACTCCTATATCATGTAAAACTCCACAATGTTCTACCTCCTCGTCATAATGCCATGGGTTAACTTTAAATTTCATCGTGAACCAAGCGCTATTAACCCTCTAACAGGCCCCTCCTACTCTTGTGGAGAAACCTGTTCCAGTTTCCCCTCACGTGCCCTCCAAAGGTACTCATGTAACAGTAACAACAATAAGGAATATATACAATGCACCTGCACTGCTCGTGCTACTATACTCGTATTGGGGGGAGAGATTGTTAATAATGCGGACTACCAGTTCCATTGCTAGCAACATATCCTGTCAGGTCGACCTCCATGTGGTCCTCCCTGAAACTATCGTACTGAATCCCAAGTGTATTTATCACGATGGGCTAACTGATCTGCCTTTTCATTCTCACCTGTCATCCCTCACTGGTGTCCCGCCAGCGTATACCGTTAACGCAGGCGGGGTAGCCATTCCATTACCATCCATTAAAAAAGAAAAAAAATCTATATTCGTATTGAACTGCACCTATTACTCAAGTACCTTACCCACTCCAGATATTCTTTTTTTACAACACAGGGTGCAAACGAGCATACGGCTCACCTGATGATAAGTGAGATAAAAAAATTTACTAACACAATTAGTATTATGTCAAACCAAATATTTACTAAAAACCTAACACTATCGTATTATGTATGAGTACAATCCAACTCTCAATCGTCCATGATTACCTAAAAGTCATAATAGTGTGGATACTGACACCACTAAGTCATATGTTTTCGATAAACTAAAACGACTAGTGCCATATTTGTAAGTTATAATGAAATTATAAATATCTGTATTGTAATACACTACGATAGATTTAAAGAAATCTAAAATCGAGGCCGAAAACTATTGTTTTTTGTTTTGGAGTTAGTAGATAATTAAATAATGGAATTAACTGCGCCTTTAATGAAACATGGGCATCATACAACTTCAATCATTTAGGTATGTAATATTTTCTGAACACCGATATTAATGAAGACTCTGTAGATAATTATTATGAGACATAAAACTTTGTTTATTGAATCATGTGTATGACATTGGATTGCATTCAATACTTTCATTTTATCAAAAAATCCTGAGCTAAACTTTGATTAATGTCGATACCGTAAATAGAACGCTGTAATTTTTTAGGGTTGTCACACAACAACATTGTAATTATATAGATAGATTCCAAAAAAATCATTCAATATTTTTTTTATATGATTTTATATATGATACTGTATATCATAATTAAAGTTTTACTGCCATTTCTTATGGTATTTTATGGTAAAACTACTACATCAATCAAGTGAGGACAAAATCAGATCGGGTAGACCATATTGTCCATTGAGTCCGCGTTGCAATCAACATAATAGGGTCTACTGATAGCACTATTGCTATATAAGCCTATTTTTCGAAAGATTCCCTCTTTCTTTAATAATAAATGTTAAATTCCATATTCATATTTCTTATTTACTATTTATATAAATAGTTCATAAGAAAGAGTCAACCAAAAAATATTACAAAAATCTTTTTTTTTTAATACAATATATCAAAGTGACAACCTTAGCGGTTCCCGAGACATGCGGTTGTTGTAATCAAACGAGCAAACGACGTAATAATACGTATTCGCTAATAGTCTGAATGACTTTATTCATCGCGTGTGACGCTTATTCTGGCCACGGTCACGTGAAACAGCTGCAATACTTACTTAAACTTCACGCCATATCACTTATAGGATTATGCAAAGGTACCAAACTACCAAAAACCTCTATCCGTGCAATCTCTCTTGACTCATGAGTCATATTAAACAATCTTGGTCCAGAGACTCTGGACTCATCTTAAATTTATCTCGATCTAAAGGTATTTAGGTCGCAGTTTTTTGCACTTACAGTAAAACATACTCATATATCTACAAATGTAACTAAATAACTTCCACAATTCTGTACCATTATTAATTTCATTATTAACTTCCCTCGCGTAATCGGGATGTATATATTTACCAGAAAAATTTGCCGTCTTCGTCGCAAATACATGTCTACAGGTACCAAAAGTTTATAACGATTTATTTATCTGTTAAGATGCTAAAAAAAAACAAACACATAAAACTCATCTTCTCATTCATAATTATAGTAAATAGCTATAAATTGCTGCTTCGAACACGTGAATCAGTACATAATGTAACTATTTTTTAACGTCTGGAAAATGCTTTATGCAGACCCGTACACCTTATGGGAGGTGAATGGATACTGTGGGATTCAAGTAACGCAGGGGTGTACCCACCAAAAACCAGACGATATACCCTCAAGGTGCCATATGTCGGAGACATAGGTTCCATCGCTTTCGCACTCATCACATCTTCGACGGCACATAATGTAACTTATGCTCAGCACATAGGAGAGATTATATATAGGATTTCTTTTTATACCACAAAGATGGTAAACAAGCATTTTGTCCGTGTGATTATTCACGGTTACTGTAGCCTATGGACGTCTGCAACACTACGAGTGTCACGTGTGCGTTGCCAACCCTGAAAAAAAACTTAATATACGCTTTTTGAAAAATATTGTAGTCTCTTAGGAAAACTTCGGCAAGGAGCTCATTCCACAGCCGGAGTGTTCGCGGGAGAAAATTCCTTTGAAACCGCACTGTACGTGACTATTAAAAGTATAACCTACCTATGTCCCAAATTTCATTCAAATCTGTTGAATAGTTTTTGCATAAATAAACGTCCATCCTTACAAACTATCGCATTAGTAATAATAATAGGGTATCATATTATATTATTTACTATGATTTGTTTACAGCAATGCAAAAAAAATCATGCAGACCAGTAATGCTCGGTCGGATGTGGCAGGCAAGCAGACGAGCTCTGAGGCTCGATCACTCTCCACCACATCAGTTTGCCTGCTGCCAGTGGCAGAACGGTCACAAACCCTCAACTGGATACCTCATATACAGGTAAGTTTATCTATTTATTTTACTCCAGGTCCTTTACCGTATAGGCACAGAAAACCAAGTGCCTAAAGGCTTGCATAAACCTAGATCCTTGTAAATATCTCTTCATTCACTTTTATAATTGTCTTATACATATACGCCGATTTCCAAGAATGTGGAAAATCTTCAAATAATATGATCTATCTAATTATTACTTTAAGTTTCCTATAATGTCTACGTTCTTACAGTTTTGCATTCTATAGTATCTGTTTCATCACACTTTCATCTTCACCCAACCTTTCCATTTACTGAAACCAACATAGCCCAGTCATGCCCAGTGCATTATTTCTCATTTTATCACCGACGCTACAGTCTACGAGTAAATAACTCAAACCACTACTTTCCAAGCTTATTGTTTATTATTTTTTGGGTTCAAAAAAAAAATTTATGTCGACCACATGATTTCTCCTGTCGTTAGTGGCAGAAAGGTCAAAGACCTACAATTGGATACGTCGTATACATAGGTACAGCCTATAAAGACTGATACAAATACATTATGAGTAATTACGAGTAATTTCTTAGAATCCTTCATCATTGCCATTTTTAAACTAAAAAGACTGTTAATTAAGTTGTTGATGGCTTGTTTTCAGATGGCTGGTATTCTTGACTGTAATATGCATCGGTGTTGCAAGTTTCGCATGCCAGCGACTTCCGCGGCGTTATGAGGGGCCCCCAGTGAAGATAAATTATTTCAAATGGTTCATTTACTTCACTAACTGGGGGTTCATGTTAATTGCAATTCAGTCTGGCCTTGCATTGGCCGTTGTTCATCGGTATAGAAAAAAAGCTTACAATTTCTGTAAGTATGAACATGTTTAATTGTAATACAATACGTAAATGATACTTTTTATCTATCTACGAAGATATTGCTTAGCAATAAGACCGCCTTTTGTACTACACTATACTTATCAAAAATTTTTCAACGAGTTCTATAATTTTGGTGCAATAACAAATAAATAAATAAAATTGTAACATATAATTATCTTCAAATATTATTAACGTGCTTACGCAAATCTACGCGGAAATTTTGGAAAATCTACGACTACTTTTAATGAATTAATCCAGAATACGTGAAATCTATTGTTATGAATTTAAAATTAACCTGCATATTGGGAAATATTTTGATATTATTAAGTTTTTCTGACGATATATTTTACATATTGATGGTTAACGAATATCCACATATTGTGCAATTTCCAAAGTTTCTTCTGCAATGTGAAGACCCTCGTATGGGTGCGTCGCATCTACTAGTTAGTCGAATGTTTGCCTTGAGCGATGTCCGAGACGAATCAATTAATTTTAAAACGTACCTATCCATGATCTCGTGCCATTGTTTCACGTACACAACATAGCTGCCATTTGCTATTTAATCAACAGTCTATCGTATCAACTGTTATTATGGCATTTATAGATTCAGGATAGGCGGGAATATTTCTAAACCGCAACAATATTAATATAACATTTATCATTCCTTCGTTGTTATAAATTTACTTATTATTATTTATTTCATTTAAATAAATAAGTGTATTAAATCATTTAAATTCAGTGTTTTTGTCAACCAAGATAAGTGGAGATATACATTTTTATTTTTATTTATTTATTTAAGGAACACCAACAGCATATTGCATTATAACATATAGGTATAACAAACATTAAATATGATACAATATTAATGCACATGCCTATTATAGGTATTCACAGCATTTACTTTAACATAGTTATACAGTGCGAGAAAATGAAGTACATTTGAAAAGAAATGAGAGAATGATTTAAAATTACAAGTACAAACATATTGAACCTTTTTAATATGTTTTTACAGTTGCGAACCTCTCGTATATAGAAAAATAGGTACCCTTTTACTTATTTTTAGTTTTTTTCTTAATAAGTTTTTTTAGGATTAAAAAAGTATGTGCCTTAACTGGAAACGTATTGAATATGTAATATAAAAAACCTTATTATTTCTTTTACTGCATTAAAAATAACTTTTTTAAACTAAAAATAAGGTAATTGAAAATTTCTAGATAATAATATGGTGAATGATCACGTGGAATCAGTTATTTCTTGTTTTGTCAGTAAGCAAATGTATTTTTATATATTTTTCAAGACTGTTTACTGTATTGGTTAATTGTATTTAATTCGATACGATTCAACTTTAGATTAGTTAGTCGAATGCCTAATATCGGCATTCAATTCAACTTATAGACAGGGGTCTAACGGGTCAGAAACTGTCGATTGATACAATTTCGCATCAATTAAGAGAAGCAGCCGGCTCGCAAGTCTTGCGTTCTAATTGTCCTTATTGGTTCCCAAATTATTTCTCCGTCTGTCTGCTATTGACTGTCTCGGCAAGAAATAAAAACAAAAAGTTAATTGACTATCATCACAATATATAAAACGGACAACATTACGAGTCAGTTTGTACCTAACAGTTGTATTAATGTCTTGATAATGCAGCTTACATACCTAATAACATCCCTAGTATGTGAAAATTATTTTTTTAATGGATAAAAATAAAATGGTGCACTGAGTTGCCTTCATTCTCACTTATTATCCTTTACTAGTGCCCCGCCAACGTATATCGATAGCGCTGATGGGATTGCCATTCCTTTATCATCCATTAAAAATAGGCTGAAAGGATTTAAATGACATTTATTTGGTACATATAGATATGTACACACAGACACTTTATGTGCTAGTTAGTGTAATATAAATACCATTTAAATGTATTTAATTATCGACATTTTTAACATTTACAGCGTACGAGGAAGACGACGTGTTAACGCCACGGCGATCCGCCACACCGCTGCTGTGTCGGATGTATTGGCTCTCACACAACGTCGCCACAGACCTCGCATTCGTCATCACCCTTATCTACTGGACACTCGTTTACGATCCTAGTACGTGACTTCTGTTATACTAGTAAACCAGAGGGAAACTTTATACAAAAACTGTCTGCATGGTTACCTCTATCACATACGTGTTTCTGCCACGAAACAGTTGTGTTTGCATATCTGCTTTGATTTGAAGAGTGGAATATCTCTGGAAAATTACAGGGTACATAACATCAAATCAGAAATGACAAAGTATTAGATATGGCCATACTTAAGGATTAAAATGCCATGAATGTACAGTCATATTGTAATCTGGGATGCCATTGATGCTGTTTATTTCTATCCTGGCGACCGTGATCATTGTTCACTAAGTAGACTATTAACTTCTTTGCAATCTAAATTACCTATATGTATAAAAAAAATATAATAAACTCACTCGATCTTTGCTATCAAGTTGGCAGGAACTAGAGCATTAAACTTGCTTAAACCTTAAGCGCTTACATAATTTTTATTTGAGTCCCTTAGTTATAAGATAATGACTAGAGGGAAAGAATCTAATAATATTTTTTATACCACTATAATGGCAAACAAGCATACGACCCGTCTGTTACTATATGTAAAAACGATAAACAAGTCTAAGGACATGAAAAATACCACGAACTTCACCAGTACTGTGAGATCATTCCTCAAATATTGATATTTTTGAGAGTTATAAAACTTTGCCTTTTTTTATAAATATTGCACTCATATTGGAACTAACACTGGTGGAATACCAGTGAGAGGCTATAAATGAGGTTAGAGTGAGGTCAGTTTTCAAAAAGGACCGCATTAAAGTGAACCTGATTAGCATATTGCTGGCAATTAGAGACATTAAATACGTAATTACCAATATCATTGTTTGTAATTACAGAGTTACATGACATCAACGCTCTGAATCTCCTCGTTCACGGCGGGAACTCCTTGCTCATGGTATGCGAGCTGTTCGTAACAGCGCACCCTCTGCGGGCTGCTCACGCGCTGTATGGCTCCGCTGTTGGCCTTGCGTATGGTGTATTCAGCGCCATCTACTGGGCCCTCGGCGGCACCGACCGGTTCAACTTGCCTGCCATATATCCTTCTCTCAATTGGGATAAGCCTGGTATGTTTTTATCTACCGTTAATAACTGTTCTAAACTTTAAAGCAAGGCAAACCCTTCTGAAAGTATTCTAAAAATTGGGGCTCGTTAGCCTAATTATCTATTCACTTGCACTTGTATTCTTACAAGTATTAAAATTATTAATTTTTTTAAAATGAAAATTTATCTACATAATCGTATAGAAATAGTGTAAAACTCGTTATTAATTATATTATACATGATATTATTGCTCTAGGAATAAATGGCAACCCTCTTCGAATAGTTTTTCATCTGTAGATATTTCAGAAACCTAATAGTGTTAAAACAATGTTGGCAATTAAGACCACAAATAATTTTGTCTAAACCTGCTTATCTGAATTTTAGAAATCAACCATCCTTTAGTAATACCAACTTTGCCCATTACGTGGGTAGTTGATCATTTATTAAATTCAGTCAACGTTAAATTAAAGTCACGATGCAGACCGAACACGCAACATTTAACTGTCAATGTCAAGATCGCATCTGTGTTTAACGTCAATTAAATAATTAGTGGTTCTTATAGAGAAGGAACACATAAAATGGATATCGCGCCGATCCCAAATAGTATAATAGTATGCTGGGCATATTTCTCAATGCCATCTAGTCCAAAACTAAACAGAGCGTGTACTAAAAGGCATCAAGAAACTAATAGACATACTTAAATTTAAATTCAAATCATATTTATTTAAATAGACTTATTTACAAACACTTTTAAATCTATTTTATGAATGCAGGGTTCAGAAAGTTGTTATCTGTCGAGAAGAGTCCGCAAGAAACTCAACAGTTACTCTTTTAAATCTCTGTTAACATTATGTGTATTTATTTAAATGTACTATATTTAGAATTACACGGTCGTTAAAAGCCCATGCATGATGGACTAACACCATGCATATTTCAGATTCAAGTAATCGTTTAGTATGTAATAGGCTTTGTTAAAAAAGTGTTTTTAATGACAGTTTTAAACTTATTAAAAGGCAAATCCTAAATATCCTTCGGTATCTTATTATAACATTTAATGCCCATCCCGTCCCATTAAAGACCTATTAACTTTTTCTAAACGATACTTCGGAACAGCAAGTTTGAATTTGCATTTTTTTTATACAACTTAGAATGGCAAACAAGCTGACGGCCCACCTGATGGAAAGTGGTAACCGTCGCTTATAGACATGAGCAGTACCATGGACATAACAATGTATACTGTTTCGCCCATGATACACACCATGCGTTGCCATTCCTGAGGACTCAGATGTTATTCCTCTGTACCCAATAAATTCACGCCATATTCCACCCTTCAAACCGAAACACAGCCATGCAAACACAACTGCTTTACGGTTAAAACATATTTGTTAAGATTATTAAGATCGCTTTTTTATTTATATTATAAATAAATACATACATAAAAATAAATATACTTACTCCCGAATACAAATGTATTGTACAGGGAACAAACCCAATAACATGACAAACATAAGTTTAAAAAAGGATTAAGTCTAAAATCGATATTGACATGCCCAGATTGCAGTCAAGTGTTGTCCAGCTGATTATTCACAAAGATAAAGTAATCATGACTATGATAATGATGGTTCTAGGTCCAGCCTTCGGGTTCGTGGCTGTATGTGCCATGGTGCTCATGTTCGTCCACGGTTGTGCCACTTGCCTGGTCGCTTTGCGGTTGAGACTCGCCGCGCGCCTGCGACCCACGCGTGTTCAGAGCGAACACCTCACACTGCCGACGCACTGAGGGTCCAGAAAACGTGTATAGGTTAATTTAATTCTATAGTGTTTCCTTGAATCTAAGTGCGTGTTTGACACTAAATGATCGTGCTTATTAGGTATATAAAATGTAGATATTTTATTCAAATTACAAAGTTGAATTTTAAATAGGTACCGCAAGTGCGACAATATAGAAATATCTGAACCCATGAAATTTTTACATGTGAATATCATATAAAGTTCAAACAATTAACAAAACAGCATTAGAAAAATGTTATGTCTATACTACTTATTCAGTAATTATAAAAAATAATATGGCAAGGATGATTTTTATAGAATTTGACATGCTTGCGACATCTATTTAAATCTATATCCATGTTTTAAGTAGAGTTATTCTACTAAGCATAATACTGCAAACTGCAACGGTGAAAAGGTATCTACATGTAAGAATGTGAGGTTAGATAAAACTTTTGCATGAGACGTTGGGCTCGTGAACATAGATTATTACATTCGTTATGCTCGTGAAAGTCTTTAATGTGTTATCTCTCAAATTACCAACTAGTTGTTAGATGACTATCATGCATTCCTGTTTTTCAATTATCTTCTTATTTCACAGACTTATTTATATATTATTATTATATAAGCCGTTAACTGTCCACTACTGAATATAAACCTCCCCCATTAAGGGCAGTTTGCCAGTAATTCACAAAATTATATATGTCAAATTTCGAATGAGACAAGAATATCAAGTCAACAAGTGTTCACGTCCGATTTATATTCAGGAGATATACAGGGTGAAGTCAAAATCGTTAGTATCTCTTTACAATATATTAATCATCAATCATAAATTTGAATAAAGGTAAAGCCTTTCGTACTAAGGTGTCAGCTGGACGCGTCTGTTTATACAAGAGGATCTTTCTACGACAAATTTTTATTTGGGTTATATTGTTTAGTCACCCTTAAGCCTTAGGAGATATTTTGCCTCACTCTGCGTGTTCTACCGCTTGTAAAACGGATTGCGCTCAGAGGAATTGTTCAATATGATGCCCACGGCCACTTTCTGCCATCGTACCGTTCACCATCGACAGGGAGTTCACCCTAATACCCTACAGCTTAGATGATCGCGTACAACGCGGTTTCAGGAAAGTTTTCTCGCACGAACACTCAGGTTATAGAATGAGCTCCCTGTCGAGGTTTTTCCAAGAGACTACAGCATGGGGTTCTTCAAATGAGGGGTAAAGAGGTTTCTTCAGAGTCGGCAACGCGTGTCTAATACCTCTGGTATTGCAGACGTTCATAATCTACGGTAACTGCTTACCATGAGGTGGACTGTATCCTTGTATGCCCCCTGAGTGGTATAAAAAAACCCTGTATGTTTAATGGAACATATATTGTATATAAAAATAAATATGTCCTCAACATATCTAATCGCACAATATAAGGAATGTATATAAAATATTGTTTGTAAGACTTGAAAGATATTAGAATGTCGTAAGTGCAAGAACAGCATTTAATTAATATATCAGGTTAATGCAATAATACTCTCAATAAATTGTAGTTTAACAAACTAAAATATAATTAATTGTAATACTAAAACTATTTTGTAAGAAACAAAAATTGTTCAATGTTATCAGACTGAACTATACGGAGCTTTTTCAGCTCGTGTTATTAGATGCTAAGCTAGATTCATAGATCATATACATCTAGATATAGCGTTGAGTAATGAATAATGCCCCAAAAATAATCAGTCAATAATTTTTATTACTGTAAATTCAAATAAGTAGGTACTTTATCCCTTGTTATGATAAGTGAATTGTCGAATTCTACGACACGAACTGTTATTATAATAAAAACTAAACTAGGCAATTAGGTAAACAAAGTCTATTTTTCAACAAATAAAAATTGATATCTTTATTTGCTTGAATACCGATAACTTTATCGAAGATTCGGAAGGCACTTTATCTAGATGTTATTGATCTAAGTGTATTAATAAGCTTTGCCTAAGAAAGGAAGGAATATGAAGGAATAACGTAGCAAGTATAAATATAGACTATAACAATAGATGGGTACAAAATCAATCCATTGTTTAATTAACTGAACAACTTTTTCCAATTTCAAGGTCGATTTAAGCATGATTCAATATTACGTTCGTCATATGTCGAATACGGAACAACCCAGTTGTTTTTTTTCGAACAGTTCCGTGTAGAAAGTTGTTCAGATGTGAATAATTACCAATGGAATTGAGCTTGAATATCCTTTTCGTTACATCGTGTTTAAGTATGTGGAATGAATGAACAGTATTAAATAGGCTGTTGTTTTAATTAATAAGTATAGAAATGTTGCCATTTAAAATGTAAATTTATTTACAACTGATCTGATTTAGAAATGATCACACCAAAAACAATCTTGATAAAATATAACAAAATTGGTGGCATAATCTCCATAATGTAGTCTATATAATAATTTAATTTAACAGGTCCAAATATAATAGTAATTAACACTATTAAGCTGCAGAAAAGGCTGCAAGCATGATATCTGCGATACTAAACAACCAAAAAAAAACAACAAAATATCTAAACATTTTGTTAGTTCCTACTCGATTCTAAAATTACTAATAAATTACGTACTTTTAAAGTCACTAACGATACTTTACTATCTGGGTTGGAGAATTGAGTAGGCGAACTTAGTATTGTGTTTATAACAAATATTTACGATGCAATTCTACTGAAATAATTACGAAGCAATAATGTGATTTTTATTTAGTAATAGTAATAATAAGATATAGTCATTAATTCGTATTAATTGTCTATTTCTACGTATCACATTTATCAATTTATAAAATCATACACAGTTTAAATTACTAACCCTGTATCTCTACATGTATCTGAAACTATCGAAACGGCACCTTTTAAAAAACTAGAATTGTGTTTAAAAATTAGAATTAGAAGGAACTGAAATACACAATCAAGGCACCAGATCATCATGGTGAAATGTATACTTTTTTTACAATACATTAATACATTACTGCAGTTTGTTTCAATAGAACATACTAAACATGTAGACGAATGAATCATTGTCCCGACCTTAAGACAGTCTCCCTTAGTGGTACGTATAATCAATTAATAAACAATCGATTGTATATTGCGATTTGTTTCTGTGATATTTCAACAAAAATTGCTTACCTTTTCATTATATTCTACTGTAACAGACTGTAAATAGTATATATTAAATACCTACATTTGTAATTATTATATACGATATCATACAATATACACATGAGTACAGTGCAGGTGACAGGTCTCAAATTATAAGAATTAATTTAATAAAATGTGACATGTGGTTTTAACAAAATATTTAATCGTGAGAAACTATCAGCTGTGATTATTAGATTGTCTTCGACCCCAAAAATCTGATTCTGTTCTACCGTTAATATGTCGAGTATAACAGGTACTCAGTAATTCGAGTACCCTATATACAAAACTCGAATGCACAATATATACAGATTTCGATTACTTTGGTAGTTATGGTACTCGAATACTACATATGTGTTTATCATTTTTCTGTTTCTGTTTCGACATTTTTATATATATATTTTTTTTTATTTTATTTATTGTTAAAGAATATAGTTAAATAACGACATAATTAAAAAAGAAAAATTATTAGATTACCTAATTGTATTACTTTCATAAAAATAAGTTTCATAATCAATTTTAAAAGTACTCAAACCTGATAAAGTACTCGAATTACCCGTATAAGTGTTCGAGTACTTGTCCGAATATTCAGACCAAAGTCAGAATTCGATTCTTTTTAACGACTACCTACTAAAATACTTGAATACCTGACAAAGGTTAATTTAGCATAACACTAGCAAAACTTAAAATATGAGCTGTCGCCCGCACCGTTCTACATTGTAGAGAGTATTTATTATTCCCCTTTTATTTTCATCGTATATTGATATATATTGATGTGTAATAAGAATGACTGTGATGTGTTAAATTATGAATTAAGAATAATGTGCGACCGCCTTTTATTTTTAATTTCCAACAGAGTTAAAGGTTCTTTTTATGTGGTTGTAAAGTAGATGATAATGCCTTAGTTTATTCTATATAAGATTTATATAAATACCTACATATATTATACTGCAAATATAATAAATGCAATTTGAAAACATATTAATTTCTTGTAAAATTAAAGTATAATATAATATTAATTAATAATTAATTAATTAATAACTGATGGTATTTCTTTTATGTATAGTATTTATTGATTTTTTTTATTTGTCTTAATAATAATAATTCCGATTTTTTTATGCTTATCTGCTATAACCTATACAATTTTTATGAATATTGATTGTGTGGTAATATTACAGAATATGTAATAATACTAATACAAAATTGGTAATAATTAATTAATAAACTTTATAATCAAATACATTTCACTGTGAAATAAATCTTAATTTGATACAATGAACATTAAATGTAAAATAATAATTGATGTATACGTATATTACATCTGTTAAAAGATAAACAGATTTAAATATAATAACGTCCATTATTAGGTAATCGTGAAGTATATTTATTATATACTTACCTACCTACCAGTGGGAACATTTATATTAGAATATTTAATATCGACGTACTGAGTACGTTATCTACTTGTTTCTAGAATAGTTTTGCTTGTATGTAATGATTATAATATATTATAATGAACAATTAGCATGAATATTTTCATTTCATCATCATCATATCAGCCTTTAACTATCCACTACTGAACATAAGCCTCCCCCTCGGGGGGTTTTGCTAATAGTTGTCACGCTTGGCAAGCGGATTGGCAATTGCAGTCAGTCTTTAGAGATGTTTTAAGAGAGACGCTGCTGCCCAACCCTCGCCTCCCCCCCCCCCTTAGTCGCCTCTTATGACACCCACGGGAAAGAAGGGGTGGCCTATTCTATGTCTGGCATACCACACCGCCAATTTTTATTTCATACTAACAAAATAAAATATAAATAAAATTAAAAATAATATTCTGATAACTCATCTGATGGATGGGAGTAACCGTTGCCTTAACACATAAGAAATACCATAGATATGACATAGTATATTGTTATATTTATGGTATGAACATATATTACATGAACAATACAATTTTTGGCACAAAAATGGCAAGGGATGGCAAAACACCATATATTCATGGTGTTGCCAACTTAAGCAACGGACGAACGAAGAAGCTATAGCATAGCTGTGTCGATGAAGGGTGATGAAATTTTTTTTTATTATTATTGCACGACATGTGACCACACGATCCTGACCGAATACAGAGACGATATAGTCCATGAATACTACCCACCGAAAAGAGAATGTTCTACCCTCAAATGTTGACCGCACTATGTCGAATCAATAGATGTTTTTCATGCTACTTTTGAAGGGTTCAAGGTTATAGGGCAGAGCAAACACATCAAGGAAAAGGCTATTAACGTATGAGTTGGTAAACATATACAGCAGTAAAATTACTAGAAAGTATTTTTTTTTTATATAATTCTTTTTTATGCAACTTAGAATGGCAAACAAGCTGACGGTCCACCCGATGGAAAGTGGTAACCGTCGCCTATAATCATGAGCAGTACCATGGACATAACAGACTATACTGTTTCGCCCATGATACCTCCCATGTGTTACCATTCCTGAGGACTCTGGTGTTATTCCTCTGTACCCAGTAAATTAAATTCCAGTAATTTTACTGGAGACGTAGAAACCCTAATTCTAAAAACTAAAAATGCATTAGTGGTATCTTGAAAATTAATTAATTCATATTAATTCATTCAATAAACACGTTTTCATCAAGCTGCCTAATTTAAGTACTTATCATGTGATTGTTCATAACTGAAGTGTTTGCAAAACAAAATATACTTCTTTATTGTATACGGATAATGCCATAAAAAATCACCGACTACCATCGTGGCGTTACCAATTATTCTGATTTAAAAACCAAATCACTGAACCAATTTTGATAATATTTCTATGGAACCAATCTAAGAAAATATCCTTTCTAATAAAGAATTTTTTTAAATCGGTTTATAAATAACGGAAAGCTAATGTGACAACCGAATTTAAATCCTCCTCCTTTTTTGAATTTGGTTGAGAATGCTTTTATAATTTTCTGTCGATAAATTTGCTGTCGAACTTTCTAAATTTTCTTTATATAATTATGATAAACAAACGAAAACAAAAATAACAACTACATTGAAACTAGAAAAATTGTTAATCCGATTGATTGCCTCTGATTACCTCTCTTCAAAAATACTACCTTATCTAAATAATTATTATTACCTTATCTAAATTACATCATTTACAAATTAAAGAACTCAATGCCTTTTAAAAGTAACAAGTAAATTCCATATTAAAAAATGCATATATTCATAATTATATTTAGTATTTTATATATTCGAGCTAATGTGAAATACAATAAGCGTATATAAAAAATATAAAGATTTTTTTGAACAAACGTAAACCAAGTAGTGAATAAAAATCTTCCAATGCCTATTTTATTAATAACTTTTCAGTTTTTATTTGTTATTTCGTGTTATTGTCTTTATTTATATAGGTATAAATGGAAATAAAGTGTATTCTATTTAAATAGAATACACTTTATTGACTCAATTTAAGTTAAATAACGTATCTAGGTACCACTACACTTCAATATTTTAAGAAATATGTCATCCATATTATATATATGTCATGATTGACAGGACTTTTGGAAATAAAATCAACTTGTGAACTATGAACTAGTCTTTAATTTCAGTATGTGTATAACTAGGTACATTCTTAATTAAAATAGCTTATCTCAGCGCCTAGTTATTTTATTCCAAAATGATGCACAACGGCAAAAATGAAACTTCTATTGTAATGAAGTCTGCATAAAAACGAAATAGGTTCTTTATTTACCTATATTTTGTTTTTTTTTATATATATTTTACGCGATATCTTAAATATCTTGTATAGTTATATACATATAACTATCATCCATCCATCCGGTGGGCCGTCAGCTTGTTTGCCATTCTAAGTCGTATAAATAAAAACATAGCTTTAGTGAGCAATAAGCGAAGGATAAGCAAACTGAAGTGGCAATGGGCTGATTACATGAAGCTTGAAGAACCGACAACCGATAGGGAAGTAAGCTTTTCGAGTGGCAACCTCGTACGGGCAAACGCAGTGTAGGACAACCCCCCACTACATGAACAACGACGACTATCAAATGCATTGCATGGATGCAGGTGGCTCTGGACTGTTTGTTTATGGCACTCAATGAGGAAGGCCTATGTCTAGCAGTGGACAGAAAATAGCAGTTATAATGATGAGAAATAACTGCAATAACCGCCGTATTATTAAATATCTTTACTCTTTGTGGTTTTGTAAAAATAAACAAACGTAAATTAATATATAACTCCTAGTAATATTTAATAGACGTCATAATTATATATTACCTTGAACACGGTCGAATGCGTATGCGCACGCAGCAAGACGCAGCAGCGTCTCAAACAGAGCATTGCCCATCATCAGTAGCGCGCCGAAATACGCGCATAACGCGCGTGTTCTACTCTCTTAATACTACACATTAAAAACATCGCGTATATATGTAATAAAAAAAATATTAAATAAAAAAAAATAAGAAACAATATCTATTTTAAGTGCTACAGCAAATACATGGTAGGTAAGCTCCATTAAAGAGTTTATTTATTTTTTTAATATTATTAAATAATTAAATAGTGTATTAGTATGTGTGATTTATTTAAATTCTTATAACAGACCAATACAAATATCAAACGAGTATAAGCAATGGTATGTGCGGTTTATCTAAAAATAATTACGTCCGCGCCAGAATAACGCTTCCCGTGGTAATTACAACTGCCTCATTATTCACACGGCAACATACCTAAAATACACTATTATATTGCGTGCATACATCTATTGAGTATCAGGGAAATCACTTCAAACAAGGACACAAAATATTAATAAAAACTGAAAAAAATAACACAAGACTTAAAAAAAAATTATGTACAGTGTATGAAAATATATATTTTTATTTCTTTGTTTGTTTTAATTTGAGCAAATTATTTTTTATTACAAATCAAGAAGACAAAACACAACACTTTTATTTATTTATTAATTAGATGCACATAACAAAATCTTTTTAACGGTGATACCGTTACAAACTACCGATACAGGCACGAACATAAAATTGAAATATACGACTACGCTACTGTATTATTCATGTCAATTTTTCTCCCCTTAAACAAGTTTAAAAGAGCCTATTTGGTACTCCACCTTCATTTCAATTCGCAATCCTATTCTATATGAAATTTATATAAAACTATTGACAAAAACAGGTGGAACCAGAAGGCTCATAAAATCGCCATCTGAAAAGTCATATCCGAGGCCTTTATGTACAAAAAACACGCCTTAGAAATACTTGATACCTTGAAAACAAACCTCAATATCTACATATCAATATCCCTCTAACCATCCTCACATGAGAAGTAGTAGTATTTTATAGAACAAACATTATGAAATAAATATTGTATGCATATTTATGTTGTCTGTGGAGTGAACCACTTCAAATTAATGCAATAATTAAGCTCAAAGCCTATATATTTTAAGATAACTAAACAAAATGTTTACACTGGGTAAGTAAACGGAAATCTTACGTAATATTTAAGTGACTATCTAAATCAATTTAACAATAAATTTGGAAAAAATAACATATCATATTAAAAAAAGTTTATAAACAAATATAAACGTAAACATTATTATAAGATACAAATAATTACTTACAAAATTTGGAGCAAAAACAATTTGTATATTGATTATACCGTATTTGCGTACAAATAATTTGTGTCCAGAATTAGTACCTAAACTAACTTGAAAACATTTTATAATTTCTTATTACAAAATTAAAAAAATTTCATTCCCTTTTTTATGCAACTTAGAATGGCAAACAAGCTGACGGCCCACCTGACGAAAAGTAGTAACCGTCGCCTATAGAAATGAGTAGTACCATGGACATAACAGAGTATACTGTTTTTCCCATGATATTCGCCATGTGTTGCCATTCCTGAGAACTTATTCCTTATTCCTCTGTACTTTGTAAATTCACTGCCATATCCCATCCTTCAAACCGAAACACAGCCATGCAAATACAATAGCTTCACGGTAGAAATACGAATAGGAAAGAGGTGCCTAAGCTAACGCCTTTTGTACAAAGTCTCTCTCTGGTCTATGTACAACATTTTAGCATTACAAATAAAAGCACTCCTTTACTTATAACTGGTGATCCGGCCCGACTTTGCATGAGTAAACAGAATTTTCAAAAATAATATAACCTGAGTTACTCGCTGATAATGTAGCTATAGGTGAGTCCTCAGGAATGGCAACGCATGGGGGGTATCATGGGCGAATCAGTATATTATGTCCATGGTACTGCTCATGTCTATAGGCGACGGTTACCACTTTCCATCAGGTGGGCCGTCAGCTTGTTTGCCATTCTAAGTCGTATAAAAAAAAAGATGAAAGACTTTTTTAAAATTGGCTGAGTAGTTTTTGAGTTTATCCATTACAAACAAACAAACAATCTTTGCTCTTTATAAAACTAGTATAGATATAGATAAAATTGTAAATATGTAGTAAAAGATATAATTCTATTCTAACTAGAAAACCTCGACCCAAACTTATATAGTAGATCTAGTTAGTTTATAAGTAACTCTTTGTAGGCTTAAACGACCATAACCCTAAGAGTAGTAGGTAAATTATTCTTATGTCGAAGCCAAGTAATACTTGTTCACCTTAATTCGTAATTCATTATCATTGTTAGTACGTAAAAGGCAATGTTCAAAATTCATAACCAAATGCGTACGTCACAATGAAAATGTAAAAATATTGTTGTATGTTATTTTTAACCCTTCATAGTACCATGCGGAATTATTTTCTTGTAATAAAAATTTTCAAAAAATATTATTACTGAATAAACATATTACCATAATGGCCTATTAGCATGGTATAGCAATTTATTTCTCTCTGCATTGATATGTTATCTTGTCGACTTATCTGACCGAGAAGGTCTCACCCGTAGTGTGCCTGAATATCTTTTATGACATTTTAGGAATAAAAATAAACTACGTCTAAATTACTTTTTAATAAGTAATATTAATAATAAATTACTCCATAAACAACATTACTATCGTAATTTAACATTACTGTCCTGCTTATATAATATTATACCTCTTTCATTTTTGAGTATAAAAAGAAATAATGGCTGTTTTTCATCTATACTGATATTATAATGATATTATGAATAACATCTGAGTCCTCAGGAATGGCAACGCATGGGGGGTATCATGGGCGAAACAGTATACTCTGTTATTTCGATGGTACTGCTCATGTCTATAGGCGACGGTTACCACTTTCCATCAGGTGGGCCGTCAGCTTGTTTGCCATTCTAAGTTGTATAAAAAAAAAAATTATAAAAAGGAAAGGTTGTATTGTTTGTTTGTTTATTTGTAATGAATAAAGTCGAAAACTACTTAACCGATTTTAAAAATTCTTCCACGTATAGAAAGCTACATTATGAACAAGTTACATAGACTATATATTTTCGAAAATTCTACGAGTACCCGTGCGAAGTCTGGCAGGATCGCTAGTCCATAAGTAGACACAACAATACAGTATTCCATATAAGTTGTATTTTTAATCTGTCACCACATGGTCAATAGACAATTATAACCAATTAAATGACTCTGCTACATTGACGGAAATGTAGTAACCGGTGTTTTTTACATCTTGAGCTAGTTATTGTGAACCGAAGCGAAGATAATGTTCGTAATATACCTCATCCTTCACTGAGGCCACACCACTTTCCTGGGCTTCCACATGCAAAGGGATGTCCCAACTGACTATATAATTATAATTGACAACTGATATTCAAAAGCAGTACAGATTCACTAAATTTATTAAATAGACAAATTACAGTTCGTTATGTCGACTATATAATATTATTACAAATTATTTTATTTTTTAACTACGGCTAAAGATGAAGTTTCAAAACCGATCGAATGTATAAATAATAAAAACAAATTATTAAAATCAATTAAACACAGTACAAGTATTTTGAATAATATTAGATAATCAATAGGAAAGTTTTTGTTATATACACATACCACATTTTATTGGTCAATAAAGTCTAAATAAATAGATAATTCATTAAACACTTACCTTTAAAAAACAACTAGAATGTTTTCTCTGACCCAAAGTAAAAAGTATGAATATATAATAGTATCAAGACTGCCAATAACATTTCAAATAGGACAAATGTATGCCGTAGATATTGGCAACGGCCCAGACTTCTGACACATACTCGTAACAGCACAGTGTAAGGAACATCTAGCGGTTAAATTATGTCCCGCACATTTCGGGACACATTGCTCTGTCTAGTCATGTTCATTAAACTATTTAAAAAAAAAAGTTATTTTAGACAACTATATAAGTCCTTATTAAATATATCTTACATCATGCCAAATCTTTTACGTCTTAAGTAGAAAGAAGTTAGTACCAGAGGTCCTACAAACATACATATAAACACACGATTTTTTTATTAGTATACCATGCATTAACATATATATTATTGTAAATATTTTCTATATATAGTGATAGAGAGATAGTGTAGATAGTGTAGTCTACTCATATTATTACTTAAATTTTATAGCACTTTAATTAACGTTGAGTGCAATCGAGATAACATCATTATCCACAGGAACTAATGGTATATATTTAAGTAATACAATTTCATTAATATGCCTACAATCTCAACAGAAAATACAGTTACGCACTAAACGTGCAAAGAGCACAGAGTAACAGCTAGATTAAACAGCTTTTGGCAGCTGTTCATTGGTATGTTAACTACCTTTTTTATTTTATTTTTATACAGCTTAGAATGGCAAACAAGCTGACGGCCCACCTGATGGAACGTGGTCACCGTCGCCTATAGACATGAGCAGTACCATGGACATAACAGAGTATACTGTTTCGCCCATGATACCCCCCCTGCGTTGCCATTCCTGAGGACTCAGGTGTTAATCCTCTATACCCAGTAAATTCACGCCATATCCCTTCAACCTTCAAACCGAAACACAGCCATGCAAACACAGCTGCTTCACAGTTGAAACATGAATGGACAGAGGCAATCGAGTTTTGTACAAAGTCTCCCTCTGGTAATTTTTAGTTATTTAAAGTAAATAAATTAATAAATGGAAAACTCTTTATTATTCCCTTCACTGATATATTCCTTTATTCATAAAAATTAAAATATACAAACCTATTTTAACATTTAGAGTGTTTTGTCGATGTCTTTTAAATAAAGAAATCAATACAAAAGAAATAGTCAAAATACTTCAATAGCTAAAAAGGTTTATGACAGATTTGACGTTTTTATAAATAAAGAGGTTAGATTATATAGATAGAGTATCACAATACCGTTACCATAATGTGCATTTATAACTCATCATATGAAAGAATGTATTTACATTGTAAAGTTAAATTAAAAAATAAAAACGATTGAATATTATTATGAATATATTTAAAAGAATTATGTAAATAGTGCATATCTAATGATGCTTATCTCTACTAATTATTTTGATTTATATCGAAGTATAGACATAAAAAATGCTTTAGTTTTAAATCATTAAAAACGGCCGCCATTCTAATTTATACATGTATATTAACTTATATGCAACATTTATATATCAGAAGAAAATAATTTCTATCTAAAATTTAAGAAATCGACGTGATCTGGAAAATTATTAATCCATAAACTTGCAACACCGAAAAAATGGCGCGTTTTGCTTCATTTAAAAAAATATGCATCAAATTGAATTGACATATATTTACACTCGATGCTCAACCTATATAATCCAAGTTTACAAATTACATATGTTAACAACATTTACACAAAAATAAATCTTAAATTTTAATTATATTTTACTCTTGTTATTTCACCCAATTTCATAACCCATTTATAAGTATGCAGTCTCCAGAGGCTAATAACTTTCCGAATTTATAACTATAAGTCAGTACTTACCAGCCTTTTACATCAGTATCTATGCTAATAAACACTGCGGTCATTTCTAGGTCAATATAAAATCCCACCTATCAATTAATTTTGGCCGTAGCCTGCTGAACTTGAACTTAGAATTACATGTTACAGTCCACTGCAAGGTTATGTCATCAGAATGATAACCATATGTAAAATAGGTACATCAATAATCTTTATATCGAAGTTTAACCTCACGACAAGATTATAGATTCGTAAAGAAAACCAGTTTTTTAAGTTAGACCTTCAAGAATATAAATGTAAAAAGCACATCAAATTTGTGAATTGTAAGAATTAAAATCTAACAAATTGCTAAAGTAAATATGTCTTCTACAGACGTTCCCGTATGATTTCCTACACATTACACGAAATCTACAAATATACAATATAATCTATAAATATATAAAAGACAATTTTAACCATAAATGCTTTTTTATTATAGTTATGTAGGTTACATAGGAGTGGTTCGTGGTATAGCAATGCATATAATTAGGGCCAAGTTTATGTTATGGGATAGCGGTTTAGTACGTTATTATTATAACTAGTACAATGCATTAGTTGCGCAAAACATACCTAATGTATCACGAAGTAATTTAGTTCAACAATTGTAATATCCACTAAATTTTGTAAGTATAAATTTTATTTGTTATTTATTAGTATTCTGGTATATACGCGTGCATATATAACACTATATATATTAAATAAATATATTCTTAAAACGATTTTTTATAAAGTTAAAAACATCACCACTTTTGAAATTTATTAGAAAAAATACTTATAAATAAAAATTTTCTTAATACTAATATAACAGAATTGTAATTAAGCAATATCTATACATAAAAAATATTTAAGAAAAATTAATATCAGTCTTAAATTACCAGTAAATACCAAAACAATATTTTTTAGAAATGTTATCTATCTTCATGTCTATTTCGAAATCACGCAGAAACTACTTCACCAAATTGGTTGCAGTTTTTACAGTTGTATGTCTGAAAGTCTAACTTTATATCTGGTAAATGTTTCATCTATAAACGCCGTCTAAATCTATTACCTATTAAATTTCTTCTTCTGAAATTCACGCTTACAAAGTAACGGATAAAAGACTGTATTATAATAAAACTAACTAAACCGTGTTTAAAAAACCGTCGCACGAACGACATTGCAAATATTTTTTTATACAACTTAGAATTACAAACAAGTTGACGGTCCACCTGATGGAAAGTGGTAACCATCGCCTATAGACAAGAGCAGTACCATGGACATAACAGAGTATACTGTTTCGTTTATGATACTGCCCATGCATTACCATTCCTGAGGACTCAGATGTTATTTCTCTATACCCTATAAATTCACTGCCATATCCCACCCTTCAAACCGAAATATATTCATGCAAACGCAACTGCTTCACGGTAGAAATAAAAATAGGTCAGAGGTGTCCAAGCTAACGACTTTTATACAAAGTCTCTGTCTGGTTAAATAAGTCATACTAATAAATAGTGCTTTTAAAAATAAATCATGCGTTACAACAATTTAATATAGTGCCGTCGCGGCGTCGGTCTAGATTTCAGGTGTAATTATTTAGTTTTCTTAGTCCTCAGTTACACTTAAAAATATCTTAGTCATCAAAACCCAAACACTAAAACTAAGTAATGTACGCACATCCGTTTGGAAACGGTATGTCATTATTTACTAACAAACAGTAACAAAATAGCAAGGGCTTGACGGTCATAGCGCCAACTCTATTCGAGGTCTATTCGTGAGAATTTACCAAGTCAATTCACACGATGCACAAAGTAGATTGCTTTTATTGGCAAACTAAAATTTACGTAAAGCACGAGAAATATGAACGACCATTCAATGAGAAAACAATTATGACTACATCTAATGAGAATTTTGTTTTTTGCAGAAACTGTAAAGTGCCCCGTAGACGATTGCAATTGAACGAAACACAACTCCAGTGTTTTTAACTGTAAACACACAAGGATAAAGAAACCTGTACGATTAGTTTGAAATAAATACAATGGGTCGATTAAACTGGAGAAACGCTCACTGCATGGGTGGTGTTATGGACGGAGATGAGACATCGAAGTTGTTTGGAAAGTCCTGCCGTGGGAATGTATCGCCATTGTATTGGCGCATCCCAATTCTGCTATGGTCCGTCGTCGTGATCACTTGTTCAGTCAGCTTTTTCTGGGGCTCCCGTGAGAAATTCCTCATTTATATGACGCACTGGGGACTGGTGTTAATTTCATTGGAATCTCTGTTTGGAATCATTGTCACAGTCAGAAAAGTTAACAAAGAAAAATCTGGTAAGCTCGTTTAAATTTATACCTATAGTTTACCCTTACTAATATTGTAAATGGAAAGGTGATTTTATTTACTTGTTTGTTTCTTACTATTTGATACTTTAACAGCTCAACTAATTAACTTAAAATTAAACATAGATACATTTTCTTTATAGAAGGATATTTTGATCCCAGTCAAATGACCCAATCATACGAAATCGCGGGCATAGCTAGTACGCATGTTTAATTAGATAAATAGATAGACAGATTCTTTTTATTGTTTCCTCCATAATATTACAATAGTAAACTTATCATAAATATAGACAATTACAAGCAAATATTACACTGAGGAAACAATGGGCGGCCTTATTGCTAAGACGGATTCCTTCCAGGCAACCTTTGGATGGAGAAGAGTAATAAAAATAATAATAATTGACTTATAAAACGCATGTAAAATGTATGTAACAGATATAATTTGATATAATCGTGCTCTACCCATAAAAATCTCATTGCCGAACTAACGAGCCGACTATGAGAACTCAACGAATCGATGTTATAAGTATTTTTATTATGTTATTGATTTTTTTTATGCAACTTAAAATGGCATACAACCTGACGGCCCACCTGATGGAAAGTAGTAACAGTCGCCTATAAACATAAAAAGCACCATGGACATAACAGAGTATATACTGTTTCGCCCATGATACCCCTCCATGCGTTGCCATTCCTGAGATCTAAGGTGTTATGACTCTGTACCCTGTAAATTCACTGCCATATCCCACCCTTCACACCGAAACACAGTCATAGAATCACAATTGCTTCACGGTAGAAGTACGAATGGTACAAAGGTACCCAAGCATACGACTTTTATACAAAGTCTCTTGCTGTTATTAAATAAAACACAACAAGATTAAACCTATCAAACATTATATATACACGCACGCCTCAGTTAATTGATTTAGATCCGTCCGGTAGGTATTAAAATTTCCTTTACGTGCAAACATCATATAATACCATAAGAAGAGATAACTAGATGCTATATTTCAAAAGAAATAAGAAAATTCAATAATACTCATAAAGTAAAGCCTTCATCATTAGTGCAAATCTATTCATATCTTACAATAGACAAATGACATTTGAATATTGTCATTCATAAGTTCCATTGTCATATACAAGTAATTTAACTAATATACCTAATAGTGAATAATAATATTTTAGAGACATATATATATAGGTATATTATTATTTATATACTCTTGTCTAATACACTAAAACAAAATTCGAAAATAAAAAAGAAACTAACATAACATGTGAAGTGAAGGAGTACCTATTATGTATTATTATGAGTAAAAATAATACTATATAAATAATATATAATATATATAAAATAATAATATTTATATCTATACACTTATAACAAAAGTATAACATAACAATGTATGAATGTTAAAACTACAATTTTAATAAAGTCTGTATGTTTATTTCAGCATTACACAAAAACTACTGCACTAAATTGAGCACAGTAGTTTTTGTTTCCAAGATAAAATGTAGAAACGGGCTAACTTCTAGACATACGAGTGAATTCCTAGCATAGGACTATTAGTAACCATTAATAGCATCATTCCTTCATCCTACATGTTTTATTTCTCACTTATTAAATTATTACTTACAAAATTAAATTTATTAAAACAGTTTATATTTTTTTAATAAACATTAACAATTATAAAATTTTCATGAAATGTAAATTTTATGAAATATGGATTTGTGTAAAAAATTGCATAATATATTAATATACTAAACATATCCTGATTATTTTTAAAAATTTAATATTACGTACGTAAATGTTATTTTTAGTCATTAATTGCCGAGTAAGGGGATTTAATTTGCTTCGAGCGTAAAACTCAACCAACGTCTTATACTGGTAGCTTGTCAAGTTCACGTGCAAGGCTATAATGCGTTTAGCATAATCATTAGGGTCATAGAGCCGTATTCATGCGGTGCTTTGTTTCATTTTTAGAATCTTAAAAAAATAAAAGACTAAATTCAAGTTGTTTATATTGTTTTGTTAATGTCATGTCAATATGAGTATTACAACATAACTTCGTCAAATTTGAGTCTAAGAATAACAAACAAACCTAAATGTTTTAAGCAGCATGTATAGATAAATGACTAACTCATTTAACGGATTAATTAAAGATCATAGTTAATGGGTGGATCACGATTTAGAAATATTATATTTACCAAAATTTTCCCGAAAACAATACAGGCTGATGATGAAACGGCTTTACATTTTCGAAGCTATTGTCTATAGCATCGAAAAATAAAGAGCTATTTAATCTTAATAATAAAATATATTAATTAGACGTATGTTAGCATAGTCAGATTTCTATGATTATGTGAGCATCCTTTTATAGGAGGAAAATATTTTTTAAAATAAGTAAATGTACTTCATCTATTACTCTTGAACTATTTCAACAACCTTGACTGTACTGTTGACAATCTCCTCGGCTCACGCTTCGCCGATTCGACATAAATTTCTCGCGTCAGTTTAATCCAATAACTCAATGTTTTAGTACCTGTGGGCACGATAAACCCATGATAACTCAATAAATGTTCAATATTGTTAATCGATAATGGGAACAATTGTTAATTGCTACACAAAAACATAACAGATACGATACGAACAAAGCAATGTTGGAAAGTGATTGTTTACAGTGATCGTTTAATTATCGGTGACTGCAACCGTTTGCAATCATGATAATGCAGTACTTGAAGTGTTCGAAGTTACTACGTGAATGGAGAACGATTATGTTGGAGCACACGTTACCATCGGAATTTCACGTGAGCGGATGGCTGAGCAGTCACTCCTCATTGCCTTTGTTGTTACTAAGAAGTTGCCTCTTCCTGTTATCGACGAGCGTACTCATCAGCTCTATGATCTTGACCCGTATAACCTTAGACATTAAGTTCGGACTCTGGTTCATATACTTAACACACTGGAGTTTCCTTGTAATTGTCCTCAGCTCAGCTTTTTCCACTGCTGTTTCGGCCTATGCTTATTTTATTAAACCTATTGGTATGCATTTTTTCTTGTTTGACTAATGAAAATCTAACTATAACATATAAATCATCTTATTTCAATGTTCTTATTTCATCTTATTACAATTATTTTTTATTATAATTTAATACTTTATTTTAACAAGATAACAAAGACATCATAATAAACCACTTCTTCATCAATTCCTTGCTACATTAATAACATAATTAAATTATAAAAATTTGTTAAATAAATTGTCATATAATACGATATGTACAGTAAATAAGTATAATAATTTTTTCGGTCCAGTAAATAACACAGAAGGCATTTAATGTCTATTACTACAAAAAAAAGGAAACCTTACTTATACAGATAAACTTGTTCTATGTATAATGTATAACCACCACCAGAGGAAGACTTTGTACAAAAGTCGATTGCTTGGGTACTTCTGTCCCAATTGTGTTTCAACCGTGAAGCAGTTGTGTTTGCATGGCTGTGTTTCGGTTTGAAGGGTGGGATAGGGCGTGAATTTACAAGGTACAGAAGAATAACACCTGAGTCCTTAGGAATGACAACGCATGGGGGGTATCATGGTCGAAACAGTATACTCTGTTATTTCCATGGTACTGCACATGTCTATAGGCGACGGTTACCACTTTCCATCAGGTGGGCCGTCAGCTTGTTTGCCATTCTAAGTTGTATAAAAAAATGTATACTCAAAATTACTGCTGTTACTTTTTTGTCCTTCTTCCTTTTTTTTTCTATGTTAGACTTCAGACTATATATTTTCAAAATACTTTTATTCTTATTAGATATATACATATAATAGCTTTTATTAAATAATTTAGCATTTACTTCGCATAAATTGCCGACTTCAATCCTGACAAAATTGGTACTTGAACAAAATGGGAATAAATTATATCTATTTTTATTTTGTGGAACAAAATCTAAAAATATTATGTTCTGAATGAACACAATTAAGTACCTAATTATGTCAGCAACTAATATGAAGGAATACTTACTTTATAACATTTATAGAACGACTAATAGAAACAAAAGGAAATCTTATTTTAAGAAAAACATGTACGTTAAAATAAAAAATAAAATTAGGAACTGATAGGTCATTGAAACCTCCAGGTACAGCAGAACATAACGAGGACAATATAGTAAACGTGATCTTAGTACCGCGTTACTACGTGCTCGCAATAATTATTTTGTTTTACAGAAGGATAAAGTATCTAGATACAGATAATTATCATTGATGCAACAGATTCAATATTTCGAAATAAAATCTATCGGAATTAAAATTTTATCCCCTAAAATAAAGTATATAGTTCTGAACTTAGTCGATTAGGGTCGTGTAATAATTATAAGTAGAGGGATGGGCAGCAGCGTCCCTCTTAAAACACATATAAAAGCCTAACTGCGATTGCTACTGTGCTAACTGTGCTCATAGTACTCCTCATGCGTCACCATTTCTGGAGATTGGTGTAAAGACTCTTATATCTTCTTTTTTCATACCATATCGTACCCTTCAAACCAAAACAAAGCCTGTCTTCACGGTATAAGCACAGATGAGGTTTTTCCAACAGACTAGACCACGGAATTCTGCAATAAAGAAGTTTTCTTCAGGGTCGACAACACGCGTCTGATGCCCCTAATATTGCAGGCGTTAATAGGCTACGGTAACTGCTTACCATTAGGTGCGCCGTATGCTTATGTGCTACCTCACTGTTATAAAAAAAGGCACCCTTGCATATGACTTTTATATAAAATCTAAGGAGACTTCTATAAGACTAGAATACCAACATGTAGCCACAAATCCTTAATATCTTTTAACTTTCCCTAAGGAAAATATCTTTAATAAATCCTTATAGAAAAAGTTATTCAAGATCTAATTGTCAGTTGTGATTTACTCACAAATCGAACAAATCCTTTGTAAATTCACAAAACAAATTTAATGTTAAACCGTCATTAAAACTAGTAAACATCATTGACTGTTTTCAGAATCTTAACAATTATAATTGACGGGTTCAAATTTCATAACCTTACAGTCGTACTCAAGGTAACTTGTCATATAGTCGTAATTATACTTATTTGAGAAAATATTGAAAAACTATACTATTGCTTATAAAATTAATAGACTAGCATTTAATTAGAATAAATAAATAAGTATGATATATAAAACTGTTTCTTTGTTTAGATTTCAAAGTAATTTCGATGAATTTTTAGAGATTAATAAAAATTTTTCTTAAACATCGGTCGGAACTCTCATCATAACTACAATGCTCAGATAAAATGTAATACTATTAATAATTAAATTAATATTGCTTTATTCCGCCTATATGTTTTTTTATCTATGGTTATATGCAGTAAAATTATTCTCATAACATTATATATTAGACACTAACTGGTTTAATGTAACTAGTCTGGCCATAAATACTATTACGTAAGAACTTTTCTTTTTTTCAACTTTTTAATTATTTTGAATTTGGAACACGTTTATTATATTAAAAACTTCGTTCGATTTCGTACCATTTCACATATTTTTTCGTGTTCATTATCAAATTAAAATGTGGAAAGAGGTGTTAAAAAAAAAAAGGATTGCAGTGATCGCCTTGTACAAAGTGGGTATGGAGCCGTCGGTTATATTCCAGACACTTCAAAAGCTTGGTATTAGCTGTATGTTCATATATCGTACTATCAACAGATAAAACAACACTTCCTCTGACGGGGCAGCCGCGTGCTGTTAAGACTACAAAGACTGTCAATGCTGTTAAAGCCAGAATTCGTTAAAACCCCATTAGGAAGCAAAAAACCTTCAGTTCTAGATGGTTTACCCAGATAAATCATATTCTAGATTTTAAGTAAGACTTTCAGGAATACAATTGTGAAAACCGCTTATTATTAACTGCTTAGTGCAGTAGGTACTTTTTGCGTAATGTCGGAACTTATTGTTTTGTCTTCTATTTTTTTATACCACTGAGGTGACAAACAATCATACGGCCCACCTGATGGTAAACGATTACTGTAAATTATGAACGCCTGCAATACCAGGGGTATTATGCACTCGTTATTGACCCTAAATAAATCTCTTTTTTGAAGAATCCCGTACAAGAATCTCTTAGGAAAACCTCGACGCGACAGAGAACTCATTCCATAATCTAAGCGTTTGTGGAAAGAAACATTTCTGAAACCGCATTGTACGCGACCATCTCGGTTCTAAGGTATAAGGGTGTACTTCCAGTCAAAAGCGAGCTGTACAACTGTAGAAAGTACCCGTGAGCATTATAATGAATAATTCTTCTCAGTACTATTTTATTTTATTTTATTTAGTATTTTAATGGGTGTAAATGGCATAGTAACCTCGCCAGCGCTATCGGTATAAACTGGCAGGGCACCAGTGAGAGGTGATAGGTGAGGATGAAAAGACAGGTCAATTAGCCCGTCGTGACAAATTCAACGATCAATTAGTTACGATAATTCCCAGGGAAAACCGCGTGGAGGTCGACCTGATAGGGTATATTACTAACAATCTCTTCCCCCAGTGGGATACTTACTTACATATGCGTTCACTTAGAGTCAAATTGTTAAATATTTGACAGTTCGTAGACCTACAATGTAATGTCATACATTCAGCTGACACAATATTTGCAAAACTTGGAAAAACCTTGATACTCATATTAGATTTTGTGTTTAATAAAAAAAAATATCAGCAATGAATTGACGTCAAATAACCAGTTTTTGAATTAATCACACTTTTGTGTTTGCGATATTGTTACATAATCAAAGTGAACAATACTCACTCATACATTGTAACCATAAACACATAAAAAGTGATTGACATCTTACGGTTTGTTGGTTCACGCAGTGAACAAAATAAGAGGTCAAGTGTGAATCAAACGTGTTCTATAGTTAACGTTCCGAGACAGTGTCATGGCCTGCCCGGACTAGGGACATTTCGAATTGAGACAAAATTTACCTTTATGTTTAATTTGCCTGGGCAGGCTTTCAAGTATGGCTAAAGACAATCCTCTGCGTATTTGCGTCTGATCATAATAAAACCCTGTGCTGTGGTTTACGCATACTTTTAGATAGTTTATTTATTTATTTTATAAATTTAACTTAGAATTGCAAACAAGCTGATAGCCCACCTGATGGAAAGTAGTAACCGTCGCCTATAGACATAAGCAGTACTATGGACATAACAGTGTAAACTATTTCGCCCATGATACCCCCCATTCGTTGCCATTCCTGAGGACTCAGGTTTTATTCCTCTGTACCCTATAAATTCACTGCCATATCCCACCCTTCGAACCAAAACACAGCCATGCAAACACAATTGCTTTACAATAGAAACACGAATAGGACGGAGGTGCCCAAGCAAACGACTTTTTACAAAGTCTCCCTCTGGTAAGTACAAGTATATGACTTACACAAAAGGCAATTTTCTACGCGAACAAAAGTCTATTTTCTGCCCAGAATTGCGCGCTCTTTTATGTGTAATTAGATTTATATTCTGTCATCAAAACACTATTGTGTAGCTTTCACATCTACTCAATAGATAAAATATTGTAAGGATTTAATATATAGGTAGTCCTTATTGTTATAAATTTACGGTATTTAACGGTATCCCCATTCTAGTATGCGAACGCTATGCTTCTAAAACGATTTTGACAATTCTATTTGGTTCTGCTTATTAATTCTCTTATTGATAAATACGTAAAATATCTGAAGCCATAGACATATAGACATAGTATAATGTACTATGTACTAATCATAAGCCTATTTTAGCCATTGAAGGGTTTTGTCTTTTTTACACTAAATTCCTAATTTCCTACAATTTTCCAACTCTAATAGTTAAAATAAGTTTATTAAATGTTTTATTTATTTAGTTTATTTATTTATTCTTAATGAGCACATTACAAAAAATGTCTGTTACAAAAGGCGGACTTAATACTACATAGCATACTCCAGTCAACCTTTGACAAAACAGAAATGTAATTATGCCGTGAAAAAATTGAAAATTGTTACAGATAAAGAATTACACGTACGTATTGATATTGTCTTACAAATCACAGCACATACAATGGAGAACTAATGCATACTATAATTAAATAAATGTACATACATTAATACATTAACCAAATATTATTTACATGTGCAAATATATATCATATAAACATATATACAAATATAAATATACATACATACTTATAGATTATATACTATAATACCAATACACAATGATAGGAATCAAAAGTGATGCTGATGAAGATCATGAAATGCTTTCAGAACTTTTTCAAAAGATATTCGTTCTAATTATTATAAATAAAAGGGTGTAGGTTAAATCGGATGTTCTATAAATATGTACACCTACTTTATTTTTTCTTTTTTTTACACAAATTGAACGTAATGACATACAGAAAGCAGACTGTCCAACTTAATGAAAAATGGTAAACTTTGGCTATAAATATAAACGAGACTTCGATATCCCAGAATACACTGTGACGCCATGGTATCGCTCGTGCGTTGATACCTTATAATTTTTAATTACTATAAGCTCTGTAAATGTGTCAAATAGTCGAAATGTTTTTCCGGTATTTTTCATGTTTAGAATTACGCGTTACGTTACATCTTCTCTAGTTACGTACTGATTGTAGTAAATTTTTATTTGATCTGATGGTGTTAATAATTGGCTTTGAATTTAAAGAATTCCGAGTTAAAATTTATTTCAAAACTATCCAATAAAACATAACTGCATATCATAATTACATGTAAATAATGTTATAAAACATTGAGAATGCCGTAGGGCGCAATCAATCAAGTGTTATATAAAAAATGTCGTATAGTACCTACATGTTTTTTACTTGATTAATGATTTATTTTATCTATTAAAAATTTTACATTAAAAGCAATTGAAACTCAATTGCTTTTCACAAAATTCTCAATTTTCACAAAACATTAAAAATCTTCTATTTATTTCTATTTTAAATTCTAGATAAAAATGTTATTATCTTATCTCAATGTAAATCGTAATAGACTTTAATAAAATATAAAACTAGGTGCAAATTTATTGATTTAATTATAGTAGAGTTTGTTACTGAAAGTTGCTTAACTTACTAATATTATAAACGTAAAAGTGAGATTGTTTGTTTGTTTCTTACCTTATAGCGCCTAGCGGCTTAACCAATCATTATAAAATTTTATACGTACTATATGGCATAGAAAATGATACGGACAACTTTTATCCTAGTCAGTAAACACATCCCGATTACGCGGAAGAAGTCGAGGGTAAAAGTTAGTAAAATTATAAAAATATGTTTGTTGATTTTTCAGATGCTACATTCGGGTTACCATGGTACGTCAAGACTTACTGGTTGTTGTACAATATCGCTATACCGGTGTCCTTCCTCGTCTCCGGATTCTACTGGGGTCTCCTCAGGAGTAAAGGTGAGTACCTACTGAACAAAGTAATGGCAATAGCTCTAAAAGATATAACTTCAACTTATAGATATTATTCATAGCCTTTAGAAGACATTAAGAAGCTTTAGAAGAAATTTAATAAAATGATCAGAAAATATAAAAATTTACATATCTAGCTTGCAGTACCGATAGTTCTCTTATCTACAAGTTTTTTTTTTTCTTTTTTTTTTTGTACAAACACAACTGCTTCACGGTTGAAACACGAATGGGACAGAGGTACCCAATCAATCGACTTTTGTACAACGTCTCCTTCTGTAATTACTCCTCTCAGGTTTAGAGACTCTTAGACTGTGTATACCGTAGTGTAAGAGTCTCTAAACCTGAGAGGTTTAAATGGTACTAAAAATTCTTATTCTATGTTTTGTATGAACTTGCATGATAGTTAATTAAAAATAGTAACTTGTGAAGAAACGTAATCTATATATTTATATCTATCTATAGGTAACGTAAAGTTTATTTCTTAAAACAGTTATTTCTGGAAAAGGCTTTTAGGCGCTTCATACACGCGTCGCGCCGCCCTGTGCAAAGACTCCATGGTTTTCATACAGTTCAGTACAATACACACTTGCCAACGACGTGGAGGTGGACAAATTTGTATGGCACAGTATGAAACAGCGAAGTTATTGCATATAGCGGCATAACGTGTATGTGGAACGCCACGACAGTTTACCTTTTTTTTAATGGATGAAAATAGATTAGTGGCCCCGCCTACGCTATCGGTATACGCTGGCAAGGCACCAACGAGAAAGAATAAGTAAAGATGAAAAGAGGTCATTTGGCCCATCGTGACAAATTCGACAAGAATTAACCACGATTGTTTTCAGGGGATAGTATTATATTATCTGTGCCAGGGAGAACCGCGTGAAGGTCAAACTGATAGGGTATGATAGCCATACTCTATCAGTTTGGGGGGAAGGGATTGTTAATAATGCGGACTATCAGTCCCATTGCTAACAATATGCCCCATAAGGCCGACCTCCACGTGATCCCCCTGGAAACCATCGTGCTAAATTCCTAGTGTATTCATCAGAATGAAGTAACTGACCTGCCTTTTCATTCTCACCTATCACCCTTCCTTGGTACCCCGCCCGTGTATACCGTTAGCGCAAGTGGAGTAACCATTCCATTATCATCAATTACAAAAAAAAACTAACTATCAGTTTGACAAGTCCCATTGCTCTATAGCTAGCAATGGGATTTGCAATGTAAATTGGATTCCCATTTCCGCACTAAGCCTCTCATTTGGGACGTTGCAATACATTTTTCATTTTCATTTGGGACATAGCAATAGGATTTTTAAACTCCCAATTAATAACACCCACTTTATAACAGTTGATTTTGAATAACTGAAATGATTATGATATCATTTTAACTTTCCTGTGGTTCAAAGTCAAGTTTTTCTTATCTTTTGATTTATTGTTTAAATAACCATCACTAAAACTACTCTACAATATTTTTAAAATAATTAATACATCCACACTGGCTTGCAGTAGCCACTAGTGTCATGACCTCGTCTATTGATAACGATGAGGTTCAGCAGAATTTGACATTCACTTTCAATTGTCCGCGAGAATAGTTATTATGTACCTAAGCCTTTAGTAACGTTTTTATAGAAAATATTTCATGTCCATGCATAATGTTGCGTTACCTACTATATAATGTTAAAAAGGCTACAATAATAAATATATGACTATTTAATTTTTAAATATACATTAACCCTTCTGATTTATACGATAAGTATATAAGGGCTATTCTTATATAATGTAATAAGAAGATTGACCATTTTTACCTATATACAGAAACACCAAAACTATTTTAACGATACTAACATAAGTGTTCTAAAATAAGTTTCACAATCACTATTGCTATAATAAATACTATAATTTATAAAAAAAAAAAAACCGATAAAAGTCATACTTGCATCTGAAAGCCATTTACAGAAAAAAGAAATATAACAAAATACTTAAAAATCCGAAACAACGATATCTATGGTTTCAACCATTGTCTTAAACTACCTCGACTTTCTTATGGTTAAAAATTAACGATAGGTAATCCCCATAGGAGTTTGACATTCACTGTATATTATATTAGGATTTTTTTGGTAGTATTAAAAAATTACATAATGTAAATAAAGCAATATTTTTCCATGAATAAATGAAGTACTTTTGTAAAGTACATTAGAAAACCTTGCCCTTATTTTAATATAACAATTCAAATATACATTCCCATTAGAAAACCACATAATTTGGTGATTGTAGGTAACTGTTCGAATTAATTCATTTACAGGCAACTCATATTTCTGACCTGTTGTTCCTTTTTCTATGACAGGATCATAATCCCACAAAGTAATGTGACTTACTAATAAAGGATCAATTGAAAAAAATCCCTTATAGTAAGATACGTCTGTCATTAAAAATTCTGTATCCTGTAATTTAAATTTTACTGCACAATAAATAATAACAATTATTATAACTTTCGTATTTATATTTCGTACAATGAACTATTAGTTCTAGGTACACTGGCCTCTTACATAAATCTCAAACGCTATAATCGAACGAGAATAATCTGAGAGTCTACCATGAAATGACATTCTGAAGTTTCGAGCTCAATTTTTGTGTTTTATTCGTACCGAAATCAGCCCAGTAAATGGAGTTTGACATTTCATTCGTCATAAGTCCTAACATAAAAGTCCAAATAACGATATTTTAACATTTTAAATATTTTTAAACGATATGTATTATATAAACATCAAATTTGTATTTCGTTCGTGCCCGAAATATTGGAAAATGTTTCATTGTAGGGTATCTGTATTGTTTGAACTTCAACAGAATATAGTGGCTCATTTGGCCTGCAATACAGACGATCCATATTTTTTCGATGTTTTTTTTTTCTCATGTAATGATCGTCAATCATCATCACTTTTTTTACTGCCTTATTATAATAAAAATTCAACAATTTCCAGTGGGAAAGTTGGACTACTTCGCACCAAATCCAGTGCTGGACGTAATGTTACACGGAATTAACTCAGCTGTAATGTTGGTGGAGCTACTGTCGTCGGCGCACCCCAGCAGGTTACTTCACATCATGCAGCCGCTTCTGTTCGCAGGAGCTTACCTGTTATTCACCGTTATATATTACTACGCTGGAGGGCTCGATCCGTAAGTGCTTACACCTAATTATACATAATAAAATCTAAATTGTTAGCGCCTCTTGACGAAATGTATAATAATTATTTTTCCAAAGAACATGAGTCAAAAACAATAAAAAATTGTATGCCTCCCATACGAACACGACGTATCCAACTATCAGATTAGTAAAATTATATTTAGTTTCGTTGGTAGAATACTCACTTGACCTTTTTTTTTTAATTTCATCATTAGCATCCTTATGCTGAAATCACTAGCATCTTTCACCTTGTGTAATAAACAATAATATCTACCGACATATTAAAACTCATTATCTATCTCGATCAGACTAGACGGTTACATCAGTTTCCTGATTCTAATAATGGATTAGAATTCCAAGGTCTGATTAATTATTACTGTCATATAATAATTTAATTCGATAATAACTAAATAATATATTAATTAATTAATATTATTAGTAGATTATATTACAAAATAAGTTAAACAAATTACTCATAAATGAAATTAGAATTAAATTAATCTAATTTAGTTATGATTCGCACTATCTGCCTCTATTCTATTCATGTCTAAGCATGAGACTATTCTTAAATAAAATCAGACACTCTAAGTACCTCAACTTATACTAGATTAAGCGAATCATTGCCTTTAAATTTTCTTTGAGTTTTACTTCAACCGAAAGATGGACAGCATCGGGTCAATGTTTATTTTTGTGGATTCCAACCTCAACATTATGATTAGTAACTATTCTAACTGTATAGAACAATACAATGATGTCCACTTGATGTACGTACTCTTGCCTAAGAATATGAGTATTTGATTCAACAAACCTCGAGAGGCTGAATGTGAAACTAGTATTCAAAATCAATACCCAAAATCTGATCGGATATTGGTTTACATGAATTAACATAATCTAAAGGAGTATTTAAATTGTATGCATATAATATATATTGCATGAATATAAAATATAAACTAAAAAAAGAACATTTTATATATTTATACTTTATTGCTATAATTATGTACATACAAATGGCAGATTAGAGAGGTCATGCAAAATATCTGCATTATTTTTATAAAGGTATCTTGTAAATTAATTATCTAATAGATTGCTTTGTCTTATAATAAATAAATAAAGAAAAATACGATCATCTAACAACTAAAAATATCCATGCTATATTATAATTTGTCCAGGTTTTAGAATGCCACGTCGTAACCGGGAAAAATTTTTGACGCAATACTACGATCACCGGAAATTTATATTCTTCAATAAAACCAATATTGTTTAATGTGACATTTCTGATATTATAAGAACAAACAGACAATGAAAAAATATTGTTAAAAATTTAGACTATTCAAGTGCATTGGATACGAGACGTGTAAGATATCTCGACTATTTAGCATATTGTTAAGCATGTCGCAATAGTACGAGTATAACATCAGTAAGGTTAGATTAGAGGACATTCGCCGACGACCATCGATAGCGTGACCCTATTAAGTTTAAAGGAAAACACAACATCTATTACAAGTTCAAAGACCTGTTTTTTTAATAATCCTCATTTTAAACAGTTATTTTTTTAATTATAGTGGATTAATCTGGCGAACTTCTACTTCAAAATCTTTGGAAATATAGCAACATAATAATATAACACAAACAAAAATGTTCGTCGTGTTCGAAATATAAAGACAGTACCAAACCCTAAAAAAATGAAAAAACGTTATTTTTTCTGGGTTAATTTTCAAACGATTACCGATTCACACGATACCGACAATAAACGATGCCTTATGCTCAAACGCAATCCAGAATAAATTGATTAATTATCTAATTTCAACTTCAATTTTGTACATTACCCAGAGTATGTTTAAGTCAAATTGTTTTAATAAGAATGATTACAACATTTTTAGTACCTACTACCTACAAATAAAACAGATCAAGCGCAAGTAATCTCACGCTCGAGGGTTCCGTATTTAAAATAATCTGTAAATATGTTTTGGTATTTTTAAATGAAAATTTATTTGTATTTACATATATGAGATAAATTTTATAGATTTTACGTACATGTAAACGTGTTCGTACGTACACGTAAATGTGTTTTTTTTTTTTTTGTTATTAAAACAGAAATATGATAACAAGCGTTAGTATAATTAGAATTTCCACATTTAGGCCCTAACTGTGCTTAGAACCGGATTTTTACTATATTATTCACATATATCCTGATCAACTGTGATTATTTCTTTTTTTCTTTTCATAAAACAAAAAGAAATAAATGCAAATATAATATACAAATGAATCCCTTTCATATGATAATCAATTTGAACTATTTTGAAGTTTAGATGTCTCCTTTTGGACATCCAACAAAGAATATAATAATATTTTTCCAAATTAATTTCTCCAATACTATACAAGTAGCACTATAACAATGGAAAAAACGAATGGATGGAAAGAATCACTTACACCGACATAAGGGCTTTTTTAACCAATTAAGTACGGAACCCTAAAATCTTGTAATAGCTACTTACCCAATAACGACATCATTATAAAATAACACTTCACTCTGTATAAGACATCAAATGATGCCTCAATCTAACTACTGTCAAATGGTTTTTAGCAAGCGTCATTACAGCCAATGTCAAGTAGATAACGAAATACTACTAAACGAAGAACTTCAAAGTTGCACGCAAAACCTTCAAGCCATCTTATTGGTTAATTGAATTGAATTTCAAAATTTCAAAGCATGTATTGTCGCTAAATACCATACTTTTTAGCCCGAGGCACTTTTGTAATGTACAATGCAGCATGGTATGGCACAATTTTTTCTTTTAATGCAATAATCTATTCAATTACTCTAAAAAAGGTGTGTATTAAATAAATCCATTTACTACTGCAGAAAATAGTGCATTTTTTATTTTTTTTTTTATAGCTGACCAAAATTCGACTAATATATCCATTTTCCCGATGCTACGTTATATTATGGTATATTTTTTAATCAATTTGTTGAAAAAAAATCTATTAATTGCAGTAGAATAATTTCAAATATTTATCTTATACTTTCCGTTTGTAATTATTATTTTTCAGTGAGATACTTCTCAATTTAAAACTAGTAGATACTTCATTAACTTTTTCATCAACGCTATCTGTTCTTTATATGTATCTCCGCGCTTCTTAAAGATTGATTGATAGAGAATGCTTATACAATTAAGCCCGCCTTGTGTATCACATTTTATTAATAACTAAAATTTAAAATAAGTAACTAAATATGATTAGTATACAAGTACCTACCATTTCTATATCCTAAGATTTTGAGATATGAGCCTGATTGTTTATTGCTTAAACAAATATAAAGAGATTTACAATTTCGGATTTTGGGGATACAAATTGACCATGTTCTAAATGTTTTTATTTCTAACATTTCCACGTGATAATTTATAGTAGAAATTCCATAAGAGATATAGTATTTGCTAATAAATAAAATTATATGTATCTCTTTCAAATCCTAAGGTTCAGATTCGCCAATAATATCTTTATATATCTTGAGTTTTGTTCATAGATACAAAAAAATATCATAAAATATTTTTTTAAATAAACCTATTACACTTCCTTACTTACCCCCCAAAGACATATTAGTTTTACATATAGATATACAGATAGAGGAAAAGATTGATAGATAGTGTATCACTAGGCGTAACACATAACTTCGTTTGCATGGACTCAAAGATTAGATTAGATTGAATTGGTTCGAAATTCATACTTGGTATCTAATTATTTTTATTCAAATCAGAGCAAAAATAACTAACAAACATAAGACAATCCCATTTCGGATTTACTAAAGTTAATATAAAATATTTTATTTCAGGTGGGGTCACCCATACATTTACCCCGTAATGGACTGGAGTAAACCACGAGAGACGATAGTTGTTGCGGCACTGTCAGGCTTGTTCCTAGCTCTGATGCACATTGTTGTAGTAGCCATTGCAACACTGCGGGATGCAATCGTGCGGCGGTTACAGAAGGACGTCACTGGCGTTTACAACAATGCGTTCAATGCCTGAAGAAAATCCGATGGCAATGCATCAGAAAACTTACTTCTGATAGGTACCAGCGCATATTTTATAAGAATCCCTTTTATAATAGGTAGTTCATTTAAGAAAGAGGTGAAACTAGTCACAATTTCTTCTTCATTATTTGTACGTTAGTGTGGTTGTATTAATTACTGTGATCTATCTATCTATTGAAGTTTTTTTTAATTATTATATATCCAAAGAAAAGGGTAAAATTTAAAGATATGAAGATAATATAAGGCTCACGGACGATTCCACACGTGATGTTTTAATTCAAGCAGTATTTTCACTGATCAATACTTCATGTTAGATGTTGTCAGGAGACCTTTCTTTTACCAGTATAGTTTACTATCAAGCAGCTTATCAGCAATATTGGGTACTCCGAAATCGATATTTCTGCTGCCTGGACAGTGTGGATTTGGTTATACGTAGCAGCTGTTATGTTTCACTGCAAATTTTTATCATATAATTTGCAATACTAAACGAATTATGGTCTTATAAAAAATATTTATACATACACATTTAGTACATCCCTGTGTATATATATCGGATGTCATACCCATCACGTCTCTCCATTTCATCCAGGAAGCCGTATCCTGTGTTAGATGTTTGAGTCGAGACTACTTGAACTAGGTCATGCTCCAGTAGTCTCGACTTAATATTATTATAATAAAATAAATGCGAAATTCTAGATATGAAATCGACTACCTGTATGTATTCCCCTTTTATTTTTATTAGGTACTAAGAAAACAAAGATGATTTAGTAATAAGTGGTTATTGTTGCTCAATTAATTTATAGTTAAGACGATGAAGACTTGATGTGATAAATAAATAACAGACCCGAGGCACAGAAGAAAGTAAAGTTCAAGTTTAGTTATGGCATTGTATTACAAGCTAATAAATCTGGGTTATTATACAAAAATAATTAAATTTGCATTATTATGCTGCATTAAATACATAGTTTTTTTTTTTATTGAATTTATTTATTTTAATAGAAAAAGCCTAGATTTACAACTTATATAACACCATCAACCGCTACTAATAACTAACAACACTATCTTTTAATATTAGGAAACAGGATTAGGACTAGTGAATTTTTGTCTGCCTGTTTATTTCAACTGATATCTCTCTCATACCCAATTTTATTCTTATATATTAGAATAACTTAAAAGTGATATTAAATTAGTAATATTGTGTAAATGACATTTATTTCGTAAGATTAAGTATTAAAATATGAATTTTGTACAAACCGCCAGCTTTTTTGGAAATTTGAGTTATAACACAAACAGCATTTAAGTGGGTATCTAATATTAAATTCATGGATTTATTTATTTCAAATTAGTTCTATGTTTCTATTTGTGACGGTTCGGTGTGAAGTTTTATCGTCATATTTTCCTTTATTTAATAATCTTAATAGAACGCCAAAAAATATTTTTAGTTTTTGAATCTGGATTAAGGGGATTGTTTCTGTTTTTTTTATACAATAACATAAGTAACTTTAAACGAAGGGGAAAATAGTTCTATTGAACTTAATTTTATTTTGTAAAAAGAAACATTTTCTCTTTTAACACTCGATCGAAAATTAACAAAAAAAACATCTACTACCCACTCCTAAACTGCAAAATATTTTTGTAAAATAAACTTTTCACCCATTATTTTAATTTAAATACCTATACCTCAAGTACATTTATTTATTTTTTATTTAAAATCATTACTAGTATGAACAGTTCGATTTTATGGTCAACCAATAAAACTAAGATTCATTCATATCCAAAAATTAATTAATTATTAGTTACCTGGTAAATGTTATTATGTTTATTCATATTTGCCATAAAAAAAATTAAATAAATATTTACGACCTTTATTTGTATTTTTATTAATTCTTACCATGTGTCTTACGAGCTTTTTTTGTTTGAGAAATAAAATACATTTTTTTATTTTAAATAAATATAAAAATATTACTATATATACCTAACTAATAGTTATATATATATATATATATATATATATATATATATATATATATATATATATATATATATATATATATATATATATATATATATATATATATATATATTAGTTAGGTATATTGACGAGATGATTTTTTTTTTCGGTCTATTATTTACTAACTTTTACCCGCGACCTCGTCCGCGTGGCAGAAATATGTTAATTAAGATACGAGTAAAAAGTTGCCTATAACCTTCTCCATCTCATATAGTATGTGTATACTTAATTTAATAGCTATTGGCTAAGCTGTTAAGGCGCTAGAAGATAACAAACAGACAAACTCCCTTTCACATTCATTATATTTGTAAGGATTCCTAATAATTCTCAGAGACAAGTTTAAAATAAGGTACTTCTTTCATAAATAAGTATATCGTGAATTGATTAAGAACATTTCCTTCGATATGCTATTATCGCATATATGCCAGCGTGTATGCTAAATATGTTATTGTAAATATAATATATCACATTACTGATTAAATAAAGTAATTAATGAATATTGATATTAATGTCCGATATTAAATATTTCATAACGGAACTTTATATATTGAATCCCAATGTTCTGAGTAATCTTGTAATGTTTTATTTCAATATTATTATTACATAATATACATATATCTATGCACCTCTGTCCCATTCGTGTTTCTACCGTGAAGCAGTTGTGTCAAAGCTGTTTCGGTTTGAAGGTTGAAATATGGCAGTGAATTTACAGGGTACAGAGGAATAACACCTGAGGACTCAGGAATGGCAACGTATGTGAGGTATTATGAGCGAAACAGTATACTCTGTTATGTCCATGGTACTGCTCATGTCTATAGGCGACGGTTACCACTTTCTATTAGATGGGCCGTCAGCTTGTTTGCCATTCTAAGTTCCATAAAGAAAACTTAACATTGATAAAAACATCAAAAAATTATGAAATACACAGTACTATATGAAATATTATTATGGCAATAGGGAATAATGACTACACGTAGTATTTGATATGTACCAAAAAACATTGTATTAAAAAAGTACATCAACACTGACTGATATAACGATACGATCATAGACGAAGCCGCGGAGTCCAACTAGCAACATACAAATGAAATATAGTAAAATAGAGAATATTTTAGCCTCATGACGCCCGCCACGCCTCTGTATGCTTTCAGACTCAGACTCCGCGCCTCTGTGTGCAAAGACTCCACGCTTTTCATTATAAGTATATTTTATCTGGAATGACATATCCCATTTCCTCTTGATAAGTCAAAATAAACTACTCATAACGGTATTTCAGTATGCCTAATATATTTTTGATAAGTAAAATACGTTACTGGCTTTAGTTACAAGATATTACTCGTAAATACGTAAATTTACTTTGTAAGACAGTTGTATATTTTCATCATAATAAAAAATATTTATTTTAAAGTAATCTAACTGAATTTTGTTTTGAATCATAAATGACGGAGACATTATATCATAGCTTTATTATCACTTATCGCAAACCATATTGACGTCACGTTATCGCAGGTAACAAATCAAATAGATATAATACGAATACTTAGTACGTGATTTGAATTAGTGTAGACTTGACAATTTGCACAAGTATGGGAATAAAACAATATTTCAGCAATGAATTCTCAAAACAAATGTGGTTTCTGGAGCACGACGATGGGTCAGATTTCTACGTAAGTTCACTGCAGAGCAATCGGTCGTGCGTCCCCCTACTGTGTGCAAGGCTCATAATATTTATAGGTTGTTTAGGAATATTACTATCATCAATAATACTCGATGGACTGTCAAGCGTCACCTTTGGCGTCCGTTGGCCTGTTTACTTGACACACTGGGGGCTGATCTTCATAACTGTCACTTCTGGACTTTCATTATTTGTATCTATAGTAGCCTACAAGCAAGGATCTATTGGTGAGTAATATTTCCAGTTATTATATATCAAGTTCTAAATATCAATATTCTTTTACAATTATTTAATCAAGTTTTAAATCACAGCATCATTCTAATCTTACTTTTCCGCTAATATAAAAAATGGGGGGAAAGGGATTGTTAGTAATGGGGTCTAATGAACCCATTGCTAGCAATACACCTTATCAGGTCGACCTCCAAGTGGTTCCCCCTGGAAACCATCGTAAACAATTCTTGTTGAATTCGTCACGATGAACTAACTGAGCTGCTTCATCTTCACCTGTCATCCCTCACTAGTGCCCCGCCAGTGTATACCGATAGCACGGGTGGGGTTACCATTCCATCATCATCCATTAAAAAAAATATAAAAAATGTGAGAGTTTGGGTTTTGTATAATTGGATATTTAATGAGTACTCAATCACGCTTAAACAGCTGTATGTACTCGTACATACAAGTACATAAATGAAATATGCAGAAGCATAAAGGTTACATTAAGCTCTAGTTATATTATATTTTGAATAAATATATGATTATTATATATTTGCATAATACAATATAGGAAATAAGCAATACAATAAATGTAATGATACAATTTTCTAAGTACAGTAAGACAGTCTTATTGCTGAAAGCATTTTTTTCAAGACAATCTTAGAGTAACATTATAAGTATTTTGATTCAAACTAGTTTATTATCCAGATAATAATTACTAGGTATTTATTCCAGAGTAAGTAATTTTACTCCTTCAAAAACTGATGCATTTTTATTGAGCTAATATAAAAATACATACTCTCTAGAACCCACTTCTAATACTCCCCATTTCTTTCTTATCAATTTCATAATACTGTGGGTATTATGAAATTAGTATTTATTCGATCAACATATATATTAAACTGAATTTGTATCTCTGTAGATAAGTTAATACTCTATTACCGTTGTATTTGAAACTGATTAACTTATGCCTACTATAGGCACAATAATTATTAGTCAAATATTACAGATCTAATGAGAAACAAAGTAAATAAAACATTTGCCACGTTAGATTTTTTAAAGAATAATAATGAAGCTGTAACCCCGCCTGTGTGATGGAGGGAGAAGGAACTGTTAGTAATGCGAACTACTAGCCCCATTGCTAGCAATATACCATCTCAGGTCGAACCTCCTGGAAATCATTTTTGAATTCCAGGTGTATTCACCACGGCTAACTAACCTGCCTATTCATTCTCACTTATCATCCATCACTGATGTCCCGCCAGCGTACACAATTAGCGCAGGCAATGCTCCCATTCCATTATCATCTATTAAAAAATCTATCAGTATATGCTAACGGAGAACCAGTGATAATTGGTAAAGAAGAAATCATGGCAATTAACCTATCGTAACAAATACACTAAGAATTGACTACGATGGATGGTTTTCAAGGGGGACAGCGCGGAAGTCGACCTAACAGGGTATAGTAATACAATAATAAGACCGCTAATCTCGTTACTAATGACCCGACTCCCCCCTGCCACATTAGTTACCAATACCCACCTAATAAACATTTTCAAACATATTTGCGAGTACACAGTACTCGTGTTATCTTTGAACTTAGTATTCGGTACAGGAAGCATAAGAATCTGATAGGCAGTATATTTTTGTATACATGCATGTAAACAAGATTAGTAATGACTTTTATATAATAGTGGAGTTTTTAATAGTAGAGTAAATAAATAGATTTTTTTTTAATGGGTGATAATGCAATGCTAACCCCGCCTGCAATATCGGTATACGCTGGCGAGATACCAGAAGGTGTGATAGGTGAGGATGAAAAGGCAGGTCAGTTAGCTCATTGTGAGGAATTCCATTAGAATAAATTACGATAGTTTCTAGGGGGAACCGCGTGGAGATCGACCTGATAGAGTTTATTGATAATAATGGGGAAATTAGACCCATTGATGATTGGGGATTTAGATTACTAACAATCCCTTCCCCCCCCCCCCCCCCAATAAATAGGTTTGTTTTCTGATCATAAAATGCTCTGTTTATATTTTTGTTTTATTTATGTTTATTACGGCATATAAAAAGTTATAATATGCAATATCTAGTGACAAGGGGTGAAAGGGATTGTTAGTAATGCGGACTATCAGTCCCATTGCTAGCAACACACCCTATCAGATCGACTTCCACGTAGTCCCCCTGGAATCCATCATGCTGAATTCCAGGTATATTCATCACGATGGTCTAACTGATCTGACCTTTCATGTCACCTATCATCCCTCACTAGTGCCCTGTAAGTGTATACCGTTAGCGTAGGCGGAGTTACCATTTCATTATCATCCATTGAAAAAAAATATCTAGTGACAAGATATTTGATTCAAGAACAGCAAATCAACTGTATTTATTAATGTTGAAATACTTATACCAGAGGGAGACTTTGTACAAAAATTGTTTGCTTGGGCACCTTTGTACCATTCATGTTTCTACCGTGAAGCAGTTGTGTTTGCATGACTGTATTTCGGTTTGAAGAGTGGGATATGGCAGTAAATTTACAGGGTACAGAGGAATAACACCTGAGTCCTCAGGAACGGCATCGCATGAGGGCTACATCGTGAGCAATACGCATACTCTGTTACGGTTGGATGGTTCATGTCCATGGGCGACGATTAACACTTTCCACTAGGTAGGCCGTCAGCTTGTTTGCCATTCTAAGTTGTATAAAAAAAAATTACTAATACATATTTATATAATGTTCCAGACACGACCCTCGGTCTGCCATGGTACATAAAGGTGTACTGGGTATTATACAACGCAACGGTCCCGATAGCATTATTCATTACAGTTTTCTATTGGATTTTGCTGGCTTCTGGAAGTAAATATAAAAATGCACAATATTTCTTAAAACATTAAAACATCCTCGTAAATACATATGTAACCACTGAAAAGCAATTTCAAACTCCAGCATGATTTAGACGGAGTGATGGCCTCAAAGGCGTTGCTGATATTCAATGGATGCAGGTAGCCAGGATCGCTCCTTCAGCAGTAGATAAACGACTGAAATGATAATGAAATAATAAGTAACTTCACGTTTTTATTATAAAAAAAAATGTATGTTTAGATAGTGGACAGTTAAAGGCTGAAATGCTGACTACATCCATCAAACAAGCAATAAACTAGAATCAAGGTTCCAAAATGTTTGCCAAAGATCTGTCAATTTAACGACAACTGCATACTTTCACAAGTATAACACTAAAGTTATAATATTTGCTTTCAATAAATACTTCAACACTAATTATTTTAGTTATTTAACATCTATAAATGAGAACCAACGAATGCAGTTACAAATTTAAAACAGCTGCAACTAATAATGCCTATTTGGTATGGATACTGATAAAATAAGATTTACTGAACAAGTTAGTGCATCCTTTAACCTGAGATTATTGATAAAATTACATTAAAATCGAGTGTTAAAAGTTCCCTTTAGCCACTTGGCTGAAATTTTGAGATGAGTTTTGATACTCGGCGCTCCATCCAGATCTATATAATGTATACGTATCCAATACCGCAAAATTAATTCTACTTAAAAGTATTTTTTAGCAAAATTCTAATTATAGTTGGTTTCAATACAACTTAATGGAAAGATACCCATATTTTTTTAACATTATCAATGAAAAATCCCCTAAATGAAAATAGTAACAATTATGGGCGGTTATATATCGATATCGCCCATTGAGTTCCTCTGGACATTGACAAGATCATCACTTATTTTGATATCGCCCACACAAGTTGGATGTCTATATTGTTTTGAATCGGATTCTTTATTCCGATATTGTATAACCGAGTAACAAATCAATACACTTAATTAACTCATCGGTTATTTATTTGTACTGCCATTTAGACATTAGCAGACTGTCTTATGGTCAATTATTTTTATGTTATATTGAAACAAACTATAGCTTACTTTTTTACGTTTAATATCAGAATCATATTACCTTTTTCAGTTGATGACTATGCAATGGACCCAGTTCTGGACTTGTTCATCCACGCCATAAACTCTGTGTTGATGCTCATACTGCTGCTGCTGTCCCACCATCCGTCACATATTCTGCATTTCTTCCACCCCATATCATTCACTTTCGTCTACTTAGTGTTTACTATCATATATTATCATGCTGGTGGAACTAATCCGTAAGTGTTAATCTTTAAATAATCAATAGATATAAATCAAACGCTTACGTAAATAGTTTTTAAATTATGCCTTATAACTACGTAGTAAAATCAAAATTGTCTTCGATCATTCTTTATTTACCAAAGGATCAAAACTCTAATCAATTTTAACTATAGAAGTGTTTTGTTTTCTTTTAGCGCTTCTTAATTTAAAAGATAGTGAGAAAACATTTTATTGGTTAAAATACATCTGTATGGGATTTCAATTTTTATAAATAGGATTATTAATTAGTAGCACTTGAGTATGTCATTATAAAGGGAGGCCTATATTCAGCAGTGGACGGATAATAGCTGAGATGATGATGTCACCAATGAAGGAAACCGCACTTTATCATCTCCAAACAATATACGTATTTCAATTATTGTCCTCTTCCCATTTCTTTATTTTCTGAAAATATAAAACTAAATCTTAAATAATAATAATAATTTATATATTCCAGATGGGGAGGCCATTATATCTACCCGCAATTGGACTGGTCTAAACCTGGATCAACAGTTGGGGTGGTATTCGGTTCGGCGTTCACACTGATAATCCTGCATCTTATTGTAGTGCTGCTGTCTGTCTGTAGAGATTGGTTCTCTAAGAGATTTATAAGAAACAATCGGAAGCTCTTCATACATGAATAAAGAAATTTAGTAAAAAAAGTCTGGTAGTGAAGGGCTAATATTTAATTCCTTCGATGTGTGCTCTCTTTTTTGATAATACATTGTGGTTGTTGATACAAGATTGTCTGTATATACTGTAAACTCATAAAATAAATACATAACTACTTATTTAAAAAAAAACAACTTGTATAATAAAAAAAAAACTAAATTAAAACCCAAAATACATTGGTTACTCGACCCGCTTATCAAAATTTCTTAAATTTCCCTAAGGGGTCTTGTCCATCCATCCTAAATTCTCGACAAACATATCATATAGGGACATAAATAACTTTTTTAAAAGCATGAGTATTGTCTTTACAAGAAATAAAAGCCCATCACAGAATAACACTGTGAAAGATGGTACTCGAGCACAGTATTTCTTATTTTTTTTTTTAAATGGATGATAATGGAATGGTAACCCCGCCTGCGCTGACGGTATACGCTGGCGGGGCACCAGTGAGAGATGATAAGTGACAATGAAAAAGCAGGTCTGTTAGCCTATCATGATAAATTCACTTCGAATAGAACACGATAGTTTCTAGGATGGACCGCGAGGAGTTCGGTCTGACCCTGTATTACTAACAATGGGGCAACTAATCCCTATTTTAAAAGAATCCATTATACTCCCCAGTATTTCTTATTCGTTACTTATAAAGACTAATGTCATAATTCTTGAGTTTGAACTATCATTATTTATTCATTTTATTCATTAATATTATAATTCCTTTTATATTAAAACGCCTAGTATTTTACTAATTTCTGTAATAAAACACTATAATACCAAATTGCTCATAACTGAAACTTACTACTTACTGAATAGTAATTTACAAAAACATGTAAATATATCTAAGATATTTAATATATTTCTACGAAATAATCTTTTTTTATACCGACTTAAAACATATAAAATATATCAATCTTAATGTATAAAACTTCCGTGGAACCGCTGAACCAATTTTAATGAAATTTGGTAGTTGCGTATTTTTATAAAAACAATAGCGGCCTCTCCCTGCTAATAAAATTCCCATTTAAACTGACGTTTATAAAATTGTATTTTTTGCGTTCTGGAAATAAATTATGTATCTAATTTGTACTAACATGGAGATTTAATTTCTTCACGTAACAACTAGCACCTATAAAATCCATACTACATTCGAGGAGTCGCACATCCCGATTAGAAAAGATGGACATGGTACCTGGCGATAGGGGCAAAACAATCATTGCCGACTCATTAGTCGTAAATAAAGTCGTCATTTAAAATTTTAACTGTTCCACTCATTTCTGTCACGCATCGGTCTTCCTCATAGCTCGCGTTCCAAACCATAATTCAACATTATACCGCCGCATATCAATATAGATGCCACATGACATATATATGTATTACATAATATAAACAGTATGTGGATGGTATTATTCCTAAAAGAATAATCATAAAGTTATTGAATAGATAAAATCCGGTACAAAGACTTTATAGAAAATATTTAGTACTAGCTAACTACCTCGTTCCGAAATTTTAACTTCATCCATGCATCTTAATAAAATCTATGTATGTATAATTTTTTTAATATTCGAAAATGATATTTCATTCCCTCCTATAATTTTAAAGCATAATGAAGCACTATAGTGAAAGATATAAATATAAGGACGGAGTTAGTTCAGTTGGCGTATATTAATGAATTCGTAAGTGACCATTTTGATTTCCAAAGGGAACCATATAAAGAATCGGTACGTGACGTTACTCCCAACAATAGAAATGGCAACAAATTATTTTTATTAATTGTAACTGAAAGTATAGTAGGACATTTTTTTAAGGCTGGAGATATAATAGTGCCCCCGTCTATATAACGGTAAATAATGGCAGTGCACCAGTGGGTGGGTAATAAAATTATAAGGATAAATTTTGATCAACTGCCCAATCGTGACTAATCTAGGATAACTATCAACCAACCTCAAAATAATAAAATAGCTTCAAAAGTAAATACTTTTCATTAGAACACATGCGGGGCTGCGCGCGTAAATTTATAACGTTGCCATTATTTTAAAAATATAGTTGCCGTTTGTAATTTGTTTAAATTTTTTTAATAAGACTTCTCTTGAAGACTTCACCCCATATGACAAACTCACTAGGAATGTGTGATGGTTTTCGATGGGATCACGTGGAGGTGAAATGGTATATTGCAATAAATGGAAACTGGCGTCACCTTAACTAAAATTTCCTCTAACGCCACATGAGAGGGTAGCTCGAATTTTACAAATTGTATCGATCTTAAATAAAAAAAATCGCAAAAGAACAAGAAACAAAATGTAACTGGTAATTAACTCACTTTGATATTTAAGACATGTTAGTGTCTTTTCAAACTTCTTGTTTGTATATGAAAATGTATCTACGATTTAAAATACGAATACAATAAAAAATATAGGTAGCAATTTATTTATTTTATTTGATACAATAAATACCTATCACACCAAAATTATAGTATCTGAACGTAAATTATAAATTAAAATTATTATATAATTAGGAATAGAGTCTTGTACCTTCCTGCCTCACCCTGAAACAGTTCAAGATTATATTTGGCAACACAACTCAAGATAAACAAGGTGAGTCAATCCGATAACAGCCATCAATGTTCGTAATATTGGACGATAAAGATTTCAGGTGTATTTAAACTATAATTGAAGTAAAATGAGTGTTGTGAAAAGATATTTCAAAGATCAAATGCAATGGAGGAATTTAGGGCTAGAATATTCCGAGCCGGCGACCTTCTACCTCAGCGTTTGGCAAACGACCCGGTCATCGGTGCCGCTCTTGATATTCCGTGGAATACTTTTCCTAACCTCACTTGGGATTGTACTATCTTCAATAATCATATACTCACTTAACGGTATATGCGGATATTGGTTTATTTATTTAACGCATTGGGGACTAACAGCAAATCTACTAGCGACAGGATTTGCTACAGTGGTGTCCGCGCGGTGCTATTTCTATGGACCTATAAGTAAGTTTATTAAAATTATTGTTTTGTTCGCCTTCTTTAGACTTTTTCCTTTTTGTTCTACCTGAATGTTAAATTTAATTTTTATATTTAAATTATGTTAAAAAGCTAATTATACAAGCATGTATCATAGTCTCTAATCTATTAATGTTATGATAATAGGCATACCTACCTTTATTTTGACAGATAAAAAATATTTACATTGTAAAGTTTGCAGTTAATAAAGTAATACCTACATACTTCTATACCGAATTAGCTGTTTACATTATATTCCATTTTTGTGAAAATTTCGAACATCTTTTTTACGTACCTCATACCGCGAATAATAAATTATTTATTTATTTATTTATTTATTTATTATAAGTTACAACAACAGTTTGCAAACAGAAATGAACCATTAAAAAAACCAAAACAATACAAAAATTTATCAATACGCAGTTTGCCAACCTTACATTGTAAACATCATTTAACACTAAGTTATAAGTAAACGTTATACATTTTTATAGATATACATTATATTACTGATTACAATTATGAACTTATTCTATGCAAAAAAAAAAAAAAAAATCTAAACTTATTCCATCTCAAAACCATACAATGACCTCTTAAACCCAATAGTACTCTGATGAAAGATATCGATTTTTCCGCTAATTTTATTATACAATTGACACATTCGATGAATGGGATTATTATGTGAGACATTATTATTGGTGGATGGAATACTGAATAGCCGAGGATGTCTGAAAGAATGCTTACACGCAATCAAGTTCAGAGAAGCTGTTAATGATTCATTCAACAATCCATTTGCAATCCTAGAAAGCAAGCACAGATCACCAATTCTACGCCTCGTTTCCAAAGTTAAGAATCCAAAATACTTCATACGTTCCTCATAATCACGTAAATTTTGTTTTAAATGAAATTTCCTTGTAATGTAACGAAGGAAACCAGCTTGTACTGATTCGATTCTATTTATATCTACTTTATATATAGGAGACCAAACTGATGCACAATATTCTAAATTACTCTGAACGAGAGTTTTATATAATATAATAAAAGTGTTCGGCTTTTTAAATGGTTTAGTTGTACGAATTACAAATCCAAGCATTTTTTTAGCTTTATTTACAATAGAATCATAATGCAACTTAAATGACAATGTATTATCAAACCAAACTCCGAGGTCCCTTACTAATTTAGTATGTTTAAGTTTTATATCTTTAATGGTATAATAGTATGATATTGCGTGTTTATTTTTAGTAAATGTAATGTATTGACATTTGTCAATATTAAGAGTCATTAAGTTGTTTTTACACCAATCATCGACAATATCCAAATTATTCTGTAGCTTTTTACAGTCTTTCAAATCACAAATAGTTGAGAACAATTTAATGTCATCTGCGTAAGCCAGACACTGACAAGTAATGGTTTGAAGTAGATCATTAATAAAAAGCAAAAAGAGTAAGGGACCTAGATTCGATCCTTGTGGAACTCCGGATGTCGGTACAAATGGGACAGAATCATAACCATACAGTGCAACCAGTTGAGTTCGGTTCATTAAGTAGGATCTAAGCCAACGATGTAAATTGCCATGAATACCCAAATGTTGAGCCTTTACAAGAAGTATCTCATGATTAACGCGATCAAATGCCTTAGCAAAATCAATATAAATAGCATCCACCTGAGTCTTACTGTCAAAAGCCTTGCACAAATAATTAATATATGTTAACAGATTTGTATTTGTAGATTTTCCATTAGTAAAACCATGTTGTTTTTCACTTAATATGTGTTTTAGATGATTGTATAACTGATCATATACCAAAGATTCGAAGGCTTTACTAAACTGACTCAAATTACAAATGGGGCGGTAATTGCATATTTCAGTTTTATTACCCGACTTGTAAATAGGGGTTACCTTAGCTATTTTCCATAAGTCTGGGAAAATTCCTTCTTCCAGCGATTTATTAAATACAATAGTCAATGGTATAGATAATGCAGATGCACAGTAACGGACAAACACCGGAGGTATCCCATCGGGACCAGCACCCTTATTTATATTTATCTTTTTTATATGAGACAAGACTTCTTCTTTAGTAAATTTTAATGTAGTAAAATTATAATTTGATGGTGCAAATGTTGGAGTATAGTTAATGCATGTAGCATTGCTATATGTAGTATCAAAATATTCAGCGAAAAGATTCGCTACATCAGATCCTGTGCTTGCGGTTCGATCTCCATAAGTGACCATTTTAGGTACATCATTTGTTATTCTTTTACTTTTAGTATAAGACCAGAAGGCTTTAATATTTTTATTTAAATCAGTCTCTATTCTAGATATATATAATTTAAAACATTTATTTAGTGAATTTTTATTACGTGCTCTAAGCATTGAATAAGTATCGTAATCTCTAGGATTTGAATAAAGTTTAAACCTGCGATGGTATTTATTTTGCTCTTTTAGTGCCTTAATGAGTGATTTAGAATACCAAACCGGAAAACGTGAAACTTTCGGTGTCGCTATTGGAGTATGCCTATAAATAATATCCCAAATGTTATTATATAAGAACTGTACGAAATCATTACAATTCATTTGATTTTCATACAACTCCCAATCAACTTTGTTTAGATCTAAAATGCATTTTTCATAATCGGTCTTACGAAAATTAAGCTTAATTTGTGGAGATTCTTCCTTAAGAACAGACGGTATACCTACTGGGACAAATAATTCTAAAGGTGGATGATATGTGTCTATGACACTTAGAGGAACTGCTGTAATAATATTAGAATTCGATGCAAAGTTAGTCAATATAAGATCCAGTATATTATTCGAGCTATTAGTTACATCATTCAATTGCAGAAAATTAAATTTATACCTACCGACTTGCGAAATAATATGACTGTTAAAAATATCAAATTTAAACTAACACCATATTTTCTGTCCAACCTTAATAAAATAATGGAATAGTAATGTCAGTACTTACTATTTAAACAAAATGTAAAGTACCACACACAAGCCCAAGAAGTTTAAGTGGTACTAAAAATGCTTTATTTTTTGTATGTATTTGCATACTAGTTAAATAAATAATAATATATTCGAAATTCTAATCGTAGTAGTTTGGACTGTACGTTATTAGAACAATCAGTCAGTCAGGACAAGTCTTTAAAAATTCTATATATTCTATATTTATTAAATATTTAAGTTACTGAGCGTTACATATCACATCCTTTTTATATTTACATTTATTTAGCATACATTTCTTGTTTGGAGACTATACATTTTTTATTACTACTTACGGACTACCTTTATTTTTACAGGCACTAAATATCGCATTCCTTGGTATTTGAAGACCTACTGGGTAGTGTACAATGTGGCAACTCCTGTAGCGTTCCTCATCACAATTTTCTACTGGAGTGTCCTCTATGAAGGTGTGTTAATATTATAAATGTAAAAAATGTTTTTATGTTTGTTACGCTTAAACGGCTGAACGCATTCGAATTAAATTGGTATACGGGTAGATTATATGTGGACTTAACACTTAGAAATGCACTATATATAACCAGGCACGCTGTCACAGTCAGTTTTTTTATATATATTAAATTTTAATATAAGTGTAAGCAGTGTGACCATTTGTGTTAGATTCCTACAATTTTGGCATATTTCGCTCCTAAATTTTGTCTGTGGCAAATCATACTGAGGATTTACAAAAGTGTCAGATTATGGCAGGTTTAAGGATTCCAAGAAAATGAAGTGTGGCAAATTTTGGTAGATTCGTTGCCCAGTCTGTAGCAAATTCGCTATTAATGAGATAGTCACACTAATGATATGATTGAAATTGAAATCGAAATTATTATCATCCTTTTAAGGTCTGCCAATGTAACAGAATATTTGTTCATTTAAAAAAGAATGGATCGAAAATTGTCAAAAATATTTAGCCTAGCATTTTATTTCACTATGTATACTTTTTATTTTATTATGAGTTTATATTTAATACATAACGCCACCATTCTGTGCTGGGCTGGGACGGTAAAAACAGCTCTGCACACAGACAAAACCTTATTTTTATATATCGATGAGGAGTGAATGAAACGAAGCCTACATAATTGTGCTTACTAGAAAAAAATACCAATAACACATTTAACTAAGAAATTCTGTAGAAAATTAGAAAGGGTTTTTGAAAATTAATCCTCTAAAGTTATTTAAACAGAGTAGGTATATGTTTTAGTCCATAAGCAATGTACAGACACACTGTACTTCATTTTTTGACCCTATAAAAGATAATTACATTTTTCTGAATACGCAGCTGGCATAGAAGAAGAATTGAACCATGGCTTGGATGTCGCCGTCCACGGTCTGAATACTATAGTGATGTTTCTGCTACTGATCACGTGTTCGCAGCCCAGCTTCCTACTTCACTTGTACCAGCCTTTACTGTTCGCCCTGACATACTTTTTCTTCACTCTCATCTACTATTTAGCTAGAGGTGTCGACAAGTAAGTAGAACTAGTCGTAAATCAATTTAAATTTTATTTCATGACTTTGCCCACACAAATAAATTAAATAAATATCTTTTTTATTAATACAACACAGTACCTATAACGTAATCTAGACGCGATCTCTACTAAATAAAGAATTAGTCATAATTTTTTAGGTAATTTTAATTGTCTGTGTAATAAAATAGATGTAAACAAAACAAAAAACATACAGAAAAATTATCATACTATATTATATTCAAAAGTAATAAACAGGTTCTCGTTGAGTCACGAAATTACGAATATTTTAGGGTCTGTCATTGTTACTATCGTGTCAAAGCATTTTTTATTAACTTTTTTACTCATCTACGACTTTAAAAAGGAAGAATTATGTTTCTTAATGTTTTTTTTTTTTCATATTAGGCCTACATATGTCGAATAACATAACTAGGAATTTAAATACATATTATACCTATCAATTGTTTTAATAATGGAACGATTTCAATAATTGTTTATAGCTAACAATGGCATTGTCAGAACACGACGATTAAACACGAATTAGCTATAGACACAGATAATATATAGCTATAGATATCCCAAGCACATGTCTTCGTTTATAAACTTCCTTTTTTTTATGCAACTTAGAATAGCAAACAAGCTGACGGTCCACCTAAAAAAAGTGGTAACCGTCGTCTATAGACATGAGCAGTACAATGGACACAACAGAGTATACAGTTTCGCCCATGATACCTCGCATGCGTTGCCATTCCTGAAGACTCGGGTGTTATTCCTCTGTGCCCTAAAAATTCATTACCATATCCCACCCTTCAAACCAAATAATATTCCTGTACGATAATGTTAAATAATCTTACGATAATATAATAAATTAGAAGATCTCATAATTATTCTACACAAATGTTGCAATTTTCTTTTTAAGAAATATCAAAAAAGAGGTTTATTTGTGATTTTTTTTAATTTTACAGCAAAGGAAATCGATACATCTACCCAGTATTAAACTGGCAGAACCCTGGCATAACGATAGCTGTAGGTTCATTGACTGGTGTCCTGCTGGTCACGCTGTACTTCGTGATGGTAGGCATGGCAGCGGCGAGGGATGCCATCGCCACGCGCGTCATCCAATCTTCTGTCAAAGTGTACGCCCGAGAAGAAGTGCCTCTGTCACAACCAGTACAAACAGCAGTATAAATTTTCTACTAATTAATAAACATAAATTATAATTATTTAATTGTATTCAAAAATTTTCACAGGGTGGTTTTAATGTAAGATATAAATAAGCGTATAAGTAAATTGGTTATATAAAGCCTTGATTGATTTAAAACAGTAGCTCAAAAATGTGTATACTCAATGGTTTTGTATTTATTTATATTAATAATTATTATTATATTCATTAAAAATATATATTATATGTTATTATTAATAATTAGGAAATTCCCTTCATTTTAGAGGGATAGTTTTTAGTTATTTATTTTTTTTAAATGATATAATAGATTTGAGAGAATGCAGTAATGTCTACTATGTTGCACTGATCGGACACTAGTAAAAGAATGCCAACGGTTTCGATTTCATCCTATTTATTCGGGTTATTCGATATAGCATCATTGTTATGCACCCTTGACAGTATCTACAATGTGTAAGGCGCCAGCGCTGCGCCAAATCTATAACAATTTGCATGGCATATTTTCTTTTATCAGTTTATGCCTAATGAAATGACTAACAAATAATTGATGAACGACATTAAATACACTACCTTGTGTAAAAGAAATCTCTGAGGTTCAATTCGTGGACAAGGCCATGTAGGACTGAATCTATCCTGCTTGGGAACTAGATAATAGCGGCAGATGTTCGTTGCCTGATTTTCCAACAGCTCCAGATCCTCAAGGATTATATTAGTGAGATAAAGTGGCACTAACAATTTGTAAATAAGAGAGCATAAATACCTAATAAGTATTAGTATAAAGTGGCAATAAAACTGGCCCCATAGGACATAAGTGATAATATAATTTATTTCATTAGTTTACAATATAGTTTTTAATTTTTAAATTACTTTGTTTAATTTTTTTACCACGAAATATCTAGCTAATCGTTTCTTGAGTGCTCCCTAAATTAAATCCTGATTGCGCTCTTGTACATAAGTAAATTAATGGTAAATAGTGTTAATCTAAGAATAATATTATTCATTCTAATACCAGCAATCTATTACTAATTTGCCATGTAAGGGACAAGGGGATTGTTAGTAACGGAGATTGAGAGTCCCATTGCTAGCAATATACCCAACCAGGTCGACCTCCTCGCGGTTCTCTCTGGAAACTATCATGGTTAATTCCTGATGAATTCATCATGATGGGCTAACTGGCCTGTTTTCATTCTCATCTATCACCCTTTACTGGTGCTCCGCCAGCGTATCCCGTTAGCGCAGGCGGGGTTACCATACCATTTACACCCATAAAAAAAATTGCCATGTAATTATTTCTTATACTATTTAGAATATTTAAAAGGCGACTTAACTTAGGCAAGGTTAATTATGGTTTTTTATTTATTATTTAAGCCATTAACTGTCCACTGCTGAAAATAAGCCTTCTCCATAAGTGGAGTCTTGCCAGTAGTTGCCACGCTCGGCGGGTTGGCAACCACAGTTAAGCTTTTGATATGTTGTAAAAAAAACGCTGCTGCCCATCTCTCGCCCTCCCTTAGTCGCCTCTTATGACACTCAAGGGAAAGGAAGGGGTGACCCATTCTATGCTGAGGCACACACAGCCAATAATGGATTATCATACAAAATTACATCCCATTGTTTTAAATTTAAGAAAAAAACGTACTTTCCTATTTTAGAAGAAGAAAGTAACAACAACATGGGTACATGTAGTATAAAATAGTAATCACATCACCAGTATAATCAAGTTCTATCAATAAGACACAACAAAAACAGTACATTGTCTTAATTCTTTTTTTTTCATTGCGAAATTTGTTTTATGTAGAAAAGCTATACTTAATAATTCTATAAATTTGACTCTACTCACAACTAAATTAACAAGAACATCGGATCACTAGTTGTCTAATACCTAATAAGGGACTTTTAATCAAATGCGAAAAAAAATAAATCACAAGAATGCCGTAGACCTTCCAACTGCAAACAGCAGAGGTTGAGAACCTGTTTACACTATCTTTGTGTTGCTATTTATATTTTTTGCCTCTAGTCACCTACAGGAGATAATGTTTTATACTTTTAACACGTGTAGATAAAGGTACCGTATTAATTTAATACCTTATCTATTTTTTTCATAAATCAGCGTGTTTAGATCTAAAAAGTAAAATCGCAGGCCAGACAGTTCTACAGTTCTAACATAATATATTATGTGGTTATTTCAAGTGTTGTCCTTGTTTATACATATGTGCAAATGTAACTACCACTTTCTAAAATATGAAATATTTTTATGAGATTTAAAATTGCAAACAAGCTCTCAGCCTGCCTGACGGAAAATAGCCATAACCATAATCGCCTATGGACATAAGCAGCACCAGATATCAACTCGTCGTATATCTCTACATTTTAAGTATTTACGAGTAGCTACCTATATCCTAAAAATGTATTTAAATGTCAAAAAAAATATATAATCTATACGCAAGTAAGTAATGATCCGATAGATGTAAATTACGCAAGTTTTATTGTAATAATACATTTTATAAATAAATCGACTAGTTAGTAATTTAAATGATACCTAGTTAGTGAAAGTTCCAAAAGGCCAGGTTAATCCATTCGTCCATCCAAAACGTTAATAGGTTGCATCATAAATTTTAACCACGGAGTGGCATTGATAATTATATAATTTCAACGCAATGGTTTAACCTTAAAATAAGGTTTTAAAAAAGTCCTTTGTCATTGTTTTACTAACAAATTGCCATTTGTTGTATCAATGAGCAATCGTAGTAAAATAAGATAAAATGTTTTATTAAAAGATTAATTAATTGAACATTTAATTATTTTCTTACTCCTATTATCAATTCCGTGTTCGTACTTTGTAAGCGAGTTTTGTAATATATTTGTCCTCCTACACGTAAGTACCTACCAATTGCATTATGTTTTATTATTATACTTTCATATGCAGAACGTTGATGTAGGTATGACGATGTTGAAATAGTAAAACATACCTGTACAAATTTCTAAAAAATTTTATCAAACAATAAAACCAAGGTAATATATAAAATAATTGATATTATTATACATATCTATATATAATTTATATGACAACTATAACGATCGACCTTGATTTTGATAACTAGTAAACTAAATCGGTAGATTTAATAATCCCTAAAAAATTTGTACTCATTCTTAACAATAAAGTGTTACTAACAAACAAACAAACAAGATTCACTAACCAGAAATCAGACTTCTACCTAGATAGAAACCTAGACTCTACCTCTGAATCTCAACAAGTAATATCTCTTTCAAAATTAATAAAATAAAGTTATTTAAAAATATTTATATAGTATATTTCCAAAAACTCCTTACGAGGTATACGGAAGGACTAAATGCTAAAGATTGTGTTATAGAAAAATAAATTATTGTATAATCAGTTTATGCAATTTTGTATCCACACAAAGATACCAAAATCGTAAAATAAACAGAATCAAGTTTTAAATTTAAAGTGGGCTTGTTACGGTCGTTACGCAAGATGCAGTTGCGCGCGAGCCCTGGCTGGCCCGGCTCGCGGCGCGGCGCGCGGCAACCCAGCACCGCTCGCATTCAACATCGACGCGTTAGCGCCGCCACGCCGCTGCGTGCGCCACCGCACTTCTCAATTTCCTCACTTTTAGGGAAAAAGTATTTCTAACTAATATCAAGAACACTTAACATTTTTTGTAGATAATTTCACATCATATTTAAATTCTTTTTCCCAAATATAGCATAGTTAAAAACAATTATTACATACTTACTGATTATTTCCCTATTTGCCAAACACCTGTGGTACTTCCCTACCTTATTATCCGTTTATTGATGTCAATATATAGGATTACGCGGCGATAATAATGGCTTATCGATAGCGATTCCTAAACCTGCTCTCTCTGCGACATCTCGTCATTCATCCGCGCTGTGTTGCGAAAGAATATTATCTAAAAATTCAAACTTATCGGTCACTCCCAAACCTTTGATGTATTGTGTATTTATTTTCCGAACAACGCGTGTGAAATAAGTGATTATTTTTCAATAAAATGGTGAAATGTTATAGGAAATCTGTGTCATTGTCGGATGTATGGGTATCGTCAAACGACAAACTAAGTGATTTTTACGCGTCGTCATGGCAACGAGGAGAGTCTCCAATACCACTGTTGGTGGTAAGGATGCTGCTAACTGCGCTGGCACTGGGCATCCTGGTGTTTTCTTTGGTGGAGGGCGCTTCACCGTACTGGCTCATCTACCTCACCAACTGGGGATTACTTCTAATCACCATGATGATGGTCAGTGGACTTCTCGTCTCATGTGTTGCCGTGTGTAAAGCCAATTTTGGTAAGGTTTGATCATTAATTTTATCACTAAACTAATCATAAAAATATATTTTTAAATATATATAGATATTTTCATAATTTCTTGCAAATGTATTAAATACCTGTTATATACTAATACCGAATATGCGAAAAGCAATTTATTCGTAAGTATACATATTCGAAATACGCCCAAGCGTTAATAGGTGTCTATTAAGTAATGAATGAAATCGTTCATGTTACGTTAGGTAATAATCATATTAACTTCCTGTTAGTTTTTCTCAAAATAATTATCAATTTTGCAAACAAAAGAATTACTTGTCAGTTACTATCTACTTTATTTACTACCTACTTCATTATGTAAATTCTAAATCATAAATAGAATTAATCAACAAATGCCACTAACATCAGACATTGTTATTGTCAGCACATTAATTTATTTTTTATTTTCAACATTATTCCAAATTTTCAAGCACAAAATTCAAAGACAGGAAGTGGATACATTTATCTATTATCTTTCATATTATAATGATATTGGGTCAATTATATTTAAAACTATTCCATATCTACAGTGGTAGGAGTTTCTGAAATAGCATTGTGTTGTGACATTCGATAGTAGAGAACCCTAAAAATCATGCCTATAACGCAGGGGTGGCCGATTTGACTAGACCCGAGAACTACTGTTTACTGACGAAGCCCTGTGGGATCTACCAATTACATACTACTTGAATTTTTTTTTTATACAACTTAGAATGGCAAACAAGCTAACGGTCCACCTGATGGAAAGTGGTAACCGTCTCCTATAGACATGAGCAGTACCATGGACATAACAGAGTATACTATTCCACCCATGATACCCCCCATGCGTTGCCATTCCTGAGGACTCAGGTGTTATTCCTCTGTACCCAGTAAATTCACGCCATATCCCACCCTTCAAACCGAAACACAGCCATGCAAACACAGCTGCTTCGCGGTTGAAACACGAATGGGACAGAGGTACCCAAGCAATCGATTTTTGTACAAAGTCTCCCTCTGGTAAAATGAAAGAACATAATTCAGTACACAATTATATAATATTGTAGACTACAATTTACTTATTTATTAAACATAAAACTGAAAATCATTCTTAGTAACTGCTTATTTATATTAGTGTGAGCATTGCGTCTGAGCATCTTCAACTAGATTAGCAAAATATTATATTTCTTGCCTTGTCACGATCGAATGGACTAATAGTTGTGATCGATTGGTCGATCGCGATCGATATTGCTATAATGGTTAATCCTTACTAAGTAAATGTAAAAGTGAGTTTATTTTTATCCGTTTCTTTGTTACCTCTTGTTGCCTTAACGGCTCGACCAATCGTCATGAAATATAGTTTAGATACTCCACACATAGTATTTGGATTGTTGAAGAACACTTATAACGGCCAACCAATATATTCCAAACACGTGGACGTTGCAAATAAAAACTAATATTATTATATATAACAGACCTAATTTAAAATCTAAGAATTTAATTATTGACTATTCGTATTTTTTTATTTTTTTATTTGAATATCGTTTTTCATTCTATCTTGTATTCAAATACGTATCTGTAGGTATAGTATATAACAATGGAGTGTATTTTACGAGTGTATAGAGCATTGTAAAGTAAGACAACAATGATTAACAAGATATGATATTTATATTATCAATTACTGTCGTTTAAAATACACAGTCACGATAACTAACTAGTTAGCAATTATGTTAACTATGTCAATTTCTTTTTTCATCATTAACAATGTCTCTTATTCTCTAATATGAATGCAAATGCGACTAAAACTAAAATAAGTACTGAACATTGAATTCTCAAACTCGTATTACACGACGAAATGAAGCACCAAAGTGATCAAAGCTTGTAACAATTGGTAAGATATAATAGCTACTTACATATAAAACTTATACATATATATATATGTATAACTTATATATATATATATATATATATATATATATATATATATATATATATATATATATATATATATATATATATATAACCTGTCCAACTTCTTTACTGAACAAGTTACATACAAATTTTCAAATCCTGTGTTACCCTTTTAGGTGTTGAATTTTCAAAATTCCTTTAATTTCGTTCCCCTGTACCGTCCCTTGCTGTTCTGTTAAGAATCTATTTGCACAATTTCAAGATTATAGATTTCTTTTATACAACTTACAAGCCGACGGCCCACCTTTTTTTTACCAAACAAGCTGACGGAATGTGGATGGTGGTAAGTGGTAACTGTCGCCTATAGACATGAGCAGTACCATGGACATAACAAAGTATACTGTTTTGCCCATGATACCCCCCATGCGTTGCCATTCCTGAGGACTCAGGTGTTATTCAAACACAACTGCTTCACGATAGAAACACGAATGGGACAGAGGTACCCAAGTAATCGACTTTTGTACAGTCTCCCTCTGGTAACCTATACGATAATATATGGGTCAGTCAGTCACTGAGCATCCTCTTTTATATATAATATTATACGTATATATAGATTACCTAAATATGCTCGTATTCTGGATTAAAGAGACCAATGTAATTTTTTTAATGATTTTTACAGTAGTTTTTGGCAAATCTCATAGACAATAATAAATAATACATAATATTAAAAATAACAAAGTTGAATTGTCAGGCTCTCTGCCGATTGCTGTTCTCTTGTAAGACATCACAAAATGTCTTAACATCTAACATACCCTATGCAGGAAACTACGAGCATTATATGTTTTAGTAATATGCAATAAACATATTAAATACTGAATACATTTGACTAGTATTGCCATTGTAACAAACGTGACTATTGAAATGTACATATTTATATAATAAATTTATTAATAATAAATTGCATATAAACGTTACATATCTTTTATTAATTATATAATGCTATAAGTTGTCAGTTTCCTTAACATAATCTTAGCGAGGTACTCTATGGCCATTACGTCCCTTACTATGCAATATTCTGTGGCAACTTCACGTCGAATTGCGAGATATCAAGCCGGCCGAGTCGCTCGTGGCCCACATGCGTGTAATGGTTTGACATTGTGACGTAACTCTATGATGCATACTGATTCTCCGCGTTGACCAGTGACATTCTTAGTATTGTAACCGCTTGCCATAAGACGGGCCGTATATAAAACGGACTATCATTTTTTAATGTAACTTAGAATGGCAAACAAGCTGACGTCTCACCTAATGGAAAATAGTAACCGTCACCTATAGACATGAGCAGTACCATGGACATAACAAAGTATACTGTGAGTATACATCAAGAATGCTAACGCATGGGGGGCATCATGAGCGCATGATGCCCCCCATGCGTTACCATTTCTGAGAACTCAGGTGTTATTCCTCTGTACTCTGTAAATTCACTGCCATATCCCACCTTTCAAACCGAAACACAGCCACGTAAACACAATCGCTTCACGGTAGAAACACGAATGCGAAAGAGGTGCTCAAGTAAACGACTTTTGTACAAAGTTTCCTTCTGGTAAAGATACCTATTTGTAAAACAAATTTAAACTTAGTCACGATGATTAGATTCATAAGTTTAAATTTCGAAAAACATTAACTTTTCATTAAGGAACTAAAAAAAAAACATTTTATATTATACCATCTTTTATACAATTACCTTCTAAGCTTTCTTAAAAATTCAAAAGCAATATATCCAGTACCAGGCAATATCTAAGGGAGATGCCGAAATACAATAGAAGCGCTGAGATGTAAGAAAAACAATATAGGTAAATAAAGTATCACATTTTTTGTCATCAATCAGTAGATCCACCGGGTACCGTCATCACTTTAAAAGTTGGCCTTTTTTTGTCGTCGTCTTGCTCAGGGACGACAAATACCTAAACTAAGGCCGTCCTTATAGATACCTCCAAAATCTTTCAACAAGAAGAAGGCAAATCACTACTCCCAGAAATAGGAAATAGGAGAGAAAAAGATTATTAGTAATAGGGATCTAACAGCCCGGTTGCTAGCAATATACCCTATCAAGACCTCCACGCGAATCCCCCAGGAAACTATCTCAGTTAATTTTTATGGTATTTGTCACGCTGGACCAAGTGGCCTACTTCCATCCTTACCCATCATTCCTCATTGATGTTTCGTCAACGTATACCAATAATACAAGCGGGTTTACTATTCCATTATCATCCATAAAAAACCTTCCAACAATACTCAGAATACAAGCATATTCAGATAAACTTAAAGAAGTTGAAAATGAGCATTCTCTCGCTTGATCTAACACCCACCTTTTGACTATTTCATAATTGTTCAAATTCTCTATTTTTTCAGAGACAAAGGAATTGCCGTGGTACGTCAGTACCTATTGGTTTCTATACAATATTGTCGTCACAAATGCATTTATGATCACTGCCTTGTATTGGATCTTGCTCTATGAACCAGGTGATTTAAAAGTTTCATTTTTAAAATGGTTAACATCAAAATGTAGCAACATCGGAATTGTCTGTCAATTTATTTTGAAAACCAATTAAAGTATTTTTCACATTTAAAAATGGTTTGATAAGTTGCACTAAATATATCACTAAAACTTTTCCATACATTTAAAATTTCAGAAGCAATGTATGCCTCTGAAATTTTTAAATACTTTATTGCATCAAAAATATTGGCATTTAGTATTATTTTCCATGGCTGGGGGTTGCTTGACCCCATAAAAAGTATCTGCGAACCTTCACTCGCGTCCTGGAGTGGGCACCAGCGGATTCTGGTATGGTCACGGAATCCCTATAATAGCCTATAATCAAAAACTAAAATTTCAGTGGTAGCTAATATATATGATTTTGCTTGATTAATTTTGCGTATTTATTCACTATCATAGCACTTTTTAAATACATTATCAATATATTATAATTTATATACTCAAGGTATATTTAAATTTACTTGTTTTAGAAAAATTACATTTAATCCCGATGTTGTCATACTTTTGCAAGTAATTAATAATTCCCTTAAATCATTTTTAATCAGTTACCAACCAACCAATTACCTCACTTAATGTTTTCCTTTGTACTTTGTAGGTAGTTATGAAGAAGGGGGCCGTCGTCTGTTGTGGCTGGACATATCGACGCATGCGATGAACTCCTGTATAGCACTGATCGAAGTATTGGCTTCTAGGACACCAGTGCGTTTTTTACATTTCTACCAGCCGTTAAGCGTGGGAGCCTGGTACGCAGCGTTCTCCGGTATCTACTATTCAGCAGGTGGCACCGACAGGTAACTAACTAATAAATACATGAGTATTTTACATTGGGGGGAAAAGGGATTGTTAGTAATGGGGTCTAACTGACCCATTGTCAGCAATATGCCCATCAGGTGAACCTCCACGTGGTTCTCTCTGGAAACCATCATGGTTAATTCTAGTGGAATTCGTCGCAATGGGCTAACTAACCTGCTTTTATCGTCACCTGTCATCCCTCACTGATGTCCCGCCAGCGTATAGCGGGTTTACCATTCATTTCATATTTTTATTTATTTAATTAATTATTTCTTTACAAAGAAAGGCCAGCATTTGGACGGATTTTATTAATATGAGAAGAACTGGACCTCAAAAGAATAAATCTAATGTCTATATCGCGTGACACATTAATGTGCTTAGAATACTTGCAACATTAATAAGATGTCATTGTCAAAGGCGAAAAAATATTACGTTTTTCCGCAATGAAATAACTAGATCAGACCTGTGACAAATAGGTATTTATTATGCATGTATATTATATGCATATGCTGTAAAAGTAGCTTGATAGTCCTTTCTAGCATACTTTAAGAACAACTAAATAATGATAATGTTTATTCGAAACAGAATCCGTAACTGTAACGTGTTAGTAGAGATTATAATGTCTCTATATGTACGTCTAGCTATTCTGGGCCCATAACATTATATTGAATATTAAAAACTCTAGACTACTCTGGAATAGAAAGAGTTTCTATGAATATTGTTTATCAGTAAACAGACTATCAATAATAATTGTGATGTTAGTTACCTTAGCAACCACAATAGAGCTAACTGAGTTAATCACATTTGTCAACATGTGATAAATAGCTAATCACACTCATACATAAGTAATGATACCAGGAAATAAATAACCATAATAATGAGACTATAATATCAATATACGAATGATTTCTATTCTGATAATTCCTAATTGGGTACATATATTAGATGTTTACCTACATTTTAGTATTCCGTAAAACCCTGTCAACGATGTTTTTTTTTACCTTTCTACCATAGGCCTGTAACTTAAAAATAAACTGTCAAGGATTTGAAATTAGAATTTAAAAATGAAACAAAGACAAGTATTGCGCAAGCGAGAATTTCTTAATCGTCATAATAAAATAAAAACAAACAAGTTCTCACCGACGTTAAAATTTGGAAATTTTAAACTCGCAGACTAAAACTTCTTTTTGTAAGCAGTATGTAAGTATAGGTGATACTTACCTACAAAACAAAGAAAGGGCAAACCCCTTGTCTAAAACCGATGAAATTAAAATCATCTAAGTAAACACTGTTGATAAACTTGTTCGAATGACAATGCTTAGTTTTCCATCTCCACTTTTGATTCCAAAGAGAAATTTAACAATACATTAAACACATAATCAATAATAGCCTATCATAGAAACATCTCTGGCTCTATTACACTCGTGAGCATAGATGTTTAATAATACTCGTATAATCCCACAGACCTTTGAAAGAAATGTTGCTGATTTTAGAATTCACGTCCATTAGTCGACCAATCTTAGGAGATTGGTACAGTCAATAGGCTGTCTATCAATAAACAAACAGAGGCAGATATTACATCACCCTATACACATCATAGTAGATTATCAAATTGGTTTATAGAAAAATCTATTATAGTGAATAATCAAAATATTAATCTAAATACACTAGATATACAATGCACGTGATTGCTTCCTAGAGGCTACCGAAACAACCTTCTTACTTTGTTACCTACATTGTCAGTACGGACTAACAATGTAATAACAAACTAAGAATGGTCTTTGTTAAATAACAGTTTTGTCTTATCTTTAACGATCACTTTAGAAAATATAGCGTTATTTTTTTTATTTTTTTTCAATACCTGATAAGATGCAAAGTGTCTTCCAAGAACCCCTTATGATCATTTTAACTATCGCCAGTAAATGCTGGAGGCGTTCGTTGGTTTAGAGTATCTATAGGTACCAACCTATCCAGCACGAATCAGAAAAACAAATACAATGGATATATTTTATATTGAACAGTATGAATGTTACTCTTGTATAAAGACGTCGAACGACGATTACGATACCACTTTCCATCAAATAGGCTACTGTTGGATCGTTTACTAATTACAGTAGCAAAAAACAAGAATTTATCATACAAAACATATTCTATTCCTTTGTATTAAAGACGGTATGAGCGGAGGTAAACGCAACTCATCCAAGGACTAATGCAGTCCGCGTGAGTATCTGCTGTTTTTTATTAGGTTAGCTATTTCTTAAACGCTTAAGTTGGTATGCACAAAGTATGCACCTAATTAAATTTAAACACATTCGTTTAGTTAGATACATTCTATATAACTTAAAAATATTTATCAGTATAGGTAGGTGTCTACTACTTTTAATAAAACAAATTAAGGAATATGTATTGAAATTTTAAAAATCACGTTAAATACCTAATTACTTTGTAAAAAGCTAGCGTCTTTTATTTTCATAGCCATTTACTATTTCACTAATGGCAACCAATTAGAAACAACTCTGCTTCGCCTGTGTTTATCCTGTTAATTTGTATATGAGAATTCCCATGTCGAACAATATAACCCATAGGTATGTATATTTACAGACTCGTTGTCCTTGAGGATAACGAAGCTTAATCACTACATACATAGTATAAAACAAAGTCGCTTCCCGTCTATCTGCCCCTATGTATGCTTAGATCTTTAAAACTACACAACGAAATTTGATGCGTTTTTTTTATAGATACGAGTGATTCAAGAGGAAGGTTTGTATGTATAATACATGCATAATATAGTAGAGAAACACTGATAATTTTAGAGGTCTCCAATGTGATATGATGTAATGTGCACCCGTGCGAAGCCGGGGCGGGTAGTTAGTGTATAGTAGTGGCTAGTATAGTATAATTATATGTAGTATAGGTAATAAGGCTTCATTATATAGATAAAGACTATATTTGATATAATATTCTCATTTAGAAATAACAGAATAGTGCAGAGAATTTAAAACAAAAAATTAAAATTCTAATTTGTCTTTATATTAAAATATCTCTAAAAGTCTAACAATTTTGTTACAATATTAGTAGTATTCGTATACCTTTTTATTATTAGTGTAGGAAAGCTTTTTATTGATGCAAAAAAAATAAGAAACAAAACTTGTATAGTTCTATAAATTAATCATTTTCTTACACAAAAACAAACTTGAATATAAAAATTTTTGAAAGATACAAAAATCTTAACAAATCTATAGACGATGACTACCAGTTTCAATCAGGTGGGCGGTCAACTTGTCGTCAACGTCTATTCTAGTTACCTACATACAAATAAATTGACGACCGGTCAGATTACTATTGATAAATAATAAATACCTATAAATTAAGTTATTAAACGAATAAATGTTAATTGCGTTGGCAACGGAGAGTACATTCATGTACTAAATGTTGATAGTTTTTATTACTTCATTTTATATTTTGTAAAGCAGTGTTTTTCTTTTTAGTAATGGGAACCAGTACATCTACGAAGTTCTAGACTGGCGCGAAGGGAAGCGTACGGGTGCTGTAGTAGCAGCATCGGTGGCAGGCTTGCTTGCCGTGTATGTGGCACTGTGGTGCCTCGCGCTCTGCAGGGACAAGTTATCAATATCTCTGATCCGCACCATCAGCCATGATTTACCCGCGGTGCCTCCTGATACTAGACTGCACACCAGAATTGTTTAACAAGTATTTTTTAAGCTTTTATTTAATGTAAATTATTTTTAAAACCTTTTATTTATATGTACGTATTAATAACAATATAAAATTGGTGCAAAAGAAATATTTAAAATTAATTGTGACTTTCCAAACATATATTATTGTACTTAAATTATGTTTAAATATAATTTCAAGGATGGACTGAAGTATAATTAATATTGCAGGTATTGTACCTTCAGAGGTTGTACCTACTCCGAAAATTCGAATTTTTCAATAAGTTACAATTAACCTGTATAAAAAAATTAATAAAAACCAAAGAATTAATTTCCCATCATCACAACGATTGAAATTAAAAACGAATTAACTAAATGATTTAGGTACAGTATTTTATATATCTGTAGGTAAATTATGTTGACCAGTTTAAATACGATAAATCTTAAAAGATTTTTCATAGATACTGTGACCTGAGATTATAACTGTGACTGATATAAAACAAATACCTATTCGTCATATCAGCCTTAACTGTCCACTGCTGAACATAAGCCTCCCTCTTGGGGGGGGGGGGGGGGGGGGGGGGGGGTATTACCAGTTGTTGCCACGCTTGGCAGACAGATTAGCAACCACAGATAGGATTTGGAAATGTGTTAAGAGGAACGCTGCTGCCTATCCCTTGCCCTCCCTTAGTCGCCTCTTACGATACCCACGGAAGAAAAGATGGTGGCTTATTCTACGCTGGGACCACACGGGATACCTATTACTATTCATCAACAAAATTATCTAAGATTCTCAATTGTTTTGTGTTTCATTGCACAATAACATCGCCAAAACTAAACCGATTTTAATAAATCATTTTGTAATCGATAAGTTTTAATCCTATGTTAGTCCCATAGTACTTGTTATCATGTATCTAATATCCATCAAGTTTGTATAAACAATAATAAATTTGCGTTGTCTTAGAGCGAATATATTTATATATATATTTTTTTTACCTTGATGAATTTATTTTAATCAAGTTAGATTTAAGTTTAGTACTTATAAGTTTTGTAAATAAATAATATTATAAAAAATAGCCTTTTGCATTTATAACAGTAAGTTATAAGTAGACATACCCACCTTTCCTACAATTTCTTGCGTTAGAAATTGTCTAAAATTGTGAAAGATCTTTTTTTTATATATATCTGAGAATGGATTAAAAAGTACTCGGCCTAACCCAGAAATTAAACACACATAAAATTAACTATATTTTTATTTTTCTACGTAATTACCATCAAATTTAACTTTTCTTCTGAGTATTCTTTTATCTCCTCGTGTAAACGACATAGTAAGGTGCAGCAACAATCAGAATTTATTGGTAGACCTTTTTCAAGACAAACCATAAGCACACTCTTCGAATGTTATAGCTTCAATATTCTAAAATACTAAAACCATAGCCCACAAAACCGACTTTGCCTTTTTAGGAGGCGGTGAACTGGGTATTTTTGTTGTGTTTATTATTTTGTTTCCAGTGTGCTGTGGTAAAGCTATTGTTACATCCAAAGTAACGAAGCGATTCAAAAAAATATCTGAATTTACTTCAAACAGTTGCGTGAAATAGTCAATCGCGTTCTTTTTTATTCGATTGAAAGCAGCCACCTCGCTTATATCTTACGGAAACTAATAATGATGTTTTAAATTTGTTCATAAGAGATGCTTATAATTACGGCTTTCTTTCAATTTTTAATTTGCTGTCTCCCATAATTAACTCATGTACTTTTCCAATATTTTCATCGGTAGTGGAAGTCGTTACACTCTCTATTCCATATTTTTTTATAGATGAATATAACAGAGAAGAATACCCTAATATACTGACCACGTCATCATGGATGGCTTTTAGTGATTAGGTACCCCTTCTGATGGAGACATTTAATAACCACACATTGCTCAATTAGCTCTATTTGCGTAAATTACAAACTTAAATCACAACTAATTATCGAACACTTTATTATTCCGAACTTGACACAGTTAAATAGTTAATTTGAACTGCACTTAATAATGTGAATAGTTTTAATTTTAAGAATCGTATGGATCTGTGTCGTGCCGAATACTTTTCAATTCATCTCGTAAATAACATTTGAAACATTTCTGTATAATAATAGTAATTATACAATATTTGTTTCAACCATTTTTCTTATGTACATATAGATAATATTACTTATTATTACATATTAAAATGTTAAATATACGTTTGTATTGTTATTTTTTTTATACCACTGAGGTGGCAAACAAGCATATGGCCCACCTGATGGTAAGTGGTTACCGTAGCCTATGAACACCTGCAATACCAGAGGTATTACGCGTGCGTTGCCGACCCTGAAGAAAGATCTTTACCATTCTACTTTCTTTTATTTTTACTAATATATAAAGTATATATAAGTTAAGTATGTATCTAAAAAAATTACTAAGTATAATGCAAGCAATAGGTGCCATATAAGTAAACCAACAATCATGTAATGTTTCACTGATATTTCTTACTCTGTTCCGTCGCTTCAACCGTGTGATAATAACTTAGTGCCAATTTTATCACAATGTACGAATAAACAAAATAAACTCAGAACACACAAGGAAAAAGAAACTATTAAAAAAGTCACAATGTAGTTATCCAAGAACATTTATTTCATCTTCATCCAAACACTATTGTGTTACTATCCAAACACAATTAATAACAAACTAAACAATTATTGATATGTGATATTCTTAATGAAACATCTGACTTAGCGTGTCTGTACGATACGAGAACGTGCTTACATTATGTATACATCCGAAAATATTAAACAAAACAAATAGAAACAACCAAAATAAAACTCATTTATAAAAATAATTTTGCAATACATCTTAATTAGATATATTATTATAATTTTAACAAAATGATATCATGATATTATATTTTGGACAACAGTCTCAAAAAATAAGCCATCTTATCATTTATTTTGTATATCCAAAAATATATTTTCTTATTTACAATATTAATGTCTAAATTGTTAGCTAAATCAAGTCTTAAACAAACACTATACCTTCGGTCTGGCCTTCAGTCATTTCCGTGTTCAGATGGCATACCTAGCAAAAGTTCCTACCTAATTTTTCATATACCCCACTTGGCTACGTGTTAGGATACCAGATGTTCGAACTGCAAGGGAGTGTGTTTTATAAGCATCTATTAGCATATCTAACATTAGTTCAGATACTTATTTTTAAATTCAGCACTAATTGTAACTATTTACACAAATTATTGTAAAGTATAAAAGCATCTACACACGATTTGATTGAAATCAATAAGGTCTACTGCCATGTTGATCCCATATTAATTTTGTGACAATTAAAGCCACGGTGCCCGTTTGCTTGGGCCGATCTGTTAGCTTGGCTGCTAATTGATACTTGCGGAAATCAATCGCGCCGATATAACAAACTAATCATTTATTCCTAATTAAAACAGCTAAAGAAATTCAAAAATTAAAAATGGAATTCTCCCCTCTTTATTACGTCTCTATTTACTAAGTATATAATATTACAACTCATGCAATCTGTCGCCCTTCAAGACTAGAATATAATAGGCCACGTCATCACACAATTTCAAGGTAGACTGTGGTCAGTCGCGCTTAAAAATTAATAAAAAAAAACTCAAGAATGCTTGATTCCGGCCCAACATGTCGGCAAGACTGTGACAGTGTCAAAATTTGTCGTGCATAGAACCCTAAATACCACACTGCGAATTTTCATTGCACAGTTATATCCCCTCAAATTGTATAAAAATATTTATACCAAAGTTTGACTTTAATATTTCTAAATAATTATTTGAAAAATGCTGCTAAAATGAGGGAATTAAAATGTGAATTATGTAATAATACGATTTTTACTAAAGTAACATTGAAAGATTGGATTTTGAATTCAGAAAAAATGTTTGTAAACTTCTACAGCAAAATATATAAATACTATAAAATTTTTAGTGACATGATAGAGTTATGTGCAACTAATCTACGATTAATGTTTTAGTTTGCTTAATTTTAAAAATAGTATAATTTAATAAAGTAATAATTTAGAGAGATTTAAAAAAAAATATTTAAAATTTAAAAATAATGCAAAAATTGCCTCACTGCTCAATGACATCAAGAAAATTGTATAAACCTGAACGTTTACACGGATCCAATTCGCAGTGTGGTAATGTAACGATGCGATTTTGAAATAATAATGTTTCTACGTGTATAATGTATATAAGTAACAACTAGAAAATCGCATTTTAGTTTCAGTGCCATCATTCATTTTAAATATTTGATAAATTACATTTATCAAAACTACTTTAAAATGTAAACGGACTTATTAAAAAAAAATAATTTAACACATTGTGTATCTAAATGATTAAATATTGTTTAATAAGCGCAATAACGTCTATTTATAATTTTACGGCCCAAAATCTATAGTTTATTATTAATATATGTATAAAATACTAAACACCTTTTTATTTTTTATAACATAAACTTTTTTTTATTTAGACTTTTCTAGTCATCTAAACATGTACTGAACACCTGTGTATCGCAACTTTTCTGTGAAAAGACGGAAGGTATTTATCTTTTTACGCCACACTTCTTACGGAGTAGACAGAACTACACACGAATGGCCTCTATACTTCAAACAGACTTCCTATTTCGTCCACTTAGTATCCTTTACATAATAGTATAATTTAAAATCGGTCGCATTATCTCATGTCTCATTAAAATTTATGAATTAAGTATTATATTTATTGTTATTTCATCCTATAATAAAATCAGCCATACACTAAATAGATAAAACGATTTAAAATTAATTGATGATAAAATAGAAATTTATTATTCAGTCACCTTATCAAATTACCTACTTCACTGAATAATTATCCTGACATTTCAGTATGTTATTTTAGATAAAACAATTGTTATTAAAATAAGCGTTTTGATCATTGTAAATTGTAATACAAACTTGATCAGTCAAATTCGTGCGTGGCACGTTATTAGGCGTCAACAGGTATGATGATACATAGGATAGAACAAAACTACATACATACATACATATCTGTCACGCCCGTCTCCCATTAAGATAGGCAGAAACAATGGAACGTCAAATAGAGTAAAACCAACAACGTGATAATAACTTGAGCAGAATCTAGACAAGATATATCACTCTGCTGGTAAGCGACGCACGAAGTTGACTGATTCACTATAGTAAACCTCCTATGAATAGTTTTTGAAGCATATACACAAATCACTCGTAAAGCTAGGAGCATTCTATCGTAGTTCAATTAACATACTATCTCTTTTAAACCATTATACCTAATACGTTTTGATTCTCGTTCTCGTTTAATGTAATTCTAATCAAATTCGACATGTTAACTTTACAATACTATCCATATATTGTGAAAGCACTCTCTCATCTTCTAATTTAAAACTACAGTATCGATATTGTCTATTATATTATTTGTGTCTGATTACGCCCCTTTTTAATTGTACATCATGGACATAGGTATTAATTACAATATAATCCTATCGTGTCTTTCGTATGCTATAAAAGGAATTTATGTCAAAAAGACGTATTATATTATAGTTAAAACACACGATCGAGTATTCAATCATAAAGGAAACCACCTTAACCAAGGATATTAGATCTATTCAGACTTAACTTCCATACAACATGGAAACAATCCACTGTACATACATTTTAATTAATATTATCACAAAAAATAGACATTACGCTATAATGGTCAATCCACACAGTCCTTAATATAAAAGGCATTTCTAGAGATCATTACTTCTTGGCGATACATTTAAAGAACCGCTAACTTTAATACCAACAAATTAAAACCAAACTACGCATACTAGTTTACGAATTGTTTGTGAGAATCGTGGGAAAAAACGTAGGAAACGAAACATCGTAAAATAATGACGTCACATTTTGAATCTACTGTTATAAATTAATATAAGTACGACATTGAGATGTATGTGTGTGTTTACTAAATAACTTGTTTATGACTAGCTCATATGATTACTCAGATGGTCAAGTAATTCATACGTTTGTATTGTTCATTTATATAAAAGTGATGACAACGGTTATTTATATGAGTAAGTAATAAAATTTCAATGCAAACGGAAATCAATGTTACTTTTTCTCATATAAAACCGCAATTTTTTAAGACATATTTGTAGTGTTTGTATATGAATTACCTGCTTTAATTTATATATTTAGTTATACTTTTTCTTTGACACCGAGACATATAATAATTATAAGCAAAGACAAATATCCAAAAACCAATTTTGTGATAAAAATAAAAAAAATTAAGAGAGACATAATTCACAGTTAACAAGAGCATGTGTAACACAAAAAGAGGAATTGAACAACAACAAAAAAAGAACGTTGAATTCCGTATTGATAACTCTTTTTACATTTCTTTTCTTTTACCTTTTACGTGCATATCACCTAAATAATTTGGAAGCCAATAGGATACACGGAATAATTACTAACCAAATACCATAGCTTCATACAAAAAATAGAAAATAAATTATTGCACCGTAGATCATAATTTCATTAGTATATGCACAAGTATTTGTACCTTAGTTCAAAATTTGGCAAAAATTATATAAAACACATGCATAATATAAAACGACAATAGGAATTGCATTCGTCTTGTAACTACAGAAATAACATTTATCATACCTTGTATCATATAAAATTATACAAGAGATTTTTCATATTGGACCCAGTCATTGTACACTATTTAATAATATATCGAGATATAGGAGAATGTACCGAAAATATGAAATGTTGAAAAAATTCAATAAAATTAATATAATAAACAAAACCACTTAGTAAGAAAACTATTTTAGTATTTTTTTTTTTTATGTATGTTATGTTACATATCATAAATTTTAATATAAAGTAAAAATAAACAATAAAATTAATTTGTTTACTTCATATATAAATTATTGTATAATATAATTAGCTGTATATAAAACATTGTATAAACTGTAAAATAAAAATTTACTATAATTAATATAAGGCGTGCAATATGCGGCGTATGAATTTTTAAATAAAAATAACGATTAGAAAATCCCACGTGTTTGAGGCAGTTTATTGATGTTCTGATGAAGCAAATTTATTAAAAAAAATTTACTTCGGATTTTTTTTTTACATATAATATACATAGACTGGGCCAATGCTTCATATATTGCTAAAACATCTCCTTTCTATACCGTATTCCTTCTTGCCAAATTTGATTCATTTCTCTTAAATATACTACAATCTGTATTACATTACTTTTAACTATTCATAAAAAAGATCCACATATATAAGACACTTTGTCTTTGCTACATCGTATCACATACAAACTTTCCAAGAACCATTTCAAAGAGTCTTCAACAGTTTTTTATAAATCTTATAGTATATAAAACGGAGCCTTATGACTTTGTAATAAAAACTAAATTGCAGTTACCCACACGTATTTCTACTGTGTATATACATAGATCGTATAAATATACACAATCAATATAATTATTACAGTCTAGCAAAAATTGTCATCGTTTACCTCATGTCCTTCAATTAATAACGGCTCTAAACCTACCATAAAAATGTTACTAACCATAGACTATAAATATCGCTTACATATACCTCCTTATAAACATCTATCACTTCCAGTGATATAAATAAGATATTAACACAACAATGACTTGCTTTGAGCAGCCGTTACTACTTAACCTAGCTTGTGATTATTTAGTTGTCTGCCAGTTTGTAAATTATTTGCATCAATGAATAAATTCCTCTAGCGCTTAAACGCGATTACTGCCACACGGTGTACATTAACTCCTCCTACAAATAAAAATATAAACGCACAGGTCATTATTATATCCAATATATAATTATATACAGTTTACCCTAATAAGCAACTTTAAGGGCAACAAAATAGGACACAGAATATAATATGACTTCTATTGGAAAACTAATTGATACATTCTGTGAAAGCTAAGCAAGAATATTGTGATGCCAAAGTAAATAGTACATTACTGCAGCGGCCAGCAACTGAGGCATTGGTGGACGAACGTGCAAATGTGGGCCGAAGCGTAGCCGAGGCACACAGACGTGAGTCCATCAATGCCTAGTTGTGGCCAAGGCTTGTATAGTACTTTTCTCAAACAATACGCGGAAATCAAAAACACAATTTTATTTTTTAAGTTCAATGACGAATAACGAACAATAATAATTATTCACGCGCCATAATGTTCCTTTGTTTTTTTTTTTTAATAAACAGCTTTCTATTTGCAAGTCAGTTCGAATTTAAATATTAATAAAATTTAAATAAAACCTTTTATCAGTTGCCTTCTTGGTAGCTATGTTTCGAAGTAAAAGGTCATTCCATTTTTAAATTACAGGACAGATATGAGTTTACGTTATGTAATTTATCAGGCCGCAAAACACGACAGATATGGATTTTCATACAACTTTTGCCGGCCGCTGTCCGCATGTATCTGGCCAGTACGACAATTTTGATTTATCTCGAAGAAGATTGTCAAAATAATGCTCACATTTCCAAGCATGTTTGAGAAAAATATATATTCTTTCTTTTCCAGGACGTTATATGAGGCAACTAAGATAATAAATCGCTATCGCAGGCTTCCTCGCTTCCTATTACAACATTAGTTGTAATTATCATCAGCATCATATCAGCCCTTAACAGTTCACTGCTATACGAGTACATAAGCTTTCCCCATTAGGGGGGTTTTGTTAGTTATTTCCACGCATGGCAGGCGGGTTGGCAACCGCAGTTAGGTTTTAATGATGTTTTAAGAGGGACACTGCAGCCCATCCCTCGAACATTAAGTTAGATATAAATAAATAATAATTGAAAATAACTAATATAAGCTAACAATAATGTGTACAACAACACAAACCTGCATGAGATCAATAGTGGGATGAGCATCGAGCAGTCCCAGTTCGCCGAGCGCATCGTCCGCGCTCGCCTCCGCTTCCGCTTCCGCCTCTGCTCCCACCTCAGACACACCGCCCATATGTCTGCAGACATTTTTATTTTTGTTATATACATACATCATACTCATATACCACAAGTTTCACTATCCTTCTGTAGTGGGGGTACCTATGAGAAATATGGGGAGAAGGGATTGTTAGAAACGGGGAACTTAGTCCCTATTGCTACCAAAATACCCTATCAGGTTGACCTCCACGCGGTTCACCCTGAAAACTATCGTGACTAATTGATCGTTGAATTCGTCACGACGGACTAACTGACCTGCCTTTTCATCACCTATCACATCATATATCACCTCTCACTGATACCCCGCCAGTGTATACCAATTATCATGCCATTTCCACCCATTATAAAAATCTATGAGAAATAGCGTGAACAGAGCATAAAATAATCTTAATCATAGGCGTATTTGAAGAGGGGGGCCGGGTGGATCATGCCCAACCTTAACATTGCCATAATTAAATTACATAAGCACCTTTTTTAAGTGTCCAGGCCCCTCCTGGAAAATAATCTTAAACTATAATGATATAAAAAATACAGAGTAAAATGTTATAGGATAGAAATGTCGAAGGTCTTATTAAATAATTAAGAAGAAGACAACAACTCAGTTCGGAACGAGGTTCTATGCAAATTATCAAAATAATATATAAAGCTAGGGCCTTCAACATCTAGTGATTAGTCAGTTAAAACAATTTAATTCAGTATATACTCACTCACTATCTTCGTTGATCAGAACATTTCCATGGAGAAAGAGATCACTTCTCACGGTATAAATATTACTTTCTGAATTCTCAGACGGTTCCACCTGCAATAAATATTTATTACAACTGTCATAAAATTTAACATTTTGTCACATTTCTATCTTTAATATAGACATTAAATTATATTGAACATATTACTTGTCCAATTGTGTCTTAGAGAAAATGGACAGAAAAAAAATTAAGACTGAAAACAAAAACATACCAATATGCATGCATGGAAGGGTTACTGAAAGAAAAAAATTCTGTTCTTTTAAAAACCAAGCTTGGTACATCTCATTTAAATCCAGCTTAACCAATCATTATGAAATTTTACATACACGTTAATATGGCAAAATCAATATAGGTTATGAATAGAATAGAATAGAATAGAATAGAATAGAATTTTATTGCTAACTGTGTACATACATATAGCAGTAACTATTGCTTTGAATTTGACATCAGTATCAACAGTTATACCCTATCGGGCATGCAACAATTTAAGAACAGGTAATTATATTAACATCGAAACATTCAATACTATTACCATTACTTGATTACAAATAAATATGAAACATTATACAATACAATTAACAAGACAAAGAATAATCATAACCAAATTAAAATAAAATAAACATAATTTCACTTACATGTCAATTATTATTAATTATTAATTTAATTAGTTTTAAGATTGAAGTATTCATTTAAATTATAAAAAACATTATCAAAAAGCCAGGCTTTGAGTTTAATTTTAAACATATGCTTATCCTGACATTTAATGTTTAAGGGAAGATGATTAAATACTTTAATACCCATTATAATTGCACTCCTTCCATATGTATAACTATTTATTGTTGGTAGACAAATATCATATTTGTATTTATTACGTAAATTATTTCGAATATCAGATTTATTAACAAAATATGTCATATTATTATTAACAAAAACACACAATTCCATAATATATATGTTAGTCAGGCTGAGATATTTTTCATTTTTAAATATATTTCTTAAAGTCTCATCTGAATACATATTATAAATAATACGTAGACATTTCTTTTGAAGTAGAAAAGTCGATGCAACATCTACAGAATTTCCCCAATATATAATTCCGTATGTTAGTAAAGGGTACACATTACCAAAATAAGCGGACCGAGCAACAGTAGGCGACCACGAGTATAGAAAGAGCATAACAATAACTTGATATCTTTTTATTTACTTTATCTATATGCGATTTCCAGTTTAGATGACAATCTATGGTAACACCTAAAAAGTTATGTTCGTTAACTTCCTCGACTGTTGTATTTGAATGATGGATTTTCAATTTTAAAGAATTATTTTTAGCGAAATTGAATAAATTTTGTTTTCTTAAAATTTATTTTCAGGTTAATAGTTCTGAGCCACTTAACTATTGTTTGTAATGTTTCATTTATTTCATTTTCAAACACGTCATTATCACTGCTATTATCTGTTATAAAAATGGTCGTATCATCTGCAAACATCACACAGAGATGTTTTGTGATTTTAGGTAAGTCGTTTACACTTACCAGAAAAAGAAGTGGACCCAGAACACTTCCTTGAGGGACTCCTACAATTGTTTCTGCTTGAGTAGATTTAATTTCCTCAACAGTATTATTGTTTTTATTATATTTGTCAATAACTGTGTATTGTTTTCTATTCGTTAAATATGATTCAACAAGTTTTAATGCTATACCACGCACACCCATGTTTTCTAATTGTATTAAAAGAATGTTATGTTTTATACAATCAAATGCCTTTGACATATCCAAAAATAAACCAACACCTGCAGTTTTAGTGTTCAATGCATCCCATACGTCTTTTAGTATTCTAAATATTGCCGAACTTGTTGATTTTTTCTTTTGAAATCCAAATTGATTACTATCAAGTATGTCATTAATTTCGAAGAATTTAATTAGTCTTAAGTAAATTACTTTCTCAAATATTTTAGAAAACGACGGTGGTAAGGCTATTGGTCTATAATCATTTATATTTGATCGCGTACCCTTTTTAAACAATGGTTTTATTTTTGAAAGTTTTAAGGCGTCAGGATATTTGCCAGTTTCAATCATTAAATTTAATATATAAATGAGAGGTTCACTTATACAGTTTATGGATTTTTTAATAATTGATATTGGTATGTCGTCATAACCACAACTTTTTTTATTTTTAAAACTCGTTACAATTTTAATTAATTCAGTATTATCGACCGGTTCTAAAAATATGCTCTTGCAAGTTTTTTCGGACGTTGACTTATACAAACTGTTTTCATTGCATTGAGCGTTATCATTTACAAAGTAATCATTAAATGTTTTAGCTATGATTCTCGGGTCTTCAATGAGTACATTATTATTAATGAGATAATCAACTGTATTTTTTAAATTATTTACAGGAGTAGTTAGTTTTTTAATGATATTCCAAGTAGCTTTGATTTTGTTTGCGCTTTTATTAATAAATTCGATGTTATGTTTTATTTTCGCTTTATGAGTTACTGATTTCAAAATTTTACAGTATTTTTTATAATACACAATAAGGTTTGTACTTCTCTTCTTCAATATATTATGATAAATTCTTCTTTTATATTTACTTGATTTGCATATACCCCTAGTTTGCCAGTTTGATTTTCTGTGATATGTCATTTTGACTTTTTCTACAGGTATACATAAGTCATATAACATTTTAAATATGTTTATAAAAGTTTCATATGCTACATTAGGATCATCATGTAAATATACCTCCGAAAATTTCAGTTGAGACAGGTAATGCAAAAATATAGGCATATTCTCATCAGTATTCCTTCTATATACATACCAGTACTTTTAAATAAACTCCTGGCTACATGGCACCTCGATCAGTTGAGCTGAATGGTCTGAAAGACCTAGGTGCTCGACTTTGGACACGTAATTTTTATGATTTGTCAAGATATTGTCTATGCATGTTTTTGTATTTACTGATATTCTTGTTGGTTCATGTATTGTAGGTTTCAAGTTATATTTTAATAATGTATTCAGGAACATTTCACTTTTACTATTATTCTCAAGAGTATTAATATTGAAATCACCAGCTATAACAATTTTTTTCTTTGAGTACCGTGATCGTATCGTTAATCTTTGCAATAATAACTCCAATGCCCCAATAAATATATCAAAGTTCGAGTTTGGTACTCTATAGACACATATGACCACATAGTTCAATTCAGGTAACAAAATGCCACAACACTCAAAGTTAAGTTCCATTGTTATGTTATTTATGCATTCAAGCTGCTTTGTATTTATTCCGTTTTTTGCATAAATGCATACACCTCCTCTAGATTTACGACGACAAAGGAAGCCACCATTTTATAACCCGGAATTTGCAATGTAATTGTGTTTTGTGCTTTAAGAAAAGTTTCACTAAAACACAATATATCCATTTCATTTGAAGTTACTAATAATTCTATTTGACTGAGTTTAGATCTAATAATATTTTGATGTAGTATCTTTAACGAATAATTATTACTGTTGTTCACGAAAACAAGGCTGTTCCAGATTATTAATATTTGAATCAATTTTGGACTTGGGATTTCTTTTGAAATAATATGGTATAGTACCTTTTTTTAATACCTTCGTTTCAAACTGTTCGGAAGTTGCCTTAAGGTAACTCTTTTGTTTAGCTAATTTTGTAATCTCATTAAGTCTAATTTTATTAAAATAGTATGGAATAGTTCCCTGAACGTAGCAATTTTTATTTTTATTACTTATCCTCCTTTTGACAATGTGTAAATAATGAGTATCATAATCCTTCTTATCTATAATTATATTTATTTTATTAGTTATCATGTTCTTAAGGGCTGAACTATGCAAATTTATCTCATTTACCTGACTTTCTACATAAATACAATTTTTGAAACAAGTTACTAAAGATTTTATTTTAGAGTTTAGTTTACTAACATTTATATAAAGATTATGTAAGACACTGGTAACTATAATCTTAGGTTTATTTACAAGTTTTAATACTGCACATATTTCAGCAAAAATATTTATGGGGTTTGAATCATTAGCACCTATACATAATACAATCCAATCATCTTCGTTAAAGGTTATATTTGATAACTTTGATTTTTCTAAAATATAACTAACAGGCGCATTTGGGAAAATTTTACCTATTATATTATATTTTATGGGATTTTTATAGGACATTCTTTTAAAAATTAGGGATGAAGCAAGACCTGAGCCTTGCTGGTCACCAATAATAATTATTTTATTCTTTTATAACCGTATTAAAATCCAAATTTTTATTAATGTGGAAATTTGAATCTGTCCCATTTAAAGATGGATGAACAGTTGTTTGTTTCTTGCATGCACTCGGCCTAGTAACTTGCAATATCATTTTTGATTTGATGTCAACTGTTTCCTTTTCCTCTAGGATTTTTTTTCCTGATTGAAACTGATTCTTGTGTATGATGCGCGGTGACGATTGTTATGCACGGTATATACCAGTGATTGTCAACCACTGTGCCGCGGCACTTTTGTGTGCCGCCAAATTTTAAAAGTGTGCCGCCAAATTATGCAAATATTTAAAATTTTTGTCATAAACTATTTATGCAGTGTGTTGTAGTAAGTAAATAATTTTTATCTTTTTCCGCCAAATTTTGAAATCGTTAAATATGTGCCGCAACAAAAAAAAGGTTGAGAATCACTGGTATATACAATGGTGTTGCAGCTAAAATCGAGTACATAAAAAAAATATGATTTATGACTAACACTGACGTCCTCCTCGATGACGAAGTCGCGAGGCGCCCGCGACTGCAGCGGCCACGGGCAGTGCGTCCGCGCAGCACCGCCGCCGCCCTCCTCCGCAACAGTATCCTCCCCCTGCCCGTCTCTCTCCGCCTCCCCCGCGCACACTACCGACACCACGCCTTCCTCCACCTCGGGAACAACACCTTCCATTACCGCTTCCGCTCTCGGGTCCACTTCTTTCTCTTCGCTGGTCTCCGTTACACCCTCCACTGTCTAAAAATACATTCACGTTAAACAAATAAAAGCAACACCAACCTAATGATTTTAATTTTAGTTTAAGTACAACTAGGAAATTCAACATGATTTATAACCATTTACCGATCTTCACATGTCTTTATCCTAAATCGTCAATCAAGACATTTATCTACTACCATGTTCCACTTTGTATTACAATAATTTTATTTTGGATTTATTTTACGTTAAAAAACAAAATTGTAAAAAGGATTTGTAAAATTTAAATATACTTATATCATGATTTAGCTTTTTTTATACATCATAGTATATATTGGCTTCATTCATATCCTTTCAAGTAATATTTCCGAAGAGGAATATAAGCGACGTTCAAATAAACGTACATGAAAAAATTCATATTAAAACAGTTAATTTTACTACTGCACTTTTTCATTATGACATTGCTCATAATTATTTACTACAAAATATAACTTTGAGAATGTTATACTATGTCTATGAACTAACCAAAAATATCAAGTCCCAGTTGTTCTTCAATAGCGAGGGGGCGTCCTCGGTTGGAATGATCGTCGTATTGGTCTCTTGTTTCCTGTGCACCTTCTTCATATGCATGTAAAGCGAACTCATATTGCTGAAGACATGTTCACAACCTATAAAAAAATATTTGCAATATAAATTTTGATTAGAAAATACAATAAAATAATATTCCACGAAGAAAAAACTGAACTTCAATTCTAGTAAAACCAATTATTTTCATTTAATAACTACTGAGCCAAAAATCGGTTCGGTAATTAACACCTGAGTCCTCAGGAATGGCAACGCATGGGGGTATCATGGGCGAAACAATATACTCTGTTATGTCCATGGTACTGCTCATGTCTATAAGCGACAGTTACCATGTTCCATCAGGTGGGCTGTCAGCTTGTTTGCCATTCCAAATTGCATAAAAAAAATACATACAACAGGAGAGAGTGAAATTGGAAGATAAAGAGAGAACACGTAAGAGAGACCATAGGCGTATTTGTTTTAGGTTTTGGATCGTAACCAACCCAGAATCAGGAGTGGAGATTTTAGTTATGGGTAAATAAATGTTTAAGACTACACATTCGTTCCTTTTAAGGAATGAGGCACCCTTTGAAGAATAATCTTAATTATGCAAATTGAGAATGAGCGTCTATGAGTAAAGTGTAGGCGTATAGGTGTAAAGGTAACATTGAGCATAGGGGGGGAGGGATTGTTAATAATGGAGACTAAGGGCCCCATTGCTAGCAATATACCCAACCAGGTCGGCCTCCACGTGGTCCTCCATGGAAACCATTGTGCTGAATTCCAAGTGTATTCATCACAATGAGCTATCTGACCTGTCTTTTCATTCTCACCTATCATCCCTGATCGGTGCCCCGTCAGCGTATACCGTTAGCGCAGACGAGGTTACCATTATATTATCATTCATTTAAAAAAAAACATTGAGCATAACAAAACTACACGAGTATATCTGTGGGTAAAATTCACAAGTATATATGTAAAGATACCCTTAAGTGTGTTCATAATTTTTGCTTACTAGCAATACTCTGACGATATTGCAATTGTCTATTAATTTTCAAAAACGTACTTAAAATAAGTACTTTTCTCAATTTTTTTTAAATGTTCTGCTAGAGAACTAAAATATTAATAACAGAATACTTTGCATATAAATCTACCATAATTTTGCAGCTACTTTATATTTTCCTTCAGAATTTTTCAAATACATTTTTGCAATCAAAATCCAAACTTTCAGTGATAGTTTAATAAATATATTATTGTACGATTAACGTTTTATCCGTTAGTAGAGCATTTTTAAATAATCAGGATTACGATTACGATACGTTGCCAAGGCGCGCGTAATACTCCTGGCATTGCAGGCGCTCATAGACTACGGTAACAGCATACCATCAAGTGGGCCGTATGCTAGTTTGCCACCTCAGTGGTATTTTTAAATAATCAATCAGAACCATTGAAAAAATATCGGTTATTTTTGAAAACTGACAAATAATTGCGACGTTGCCACACTTGATCACGAACACTCTTAACCATAAACAAGCAGTGTAAGCGGCTGACCTTCGTGCGTGCAGCGGTGCGGACCGCGGCGGCGGGCGGCGGCGGTAGCGGTGGTAGTGGCGACAGTGGTGGTGGCGGCGATGGTGGCGGCGGGGCGGGCGCGGTGCCTGGCGGCGTGGTCGCGCAGGTGGTCGCGGCGGTGGAAGGCGCGGCCGCAGGCGCCGCACGCGTGTCGCCGCTCGCCCGTGTGACGCCGCGCGTGCCGCTCCAGCTTGCTCGCCGACCGGAACGACCACCCACAGTTCTGTACGGTAACGCAACTTTAGAATCCGACACCTACTTTCGCTCCAATTCACCCCAGACTTTAATATTAATTTGTATTCCAGTAACCGTATGTATATAAATATAATAATCAGTAGGGATAATATTTATATAATCACATCTCCCATATTAAGAACTAACAAATTTTTTCATCATGCCTCCCAAAAAATTGTTTATAATTACTCCTCTCCATCCAAAGGTTGCCTGGAAGAGATCGCTCTTAGAGATAAAGTCGCCCATTGTTTAATCATTGTGATTATTTCTTGTAATTATTTATATTTATAATAAGTTTATTGTTGTAATCTTTTGGAGAAAACAATAAAGAGTATCTATCTATCTATAAGCATAATTTTATGTGTATATATGTTAGTTACCTAGTACCCATAGATAGAGGGAAAAGGATGTTAACTGACCTGCTTTCATCCTCACCTATCTCATCCCTCACTGGTGCCCTGCCAGCATATAACAAGCTCTAGTTAGCGTGACGCGAGGGCGCCAAGTACCTACTTTTTTAATAGGTGATAATGGAATGATAACCCCGCTGCGCTATCGGTTTACGCTGGCGGGGCACCAGTGATAGATGCCAGGTGAAGATAAAGGCAGATCAGTGAGCCCATCGTGAAGAATTCAACACGAATTAACCATGATGGTTTCCAGGGAGAACCACGTAAAGGTCGACCTGATAGGTATATTGCTAGCAATGGAGACCTGGTTGGGGAGCATCATAAGGGTGATAGATGAGAATGAAAACAGGCCAGTCAGGCCATCATGATGAATTCATCAGCAAGTAACCATGATAGTTTCTAGGGGGAACCGCGAGGAGGTCGATCTGGTTGGATATATTACTAGCATTGGGATTCTCAGTCTCCATTACTAACAAACCCTTTCCCACCAAATTCAATGGAGGCTGTTAGAACATATTACTAACAATCCCTTTCCCCCCGCCAAGTACCTACTGTGTCAAGGTAAACTAACCGGGTAGGGACAGGGGTAGGGCCTGTCGCCAGTGTGCGCGCGCGCATGCTCGCGCAGGCGGCAGGGCTGGCGGAACTGGCGGCCGCAGCCGGGCCACGAGCACGCGTACGCGCCCGCGCCCGCTTCCGCTCCCGCTCCCGCTCCTGCCGCGCCCGCCGCCCGCGCCCAGTGCGACCGCGTGTGCGCGCGAAGCCCCGACGCCCAGAAGAACTTGCGCCCGCACTCCTCGCATCTAGTGTTTGACAATATTTTAACCCTTTGCACTCGAGCGGTGCCGATACGACGCCCGGCCGATACAAAGTGGCAACTCGAGCAGCGCTGCTGCGGCGACACTACGCTGCTACGACGCTATAGTCTTTTGTAACTGGATCTCCTTATTTACAATATGCGATAAGATAGTTTTCTCGAAAGTACTTTCGTGGACTAGGCTCTGCTTACATTGCAAGCGAAAAAGGCCTCGAGTGCAAAGGGTTAATATTAACAGCTGACTAATTTTATATATGTTTTGGTAAATTTAAACACTATGTTACTATCAAATTGTTTTCAATCACGTCACAGATAACAAAACATGTAAAACAGTAAACCAAGTAAACCAGTACCGTGATATCTGCAGTATTGCTAAAATAATGACTTCATAATCACAATTTTCGTAACCCTAGTTCACATCCCGTTTCCTATGATAAAACTTTTATTAAAAATATCATGTAGCATAAAAATGTTTTAGATTTCATGAAAATAGTTCACACGTAATAAAATTGAATCTGTCGAGTCATATATTTAATAAAGCTTTAATCTATACTCATAGGACCAGCATTAGACAGATTATAATATGTAATACATTGGATATGGTAACGTTAATTTTAAATTTTCGCGTTGTTAACACATATTTTTAAACACACAATCTGGACTTTATGCTCATTCAAGCATAACCACGACGTGATACATACAATCCACGTCGAAACGCAGACAATAAACTATGTAGGTATTATGTACCTGTAAAACCCTTTTAATCGCGTTAAGTCTCGATTGTGTATTTAAAAATATATATTAAAGGTATTATTCTGTATTCACAACTACACCTAAGATCAAGCTAGCTGAAGGCATAAAACCAGTTTACCTGTAGCTTGCATCTTCAAGGGTGTGATCCTCATTCAAATGTTTGACGAGTAGACTTCGTACCAAATAAATTTTCCCACATGGCTGCTCAATACCATCAGAATTAATTTTCTTTACAGGGCACTCCACAGTGATTTGCCTTGGTGCACTGCCACCTTCTTTGTTGTGGACATTCTTGTGTTTCTTCAATTTTTGTTCACTTCTGAACTCTTTGTTACAATTTGGAGAGTCACACTGTAAACAAATATTAATATATTGTACAGATTATTGTTACAAACCAATTTCAAAATAAAATATCTATTATGTAGTAATAATAATGATAATAATATAAGCCTTTATTCAGATAACATTTTTTTTTATAACAACTTATTATTTATTTAATTGCTGTTGTCTGTTAGTTTATTAGCAAAGGCCTCCTCCAACTGCCTCCAATGGTCTCTATTGCTAGCAATTCTTGTCCAAATTCCACCTGCTTCAACCCTAATGTCATCTACCCATCTTCTATGTGGTCTTCCTCTTCTTTTTTGTCTTTTGTGTACCAAAGCATTATCATTTTACTCCACTTATCTCTCCCTCTAATTGTATGCCCTGCCCATTTCCATTAAAGTTTTTTAACTGTGACTGTAACATCTTTAGTTTATTATGTAGTAGATACAAATATTTATTACTGCTATTATCGTTTATAAATAATATTTAAATTAATTATTGCTTACTTTGAACTTAACAGGAGAAGCTATGAGTTGTTGAAATAAATCCTGTTCTGGTGTAGCAGTAGTAGTAGGTGCTGGTTGCTCATCTCGTTGATTGTGTGGCTTTATTAATGATACAGATGAAAGAGGCACCATGTTTGTTATTAATTCTTGGTTTTGTTCCGCATACATATTGTTTAGTTGAGATTCATCATCTAAAACAAAATTAATAAATCACAGATTAAAAAAGTTGCAACTCAATAAATATTATAAATGGATTTTTATGGCTTAGCTTTTGATTTAAAATATCTACTAGGAAAAAAACTAATTTAAATTATGACAAAACTAAATAATTTGATTAAAAAACTAAACAACTGAACCAATTTTGATAAAATTTCTATAGGACTAATCTGTAATAATAAAAAATAATTTTCTAAATCAGTTTACAACTAACGGAGTTATGAGGTAATAAACATTAAAAAAAACAATTGAATTGAGAACCTACTTCTGTTTGAAATGTATTAAAAATAAAAATATAACTAAGGATTTATAAAAACAGCATTCATAAAAGCAAATGGAGTTTGCTATAAATAAATGGCTATTTTTGTGATGTTTGACCATTTATTTATTTACAGCAAATTCCATTCAAATAATATAGTAGTGATACATTTAATTTTCTTATATTATGATTTTTTTTTATACAACTTAGAATGGCAAACAAGCATACGGCCCACCTAATGGTAAGTAGTTAACGTAGCTTATGAACACCTGAAATACCAGAAGTATTACGCGTGCGTTGCCGACCCTGAAGAAAACTCTTTACCCCCCTTTTGAAGAACCCCATGCTGTAGTCTCTTGGGAAAACCTCGGCAGGGGAGCTCATTCCACAACCTGAGTGTTCGTGAAAAGAAACATCTCTGAAACCGCGCAGTACGCGACCATTGAGGCTGTAGGACATGAGGATGAACTCCCTGTCGATGGTGAGCCGTACGATGGTAGAAAGTGGCTGTGGGCATCATATTGAACAATTCCTCTGAACACAATCCATTGTACAAGCGGTATAACACGCAGAGTGAGGCAAAATCTCTCCTAAGACTTAAAGGTTCGATACCGCTTGTGAGCCTGGGATCATCGACAATTTTCATAGCTCGTTGTTGCAACGAGTCGAAAGGCTCAAGCTGGTATTTAGGTGCTCCGGCACATAAGTGACAGCAATACTCCATGTGGGGCCGGATTTGCGATTTGTAAAGCATTAATCGCTGATCCGGCGTGAAGTAATGCTTCGCTCTATTTAACACACCGAGTTTTTTGGATGCCAGCTATGTATATATGATGTGTATATATATATACACGCATCGTATATCTGACGAACAATGTACAACATGAATATATAAGTAAAAATGTAACTGACCTATAACCACTAGAGTGCGTAATTCTTTATCTGGATTTAGATTGAAGAGCAAAACATTCTGAAACATAAATAATTAATTGAATACAATGCCAATGGATACTTTAATACATAATTAGTATAATTTATACTGTTTTTGTTGTAATTGAAAGTATAATTAAATACATATTAATAGCATAAAATATATTTATTTCAAATTTATTAGTTAATTATTATTAGACAGTTTAAAACCAATCAGAATTTCATTTTAGAAATGTTCATAAAGAAGCTTACCAAAGTGTGGCAAATTATAACTATCTGTTAATTTACAAACACAATTTAACAACTTTCAATATTTCTAATTAAATAAAAACTATTCTAATAGCAAACTAAAAAATATTAGTTTCAGAACATGCCCCATAAAAACTACCACTAAAACTTTTGCACCCAATTCATATTTTACTCTAAAATTTTTTAAATTCAAATACTTTTTACCATTAAATAATAAAAATATTATTTAATGAGGAACTTTTTAGTTTGCTTGCTTTGCTTTTTAGATTACTTATTAAATAATTAATCAGAAATATTGGACACTGTTTTTGAAAATTAGCAAATAATTCTAACATTGCCACACTTCAGTATAAAGACTTTAGAAAGATGTTATCTAATGTATAAAATATTAAAAACCTCTCTATCAGTCACACCCTTGTTGAAGAAAGACTCAACATTGACAGCCTGATTGAAGTCCTCTTCATTATCTGTAACACAAGCAATTACAACATTTAACAAGTCACCACTGAAAATTTAACACCATTGAAAAAAAAATTATTTACTTACAATTGTAATCCCAGGCTGGGTAGTCAGAGGCATTTTTTCTACTGTTGCCTTTATGATGCTAAAAAAACTATTGTTCACATTGCACAAAGCATATTTAAATTACAGGGACAGAAAGTCTTATGCCCCTCAAATATAACAATTATTTATAATTCTTTCCATCATTAAAAAAAATGGAGGGAAGAAATTTTGCCTTAATTTAACATTTCCATTTTTTTTTTTAATTTTAACAGCTTAATGTTTAATTTCGTAAAACTAACATATTTATAATATTAACCAATTTTAAAAATTCTTTCACTTATTTTCTATAATTTTTAATAGTGGGTTATATTATTAGTAAGTGACATAGGTTTTATTTATTAAAAAAAAGTATACAAAGCTGAAGCGAGTTACTAGTAAGTAGTATGTAATAGGATTATTCAATAAGATTAAGCAATTTAAATATTTCTTTTGAGTGTTTTGTTTTTTTTTTTTTTTTTGTTAAAAATATTTAGTATATTTTAAAGTTGACTGTCACAAAATCTACAATTAAGTATATATGCAATTTAACAAAAAAATTCAATTTAAGCAGTCACAACAGGATAAAAAAAAGCAAAATACTATAGCTAGATAAAATCAAATGAAGTCATAGGAATAAGGTATAATACCCAAATTAAATATTTAAACTTAACTTTAACTTTTTAAATATCATATATTTAATATAAAAAATAAACTTACTATTCATATTCATATTGTTCCCAATAACACTATTATCCATTATGAGTTTCATATCAGTGGCTGGTAACTTATTTGATTCACTGTCTAAACCATTTTCTAATTTAAAACTTTGTGCTGGTCTCCTAATAATATCAAGTGAAGTATTACAATTATATCCATTAAAGCTATCTAACAGTAAGCTGCTGGATGTCTCTTGTGATGTCAGAGATTGTGTCTCTGGAGGTATGCATATCCCCTGCACATTTGTCCTTACTGTAGCTTTTGATTTTTTTCTAAGAATATTTGGTTTCTGAAAATTCTTTTTACAATGGTTTTCATGTGAAACAAACATGTTTATCACATCTTCCAATAGTTGTAGATTTGATTCCTGCACAATAAAAACATTTATGTTCATAAGCAAGTCTGTTTGGCTGTTATTAACAATAAAAAAAAAAACAAGAATTTAAATTATGCTTAGTTTGAAACTACACATTGTGTAAAGTATACAAGGGTATTAAAATATCGAATATAAAGAAAAGATGATCTCAGTTTACCACAATTTTTTTCCTAATAAGATCGACACTACGCTCCCTATCTATAGAACTTAATAAAATGTTAACCAAATTTTATTGACATTATGATAGAAACTCTCTAGATATGGATCAACAGTAATCACAGTATAGATGAAATATCTACGTTGCTAATCAAACTGTTGACAAAAAATACTATTTTCCATCAGGCACTTTGTAAATACTAATATAAATTACATTACAAATTACTAAATTACAGACTGTCATATAATAAAGTAAATTAATCATTTGTTTACATTCTCATTAAATTCTAATTAAACAGATTATACTTTGGCTAGTTTTAACATTGTGTTTTTTAAGTATTGTTCAGTCAGGTTGTACTTATATTTGACAGATAGGTTAGTTTTTATCACAGATCAATCAAATAGTAAAAAATATACGTCAAATTCATAAAACAATATTTATCTCTAACCTCTCACAGGTTCTATTAAGTTGTTCATTAATTTATTATTATTTTATAAATAATGTGCACTATGACATTATTATAGTATGGTAATCTAACTTTGTTGATAAGGAGAGAGAAGTATTAGCAATGGAAATTAATATTCCTATTACTGATAATATACCATATCAGGTCGACCTCCATGTAGTCTCCCATCATTAAGCCATCATAGTTAATTCCTGGTGAACTATTGATAATGGGTTAACTAACTTCATGGGCATCTATCTGATTTGATATCAATCCTCACTGGTGCCCGCCAGTGGATATTATTAAAGCAGGTGGGATTATCATTTACATCTCATTAAAATATCTTGCTTTATTAAAGTGCCTTATGAAAAAACAAATATAAATTTATTAATTAACAAATGCTAGGAGAAGCAGCATATACATACAACTAGTTACTGTGTTTTATACAGAAATACAAACACATTGGTACAAGAAACAACTTTAAAAATATAATTGTAAGTATCACGTATATAATGACGGTTGTTTAAATTAGTATCATCACACGGCAAATTTTATGCAAATAATAAATTTGAAAAAAAAAATTAAATAATATCTTAGGAATTAAGTAGTTACATTTCACATAAACAGTGACAAATTTACTATACCTATGATTAACGCAGGGAATCCAAAATGTTCATAATCGTATATTGAATAGGGGCAATTCGAAAATTAAAATTTTAATTACAGTAATTTTATTAATAATAAGAAGAAAAAATGCAAAATCTTTGAATAAAATTATGAAATATACAAAACGTCAAACACTTCCGAACTTCATGACTGACACCATATAGGACTGACATCAATCTATAGATTAAAAATATACCGGAGGTTTTTCTACGCCTTAATCATACTTGGTTATGGTTCACAGCAAGGAGCAAGTAATCCAAAATTACTACCTTATAAGATTTGGCAAAGACCTTATATCAACGGAGGAAAAAAATTGAAATGCATTTTTTTTACAACACATGCATGTTACCTTTTCGAAGTAACAACACAATGAAAATTATAAAAAAAAAATGGAAAAATATCCATAGTTTTGTACCATTATCTAGGTATATATTAAATATCTAATTAAATATAAAGTGCATATAGAGATTAGCTGTATTAATATTAGATTAATTATATATTAGAGTATCTATTCAATTAAATGTAGAAGAGTTTTCAAGAATTAAGTGTGATATACCTGAATACAACATAAATTAGGAAAATAACCACAAAATAGCACAATATTTCACGTAATAATTGCACTGTAAATATTTGACCTCTAAACTCAATATTCTGGAACAAACAGAATGAGAAACATGATGGAATTATTTTCAGTTTGGTAACAGTTTCATAGAAAAACATCATTCCATCAGGGATGTTCCAATTGTTGCTATTTTTTTTTTAATGGGAGATAATGGAATGGTAACCTCACCCACGCGGGGGGAAAGGGATTGTTAGTAATGGAGACTGAGAATCCCATTGCTAGCAATATACCCAACCAGGTCGACCTCCTCGCGGTTCTCGCTGGAATACACTGGCGGGGTACCAGCAAAGGATGTTAGGTGAGGAAGAAGCAAGTCCGTTAGTTTACGATGGTTTCCACGTAGAGGTCGACCTAATAGGGTATATTACTAGAAATGGGGCTGTCAAACTCCTAAAAAAAATTTTAGGGGAAAGGGATTGTTAGTAATGGGTTCTAATTGATCCATTGCTAGCAATACACCGTGTCAGGTCGACCTCCTCGCGGTTCTCCCTGGAAACTATAGACCGTGTGAAAGATGAGATGACTTACAAGACATGGGTCTTTTTAAGTCATCCTCTGCACTTATAGCCATCCACATTCATAATAAATATCTTTCTTAAAACATACTCCTCATTCCTAAACATCCCGTGTTTATACCATGACAGACGGTCTTGGTATGAACATGGGACACTCATTAACTTTTCTGTTACTAGCGCTAGTTTCAACTTCCTGATATACTCATTTTTAACTTTGTATATTTTTGTCACTCCACACATCCATCTTAAAAATTTTTTCATCCAGATTTTCATCCGTCACCTTTGCTGGCCTACAATTCGATCTGTATAAGACAACAGACCGGATTATCCTCTATCTTAAGGGGAATTCGCGATTCACAGGTGATGGTCGTAACCTGCCACCATTGCATCCATCCTAATTCGATGATTTACTGTTTATTCTAATTCAGCATCACTATATAGAAGTGAAGAAATAGATTAGATTGGTATAGCAGTACCGGCAAGCTTTATGACTGTAAAAATAAATACACGGACTGCCGAAATCGCAGACCATGTATTCAGATTTAGTACTGCTATTTTTGAAAACAAAACTCTCTAGGGTTCGTTGGCACTAAACCAGTCTGTTCTGAACCTCAGCTCCATCCTTACCGACAAACATAAAGTCGTCGGCAAACAGTAGGGAGAATTGCTTCGGATAAGTCACTTTACTATTATGTTGCTATGTAAATTTCATTACAATTTCAAGTGTAATACATACATAATGGCAGAACTGTCAGTTTATGTCATTTTCGATATATATCAAATCCCTGTAGGGTGCTATTAATGCGTGACTCGATTAGAGCTACTCTTAGGGGTGCTATGGATCAGGGATTTTATAGGAAGGACTGAAGAAAATTTGATAAATTTTCCAATGTCGTAACCCCATTTCTTGTACGACTCTCCGTTTTTTAAATATATGGATTTTACGGTGCCATTGTAGCTTCAGAAGTACAAGACTTAGAAAAATTTCAATGAATTTTTCGATGTCGCAATTATTCCACTTTCATGCGCTAATCGGATAGGGTCCCACTAGGGGATTAACTTTTGTCTAATATTTGTCTTTTAATAGCGTTAAATTCAATAGATTTATCCAGATTTAAGTAAGTGTTACGTGTTATCAATCATAATATCAGCCATTATCCGTCCACTACTGGACAGAGGCCTCCCCGATAGACTGCCATAAGGAAAGGTCCTGCGCCTACTGCGTCCACTGATTCCTTGCAATGCGTTATGTGTTACTAATATCGAATTCAAATATGATAGATTGCGTCGAGTCGACATCTGTCATATTACGAGCGGCCCAATATTGTAAACTACGTACAGTTGTACTCTTTGGTATTATCGTACCAATTGCAATTTTTTTTTTTTTAATGGATGATAATGGAATGGTAACCCCGCCTGAGATAACGGTATACTCCGGCGGGGCACAAGTGAGGGATGATAGGTGAAAATGGAAAGGCAGGTCACTTAACCCATCATGATGAATACACGTGGAATTCAACACAATGGTTTCCAAGGGGGACCACGTGGAGGTCGACCTAACAGAGTATATTGCTAGTAATGGGACTGGTAGTCCGCATTACTAATAATCGCCCTCTCCAAAACGCAGAAGTTGAGAATTCGATAAGAAAGCAAATTAATTCAAATTAGGGAGGTAGGTTCACCCTACCACGTTTTGATTATAAGATGCTTACAATCCAAGATGTCGCCGCTAAATTGTCACGAATAAAACTTTCAAATAAAAGATGAGCGAAAATAAATGCACTTCGCTTGTATGCTTCCACTTAGCTGCAATACAGGATCGCCAGATAAAAATAGGTAATAAATTTGATTAATTTGGTAAACTCTTCTTGATTTTACAAGATTTACACCAAATGTAAGGTTATCAAATTGGTTGCGGCTAACTGACATTCGGCTATCTTTCATTTAAACAAAGTTAAAAAGTTTTATACATGCACATTTCTTGGGAGGAAAGGCATTATTACCAATGGAGTTTGATAGCCTCATTGCCAGCAATATATCCTATTAGATCGACCTCCACGTGGTTACTCTTGGAAACAATCTTGTAGAATTCGTCACGATGGGCTGACTTGGTTCATCCCTTGGTATCCAGCCAGTGTATACCGATAGCGCGGAGGAGTTACCATTCTATTATCACCCATTAAAATAACCATGCAGAACTCAATGTCGGAATTTTAGGCTATCAGCGGAATGTTGAATATTCTGTATTACATTCACCATAACAGACTTTATACTATTTACGATAGTAGTCTACCACAATGATAACAGTAACAAATGCTATCCCACTTACAAAATGTAGTTGGAAGCATTTTTTTTTTTGCAAAATATTAGGTACTATGTTAACATTTACCAGTCTACAAATTATGAAATGAAAACAATACTAAATACAATTTATCATATTGTATTGGTTCTAAATGTCCCTCTTCATTCAATATCAAAGTTCTGAGACGCTTTGTATGATAATATTGACCACATTTTAAACTTGCTAATGCATAATGTACAATTTCTTGTAAAGGTCTTTTCAAATAATTTGACATATGTTTAATTGTGTTGTACGCTATTCTATATAAAAATCGATGTGTGTAACCATCTGAAAACTCTTTTACTAATTCTTTCCATCGTATATCAGGCCATACCTGATATGTAGATTTTTTCAATCTGTAACAAAATGCATCATGATTATTGCATGTATCATATTTACTTCCTAATTTCAATATATATTGAATAATTAAATAATGATAATAAATAACTGGTACAAAGGCCTAGTATTTTAGACTATAAGAAACAATACATAAATAAAGAGGAAGTTGCAGTGTAATCTGTCATGCTCGTAGTGCTTTTGCTGTTTAATAAATGATAGTAATCATTTTCCATCCATTGTTCTCCTATATTTATTAGGAAATATTTTTATTGTTTAATTATAGACTTTGGTAATTTATTATTAAACGATGAAAATACCAAATATTCATCAAAATACATACAAGTATTTTAAATATCATCTTCAAGTCAACTAAAAATTTATATTTCGCTTTTCCAGGTGGACTATATATTGTCCAAAAGAGTATAATAGACATTTAAGTTTTGCGACTTTGATATTCTGAGATCTGAATATCCGCTTCAATTGTGTTATTTTTGGCTTTGTAAGCCTTTATACTGTTTCCCGTGACTTAGCCCTTGTAAAAAGGTTTGTAATAATATTTGTATGTTTGTTACTATATTATATTCTAACATACAGGATTATTTATATACTAATGTATGTGGGCAACACTATGGGAAACAGTTTACAATATTGTTGATTGTATCAGTATAAACACTCATTCATATTATTGTTTATTGATTTTTCTTCTTTAGAATTGTAGTATTGCACAAAAGCACTTCAAATAGGTATACAGCCTATATGAACAAAGTCTTACTAAAATATTATAAAATTGTAACTAGACAATGTCTGTACATGGGAGATATTTGAGAGAAATTGATGAAGTAGATGAACATTTTATAAACCTAATTATAATACATTCAATTTGTAACCAACATACTTTTTGAATATTTTTTTCCTTAACGATCTCAAAGTAATATATTCCTTTACAAAAAGTTGGACTTTAAGAGTGTCATGCCAAAAGGATTGTAAATAAATATATTGCTGGTCTATATCTTTTTCCAGTTTCAACCAAATACTTTTTTCAATTTTCTTATGTTTCAACTCTTCCAAGGAACAATTTGAATATTCAAGCAATAAATTTAAGAACTTAGTTGCCAATGGCAATGTCCATTTTAACTTTTTCCTTTGTGGTTTGACTGTAATAAAAAAAATACAATTAGTAATTTCATATAATGTAAGGATCAAGCTAAATCTTATAAATAATGTCTGTGACTAATTCTATTAAAACATATACCAGTCAATAAAAAGTAAGCAAATATATTCTTAATTTTATTCTATTCAGCTTTTTACTCATGATAATAAAAAAGATGGACAGAGATTGGTTACTTTCAAACATTTATGTTATAATTATTTTTAATGAATAAATAAATAAATAAAATTTCATCATAAATCAGAATACTGATGAATCTTTATGTGTAATCTTTGTCAGATCCGTCAGTATTCTACGACTATGACGATATATTTAATATTTGTCAGATCCGTCAGTATTCTATGACTATAATAATTTGGTTAATTAAATAGTTTGACTTGAGCAAAATGAATTATTTAAATATTATTAAATAATTCATGTTAAGACTGGTAACAAATTCCATAAACAACATCATCCTTTGCTAAATTTCAGCTAACAATCCATGAAAACTAACTTTGCATTCCCCAGGAAAAATACACTGGCCAAGTAGTTTGGTATCTTTATTTTCATTCAAAGATTGATTCAGAATTAGCCCTCCTATTAGGAAGCCACATATAATATTACTCAAATTACTTTCAAATAAATAAGTGCTTACCATCAACAGTATAACCCAATCTTTTGTATATTCCTCGTGGCTCTCTGCCAAGTACTTTAGATAATATCACGACAGCATGTTTAGGTTCATATTGAAAGCATATATCCATAAGTTTTTCTTCAAAAGCAGAATAGTCACCCTTCACTGGACTACCATAATAAGTCATAATGTGTCTTAAAACTTGATAAAGATTTCGTTTTAGGCCTCGTGCTAGATATGCTACCACAAAATGTTTAACATGTAGCTCTCGTGAATGTCTTGATTTTCCCTTGTTTTTCCATCGAGCTAAACAAATAATTTTGTTGGGAATATCATATTTCTGCATAAAAAGAAAATTATAGTAAATTAAAAATAAAATACTTAAATCAGAAATTGCACATAATCACAAGAACGAAGATGTATATGAAGGGTTTGTGCTATAGAGCAATAAAATAGGAAATACTGAATAAAGAAATATATATATATATATATATATATATAAGTAAAATAGTATAGTAGTATTTGTGGTAGTATATACACTACCCCATAACCACTATCAGTTATCAAACAACTTCATGTATGTTTGGTGAATAGTAGTGCAATTTCATAACTCATCTCTATACACATATACCTACTTACATTAGTTTTGTTGTTAATACCATATCTATATTATTTTTATACCTTTTTAAATTTACGCCAATTTTTGTGTATAAGGTCTATTTCCTCTTTGGACATACTGTCTGTGTTATATGTTTCATCATGTTGTTCCTCAGGTTCCTTCAATGGTCTTGACAAGCATTTTGTTTGTTGGTACCATGGTTGCTCCCATGTTATTACTTCATTATCTAATTTAGACAACAGCAACTAAAATAAGATGAAAATACTCTATATTAATTAAATAGTATCCTAATAAACAATCTTGAAATGTAAAAGTGTGTTTATTTGTAAGTTGTCTTTTGGCACCATAATGAGTTAACCATTGGTTATAATTTTTTTATATAAATGGAGTATCTGGAATAGGGGGGAAAGAATTGTTAGTAATGGAGACTAAGGGCCCTATTGCTAGCAATATACCCAGGTCGACCTCCCTGTGGTTCCCCCTGGAAACCATCATGCTGAATGCCAAGTGTATTCACCACGATAGACTAACTGATCTGTGTCCCGTTAGTGCAGGTGGGGGTAAACATACCATTATCATCCATTAAAAAAAGTATCTGGAATAGAAAAGGATATAGGCCAGAGGGAGACTTTGTACAAAAGTCAATTGCTTGGGTACCTCTGTCCTATTCATGTTTCTACTGTGAAGCAGTTGTGTTTGCATAGCTGTGTTTCAGTTTGAAGGGTGGGATATAGTATGAATTTATTGGGTACAGAGAAATAACACCTGAGTCCTCAGGAATGGCAACGTATGGGGTATATCATGGGCAAAACAGTACACTCTGTTTTGTCCATGGTACTGCTCATGTCCAGCAGCCCATGTTCCATCAGGTGGGTCATCAGCTTGTTTGCCATTCTACGTTTGTAAAAAAAACTTTATGCCCCGACAGCATATACGGATAATCAGACGAAGTTAACAATTAATTTTTACCCATTAAAAAACTTTTAATTAACATAATTATCTTGTATATCGCGAACAAAATCCTGAGTACATCTAGTATTTAATAAAGTCACACAAGTAAATTAAAAATTATAATTTACCTCCATAAATTCATCATCTTCTTCTTCAAGTTCTTCAAAATATAATTTTATTTTATCCATACAAGATGGCTCACTTATGTCCATGTCTTTTAATTCTTCGTATAATTCTTCTAACGTCATTTTCCGTTATTATGAGGTTAATAATTCCTAATCTTTTTTCTTAATATAAATGTGTCTCGTGTTCTATTTAGAGTAATTACTTACCTCCTACTATAATCATTATTGGTTAGTTCTGTGATCTAAAATATTATTAATAACTTCTTTGAAAAAAAATATGAACAGAAGATTATCGTTAATAAAAGAAAACTGTAAAACGAGAAACAAAAAGCAACAAAATACAAATGTGCCGCTTAATAACTAATGTATATAAGCGGTGGAAAATGATAGGTAACCGAGATAACCTAAAAATAAGAAAACAAACTTCAAGACTATTCAAAAGACGGTGCATATTTTATGTCTATCTCATTCTAACACATAGATAACTTCGTAAATACAACCTGTAACATACATCAGGATTTTTGCGTTCCATACTGCGCTTTGATACAGCAATGAAAAATGAAATAGCCATAAAGATGACAGCTTACATTATGTATCTCACATTAGAATTTTATAAAACATAATTCTTATTCGAAGCCACTATTTATTTGTGTTGAAAATTCTTATCACAACGCAGCCCACGTTTTCAAAGTAGACGCTGTTTAATACCATAGTGTAAGGTGTCACCACAATTTAGAGAGGTTATGTCTAATCAAAAATAATACTTAAATAAAATGTAAATTCACAATTAACAATCCAATATATATATAGAAAAATAAAAATTGATTCGATAACCAAAATAATAAAGTTGTTAAATAATAAAATTAAACCAATCGTTTTAGTAAATGCGTTAATCTATGGCAGGTACTAATCGAATGCATAAAAGTTCTTCTTCTATTTAGATGTTTCGTAAAATTATGCGTGTTCTACCGCTTGTACAATGGATTGTGCTCAGAAGAATTGTTCAATATGATGTCCACAGCCACTTTCTAGCATCGTACGTCTTGCCATCGACAGGGAGTTCATCCTCATGTCCTACAGCCTCAATGGTCGCGTACTGCGCGGTTTCAGAGGTCCCTGCCGAAGTTTTCCTAAGAGACTACAGCATGGGGTTCTTCAAAAGGGGGATAAAGAGGTTTCTTCAGGGTCGGCAATTTATACGCGTTATACCTATGGTATTGCAGGTGTTCATATGCTACGGTAACCACTTACCATCAGGTGGGCTTGTTTGCCACCTTAGTGGTATAAAAAAAAATCGTATGAAAAGTAGTTCTTACTTTTATAATACTATCTATCGTTATTTAACTAGACACTGATGAGAGTTGGTGACGATGAAGGCAGGTCAGTTGACCCATCGGAATGAGTTTAACAACATTTAAACACGATGATTTACAGAGTGAATCGCGTGAACTTGTTACGGTATATTGCTAGTAATGGGGCTGCTAGTCCCCATTACTAACAATTCGGTTTTCTTTAGACGATATACGTGATAAAAAAAATGCTATCACAGGGAATTACCTGCTTACACACGGTCAGTGTTGCCTGATTGGGTATTTTTTTTTTTGCCCTTTTGGGTAAACATTTTAGTTTAAAGAAATAAAATTGTTAGACAAGTTTTCCAAAAAAATATAAATGATTTAAACAAATTTGAGAATTTTTTGACGGTTTTAGTATGATTTATTTTGTTTTTATGCAACTTAGAATGGCAAACAAGTTGACGACCTATCTGATGGAAAAATGGTAACCGTCGCCTATAGACATGAGCAGTACCATGGACATAACAGAATATACTGTTTTTCCCATGATATAACTCCCCCCCCCCATGCGGAGCCATACCTGAGGACTTAGATGTTATTCCTCTGTAGCCTGTAAATTCACTGCCATATCCCACCCTTCAAACCGAAACACAACCATAAAAACATAACTGCTTCACAGTAGAAACAAACAAGTTGACGACCTATCTGATGGAAAAATGGTAACCGTCGCCAAAAATATAGAGATATTATGTTTTAAATTGCAAAACTAAAAAAAAATTAATTAAATTAGGGAAAATCATTTGTATTCAATGTTGCCAAATTGAGCATATTTTTTTTTCGTAAAATTTAGAAACATTTGCTTAATATTATATATCTATATACTTATAATAAATCTGCAGAGAGGTCAATTCTGTATATATATTTCTGAAAATGCAATTTTAGTAGAATTTTCGTCTGTCTATATGTTTATTATAGAAACAAAAACTGTTACTCGACGGATTTTAACGAAACTTGGTACAATCATTCTTCATACTCCTGGGCAAGTTATAGTATACTTTTCATCACACACACATCATCAGCAGTGAAAGGAAATGTTGGAAAAACGGGAGAAGTTACTCCATTTTTAAGCTTCCGTCGCGTGTGCAGCCTTAATGGCCATTTTTTAAAATATAAAAATGTCCACCCGTGCGAAACCAGGACGAGCCGCTAGTAGAAAATATAATTGTTGGTGACATTCTTGAAAACTTATCACTTATTAACAGCGTCTAGATTCACATAATATGGCGTTATAGTAGGAAGTAAGTAGTACGATGCCCTTATTTTCCATATCACAGAACAAAAGAAAGATAATGGGAAATATACAAAAACTTTGTGATTGGGTTGATTTGTATTGAAATTCGTATCTATCTGAAGAAAAAATGTTTGACGTTTGCCCAAAAATCAAAATTCGCATCTATGTAGCAACCCTGGATCGAAGTGAAACGGATGAATTTAAAATTTAATAGAGTAGAAAATAGTGGGGTTGACTCTAAGGGACCATTTCTGAAAACCTATCTCTAAAATTAAAAATGTAATATCACAGTCAAATAAAGATATTCTAAGAGACAATACGAACTAAATTTTTAGTCACGATTATTATAAATTTAGTTCATGATGGTTCATTTAATAGTATGTTAAGAGGTACTTTAGAGAAATGGCTTCGCAGAATCAGTCCCAATATGAATTTATAAAAAAAATTTGAAATTTGGAAAAAATAAAAAATCGTATCTGGCAACGTTGTTTGTTTTGCACGCAATACACACAAGATAACAGTATCTAGATTAGAAAAATAAATCAAAAAGACTAGTGATTAAAGTAACTTTATTATTTTGGAAAAAATAATACTGCGGCTACTACCTATATACCTGCTTTTTTTCTCACTCTTGGTCCAAAAACTCTTCAAAGTATCTTTGTATAATAAGCAAGAGAAGCTTTTCAAAATTGTAATTATGAAAATGCAACATATCAAAACGTTACAAGAAATGTTGGACAGTGACGATGAATTGCCAAGTAAGTCATTGTACATAATTTTTACTAATTAAGTCATTGTTAAATATTTTATATCTTTATAGCAAGTCTAATTATAAATAACTTCCCTTTATAATGGGAACTAATTAAGTTACCTACTTTCTTAAATAACATTAGTAATTAGACAAAAACTATTAAGTATATACAAATATTGCACAATTCCTTAATAGGTACCTATTTGCTTCATTTCATATTTATCATTAATTTTAGCACAAATTTTATTTAATTTGGACAAATAGATATACTTCTTACATCATCTATAAATATAAAATACTATCTCCGTGGCGTTATGGTAGGCACTTTGTTTTGCTTAAGATTAAGAGTCCAAGTGTTTGATTCTCAATCAAGTCAATTTAGAAAATGAACTTTTCTAAATTGGCTCCAGTCTGGGTGTTTTAGATCGTCTCCAATGTTCATGGCCTGATTCCTCATAACACAGGGTATCCTAGCTGAAAAACCAGGCAATTGGTGTAATTGTATGGCATTTATAATTATTAATAAAGTATCTAAGCAATATAAAGTTTACTTAGTGATATTGCATTGACTATGGCAAAAGTATTGAGAAAAAAATAATGTATTGCTTTGTTATCTGTGACTGTGATATTATATCCTTAATATATATGGATGAAAGAATTTTTAAAATTGGTGATTTTTTTTAGAGTATATTCACAACAAAAACATTAAAAAATCAAGTCTCCTTTTTCTAATTTTGGGTTATATATGATATACCAACAAAGGTAGGTAGAATAACAGTAAACATAGTAGTAATAATAAACTTACCTCTTGAACTTATCTTTTAATTAGAAAGAAAAAAAAGTAATAGTATCACTAAAAGGTATGAAACAATATTATAGCATGACTGATATAATAAGTACTCCCTTATTCCAGTATGGTCGTGTTTTTTGTGTAATTTTCCACTTTCTAATTAATGGGCAACATATTCCATTCCTATTATATAATTTCTTTTTGTACGTTATTTGTCATCAACTTAAGTGCCTCTTCATTATGTAGGTAATTATACTATATTACAATTTTACACTGTCCCATATTTATATTTTATATTGTTTTAGATAATTACCATGAAATACCAGAAGTACCTGCATATAAAATGGATGGTCGTTTTGAACCCATAAAATTTCCATGGTTGAGCAGATCCAAAGACAAACAATCAGTGAAAAAGTGGAATGGGAACACTCTGTATTCAAATTTAAATGAAGATACAGTTTATAAACAAACTAAAGGACTTAAACCAGGTGAAAAAGCTTTGGTCGCCAAGGTAGTACTGAGTGAAGAGGACTTATATTGTTTAAAATGCGTTGAAACAGTCAACTCTGACGAAACATTTCTTTGGTTATTAAATTTTCTAATATATAAAGACATGCAATCAAATTACAAATACTATAAAACGTGTTTAGTGGATGTATATGTTTGTGACAGTATTGAGAATTATACATCAAAAGACAATATTAATAAGAAATTTTATTTTGAATTTAAAATAGATAATAAGCAATGATATGTTCAAGATAAACTTCATAACTAAAATGTAATTTTAGATATATTTGAAGGTGCTTGAAATATTTGAAACGACAAAATATCACATATAAGTACCTGCAAAACACAAAGGTGCTTCTTATCCAAAGTTTTTTTATAAGCTATTATACGTGTCATTGTAATATCTATTATTGGTATCTTGATAAGATACAAAATTGTTTACACTAGTTTTAGCCAATGTATTTTATTAATATAATTTTGTTGTGTTATTTACTTATGTACCTATATTTGATAAATATTATTTTATACATAAAATCATGGCTTTTTATTCAGAATGTTCAACATTTTCAAAAACTTGGGTGATATATTCAAATTTTTGATACATTCAAAATTATTTTATGGATACAAATTAGAGAGCATGTAAGTTATAACAAATTATGAATATGGCCAAGAACTCTGCAGAATAATTGGTATTCTGTGTATAGCCAAATATACTGTTTGCTGCTTATATAAAAAAAATATAAACATTCTTAACAATATCTATACTTATATATATGACTGTTGACAGCCCAATTTAATATAAATGACCATAACAACATAGATTTTTCAGAGAGGCACTGACATACAAAATCAAATATGAACACAGTAACTCATTACAAACAATAAGAATTGGCCATGCCAAATTTAGACAGGAAAAGCCTTGAATTAATTTCAAGGTATAATAACGAGCCATTGCCTCTTAAATACACATACACTATAAGGGTCATAGACAACCTTCTGCACTACAGCTATTGTAATGCTGAAGAATTGACTGCTCACATATAATCCTGAAATATAAAGAAGTAAAAAAAAATGTCTTCCAATATTCACAAGCCTTCAAAAAAGTGAGGTAACTCCATGAAGACTGTCTACTTTTTTTGTAATGGGTGAAAATGGTATGGTAACCCCGCCTACGCTAACGGGATACGCTGGCGGAGCACCAGTGAAGGGTGATAGATGAGAATGAAAACAGGCCAGTTAGCCCATCATAATGAATTTATCAGGAATTAACCATGATAGTTTCCAGAGAGAACTGTGAGGAGGTCGACCTGGTAGCAATGGGATTAATGTGGTTAGTAATAGTAGTAGCTAGTAATGTGATAAATGATAGGCTAAATGTAGAATAGGTGTCCAATTACAAACTGGTATTTATCAAATGTATTATCTGATATTACATACCAAATATCTCACAAATCTACAAGATACGGGGAATTATAGCTAAGGTTATAGGGGAAATTTTAGTTACAAAAGAATAAACCGTACAAACAATATGTTGTTCATAAGGATAATTGAATGCAGAAATTCAAAGTTACGAGGGATACACTGAAAATTTTTAGAACTGGCTACTTGAAAGCAATATAATAAAAAAAATTGTAAAAATTTTGAAAATGGAACTTTTTACGAATAATATTGAGTATATAATTTATTCGTTTGTCATTTGTTTTACGGTTTGGCGGCAAATTGAAAATAGTCTGTGTAACGTTATCATGAACTTAACACGAGAAAATTTTCGTGCAATGATTTTTTATGAGTTTCGATGTCATCTAAGCCAACAGGAAAGTTATGATAAACTACGATTGGCCTTTCAAGATGAAGCCCCGTCTCATGCCACTGTTTACAACTGGTTTAATGAATTTAAACGTGGTCGCACTAATCTTACCGATGATGTGCGTGAGGGACGGCCTTCTACGGCGATAACTAAAGATAACATCAGTGTTGTGCGGCGTATGATAGACTGACAAAAGAGTGACCTATCAGCAGATTCGGGCAAGCATAGGGATTAGTATGAGTCAAGTGCACAAAATCCTCCATGAACATTTGGCGGTCAGGAAGCTTTGTGCCCAGTTATCCAACCTCATAATTTGACCGAGGATCAAAAACTCCGTCGTATTGATTAGTGTCATGAAATACATGAAAGATTTAACGGAGGTGACTCAAATTCTGTGTTTGACATAATTACGGGAGACGAAAGCTGGATTTACTGTTATGATCCCAAAACTAAAAGACAGTCAGCTCAGTGGGTGTTTCCTTTCGAGGAGTTGCCAACTAAAGTGAAGAGAGGTATATATACTTTTTTTTTTTAAGATAGAACTAAAATGAAATTATTCATGTATTAATAATATAATTTATTTAACAATTTAAATTATGTCTTCTTGTAATAATAATAATTAATTAGTATTTATTAATACCAATTTTTTACTATTGTAAAATATAGAAATGTAAATTACTTGTAGTAAGTATGTACTAATACAATATAATTATTACAATTAATTTACATTTCTATATATTTCTGCAAGTTATTTTTCTTCCTTTTGAATATGTTCTAAGAATCCTTTAGAACACCTCACTGATTGTTCATAACATTTTTCAAAACCTTTGGAATCACTATCCTGAAAATAAAAATAATTAATCCTTAACCAAGGGTACAAAAAAAAACAATTCAAATTTCCCTAAGTCAATTTTTTTTACACAATTCTAGTACTTTACCCAAAATGTATATTGCCATTAGCTTTGATTTATAAATAAATACTCTTTATTATTTCCTCCAAAGCATGACAGTAGTAAACTTATTATAGATACGAACTATTGTAAGAAATTACAACACTGAGAAAACAATGGGCTAAAAATTCGGATCTAATTTGTCAAGATCTATCAATAGTTCAACTATAGGAAACCCATCTTTGGGAATTTCAAGAAATCCCCGTCATGCGTCAAAATGCTCATTTGTAGATCTTCATAAGATATGTTTGAATCTCTGGTTCATACTCTAAGCAGACTCATGGTTTGTATTGATTGTCGATTAAATACTGAGCCTTATCAGAAGAATAAAGATTAGGTAGAAGTGACACTCCTGCCAATTCAATAATTATACACTGTTCATAGCTTGGGACAAATTCCTTTAATTCGAGTTTTTTTTTAATGGATGATAATGGAATGGTAACCCCACCCGCGCTATCGGTATACACCGGTGGGGCACCAGTGAAGGATGATGGGTGATGATGAAGTAGGTCAGTTAGCCCATTGTGACAAATTCAACAAGAATTGTTCACAATGGTTTCCAGGGGGAACCACGTGGAGATCGACCTAATAAGCCATATTGCTAGCAATGGGGCTGTCAAACTCCATTGCTAACAATTGCTTTCCCTCCCTTTAATTTGAGTTAGCGCAGTCATGCGCCACTTGGAAAGTATGTTTAATTATAAACTAGATAGATACAAGATGGGTGCTTTTTTTATTTTACCAACATAAAACCAACATTAATGATTTGTTTACTTAGAAATTATTAAAACAATAGTAGGGCTTTTTTACACTTTTTTAATATAGTTATCATTGTCTAATTTTTGGTATGGAGTTTAAAAATAATAAAAAAGACTGTAAATTTAAAACTTTTTAAGGAGGATAACCATTAGTTATAAACTGCATATTATTCAAATTTATCCATATGATCTATAATTGGATTGTGTGCATCATATTACTTCTACTGGTAGGAGGTTGACTTTACATTTGTCTACACGAGGTTGCTGCTTTTGAATCTTTTTCTGTTTTTTTCAATATGATAACAGATTATTTTTCATTATTTTTATATAACAAAGTAATTTATTAAAAGAGTATAAATTTGTAACAAGCCTATTTAAGTAAAAGGAAATAAGATACATTTTATTGCCATTGGTACATTACATTAACAAAGTACATGAGTGTCACCCCTACCCAGATAATTTCATTTTTATTGTTCTTTTAGTTTTATTTATTCATTATATTTTGGTTATTTTTTTTACTCTTATAGTATTATGTACATTCAATAACAATTAGCCAAATTAATACAGCCGTTTTAGAAGATGTGCAATGAACTGCTTTTCAAAGTTTCAATATTTACATTAATTAAACAAATATATAAATACTTACATAATAAGGATCTCTAATAATACGATCACCCTGTGGATCAAAATCTCCAAACAGCAGTAGTTTTGCCTTACTATCCTTTGGTGCTCTCTTATTGAGATCCTTCATATTTGCCTCATCCATGCCAAATATATAATCATAATAGTTAAAATCTGCTGCTGTTATCTAAAAAATACATATTATTGTGTTAAGAAGACTATTAAAATAATATTTACAGTATAAACTATATTTTCCAAACTTACCACCTTCCTAACAGAAAGTGGAATGGGTAATACCAAGATTATATAAATATGTAATAACATATATATAAGTTTACTTACAAAAGTATAAATGTTTTCACATTTACATAATTAGTTTATTGGTTTTGTGTTCAATTTGTTGTTTCTTACTTATTATTGATTTATTGTCCAATGACAGTGACAAAATTCTAGCACTAGCTGTACACTGGGTATTATTGAAATAAAACATAATTTAGAAATCACAATTGTTGTGGTTGTAGGTATATAAAACACTTGCCTAAGTACTCACTTGTCTCGCATGATTGTTATATGGAACATTGTGTTTTTTTAAGGTATCCAAAGCTCTCCAATCTGGAGGGTTTCCAACATGCCAGCCTCCTATTGCAGCACTATCAATTTCCCATTCATCACCCAAATTTAAATCATTAACAGTTTTTTGGAACACTCCTTCTGCTATTGGAGATCGACAAATATTCCCTAAAAGAAAAAGAAAAATACACACAAGATGAAACAATGTTTTAGAATATTTGTTGGTATGTCTGCGTTTGTTGCGATATTAAAAAAAAACTATTGCATCAAATTGAATGCGCTATTTGCATTTGTAGTCTAATTTAAAATCCCGTGTAGGTATGTATGTAGATTTAACATGATATGCCATTTAGAAGAGGTTACTTCCAAAATTCACGAGTATGACCCGAAGTTTTGAGCAAAAACTAGTAATAAATAAATAATACTTAAAAACTTTATGTACTTACCCAAACAAATAAAAAGCGCTTTTTTCTTAGTGTTAGACATTGCTAAATTAAATGGAACTTGTTTTTTTATTACTTCGTCTGTATAACAACTTAGTTAAAGATAATATTTGACTTAAATTAAGTAGGTAACTTGCATGAACATAAAATATTAAGCGATAAGTAATATCAGTTATTGATATTAGCGATGTGCGACTTTACTATTCTATATCCGACTATTAATTATTCGATTAGTCAATTCATTCGGATAATTCAAATGATATTCGAAATTTTCGAATCCTTCAATTTATTGATTCTACTACAAATTTCATCCGCATCTAATTTTCATCCGACTAATATTTCATTTGACAACCAAGAGTACATAACCAATAGAACATCTACAACAAATTCCATTCGCTGTACGTTTCTACTAATAGCTAAAATCATTAATTAATAATTGTTCATGAGTCAATATGAAAGTAACCAAGTTGATTCGATCGCTTGAATATTCTTTTTTTTTTTTTGTTTTTGTATTTAGTAAAAAGTAGCGACTTTTTACATTTATCGAAGTAAATTTATAGTAATAAATTTTTTTGTTCGTCATCCATTATCATCTATTGGCAAACTAGTGGATACAGGGAAAGGATTTAGTTTTCATTATTAATAGTTTAAACGAAATAACTAATTAGCAAAATCATTTGATTACGACAATTAATATGTTACTAATTATGTAGTAAAATAAAAAAAAAACAGTAATTATTAATTATTTGAATAACAAAATCATTCCGATACATGAACTGCTAGTTAAGGTACATATAAATGTATCACAGAGCAAGTAAAAGTAAGCAGCGACTTTTTATCAACGATACCTAGAAAAAAAAAATTAAATGCATGTTACCTTTTCGAAGTAACACAACAAAACTACAAAAAACAAGAATAAATGAATGTATGTAGTGTTATACCACTATGTATATATACCTCTATCTAATATATCGACAGTTACCATAAAAAAATCTAGCTATTCTATAAAATAACATTTTTAAATCTTACAAGAAATGTGGACAATTTCATTGAATTTTCCTTAAAACAGGCCAATGGCCTACGTAATGGAAAGTGACAATCGCCTGTAGATATAAACAGTACCATGGGCATCACATGGTATATTGTGTCGCCGGTGATACCCAACATACGTTGCTATTTTTGAAGACTAAGCTCTTATGCCTGTACCATGTAATTTCAACAACATTCCCCATAAATTCTCCCTTCAAACCAAAACATAGCCATACAAACACAACTGTTTCATGCCAGAAAGACGAATGGCACATATGCACTTGTTAGATATTTATTTGAAATTATATTAAAGTTCTTAAACATCTTGTCAAAATATGTACCTACATTTATTAACAAAAATTAGCATAACAACTTTAAATATAATAAAATTGTTATTAACTTATTGTTGTTACTGTATGTTTTAGTGCAATAAAGAATATATAATAATAATAATATTAAAATTGTTATTATACCATATTTTGTAATAAATTATTCTTGTAATGTATATAAAACACTAATTTATATTTTAATTGATTTTATAATTATTTATTATCATGATATTTAAATAAAAAGTAATGAATTTGTAAGAACACGTGGTTTTGCTGACTTGTTTACTCCAATTCGGCCGTGTAGATATAAAAGATTGTTATTTGGGTGGGGAGGCACTTCTTCTCCAACCGTTGAACAGAGCGGAGCAACGTAGCAAGAGTGAATAAGTATAGTAAACCACATGGTCATTATATAAAATATAGGTATCACAATTATTGTTGATGGAAGTCCTAAAAAAACTATAGTTAAATAAGTGTCAATAGATTAAAAGAAGTTGGGTATTTATGTTATTTGTTATATATCAAATACAAAGTAAAATAAGTAAATATATGATTTAATAGTATGATATGTAAATTAAATGAACTAAGTGAACTTGTGCTTCTTTTCTATTTATTACTAAGAGGCTTACAACCTTTATATTGTTAAAGGATATATCATATATATTTAAGTTACAATTACGTAATACGTAATAAATACGTAATTAAATTACTATATAAATCTATTACTCTACAGTTATTTATCTAATTTGAGACACTCATATAGACGACTTTTGTGCAATGTCTCCATCTGGAAAAAAAAAATGGAAATATTTAAGAATGGCAGTGTTTTCATACGTTGATCGTAACAAAACTAGTTTTTTTGCTATAAAACTGAATCACTGAAGTTACAAAAAATACATATATACTGAAACATTTTGAAAACCATAGATATATTGAAGTTTAGCAAAGTTTATAATAACAATGGAAACTGTAAAGAAAAATATATATTGTGATAAAGGTCCTGTTAAGTACATACTCAAATTAATAAAAAAAAATTAGTTACATATGAAGAAAATAAATCGAAGATTTCTGCTTGGGAATAGATACAGAGAAAAAGAATCGCAAATGACAAATATGCAAATTATATAAACTGTAAAATATACAATTAAAGCGTAACTATCCATGTCTCAAGAAAAATCTGTTAACAAAGATACAGTCATTCGAGATTCTTGTAAACTTGAACACGAACTTTCAACACTAGATGGGGCGGGTGACAATATTGTATTTTTTTTTACAAAATTTATTTATAGTAAAATGTTATTTCTGATACAGCGCTATGACTCCAACTATCATAGCAATTCAAAATGATCATGATCTGCCATGATTAGCCACGTTTTAGTGACATAGTTTTATACAATAATGGTATTCCAACGATTTTCCTATTGTCGTTGACCTTGTAGGTATTCTTTCTCTAATGACATCTGACATTCAGGAAACTGTATTACCATTTCGAAATTTTTAAATTAAGCTTAATCATTTCTTAGATAAAGGTAGGTACATATTAAAAAAAATGGCGTAATTCAGTAAGATTAACAAAATATTAATTTTATCTTACATCTCCGTACTTCCGCAAAAGAACGCTAACACATAAAATTACATATAAGTAAAGGTATTGGCATTGTTTTTTTTATATCATTTAGAACGGCAAACAAGCTGACGGCCGACTTGATAGAAAGTGGTAACCATCGCCTATAGACGTGCAGTACCATGGACATAACAGAGTAGAGAGTAGAGTGTTTCGCCCATGCTACTCCCCATGCGTTGCCATTCCTGAGGACTCGGGTGCTATTCTTTTGTACCCTGTAAATTCACGCCATATCCCACCCTTCAAACCGTAACACAGCCATGTAAACACAACTGCTTCACGGTAGAAACACAAATGGGACAGAGGTACCCAAGCAATCGACTTTTGTACAAAGTCGATTGCTTGGATACCTGTAGTCTGGTGTTTCTCTCTCCCGCTTCTCAGACTGTCTTCAAACTTAGATGAAATATCAATATTTTGTAAATTAAGAATCCGATTTCACATGGGTAAATAGAATTTTTCAAAATAATATATAATTGTAATCTAAGTATATAATCTAAAATGTTATTAGATGACAAATAAATCCTTACTTTTTATAATTATAGTTTAGATTTTGATAAAAATGAAATGGTTTTAAAAATATTGATAAAAGAAAGAAAATTGCACAGGGAAATTAACAATTATGTAACTTTTAGTGTAGGAATTCATACATTAAACAGTATATAGGTATAGAAAGAGACCGATCTATTTCAATTTGTTTATTTTAGTACTGATTTTTAATTTTGATAATCTAAAATATCAAACTTCAAATCATAAATATTCGATTACTTTTTAAATCGAATCAAAATCGGAAACCCTACTTAACTAAATAGCCGTCATGGCTGAATGAATTGTTGTCGAACTGTCAGTTTTGTAAAATTCTTTTATTTTCTCCATGACCAGTAATTTGTGAGTTGTGGTTCTGTAATGGGTTGTGTTCAGTTATTTTTCTCATGAATACACACATATTTTAACCATGAACGGGTTAAGTTTTAGTGAACTGTGTTGCTTATTTTGTTGTCCGCCATGCCCAGGAAAAATTGCGGCTAAGCTGGCTTTCCTGCCTCCAGAACCCACGTATGCATTCACACCTGATGAAACTGGATCAAAATTCTCTTTAACACTGACTGAACGAGCAGAATGGCAATACTCAGAAAGAGAGAAAGAAAACATCGAAGGCTTCTACTCGAGGACAACTAGAGGCAACAGAATAGCTTGTCTCTTTGTTCGCTGCAGCCCCAACGCGCGCTTCACAATATTATTCTCTCATGGAAACGCCGTAGATCTTGGGCAAATGAGTAGTTTTTACTTAGGGTTAGGTACTAGAATTAACTGTAATATATTCAGCTATGACTATTCTGGGTATGGTGTAAGTGGTGGAAAGCCTTCTGAAAAGAATTTATATGCGGATATAGATGCTGCGTGGCAGGCTTTGCGGACACGCTATGGCATCAGTCCAGAGAACATAATATTATATGGACAAAGCATTGGAACAGTGCCTACTGTAGACCTCGCTGCACGGTATGAAGTGGGAGCAGTTGTTTTGCATTCGCCTCTCATGTCCGGCATGCGTGTAGCTTTTCCAAATACTAAAAGGACATGGTTCTTTGATGCTTTTCCAAGGTAAGTTCTATTGGATTTTATAGTAAATTTACAATGTATTTACTATATATTTCTAATATAAGACATAATTCCTTAGGACTATTCATTAAAAGTATATTCCTGTTATATAATTATATATTACTAATATAAGTATACATAACAATATTAAAACTCTTGATATATGATTTCCATATAGAATAATGGAAACATGTAAGATACTCGAAAAGTTATGTGATCAAAATTCTGGTCAAAGTAGTTTCTTGTTTGTTATATAAGTCAATGTGTGAATCAGTGGCTTCGATTAAGTATTAAAGTTATTATATTTATTTATCTTTCATTATCACATTATGTACACAACATTAAATTTTTATCAATGTTTTGTATTCTAGCTAGATACCTTATCTTATTAATAGGACCCTCACTTTGATCAACAATGTCATATAATTTGATTGTTTTTAATAAGTAGGTAAGAAAATTATATTTTGTTATTTTATTTACTAAATTTGTTTCTTATTCTCTTACCACAGATTGATTGAAAAATTACTTGGCAATCTGTTATTTCATATTTTTTTGTTGGTATGTTAATGTCCTAGAATAGATAGAGTTATAAAATATCCCTTGGGTATTGTTAAGAGACTTAATGTCTCACACATTTTATGTGAATAATAAATTTGGTTTTGGTAAATGTAAGACTTGACTTGTCTATATTTACATAAGTATTTTTAATGATAAATAGATTCAAATCAGTGTAGTCTGTCTTATAAAGTTAATCATGTCAACAGATCATTGATCCTTAACAATTATATATTGTTGTATTTTATTTATATGATACCTAATATTGATATCAACTTTCAATTATAATGTGAATAGAGGTGATAAAATATTGATAATACATAAATATTATGTTTAAAGTAGTTTATTGGTTTTGTCTCATTATTTGAGGTGGAGGTGTATTACATATACAATAAATGTTATAATAAATTTAAATTGATTTCCTCCTTATAGATGCACAATATTTCAAGAGATATTTTTTAACAATATTTATTTGAACTTTTCATTTAGTATATGTAATGATTTATGCACATAAAAAACTTGGTGATATAATACACAAACATGCATAGTGTTTTCAACTGCATTACTTCAACTGTTACACTTTCACTACATAGTTGATTACTGGAGCTTGTATGAATAAGTATGTACTAAGTACTTACATAGTTCAGTCATAAAACCAGATATAATGTAGGTAGACTAGCTAATCAAATAATTATATCCTAAAATTTTATACTTTTATTTATACCTAGATATTTTGATGTATGAATTTTTATAAGAACTGAAATAATCATATAGAAATTGTCTCTATTTCTATCAGTATATCATGTTCATTCTCATTTTCCTTGCTTTTATTTCATTATTTTTGGAATTGGCACAGTGTAGTTTCCTTTTGCATTGACCCTTGTCCAACATGTTTTTTATTTGTTTTTTTTTAATCAAATTTTTGTTGAAGGTCTAGTACACTTGAGTGACTATGCCAGCCTCATAGGGATTGTCTAAAAGTCAGTTTGTCAGTCCATCAGGGACACCTGACCCAAAAAAAATGTCATTTTATTTATTGTTGTATTATGTATAACCGATTAGTTGATGGAAATCTTAAAATTTCTCTGTTTAGATTTTTTTCAAATTAGTTATATGCGTATCACATTAAGTATATGATATATTCAAAATTGCAAGGTCAACCTTTATTTTAAATTCATATTTCTAAAAACTTTTATTCTTATTTTTTATATTTTTCAGTATCGACAAAATTCCCAAGGTCACATCTCCAGTCCTTGTTATTCATGGAACTGAAGATGAAGTGATTGACTTCTCCCACGGTTTAGCCATATATGAGCGCTGCCCGAGAGCTGTTGAACCATTATGGGTTGAGGTAGGATTATAAATTTATAATATTTTAAATTAGATGAAATTTTAAATTAGTTCATATTTTATGCTTTTTAACACAAAATTAGAAACAAGTTGGATTTTTTTTTTTCTAAATTATGTTCAATTATTAAAAAATTATAAAAAAATCACATATATCAACTGTATCAATCAGCCTTAGATGGGGGGACAAACTAGGTATGCTGAGGTTGACCCAGCATATTAATACATTTATAAATTAATGTTATGTGAATTAGTATATTATTGCATTTTTTCAATTCATTATATAAAAAAGATCATTATTATTGATTAATTGTAGAAAAGTAATTGAAGGTGACTATAACTTATTTACAATATTTATATTGCCTTGAAATATTTAGTGTGGATGAAATGATTTTGGAAGCTTGTTATTTGCAAGTAATTACTTAAATGTTTTACTAATATATACAAGAAATATATCCCACACTAAATAATTGAAATCTCATTTTTCAGGGCGCAGGACACAATGATGTCGAGCTTTTCAATCAATATTTAGAAAGATTGAAACGTTTCGTTTCAGTAGAGTTGCTCAACTGACAAAGACTGCCGGCCACGGGCCAGACAACTCAAGGTACCAATGTTTTTCCACGTGCGTATTTTACCCGAAAATTTTCCTTTTCATAGATTTTGTATTCACTTTATAATACTAGTAGAAATGACAATTTGTTTTTTCACAGGTGAAGACCAAAATCCTGCTTCAACATTAAGCTCTGGTACGTCAAGTTCAGCGACAGAAAGACTCCTCTAGCTAGCGGGGGCCGGGCCTAGTCGGGCCGGCCCCAATAAAAATTCAACGAATGCAAACGGCTCCGTCAGTCCGCATAATTATAGAGAAATTGATAAAAAAATAGACAATAACGATATCGGATCTAAAGAAACCAAAAGTCCTAAACCCGCAGTTCACAATATCAGCATAAACGTAACGGATACAGACTCGCCCGCGTGTGTCCGCCGCCGCATCCACCTGCGCTCGCTCAGTGACGTGACGCCCGCCAGTCGAGCGCTGGCGCCGCGCGCGCGCTCGCACTCCGAGCGGCCGCGCGCGTCCGCCGCGCCCTCTGCCGCCGCCTCGCCCGCGCCCTCCCCCTCGCACCCGCCCCTCGCGCCCCTCGCGCCCCTCGCGCCCCTCGCACCCCTAGCGCCGCTCCCGCGAGCCGTGCGCAGCGAGCGCTCCTCGCCGGACGCGTCGCAGCGGGCGCTCGACCGTCGCGCCGACGACGACACGAGTGCGGACACGCGACCGCGCCTCCGGGACCGCGGAGCCAGCGATGCGGTCACCGTTCTCGGCAATCCGTGGCGGAAGATGAGCGAGGTCGATCTTAAAAGCGCCGGTGGTCGTTCTCGACCCGTGACCCGTGCCGCGCTCGATCCGTGGATAAAAAATTCGTCGCTCCGGCCCGCAGGCGAGTCTCATCGCGATCGTACGGTCTCTAGAGATGATATCGTGAAGGCTTCGACCGAATCTGACGTGAGACGAGACAGCTCTACCGTCAAACGGGGCAAATTGGAGCGCAAGGCGGCTGTCGTGTGCGAGTCCTGCGGAAATGAAAGTTGCGAATGTTGGCGGCCGCGGAGCCCGGGCTGCCCGCGAACTCCGCGGTTGCAGCGAGCCGTGACGAGTGCTCTCGGCGCGCAGTGCACGTGCGACCCGCGCTCGCCGCGTCCGTCGCCCGCGCGCCTGGCCCCTCGTCCGCCGGTAAGAGCTCTATCAGACGATGAAGACCGTCCTAGACGGCTTTATAAGTCCGCTTCACAAAAAATGATTTGCTCGACTGTCGACAGTGACAACGTAAAAAAAGCTGCAGATCCACTTCTGGAGACTACGTGTTAAAACTGTCATCTCTGATCTTAAAGAAGCAGTAATGGTCTGATAAAAAGATCTAAGCTCTGCCCCGTCCGATATGACGGCTTCCGAGGCTCTACATGAAGCAACGGGGCGAAGCTTTTTGTCTTGTGTATGATATGTGTGTTGTCCCCTTAATGTATGAGTATTATTAGTGTGAATTTTGTATCCTTTAGTTGTAAGATTTCGAAATTGTAATTGTATCATATTAAATTCAATTATTATAAAGAGAGTGTCTGTACTATGTTATGGTATGATGATACTATGAATGTTTTAATGAATATTGTAATTATACTTATTTTTGAGCGATTGCTTGTATGTTAATTATGAATGATGACTTTTATAATAGCATTTTTTTTTCTAGCCGTTATTTGCAATAGTATGGGTGTTTCTTTTTTTTTGTGTAGTTCCTATATTTTGTTATACATTGTTTAAAACTTTGAACGCACAAATTATTCATGTGAAAATAATCAACAATTTATATGAGTTATATTCAAGTTATTTCAAAAATATATTCTTCCAATCATTGTACATAGGGATAGTTTTAGATATTATGGAATATTATGAAATTACACATTTATAAAGTTGTTACCATAATCCATTAATAATGCATTATGAATTATGATACTACCATTTTTTTTTTTTAATTAATCAGTGTATCCATACATTCCACAAATAATACATTCAGTAAAAATTTCTACACTAGGTACATGTTTTAATTGAAATTAATTTGTTTCTGAAACTTTGAGCATTTGAAATGGACGTAAGTGTGTCACAAACGAAGGGAACAAGGTTGGAGGCGTTATAATAGTCACTTTTAGTGAGTAATTATGATTGATTTCGTATACTTCGCCAATTTTATTAAATACCTCAGACTAAGAGCGTAATATAAAACACTAATAAGTACATTTACATTGGCCGGATTATATGAAATTAATCATTATTATAATAATGAATCATGCAGTTCCTTGTAATGAATGCTTAAAATTTTTATAACTTCAATCTTATCAAGGGACATTTAATTATATTTATTTAAGTGAATAATTTTATTTGTGACTTCGATCTTGCAACTGTGAAATCTATTTGTAAAATGACAAATAAAACATGTATTTACCATAGGCGTTTTGGTGAAAACGATTGTCGTGACGTCTAACACTAAACATGTTATCGATTGTAATATTATTTAATATACTTGTACTTTGTTCCCTGCCATTATTAAAAATAAAAACAAACTTCTTTATATATAAGACTATATTATATATAGACACGACTGGTTTCGAAAAGTGATCCTCATTTTTTAATAAACACACTATCAAGGTACAAATATTTTTAATATTATTATGTAATCGATATATTGGAGGTCAATCAAGAATTCTTGTTTTATACAAATACCAAAATGTGTATAAAACCATATATAAAGGCTTTATTATTCAAACCATTTCATTTAGATCACAATATTATGTTTGTTATCTAATGTTGAATGAATTCAATTTCTTCAAGTTCACATATATGTATGGGTCATAATTTCTACTGCCTTGTTATGCCATTATTATTGTTCTTAATATAATAATCACCTATTCTATTAGAATCAAATCGTAAGGTATAATTGGAAAAAGATACAGGTAATTCGAAAATGAAAGATGTAAGTCTGGTATATTTTGGTAAGGATTAACCGATATTTAATTAAAAATCGGTATGTTTTTTTTTGCTCATGAATCGACCATGTATGGTGCTTTGGGTCCATGGTAGTTCTATTATATTCTGTAATTGTTCACAGTACTGGAAATAGTTACCACAGCCTATACTGGCAGCTTATACAGATAACTCCTTTTCTATTACAATATTATTATTAAATATTCTAATAAATATACATCACGCTTCTCCCTTTGAGAATTTTGAATATTTGTAAACCTTAAGTATAAATAAAAAAAAAATAAAGCAGATATGTGCTCTGTCTCAATAATGTCAAAATTAATGGACATTATATTGTAAATGTCCTAAAAAAATCTGAGAACTAATTTGATTGGATTTGGAATGAAAAATTTAAATGTAATATGCTCATGTAGTAAGTATATGAGCATATCATATATAGATGTAAATGTATTTATCAAATATTTAAGTCACGCTGTCACAGATGTATTTAGTTTTTAATTATTATGATAATTATTATTATATACACAAAATTGCATTATCAAATCATAAAACCTCAAATTATCTTTTGATTCGCAAATGCGAAAATATATCTACCCAGTTCTTTTACTTTCATTCAGTGATAAGCACCTATACTATAATACTAATACCATGGTCGTTTATTATTTTGCTTTAACTGAATAAGAAAGGATCTTTTTTATAGGTTGTGACTTGTGAATAATACAAAACATCTTCTAAAATCCCAATTTAATTATTAGTTTCATTACATAGCTAAAATAGGGTTACATTTAATAAATATGAAATTGTATTTTAAAGACTGAAATTTGACAACAAAATAATAGGTATGATCCATTGATCAATGTATTATTGTGCAATAATCTGTAATATTGTATACTTACAATTTTGCCTTATTTATGTACTTAACATTTGTCAACACTTGCAAAACCCAATTGAGGAATCATGCACTATATTAGTACCTAAGCAATTCTTTCATAGCTCCAAAGTATGTACTACTATATAACCTTTGTTAAACTATTTAGATACATACCTATTTCATATAACACAAAATCTCTATTACTACATGTATCCTGCATTGTTATCTCTACCAAAGTAGGTACAAAAATCTAGAATCTGTATAGGTGAGGGATATTTTGTCTGCAAAGAAGAGAATTGTCCTGTATTAACATAGCACATTTTATAAAATTTTAAATTCTATTATAACGGAAGTGTTGACGATTGTCTCTCGTCTATACAGGCTCTAACAATAAGTACTTTTATTATGGCCATCCTACAAAACATACTAAAACTATCTTATATTATTTTTTGGATCACAAGCACTGTAAGTTAGTTAACGAACATGTAACAGGAATATTTTGCAATTTAGTAGTACGATACAAAGGCGATAAAAATAAAAAATAAATTGTTAAAATAGCCCAAATTTTACTATTTGCCATTATTAGTTTGACCAATGTATATGATCTAATATGGGTGGGTATTCATATTTACAGATCTTCATTGAAGTGGACAAATGTGAGCATTGTACTATAAATTTTTGGTTAAAAAATTCAATCGATTTTATAAATGGCTAAAATACATAAATCAGATTCTTACACCTATAGCAATAAATGCCATGAGGCATGAACGACACGGGCCACAACCCGCGGTCTTAGGGGGCAGGATTTCCAAAAAACGTCTTTTGCATCGCGAAAAATATATCTTGCCCATGTCCATATTTCGTCTTGCCCCGACACTACCTATAGCAAAAAGCATCCAGAACTTGTGAAATTAAATTTGGCATTAATTAATTAAATTCTGAAATCTCGTTTACAAGATAGTCATAATTATAAAAAAAAAAAAAACCATAGGTCCTATTACACCCGTTAATAATATCTCGAGAACTTATGAACATACCTAACACCTCAAACAGCCTATAAATCTACTGTAAAGCTCGTTGTATTGGCTAGCGAATTGGTTCATGTAATTCAGTTGCTATTAATTCTTTTTTGCATATGACAGTCTTGTGATAGTTGATATATTTGACAGTTTCAGTTACAAGTTGAGTTATAGTTTGTAATTAAACCACTTAACTGTCAAACAGAACATCCGTTATTGTCAAACTACTAACTACCAAAATAGAATCGATGTAAACTGATTTACTAATCCACCCGCTGGAACACTATCAATAATAATAATTATTATTTCCTTGGAATGTGATATTACTATACGTATGAAATCACATTTACAGTTTAATTAAATATAAAACTATAATGACAGTAATGGGGCCGATTTTGAGTCTCCATTTCTCTTAACCTAATATTTTAATGATTTTGCGTGAATAAGAAAGTATTTATATGATTGTTTTATATTATATCATGAACTGTAATATTACTTAAATTTATTATAAAATTAGTTCATATTGATCCTTACAGTAACCTAAAAATTTTGCATTGATATCAAATTGAAATTTTAATTTTAGGGAAATGACGCCACAGAATCCACCCCACTTTACATTCTTAATGTAATTTATATCGAATACAACAAACCAATAAATAATCTTCAATAAACCTTTTTATAAATATTTACCTACATATAAGTATTTAATTAAAAATGTAAGTATATTTTTCACTGGATTAGTTTATTTCATTAATATTTATCAGCTGTTATCTCTACAATCCCTAAGGTCTTTTTTTAGTATCTTAAAATAAATTATGCATATCCACTTCCACTGCATATTCTACTTATAACAAAACGTTACTTTTCCGTATATACTGGCTGGAAACTATACAAAAACCGCTCAATTGCAAATTGTCATACTGTCGAAGATAATTTTTTTTAAATGCAAGGTTTTGCTTGACATCTTCAAATGGAATGAAGCAGTCCCTTACCTGCATAAAGGACTGCTCCATTCCATTTGGACAAATTTCATTTATTAGCCGCGGTCTTGCTTTAACCTTTAGGTAACATATAGAATTCAAGTAATATATTTTCAGATACAAAAAGGTACGGTCCAGATAAAAAAAAACCCTCATCTGCACCGGCGCTTAAAAAAATATATGCAGTTTAGATAATTGAATTTGCACTTTAACATTATCAAATTATTCATTAATATGTTTGCATCATTATATAAATTTATTTTCGGAACATCGATCAGATAACAAGTTTCTAAAATAAATTTAAATATGTGTAAAAGCACGAAAGTGTAAAATTAATTTATTTATATATTACAATATCAACAGATTTTACTGTATTCAGTAATTATTGCTAATACTGCAATATTAAAGGCTAGATCCACTTCATCATTACTTATTTAGTAATTTAAAATATTTAGGATGAAGTATTTGAGGAAAGGGCACAATGAGATCGAGTAAACCCCGCACGACACAAGTGGTATCAAAATAGTTTTGTTTACTGTGTTGTGTTTTGAAAGTAATATTGTAAGAATGAAATTGATTATTTCTGTTTTGTTGTCACTGATTTTTATCATATAAAAACCGAAATTTATGAAATGTGTAAGCTTTTAGATATAGTTATTTTATGCATACAAAGTTATGTATTATACAATTAGAACACATTGATATATTAAAAAAACTCTTAGGTACACAGATACTAAAATATTCAATTTTGTACTCATTTCTAAACGTAATGTTGCAGTTAAATTTTTTTCTGGACAGTCTCAAATGTAGTATCTTTTATATAGTAATGTTAACCCTAGACTTTTTTATATATCAATGAGTTAGGATTCTAAAAATGGCAAAACATGCTATTAGAATCTATCGAATTTTATGTATTAGTTTTATTATTTACTAATATTTTTATATTTTTTCTATTTGGCAATTTAATTATAGTCATACTTTTTGTACTTACATGCATATTAATTATACTACGAAAAATTTTAAGTAGATACTGTCATGTGATTCCAAAGCCCTATTCTACTTACACCTCAGTGCCATTATTTAATATTTTATATTCCATAAGTACCTACCTAATTATTTTCATATGTTCTTTGTAAATGTATTTTTTTTATGTGGAATGGATCGTCTGCAAACAGGTTTTTTAATTAAGGCATATTACAATCTTAATGTAACATAAACAGGTAACAATAATTTCTAATAAATCAAATTGCACATAATCCTTAACAATCATTTCCATTCCCCATAACCTAGCAGTCAATTGGTTAAATACATTTTTGTTTTAATAAAGTCCACCACCATCTCTGCTACACGGTTTGAGGATTTAAGAACAAAGGCATGATTAATATTTACCAGTTTCATTTCAATCGATGGCTTGAAGCGTATGAAGTCATCGAAGTACTCTATTGGTGCCCAATTATCTCTGTTACTATAAATAACACATGTTAAATGTTTGATTCGATCAATTGCACTCTTATTTAGTGTAGTTACAGTTTGCATTTCGTCTATTGCTAAGTAAATTACTTTGTCCATTGTATTTGGATTTAGACATTTTAATATCCTGTCACTATAATGAGAAGGGAGTGAATTCGATTTTAAATATATATCCACTAGTAATGTTTTCACAAGAACTGGTAAATAATTTAGGAGTGTCAATAACATTATTATTAACGAATGAAATGTTTTTACATATTTAACGAATTGTTTGCCATTCGGACTTTCGACCATTTTTTGTAACGTAGGAAATAATAAGGTGACGGACGAAACTCTACTAATCAAATTAGGGTCTTTTTCCAATAATTCAATAATTAACCATGCACCTATAGAATGACCGATCAAATGAATTTTGCTTTTTTTATCTATATGATTATTAATAAGGTCTAGCTTTTGAGCCACCTGACCTTTAAGATTGTACAAATTATCACTACTTTCTAACTTTTCCTCTGGTCCGCTCGGAGGTTCGTCATGTCCAGCTTGTCCTTAAACATAAAAAATAATTCGATGGGTATAGGCGACTCAGTTACTGAATTACAATATTTCATATCGTTAATTATGTCAAATGTATTATAATGGTTATAGCTTGCCCAATTTCGTTCGGATTCGGACTCTCCGCAGACGGACACTTTTGCAATCGACAAGATAGGTTCTTACAATTTCTTGTTTTCCCACATAAATTTTGTCATGATAAAAACTGGGGAGCAACATTTTGTTTGTTACGGACTAAAATCTAGAAAATCTAAACAAGATTGCATATTATAAATTTAAATATTAAAGATTTTCTCTTAGGTAAAATAAGGGAGGAAATAATTAAGGGGTCATTGTTGAGTGGATACTGACTACCTATTATACCACCAGGCGAAAACTAAAAACGCAATCTGAAGTACTATTTCATTTCCATCCATGAAAAAAATAGACAAATTAATCAAAAACGATAACCAGAGGGAGATTTTGTACAAAAGTCGTTTGCTTGAGAACCTCTGTCCCATTCATATTTCTATCGTTAAGCAGTTGTGTTTCGGTTTAAAGGGTGGGATATGGCAGTGAATTTACAGTATACAGAGGAATAATACCCGAGTCTTCAGGAATGGTAACGCATGGGGTATCATGGACAAAACAGTATGAAAAAAAAAATGAAAAATGAAAAAATATTTATTTCGTAACAAAATTGTATATTCTATTATGTCCATGGTACATGAATATATTGCTGGCAATAGGGCTATCAAACTCCACTGGTAACAATCACTTTCTCCCCCCCAAGAGTTGTGCATGGTACTGCTCATGTCTATAGGTGACGGTTACCACTTCCCATCAGGTGGGCCGTCAGCTTGTTTGCCACTCTAAGTAGCATAAAAAAAAAACAATCTGTTAAAATAGCTTAACTTTTAAAATTGGTAACCCAAAATTATCTAGTCAAATATGACAATCATAAATAGCAAAATTATGAATTTGACAGTTAAATTGAGAATAACCTTTTTCATAGGTACGTTGAAAATTATGGCAACTTTGCGTCGAAAGCTGCATTTTGTGAATATTGGTTATTTTTTTATAGGCTGAAAATGGAATGTTAACCCCATCCATGCTATCAGTATAAATTGACAGGCTACCGATAAGTAATGAAGTTCAATCAGTAGACTCATTGTGACAATTTCACCAAGAAGTAAACATGGTTTTCAGGGAAGATTGAGTGTATTCGACCGGATAGGATATATTGCTGGCAATGTCCCATTCATGTTTCAACCGTGAAGCAGTTGTTTGCATGGCTGTGTTTCGGTTTTAAGGGTGGGATATGGCAGTGAATTAACAGGGTATAGAGGAATAACACCCGAGTACTCAGGGATGGCAACGCATGAGGAGTATCATGGGCGAAACAGTATACTCTGCTATGTCCATGGTACTACTCATGTCTTTAGGCGACGGTTAGTACTTTTTCTCAGATGGGCCGTTAGCTTATTTGCCATTCGAAGCTGCACAAAAACAAACATTAGCAATTCTATCCTCACCACATTAAAAAAGTTAGATCATCATTTGTTCCTTATACTATAATAATACTACATTATATTAGTAATATGAACTAATAACATCATTGCTATATACTCTGTCAGGTCGACCTCCTGGTTCTCTTTGGAAACTATCATAGTTAATATTTGCATTTGTTACTATGGGCTTGCTGATCTGCTTTAGTTTCAATGCAATGCAAGCAGAGTTACAATGCCATCATCACTCATTAAAAAATATGATCTGTCATATATAATTAGCAAAGGCGGGGTCATTTTTCCATTATTCCATCACCCATTAACAAAAATTAGGTAATTTTATACATAAATATATGTCACTCTTGTCTTCCATAATCAAGTAACTTTATATTAATTACTTATTTATTTATCTTTCTCCTAATAATAATAATAAATAAAAAGGTCTTATCCTATTACAATATATTTTAGAAAGTTTGTAAAGATGAATTGATGTTTGTTACTCTTTCACACAAAAACTATCAAACAGATTTAAATAAAATTTGGTAGACATGTATGTTTATAGCCTAACTTAACATTAAGATACATTTGTATCGATTTACATGGGAGACGGCTGCGGGATGCAGTAAATAATATTTTTATATTTTCTATGCAAAATTTTATATTTTCTTACAGCGTCAATTTTTAAGAAAATATAAAACTATCATGTCATGACTAATCGTAAACACTTGTTATGATTTCTATTTAAATAAAGTTTAGTAAAATTAACTACCATACCAATATAGTATTGTGTAAATAGGCTTGTAGCCTATTTAAAATATTTTTAAATAATAGAAAATGTGGTAATGATCTTCTACAATAATCTTATTTTATCATTTCAGTACTATACTAATATCAATCAATAATTAGATTAATATTCTGTAATTCTGGGGAACAAATTAAAATTATAACTTTTTTGTTTTACTATAGATATTTTACTTTTATATATTCTTACAGGATGAATAATTGCAAAGATTTTGCAACTTCAATTTAAGATATAATAACTACAACTTGAGATTGGCCCTCTTAGTATAGGTATGCTCCAGTATATTGCTGTAGGTATATTCCACTATTGCAAGTATTAGAAAATAATTGTCTAGTACGTACATAATAATTGCCTAGTATGTTAACTCATTCAAATTTAAAATTGGTAGGCTGTTTTATTTATGCATAAAAGTTTTTTATCAAAAAGCCAAAAGTATTAAAATAATTCCTAAATATATGTTTTAATTTCGACTAAAATTAACAATGAAAATATAATCTTATCCACCTAGATTTCTAAAAAAATTAAAATCTTGAAAAATGTATTTTATATATAGAAATAATATAAATCCTCCAAAGGGGAGATCTATGTTCAGCTGTGGACGGTTAATGGCTAATATGATGATGATACGAATAATATACCAGTAGTGCACAATGTAGTTTTACCTAAAGGATATGGGTCAATAAAAATTTCTACTAATAATTAGCTTTTCCTGTGTATTAGTTACAGACACCTTTGTACCATAACTACATAAAGATGCTATTAGTCACGTACCTGTGATACAAAAATATAAAAACAAAATTACTAACCAATAACACACACAGGAAGTCCAGTATTCTTGTGTACTTCGGAACCAAATTCTGTATAGAAATCTATGATTCCTGGATTACCCGTAATACACACTACAACATCAGATCCTTTGCAATCATTAATGTTTTCCCACATTAAAAGAGGAGTTCGAACATAATTAAGTGTTCTACAAACTGTTTTAAAGGACATATTTTAAAAATTTGTGGGTACCTATCAAAACTTTATTATTTACCTTTTTTTTTTTTTTTTTTTTCTTTTTTTGTGGCGTTCACCCCGATATTAGGGTATTTTGCCAAGAACAAAACGGGGAAACGATAATAGTAATAAAAATACCTAACACAAACGAATTTAGAAAGGATAAGGATTAGGTCTAGGATATTTATAGGATATGAAACATATACTTGTACATATGAGAATATACTTATAAATATATAGGAAAAGCAATTGATGCAACTATAAATGTATTCATGTAATATAACTAAATCTTAATATTGTTATCATATATATATGAAGATAGTATTTTATAGATAATAGGATCATTGGAAGAAAGTAGAGTAAGAATAGAAGTTGGGAATGGAACACGGATGGATCGGAGATGATTAAAAAGGGAGGTGTGGTCAAATTTAGAACATGAGAAGAATATATGATTCAAGTCCGCCACTTCAGCACCGCAATTACACGACGAACTTTGTACAATACCAAGCTTGTATAAATGAGAAGGTGTGCATACGTGACCTAGACGCATACGAGTTATAATAGTTGTTGCGGTCTTTCCAAGCTTTAATTTACAAAACCATGGTTTGAAAGGAATATCGGGTTGTATAAGGCGATAAAATCTTCCTTTTATTGTACTTGTTTTTTCCCAATATTCCTTCCAGGCATACCTTAAATATATTTTTGGGAGACAAGCTAGGTCACTACAGTAATTATGATACGGATACATATCACCACAAGTTACAGCCTCTCTTGCAATAAGGTCAGCTTTGTCATTGCCGCTAATACCACTGTGTCCTGGTAACCAGGCAAAAGAAACGGAATAACCTCTCAACATGCAAAGATAAAGACTTTGTCTTATGTCACAAATAATGGGATAAACTGGTTTTGATTTAAACGGATATTTGGCTAGAGCTTGCAAAGAGCTCATAGAGTCAGTGAAAACTATTGCCTTATGTAATTTCATTAAAAGTATATATTCTACAGCTTTTAAAATACCATAACATTCCCCGGTAAAAACTGAAGACTCCGGTGGAAGTTTAATTTTTTGAACGATATTAAATTGTGAATGAAACACACCCACACCTACACAACCGCTATTGTCTGGTTTTGATGCATCAGTAAAGATGTAGTGCCATTCATTCCATTCAATGTCAGTTATAAACATAAATTTGGCATTCAATTCTGAATCATTTTTTAATAACCCAAAATCATATTTAATATTAGGAGATAAAACTAAAGATTGATATGAGCATTTATAAATGGGAAAACAGGACGATGTAAAAGTGGGAGATTCTATGGATTTATATTTTTCATAACTTTGTATTAAACATGGAGGTTTTTTATGTTTCCAATAAGATGAAGACGAAATAAAGATATGTAGTTGAGATAACTTTTGAATAAGCGGATGATCAGATAATTGTAAACAACGAAAAAAGAAGCGATCAGATAGATATTGTCTTCTTAAAACCAAAGGTGGATCACCGACTTCGAGCTGTAAAGCATTGATTGGACTTGATTTCATTGCTCCAGAGATAATCCTCAAGGCCTTTGATTGAATTAAATCCAATTTCTTAAAAGCAAATGAACTTCCTGGAGCTAACAAAAAAGTTCCATAATCAATGACACTCCTTATAAGACCATTATAAGCAAGTTTTAGTGAAACGGGATGTGCTCCCCACCAAACTCCAGCAAGGCACCTAAGAATGTTGAGGTTACGCTCACATTTCGTAGAAATATAATTACAGTGGGACAGACCTGTTAATTTATTATCTAGCACGATACCTAAAAATTTAATTTCAGTCTTTATAGGAATGTATGAGTTATCATAAAGCACCTTAATTTGTTGCGGTGATCTCATTCTTGAAAACAAAACTACACTACTCTTGGTTACAGAAAGATTAAGACCATTTGCATCTAACCACGTTTTTAACAAATCTAATGAATCAGATAATTTGGCAGAAGCAGATTCTATGGACTTCGCAATAAAATATAATAAAAGATCATCAGCATATTGTAAAATTTTGACGGATTTATCAAGGAATAATTCTAGATCGTATGTGTATATGTTAAATAAGATTGGACTGAGAACAGATCCTTGTGGAAGGCCTTTCCATACTGTTCTAGATAATTTGGTATCTTCATCTAAATTCATATATATTGTTCTTTCTGATAAAATATTAATAATGAAATTAGAAAGCATTACCGGTACATTTAGAGCTTGTAATTTAGTTTTTAAAATAGAAATTATTACATTATCATAGGCAGAATTTATATCTAAAAAGGCTGAGAGGATTGACAAATTTTGTGAGAAAGCTATATGAATATCTGAAATAAGAATGCTCACATTATCTAAGGTGCTCTTACCTTTCCTAAAACCAAACTGGTTCGGGGATAGTAAGTTATTACTTTCTAAAAACCATTCTAGACGGTTTTTCACTAAATGTTCAGCTAGCTTTAGTAAGACAGAGGAAAGTGCAACAGGACGGTATGAAGATGGTTCAGAAGGTGGTTTATGAGGCTTTAGAAATGGTATAATAATCTGAGACTTCCATGAAGTAGGTATATTTCCCGAAATAATTATGGAATTAATTATATTTAAAAAGTAAATTAATGTCGCATCGCTAGCATTTTTAAAAAAGGAATACGGTATACCGTCTTCTCCCGGTGCAGAGTCTTTAATAGAAGCTAGAACACCTTTAAGTTCTACTAGAGTAAAAGGAGAGTCAAGTTCGAATAATTCGTCAGAGACGGATAGAGAAATATTGTAAAGGCATTCCGGCACATAACTAGGAGCAAGACGATCTAAAAATTTATTCGCTAAAGTTAAATCGAGTGCAGAACGTGATGTATGATCACTAAAGGCAGATCTGAATCTTTTAATATTATTCCAAACGACTGATGAATTAACTTCTGGACAGATAGAAGAACAAAATCTTCTCCAGCCTTCTAATTTCTTTTTTTCAGTAGTTTTCGAGTAGAACGTGAAACTGCGGTGTAAATTTCAAAATTTTCTGGTGTCATGTAATTATTATAATTTTTTTCAGCCTCTTTACGATTTTTAATTGCTTCCGTACAATCTTTGTCCCACCAAGGTGGCGAGGGAATTTTCCCTGAAGCACTATTTTTAACAGGAAATAATAAATCAGCAACCTCCTTCATATTTATCATCAAGTCATTACAACATTGATGTTCATTTCCATGGTAAACAATAGGTAACTCCGATATTTTATTATCTAAATATTGTTTGTAAATATTCCAGTCTACATTTGATAAATTATATTTAAGCCGAGGACCACTCTTTCGACTTGAGGGAATGGAAATTGGAAAAGAAAGAATGAGGGGAAAGTGATCGCTTCCGAAAGTAGAGGAATGAGGATACCACGACAGTGAAGAAGCTAAATCAGAAGAACATATTGAAATGTCAGGAGCACTAAACCCTTCATTCGGTGCAGTTCTACGTGTTGGTACATCTGAGTTAATAATACATAAGTTGTAAGTGTCAATTATCGTCAGGAGTTTTCCACCATAAAAATTAGAAGTAGAACTGCCCCACGATTGGTGTTGAGCATTAAAATCGCCCATTACGAGAAAAGGTTTAGGTAAAATTGAAAATAATTGTTCTAGTTGTGAATATATTTGGCATGTAGGATCAGGAATATATAAAGTAACAAAACAGATACCATTTATAATTATAGCAGCTGCATTAATGCCGCTATATACAGGAAGCGAAAAAGAAGAAAAAGGAAGGGAGTTTTTGACCAATATGGCAACACCGCCATATCCGTCAGCTCTATCATCACGGAGACTTGTAAAGCCTGAAATCCTAAAAGGATATCCTGGCTTTAACCAAGTCTCTTGGAGAGCTATTATAAAAGGATTATATTTATTAATCAAATAAAATAAGTCTGATTTCTTGTTTGTTATGCTACGACAGTTCCACTGAATTATTAGGACTTTGTAATCCATTGTGAGAAGTTAATAATTGAGAAAATACATTGTAAATGGCATCGTTGGACGGTGGTAAAGTTGTTTGTATCATTTTCGATTGCGATAACACTTTAATAAGCATGAGAATAATATCAAAGATGGATTGATTATTGTCAATATTATTTGATGATAATGCACAACCATTAGAGGGAGCAGGAATATTATATTCCTTAACTATGGCTTCATGGGCAGAACGATCATATCCTTGTTGTGCTTTTTGAGGAGAGCGTGGTTTAAGTGTAACTGTTTTTTTATGTGATGATTGAATATGTGGTAATGATGATTTCTCTTTGAGGAAAGAAGATTGAAAATGAGATTTATTGGACGGAGATGATGATGTTAATACATCTGAATATAGTTTAGAAGTGGGAGGATGAAATTTTGATGCTTCAGCATAAGAAACACAACTGTGGGCCATTGTTTCTTTAATGGCTTTCTGACGTGCATATTCAGGACATTTCTTACTAATTGCTGAATGAGAACCATTACACAAGATACAAGAAACATTTTCCTCATCTACTTCACATTTATCACCTGTATGATTTTGCCTGCATTTATAACACCGAGGATTTGAACGACACTGCATCTTGACATGTCCGAACCTACAGCAGTTATAGCATTGGATAGTGGGGTAAATGTACAAATCTACAGTTAATGATGTGTAAAACATAAATACTCTTTTTGGTAATATTTGTCCATCAAAAGTAATAACAATGGTTTCAGTATTAATAAAACTTGGTTGTCCTTCATTAATGGTCTTTTTCTTAATTCTTCTGGTTTTTAGAATTCTCCCACAACCTATAGGTACTGATATATTTTGGATTACTTCCTCTTCTGTCCAATCTTTAGGAATACCCCTCACAATTCCCATACGGGTTACATGGAAAGAAGGTATAAATGCCTTAAAATTATGTGTTTCTAAGTGACTATTATTTAAAAATGCATTTGCATTTTCAAAATTTGAGAAAGAAAGCGATAAACGGTTTCTTCCTATTCTTTTGAGGCTACCATTCACTATATTATTTATCTTATTAGTGTGTAAAAAGCGACCAAATGCAATAGGATGTAATGTAGTGTTATCATTAGGATGTGTTTCATTTTTTTGTACATGAACGACATAAGGAGCTACATCCTCGGCATTGTACAAAGTTCTGCTTAAAGTACTGGGTGGAGAAGCAGGTTTAACAGACTCGGTATTATTTACAACTGGTATTGATACTAGAGTTTGATTCTCATCCTCAATACATTGACAATCACTATCTTTAATTTTAGATTCGAGACCTTTGGTGTGCCTCCTTCGTTTTTTATTGCAATGTTTGCAAATGCGACGTTCGCCACGTACTCGCTTACGTTTAGAACTTGCAACGCTAGAACCATCTGTGTCCATACTAGATTCACCCAATATATCAAAACTATTATTAAATGGGATAGTTATATTTGCAGACACCTGGGGGGTTGTCCCCCCAGGGTCTATAGGTGGATCCATAATGTCTAATTAATATAGGTAATTTACTTACCAATATTTACAGCAACAAACACTATTACTACAAAATATACAATTATATATACAATCTAATACACAATATATAAATAAAACTAATCCTTATATAATTAAAAATAAAATTAATTTAAAGAAGATCAAAAAACACTCCCGCTTTTTTAAACGTTTCCCGCGCTTTTTTTTTTTCTTATTTACCTTCTGTCACGTTACGCAAGATAATAGGGTCACTTCTGAGGCGTCATTTCTCAAAACTTATCGTAAAGATTACAATTTCAATTTGAAATCATAGCGAAATCTTTATGCTTAGAACTAATATAAATTAAATTCTTTTAAATAAAAATTATTATAAATTTAGTTTATAATGATACATGAAACAATAATTACGTGAAACTATCAAACTAAAATATTGGGTTACGAGATATGTGTAAAGAAATGACGTCTCAGAATCGATCGCGAAATAAAGTAAAAATTAGTGATGTGCCCATTGAGTCAGTCTTGAGTCAATCTGACACAAATATCTACTGTGTATCTATTACATTTATTTTACATATGACGTACCATATATATATATATATTATATATATGGTACGTCATATGTACAAAATACACTTACGTGTATTACTCTAATGATACATATATATATCCAGAAATAAAGGAACTAAATGCTTCGATTTGAAAAGACTTCTTTTGTTTTTCCGCATTCATTAATCTTTTTTATTCTTACCGTTTTTTTTTTAATAGATGATAATGGAATGGTAGTCCCGCTTGCGCTAACGGTATACGCTGGGGGGCACCAGTGAAGGATGATAAGTTAGAATGAAAAGGCAGGTCAGTTAGCCCATCATGATGAATACACCTGGAATTTAGCACGACGGTTTCCAGGAGAGGGGGGGGAGGTTATATATAGGTATATTGCTAGCAATGAGACTAGTAGTCCATATTACCAATAATCCCTTCCCCCCTATGCTCACCGGTTACGGGTACTTTTAATTTACCCCTTCTTGAGTACGTTGCCTATTTAGTCACTAAACGCCCCCTATCGACGTTTAAATTCATTCGTGTTTGATATATCTCTTTCGTAATTCTTTCATCCATCCTCTCCATATTATCAAACTAATGGAACAGCCCTTTTTCAATTTTTGTTACTACATCGTCTTTCAGTCTATACTTTTCTTTAAACATATTAATTCTCTCTATCTTTTAATGTAATACAATACATATTTCTCAGAACTTTCATTTCTTTAGCATTTATAATACTTATGGATTGTTTCCCTACATGAGTTTTGATGTCAGTACTCCCTGAATTATGGCAAGACGAACTTCGTTCGATATATTATTACTTGCGTGAATTGAGAGCTGTGCACCATTTACACTGTTTTCCGCTTTATTTATTTTTTTTTCTTTCGCTCTCTTTTCTATATTTACCTCACACTTTTTATTCCTCGTTAATATTAAACCCAAAATTAGAAACCCACTCACTTGCTCCACTCTTTCATCTCCTATAATTATTTGACTACTATTATACTTTATTTCTTCCAAAAATCATTACCTTTGTTTCTTTCTTCGCAATTATTTTCATACCTTCTCTTATATATTCTTCATAACTTGAATTGTAATTTCATTAATTTTGCAAGCGGTACTTGGTCGTCAGCGTATAAAAGTCTTAAATAGTAATTCAATTATTTGGAATCCGCGATCAGACTTTTTCGAATCGGTCTGACAACTGTCCATAAATAGATTGAACATCCAAGAATGCTATACAAACATGTATATACGTACAACACCTGTTGTACGTGTTATACATGTGTAACACCTTCAATGCGAAACCAGCCCATATAGACTCCATTTATTCTGACATAGGCGCTTGAATCCTTATTTTAGGATTTGAATTTCCGTATCAAATATCTACCCACTTCGTACATAGGCAGTGTTTTTTTTTTTTTTGATGGGCGAAAATAGTGTTGTAACCCCGCCTGCGCTAACGGGATACGCTGGCGGAGCACCAGTAAAGCGTGATAGATGAGAATGAAAACAGGCCAGTTAGCCCATCATGATGAATTCATCAGGAATTAACCATGATAGTTTCCAGGGAGAACCGCGAGGAGGTCGACCTGGTTGGATATATTGCTAGCAATGGGATTCTTAGTCTCCATTACTAACAATCCCTTTCCCCCTACATAGGCAGTGTTGACCACAGCTTATTTCTCACCAATCCATCTGTAAGCCTTTTCAAGGTCAATGAAGGCACAGAAAACTTTCTGATGTTAAGCTAAGGTTTTCTCTGTTATGCACATTAAGGAAGACTTGACCCGTAAATCCCTTACTTACCCTTTCGTAAATCTGCTTGCAGATCTCAAATTTTAATCTCCGTTTCATTGATAGATCTTTTAATAAAAATTCTAGCATACATTTTCCATACAACACTAAGAAGGCTCGTTATGGGGAGATTTTTAGACTCCTGCTTTAATTTTAAATTTTAAACAGCCGGTACAGCAAGCTTAATGATTTATCCACTTTCTTTAAAGAATGCTTAAGCATTTCAGCAGATTTTCTATCGAAACCCGCTGCTTTGCAAACTTGCATAATCGTTATTGCATTCATTACCTCATCCATAGTCTCAATTTTAAATGTGTATATAAATTAAACAACAAATTCGTTAAGATTTTATTATAAAATTATCATCATCATGTACAAAAATGTACTTAAAAACAGAGATCGTTAAGAAATTATAATATTATTGAGTAGGTAACAAAACTAGCAAAGACACAAATACTACCTTTGCTAGCTTTTTTACTTTGAAGTAATACAAATAAGTATAACAATATATTTAAACCTGTTGTAGTAGTAAATTAATGTTCATTATAATATCCTATTCGTGACATTATACTGACATTTCTTCCTATAGATAAGTTCGGTACGTACAGTATGTGCCTACTTACTGATTACAGATCTCAGGGCGTTCAGTGAATGCGACAGTTTTAGGACGTGAGATGTAGTTATTACAATCATAAAAAAATTATTACACGTTCAGTCTGTTCCATATTTTTAGAGCTTTTATACATACATAGTTAGCATACAGTTGTAAAAAAGTACCTACTTTAATAGTGTTACATTTTATACCTATTAATTCAAGGCGCTTTTATTATATCATAACACATTATAATATTGTACGATCCTACCGTCATAATATACCTACCTAATAGGAAAGTAAAATATATGCCATACAGTGACATATAAGAGCACTTTTCAAATGATAGTACAGAAATATTTAAAGCTAGCTGGGCGTGCTATTTTGACCGCGTGGTAGGTAAAAAGAAAAATATTTTTTTGCAATTTAGAATAGCAAACAAGCTGACCACTCACCTGATATATTGTGGTAACAGTTGCCTATAATCATGAACGGCACCAAGGGCATCACAGATTACTCTATAGAGCCCATGGTACCCTTCATGCATTGCCATACCTGAAGACTACGATGTTACGTTTGTGTACTCTCTAGTTACATTGCCATATCCTACTTATCAAGCAGAAATACAGCCATGCGAGCACACTTTACGACAGAACGAAATTTATTATTTTTATTTTATATTATGTATTTAGCGGTTTTTTTAATATGATTATCCAATTAATAAAGTCGTTATATGTGATTTCATGCAATTGATGGTATCAAACTATATCTCATTATTTGTTCTACCGATTTTGATGTTATACCCACTGTTGTGATATTCTGTGAAAACAAACTCCAATTTCACTATCGGAATGATTTACATTTGGTATTCTATAAAGAACTACAATCGATGACAGTACCACTTTCCTAAGATAACGGCACAATAACCTAGGATGAGTATGCTACCATACTGAGGTGTCCACTATATTTTTCAAAACTCATATCACTTGTTATTCCTAAAACTGACAAATTTGAAAATAAATAAATTATTTAAAAAGATAAGGTAAAAGTATATTAAGTTGTGAAATAAGTATCTTTAGAGATTAGCATAGGTTGTTGTCTGTATTTAAAGATCACAAAACTATAAAATGTATAAAATTACTTCAATTACTTTCTTGTGATATCTACAAATGTCACCTATATCGAACACTACATGTTCGTTTGTAATAAATAAATATGTATATTATAAATACAGATGGGCAAAGCACCGGGTTTAAACCCGGTGCTTTGGTAAAAACCCAATAAACACCCATAAACTCCCATAATCACCCAAAAAAATAGGTTTTTACGTATTTTTTTGAAAATATGTAAGTAATACCAATAAATTATTTTTATAAATTGTATTGATCAATTCTACAATATTAAATAAAACGTTAACTAATAATATTTCAGGAAATTTTAAAAATCTATATATAATAAAATGAAAGTAATTAATTTTCAGTGTTTTCATGTTGCAGTTGATCAACATGTTGGCCTTTTGCTTCCCGTAGATACTTTAAAATTTCTTCATAACACCTCGTTCGCACACATGGCCGTATATATTTAAATTCTTGAGCCACTAACAGTCCGAAATACTCATTTCTTTTATCCTCTTCTCCATAAATTAAGCATTTAGAACAGTTTGTTTCTTCTTTCAGTAAATTTTCTTTTACTTTATCCTCGTTTTTTTTGTTTGTTGCGACGACGCTGGGTAAATCGTCTGGACACTGGGTCTCACTATCGCCAAATATATTTGGAGATCGGCTTCGGCTACGGCTTGGCAGACATTTTTTTCTTTCTACAATTTTAAATTAAATTTATTAGAATAAATGCTTCGAACACACGCGATCTAAGTACCTTTTGTGTTTATTATACCTTACCTACCTAGGTATAAAAAGAGTACTTACGTAGATTTTCTTTTATTAACTGTTTTATACGAAGATCTTGATCTCTCAAATTAGCATCCATTTTACTTCCAGTGATTATCAACTAAATTAATAATCCACAAAGTATTAAATAACGTTTTTATGAAATATTTAGCACAAAAACAATACCCTTTAAATATCGATCGTCAGTAACTGTGGCTGACTTACCTATATTCTAGCAAGCAGGACTGCCAGATGTGAAGGGGAAATCCCCAATAAATTGTTGCATGTGACTGATGATGTGAGCATGTTCGTTTCATAATAAAAATGTTGCCAGGTAACCAAAAAGTCGTATGTTTTTGTGCGAATTACGATCATAATCTTTACGATCGTACATTAAAAAATAGACAAATAATAGTATGAGTACGATTTAAATCGTATATCTGTCAACCCTGCTAGCAAGACAGCGACAAAATCACGTTGCATAACAATGTAGCCCAAGCTTATATCTTATGAAATATACGGAAGAGATACGGACTTAGAAAAAACAGAAATGTTGTTCTTTGTGGAAGTCATTGATGAAATTCTATGTATTTTAGCCCGCAAACTTTCTTCAAACAAAAACAGCGCCATCTAGTATCGAGTTCTGTAATTATCTCTTTGTTTATGGATTTGAAGTAAGACCGCCACGCATGCAATACATTATGACTGGGGATTCCCCTATTCGTCGACGATGAATATGAGGCGACGACAATCACTGTCAAACGTGTTCACTATTACTCTGACTCTGGTAACGTGACTTCCTGGTAACGTGTTAGGTAGGAAAAGCAGTAAAAAAGTGCATATTAAGGGAGCAGATTTGAAATAATATTTATACTTAACAAGAAATAATTAAAGGTAAGTGGATTTTTGAATGATACAATTATATCATGATCACTTAACAATTTTAACTTAAAATTAGATGTATTATTACAAGCTTTTATTTAGCTTGCGTTATGTAAATAAAAGTATGTAGGTATGTTCGTATGTTGATGCAATTATCCTCAATCCTCAACCGACTGGGATAAAATTTTCCATACACGTTTATTTTGGATGATAGTGCATAGTTAGCTGAGAGTCGTCATTGGATAATAATGGTGGATAGCCTAAGATGTGTACTAGATATTTATTTTTAACATAATATGCGTAAGTACCTAATCGAATTAAAGAAGTTGCTGAGAAAAATACAGAACAATACGATAATAAACTAGCGTCTGCGTTTAATCCTCCGAGGAGATGTAATTTTACAAAGGTTTTTTGTATTTATTTTATTATTTTTTTAATAAATTTATTGTAAATAACAAGAAATAATCATTGTAAAAAAATAGGCACTCTATTGTTGAATTTTCGTCAGACCAACTAATCATCGTTCATTTTTTTAGGTTCAATGGGGAGACCTAAAGATTTACGCATATGGGAGCACTACCGTACTTTACCAAACAAGTCTGTTTCTTGCAAGCTTTGTAATAAGGTCTACAAATTCAGTAATGCTGCCAAAATGCTTCAACATCTTATCACTTGTCCAAAATCTCCAGAAACATTAAAAGACTCTATGAAACTTATAAAAGATAGCTCGTCCAAAACCAAAATGTCTGGACTGTCAGAGATAGAGACAAATGATTCTTTTATAAGCCCCTCGTCGTCTGCTAACACTACAATAAATGCTGAGTTTCAAGACACCGATGATCATATAAAAACAGAATTAGCGAGAGCTATATTTGTAACAGGGACGCCATTATCGATGGTGCAACATCCTTTATGGATACAATTTTTCGAAAAATTGCAACCAAAATTTAAAATACCTTCACGTAAAGCTTTAGCGACAAAATACTTAGATAAAATATATAGAGAAATGCGTTTTGAGTTAAATGAGGAACTAAATGCTTGTAGTTACTTACACCTTCAGTGCGATGGCTGGTCTAATTTAAGAAATGAAGGAATAATAAACTTTCTTATATCAAAACCTCAACCTGCATACGTTAAAAGTTTGAATACAGAAAGTAATCCTCACACTAGTGAATACCTTAGCCAAGAAGTTGAAAAAGTAATGAAAGTGTATGGAGCAAATAAGTTTCTTGTACTTATTGGCGATAACGCTAGAAATATACAAAAGGCATTCGAATTAACAAAACTCAAATATCCACATGTTGTTCCTCTCGGTTGCTGTGCACATATCCTTAACTTGTTGTGCCAAGATATTGTAAAGATACAAGAAGTAACTGTGTTTATTATGCAAGCCATAAATATAATAAAAACTGTTAAAAGGAGTCAACGATTAAGTTCCTTGTTGATAAAATCAAGGCAGGGTGAAGATTCTACACAAACACTAAAATTGCCTTGTGCTACAAGATGGGGAAGTCATGTTACTTCGTTAAAAAGTTTGAAAGCAAATAAGATAGCTTATTATTTATTATTAATTAACAGTTAGAGAAGATGTGGTAATTTCAAGAGATATTAAAGATTTAATTCTAAGTGATGATTTCTGGACGAAGACAGGGGAATGTATAAGTATTTTGGAACCAGTCACTGAAAGCATATTTTACTTAGAGAGCGACCAGAATCGTTTGCATCGCACATACATTACATTTAGAGATGTACAAGCTAAGATACGTTTTGCATTAAATGAGATTTCGACATTGAGCGAAGAAAGCAAACAGCAGATTCTAACATCAGTATCTTCAAGATGCAATATGGCAATGAGGCCAATACATTTTGCAGCATATATTCTAGACCCCAGGACTCTAGGAGTCGAACTTACTCAAGAGGAAGAACTTAAGGGTATGGAGTTTATCTACAATTTAAGCCAATACTTAAGTTTGTCAAATGTAATGGCAGATTTGGCGTGTTATAAAGCTAAAGAAAACTTTTGGGCCAGAGGATTTGTATGGAGCTCATTAGATAGCATTGAGCCCCTAATATGGTGGAAAGGTATTTGTGGTTCCACTGAGTTAAGCAAAGTAGCGATTCGTATTCTATCAGCTCCCTGTACTTCGGCAGCCACTGAGCGTTCCTTTAGTATCCAAGGCTACATACATAATAACAAAAGAAATCGACTTACAACTGAAAGAACTGAAAAAATTTCATTCATTTGTTATAACTGGAATCTTAAACATAAAGCTGAATGCGAGGACATTCAGTTTAATGAAGAAAATACCTTAGAAGCTTTCATTGAGCAAGTAAATGAACATAACAGTTTAGACGAAATAGAGCCTATCGAACCTATACAATTCATCGCTTGTAATAACTCTGAATCTGACAGTGATTGACTGTAGTTTTACATTTTACTTTCATCTCTTTCTTAATAAACTCAAAATCAAATTAAAAGTTTTTTATTCTGTAGGCTGCATAATAATATTGTCTATGTCCAGTATAGTGGACGTCTTGCGGCTGAGATGACGATGATGAAGTACAAAATCATAAACACCCAAAAATTTGGGTGTTTATGGGGTTTAAACCCAATAAACCCAAAACACCCGGTTTTTACCCACCAGACTTTAAACCCACCCAGGTGGATTGCCCATCTCTAATTATAAATGTTTATAATACCTATTCGAATTGAGATTCATACAGCCATTTCCAAGCAAATCCGTAATAAATAGATAATCATCTATTTAATAATGACTGATGCATAACCACCATAATTTTTGCAACAAAAAATAGACTGCCCCCATTAACAATTTCATTATACATATATTTTTATTGTTTTTTATAAAATTGACATAAAATGCAGAGATTGCTACACTTTGGCATATATGTTCACACAATAGAGTGCAAATAGACAATAAAGCATCAGCATCACATTTGTAGTGATTATATTTACAGAATTTAAAAACATATGTATAAAATAAAAACATGTAAGTCATGTTATGACCAGTGTAAACATAACGATTTTTTATTTATAATTATATTTTACACACATTTGAAGCATACATATCTAATGAATTTAAAATAATGAACTGTTAAGTTGCCAGCTGCCACAACTAAAATTTGTCTTCTAATCATATTGTATGGATCAATATAATGACAAGTAAAATGGTCCCTGTTTTTGTCCCTGTGTTGTTGGAGTGGCCTATATAAAAAGACATGGACATACAAGGTAAAGAATGGACATTTTGTATATGATAATTAGGGGGGGGGGGGGAGGAATGGAAGAGGTCTTTGCCTCTATGTTAAATAAATGCATGTATAAGAATAATGTTATATTAAAACTAACATTATTAAAGGAATTAAATTGTCATAATAATAATAACAGATATAGATATATCATAGAATTATAACAACAATGAATTATTTTGATTTTTAATTTATCTTAGATATGTGTCTACTTAGTGATGGGCAGCAGCGTCCCTCTTAAAATATCAGTAAAAGTCAAGCTGCGGTTGCCAACCCGCCTGCCAAGCGTGGCAACTACTGACAAAATGATATATATATGATGTCTACTTATTACACATCATTTTTATATTGCTATGTTAGGCAATATTTGAAACTAAATCCAGGGAATTACATTTTATTCGTTTCTAAAGTTAAAAAGGTAATAAAGGATTTTATTTATTGGATAGATAAGGAAATATTGCAGATCTTATGTTAATGATTTCCCATTTACACTTGACTATGCCAATGTAAAAGAAAAGCATCTCGGATGATTATTTCTGTATGCCATGTTATATAAAATTAAACAATATAACCTGCTTGCTGCTATTTCAGTTTGCTTCAGTATTTCAATAGCATTTAATAAAAGCATATAATGTAATAAGTTAAGGAAAAGCGACGTAATTATAACATTATATAACAAAGATATACCTCTAGTTAGTTATTTTAACTGTAGTTAGAAGTCATGTTTCCATATCAGCAGACTATGAACTATTTAATCTTTAAGATCAATAAGGCAAATCTGCAATAAACTATGTGTCTTGATACCGCTCACTAGGAATCCAAAATTCAATGGCTGAATCACAGGTTCCCGTCACTAGCACCTCGTTCAAATATCGTAACTGGAAAAAAGTTGATTTGTCTATTAATTAATAATTTACATACATATACGTATATGTGAGGCAGAGGGGGAGAGGGATTGTGATCACTGCTAAATTGTCCATGTTAGAATGAGAGCGGCACTTTAATTATGCGTAAACATGTCTGAAAGTACAGAATGTAACTTTAAGACGACAATCTCCTTTTTCCCCTCCAGAAAATAATATTAAATATACATATACATATACTATTATATATATAATATAGTTCATAGTATCGTGTATCTCCATAATCTACTAAGTAGGTTTATATAAAATTTCATGATCATTTGACAATTGGTTAGACCCTTATGTTGTTACGTTATAAAGAAGAAATGAACACCCACATTAATAATATTGTAACTAAAGAATTAACGATGACAATTACCTGAGTCACATCACATGTACTGGTCTCCACATTGGAAAATTCTTCTGGAGGGTAACAATTATATAAAAATTTTATTTCTCCTCTATCTGAACATACAATCATAGTTCCTTGATTTTGATAACAACTAGTTATTTTACTAGACGGCTTGATAATGGGCGGCTCAGGCCATATTTCGTGCGATTTCACATACGTATGATCTTCAGGATTGATTAGGTGCAGAGAACCTTTTGAATCACCAATGTATAAAGCTGTCGGACACCAACTAATACAAACAGGGTATCCTTTGTCTGTAGGTATCTTGACATCATGCGCTAAAAGCTTTCCAGCAATTCTATCCCAAACTGCTAATGTTTTATCTTCACTAACAGATGCAATCATGTTATTATAAGCACATAGTGCTAAAATAGGACCTCTATGTGGTTTATAGCAACCTACTGGACTAGGACCAGCTCGCATATCGAAAGAGAGCACTTTTTTAGAATATAAACCGGCCATTACTATTTTGTCTATAGTTACGACTGACAAAGCTGACATGCCACACCTGTGAAATAATTTTATTAATTGTAATTATTATTAATATTAATGTATAAAGTGCATTGGAGATTCAGCATGTTACATAACATTTCTAGTAAAATAAACAAAAATCTGAAATTGAGTTTCAATATAGAAGAGCACTTATCTGTTAACTAGATAAATGCTCTTCACTGTCGGTCCATCCTCTACTCTGACCATAATTGATAAACTTAAATGATAAATCTGTCATGGCCTCTTCCTTTCCTGGGTTAAAATTATTTAAGAATAATGTAATCACTACATAACAATTTATAACAACACTATGTCTCATAAATGGACACTTATTTAATGAATGAAAGTAATGAAAATTTAATCACCAAGATGTTGATAAAAGCCTGTAACAGCCTCTTTGATAACATATATATTTAGCTATAATTAACTTGATGCTTCATTGTTAACTTCATAGCTAACCAGAGGGAGACTATACAAAAGTCATTTGCTTGGGTACCTCTGTTCCATTTGTGTTTCTACCATGAAGCAGCTGTGTTTCCGTTTGAGGGTGTGATATAGCAGTGAATGTAAAGGGTATAGAGGAATAACACCTGAGTCCTCAGGAATGGCGATAAATAGGGGGTATTATGGGTGAAACAGTATACTCTGTTATGTCTATGGTACTGCTCATGTCTATAGGAGATGGTTACCATTTTCCATCAGGTGGGCCGTCAATTTGTTTGCCATTCTAAGTTGCATAAAAAAATAACTTACTGAAAAGTCTGTACACATTCAAATCCAGAGTGTAAGTCCCAAGCTTTAACAGTGTTGTCCCATGATGCTGAATAAATTATGCTAGCAGAATCAATATTATCTGGTGCTAAGTCCCACACCCAACCCAAATGTGCATCATATTTTATTTGCCTTGGTTTGGCATCTGTAATTGCTGTAGAATTGTCATAATAACGATGAGCTTTTATATCTTGAACACTCCAGAGTGCCATACCACGATCTCTACCACCTGATATACATATTTCACCCTTCTGCAAAATAATCAACTAATATATTTCTAAAAGAGTCTTTTATTTCACAGTCAGCAAGCCGGACATACACTGAATATAAAAAAGCAAAATATAACTACTTGATATTTTAATTTTCATAATAAATCTTACTTATCTTACTACAATTATCTTAACAGAAGTAAAATTTGCAATAGATAAGTATTTATTACATGTTAAGACATCTAAAATAAAATTTGAATTTAAACACTTAAAGAATTTTTTTATACATTGTTTGAATAAACAGCATTTTATTTAAATATTTTCTTTGTAGTAAAATTGCATATATTCTAAATTCAAATAGATAGTGTAAAATTATTCTTGTTTCAATGCCTATGTGTGAAATTGCCATTTTAACATCCAAAGTACTGGGCTAATTTCTATAAAATTTGACAAAGACATAGCTATGTGAGATTGGCGAATATTATTCAGTTTTACATAAATGTGAAGAGTGAATAAAAAACTACTTACATTAACTAGTAACACAGTATCAACAGAAGCAAAATGTACATCCCTTACAACTATGTGCTTCATAGTTTCTTTGACATTTGACCATTTCTTTCTTTCTACATCCATTTCAACACAGACCTCCTCCCAATCCAGATCTGTTTCATCCCATAATTTCAAATAAGGTAAAGGAGGATAGGCACCTTTAATTTTACTATGAATCCAGTTTTTCCAAAGATGATCATCAGCTAATATATCTTCAAAACGTCTACAAACCTTACTTAGTGTGGTTCTTAAAAAATGTGGGTCCAGATATGAACATATGTTAAGAATAATCTGTAATCAAATATAATATTTTTATAAATATGTTCTTTAACATTATGTAGAAATTAAATATTTAATAAAAGAAAATACCTAAAATTATACACTCTTAGGGTTTAGTTTTATATACATAAAGTAAAAAGTATAGACACGTAACAATAAAAGTGATACCTCAACTGGCATATTCAGCAGGGTTGGCTCATTATTTTCCACATAGACTTCCGAAACTTCTTTATTAGACATAATGAGATCATTTTCAATTTCATTCAATTCTCCTTTCAGAGATTCCAGTATATCACACATTTCAATACCTAGATATAATAGAATTGAATGAATAAACCTTGTTGGATTGTGTAACTTTAAAATATAAAAATTTTCAATTTTACAACCATTATAACAAAATGCTGTATCATGCTACAGACGTTAAGTACTTTATTCAAAAATTACTTCATTATTTCTTTGTCCTTACATAGCCTGTTAAGGTGAACAACTATTAAATGAGCTATGCAATGAAAATAATTCAATATATGGAAAAAATCGCATATTACTTAACTACATTATTATGACATTACACTTTTGCTGAGCTGAATAGCTATTTAAGGAAGTGGCTTTAAATTTCTAATGTTTACAACAATACTAAAACAATACCAAAGGTTTTGCAAAATGCAGAAAATAGCGTATATGTAAAAGTAAATGAAAAATACTAAAAGTATCAAACTTTTAAAACGTAATTCATATTTAGTGTAAATATGATAATAGAAGAAATATTTAAATTTTTATTAGACATACTTGTTAAGATTAACACAATTTCTATTTCACATACATATGTAATATATACACAAGTAATTAAAAATAAACACAATAAATAAATAAACAATGGGTTCGATATAAAAACTTTCTATTAAATTTTAAATGCTTTCTTTGATATTGTTTTGATATTTTTTTATAAATTCGTACCTGAGTACAATATAATACAAATAAGTATATAAGTACACAGAGTAATTAATCCGTAGTGCTTTGGCTGAGATAACACGAATTTAGGGTTTACATCCGAATAGTAAATCAGTTCGATTCAAGTATATTCAATTCATTTTTACTTAGATGTTATAGATAGAGAATCGAGTTAAACTTTTTCAACTTTTTGTTAATGAATTTTTTATACCATTGAAGTAGCAAACAAGCTTATGGCCCACCTGATGGTAAGTGGTTACTGTAGTCTATGAACATCTGCAATAGCAAGGGCATTAAGCGCGCGTTGCCGACCTTGAAGAAACCTCTTTATCCCTTTTTTGAAGAAGCTCATGCTGTAGTCTCTTGAAAAACTTTAACATTCCATAACCTGAAACATCTCTGAAAACATGCTGTACGTGACTATTTAGGTTATAAGGTGTAGGGGTGAACTTCCTAGCGATGGCGAGCTGTACGATGGAAGGTGGCCGTCAGCATCATATTAAACAATTCAACACACAGAGAGAGCCAAATCTCTCATAAGATTTAAGGGTTCAATACCGTTTGTAAGCCTAGGATCATTGACAATTCATCTCATCAAATCTTATCTTCGAGATGGCCACGGAATTATATATCACTAGACATGTTAACATCAAGGATTCCAATTTTTTTAGAAATGTTAAGGTTCGTGCCCTATAATTGTAAAGCCGCAGCAAATTAGCAGTGAATGCGCAAGCTTGTGCCATAGCAGGGTTAAACTGAACTACAAGTTGTAAGTTTTATCGACCCCATAAGAAAATTAAATTAACACTAATAAAACAAGTCTGCTAATTATTAAATTTGCTCACTCATTTTTTTATTCGTGTTTTATATTAAAGTGACCAACTATTTTTTGTTAAAAAAGTACACTTTGCTAGTATTTCATAGGTGAAAAAAAAAGAAGAAAAAGCGATAAGAACTTTATTTTCTTTTAAAAACATATGTTTCTTCAGAGTGGATTTTTTTTCCTAATTTAGGGTGTTCGTTTAATAATGTAGCCACATCCGAACAATTTTCATTTTGCATATTAAATTTGATTGTTAAGACGGCAGATAATGTTTTTACAGAAAGTTGCGACTTCTCACTGCTCCAATAATCATTCCCTAATGAAAATATCCTTTCAACAGCAGCATTAGTACGTGGACAACATAATGAAATTTCTATTAAAACTTTTAAATTTTCATGTTGGATATGTTCTACTGAAATTCTAATGTAATTCAAATCACTGTCAAAATCATTTTAAAAATTTTATTAATAAAATTTAAATTAAATAATCTAAAAAAATGTTTTAGAAATACAAATGAGTACTTTCAGAGTACAGAATTTGAAAAGAGTACGGTTTGCGAAAAAAGAGTACAAAACTCAGTAAATGAGTATAGTTGGTCACCTTATCTATATACTTATACCATATACTATATAGATAGATTTTTGAGACTTAAAAATGGGTTAATTTTTTGTCAGCTTATTATCAATTTGAGCACACAGTGTATCTTGACGTGTCTATACGTAATTATTCCATAAATAAAATAAGGCTTTGCGCACTAAAAAACGCCAGCCCAAACACGAGTTAGGGAGAAACTAACTCGAGTTAACTCGAACTTAGCACATTTCGAGATAGTAAGTCGAGTTGGTCGTCTCTAGGAGATTCTTATTCTGTCTTTAGACATAGTCTGTCTCTAATCTGTGATCTATGGTTTAAATTGTTTTTTCAATCTTTGAGTTATCCTATCCTTGTTCTTAAATTCTAATTTTATTCCCTATAAATAAATAATGAAAAAATAATGAAGTAAAAAATTTTTTTGATTAATTCTGCATACATAGGTAATGTTATTCTAATATCTATGTTTTCGTTATGATTAAGCTTGAAAATTTAAAGTATCTAGTTCAGAATATATGTGTGTATTAAAATGGAATTGAGAAGAGCCGGTTTTCAGTAATAATTTATTGTAATTTCTAATGCCGATTTGCGAGCAAACCATCTATTTGGACAAATAAACAAATTCAAGGGCCCTGTTGTAATGTTGTCGTGTAAGTAAATACACTACATGCATAATTATTTCTTCCAACTTCTTGTTTAATTAAGGGTATCCACTGACTAAAAGTTAAAAACGACAACTATGGAGAATTCGGAATCCAATCCCACCGAATGTGAACAAAAAATGGATTTGGAAAAAGAGTTAACAAATAAATTTTTGAGCGGTGAAATGACATTTGCTGATTATTCAAATGAATGGTATAATTATGATGATGATGATGATGGTGACGACGACGACGATATCGAAAATACAGATGATTCCACTAATAGAATAATTGATGAAGAACCCCAACCATCTGTGCAATCTACTGGCAAAAGTGTAACTAGACGTCGTAAAGTTACTCGATTATCACCAGCACTTTTGGGTTTAATGGGAGAAGCTAATTTGCGATTTGTAAGGGGAGAGAAAGATACTGCAGAAAGAATGTGCCATGAGATCATAAAACAAGTACCAACAGCACCAGAGCCATATCAAACATTGGCACAGATTTATGAAAATGATTCGGAAAAATCATTGCAGTTCTCTCTGTTGGCGGCTCACTTGAGTCGTCCTGATGCAACTGAGTGGCTCCGATTGGCAGCTCTGTCTAAAGAAAGGAATAATGTGAAACAAGTAATGACATGTTATACTCAAGCCATTAAAGCTCAGCCACATAATTTAGATATTCATTTAAAAAGATTGGAAATTTTGTCAACCTTGGAGGAAATCAAATACCCTTTGCATACGCTAAGTATAAATAGAGTTAAATGTTACCATAGAATTGTAACTTGTTTACCAGAAAGTGATGGTGAAGTAATTATGAAATATGCCAAAATGGCAACAACATTGTATCACAATTCAAATGAAGTTGAACGGGCGCTGGAGGTCATGGGAACAGCATACAAGAAATGCCCAGCTCTTTTTACTTTAGAGGATATCAATATTTTAATAGAACTCTTAATAACTATGAAACAGTATCAAACATGCTTAGAGATTTTTGTTGCAAATGTTGGTGTAGATATAGAAGCTGAAATAGAAACTTTTAAAAATGCAGATGGAAAGATAGAAGAACAAACAAATTATATTAAATGTTCTATCCCAAATAATTTGCCAATTGATTTGAAAAGCAAATTATTAATATGTTTCATTTATTTAGGTGCTATCAACTTAGTACAGACATTACTAGAGGATTTCTTGTCTAATGATGTAGAAAAAGCTGGAGATTTATATATGGACATAGAAGAAGCATTGTCAGCAGTTGGGCATCATGAATTAGCTATGCAACTCTTGGTACCACTGGTGAACAATAACAGCTTTGATTTAGGTGCTGTATGGTTAAAGCATGCTGATTGTTTAAATAATCTAGGCAGACATGATGATGCTATTGAGTCCTATTATAAAGTTTTGAAACACGCTCCCCAACATCCAGATGCTCGGAGAAAGTTATTTGAACTTCTTGAGAAAAAGGGCTGCATAGATGAAGCTTTAAAAATTTTACAACAAGATTATAAATATGTTATTAGTGCTCAGTTACTTCATGAGCAATGTAATATATTAAAGAAATACAATAAAATGCTAGATTACTTGGAAGCGGGTGAAACTTTATTGTATAAGACCTTCCAAAGATACAGACATCAAGAAGAAATTAAAATAGTACTTCACATGAAAAATACAAAGACTAATCTGGAACTTATTAATGACTTTAGAAGGATGCGTGGGGAAAATCATTATCTAGAGAATGATATACATTTTGATGAAGATGAAACATTCAAATTAACACCTCAACAAGAATGGGACTTATTTTTAGAGTTATTAGGTATTGCACTTAATAATAAGAAATATATTACAATGCAACGTTTAACTTTTGGGGCACTGATGTCCAAGACTTTGAGTCCACATCGCCGTGAAATAGAATTTTTATGTTTTCAAGCTTGTCTGCTCACTGAAGATTATCGAAACGGACTAAGGTTTATAAGAGAATTTTCTCAAAAATCTCCCACTAATTGCACATGGAATTTATTAAATTTGTTAATTAATTTAGTTGAGGAAAGTTCACATGTGAAACTACTCTCAAGAATTTTTCAAAAAGAGCCAAATATTGTGAAAAATCTTTTTATGGGTAATAATTTTCTAACATCAGGAAGATATGCTGTTGCACTTAAATATTTTTTAGAATATCATGAACACCACAGTGATCCTATGTCTGCCCTTTTAGTGGCTATCACAATATTAGTAATGGCTGCTCAAAAAACTGTTAACAAGCACCATAATTTGATATTACAAGGAATGTCATATCTTTTGACTTATCAAAAGTTAAGAAAATTTGATCAGGAAACTAATTATAACATGGGAAGAGCATATCAAATGTTAAGCATAAATAACTTAGCAATAGAATATTATGAAAGAGCATTGGCCTGTGAACCTGTAACTAATTGTGAAAAACATGGAATTATAGATTTAAGAAGGGAAACTGCTTTTAACCTTTTTTTATTATATAAAGATCACTCCCCCCAAATAGCTAGGAAATATATGTTAAAATACCTTGTAATTGAATAAAATAAATGATTATTTATTTAAATTAGTAAACTTTTTTATTTAAATAATGTTTCAAAATTAATATTTTCAAGATCAATTCTTCGATAAACATGTTCTTTTTTTCATTTGGTGGATAGTACCTAATGACTTCGTTTATCGTGTACCTTTTATGTTTAAATATGATTTAAAGTTTTTATGAAAACCTGTAATTGGCTTACTGTTGGTTTTTATAACAAAATTATTTGTTAGTTTTTCTTTAATAAAAATATAATGAAATTGAATTCTTGACCATAAAAATAAATATAGTTGGTAGAGATATTAGATAGTTTTGTGAATAGGCTTTGAGATTTGATATTGCTGTACTATACATTGGCTAGGTACCTATAAGAAATGATAGGTGCAGATGAAAGGTCAGTTTGCTCATCGTGACGAATTCGTTAAGTATTAACCGCAATGGTTTCCAGAGAGGGATTGCGTGGAGGTCGATCTGACAGCATATATTGCAAGTAATGGGACGCTGCTTCCCGGTACTGACAATCCCTTCCCCACTGTGTATATGGTAATACCACCAAAATTTATCCCTTTTGCCATAGGTTTGTGTAAGGGATACAGCGAAGGTTGTGTTTGTTGAAGATTTATTTTCTAACAAAAAAAATTGTACTTTTTAAATTTTGTCCTAATCAAAGAATGTCTGGAAGATATTTGGCAGAGCTCATATCATGTAACAGTTCGTGGATTTTGTTATATACTTACATAGGGATCTGTCTTATATCCTCTGTTGAGTTTAATATTTAGTATATCCGATACCGTGATTTACATAATAGATAAACTAAAGTTATTTATTTTAGGTAAATTTCTAAATTAACTACTTAATTACAATGGACATCGTTGAAATTATGCCGGCTAATTCAGTTCTGTTTGAAGATATATGTTCTGCCTTAGAACGGATCTATGATTTACACAAGAATCAAAACAAACATAAGAAGAAGAATGTTAAAGAAGAACAAGCAAATATTTTAATAGAGTTTTTTAACGATTTTAAATTAACTGCAGCGAAAGTTTCAAGAAAAAAGGTACGTTATAATTTTATTTGCTTGTACAACTCGCTCAGGAAGCCACTACTAACGCTACCAGTAGTGTCATATCGAAATACAGCGCAGGAGAAATAATTTCTACCTAAAATTGAACAATGGAATTTAACAATTTATCGAATAGGTTAATATTTATTATGTAATATAGTTGTAATTAATAGGTACATGGTATCAGCGGCGGCCTCACCCATTGCGAGGCTCCGGGCCCGGGCGGTAGGTCTTTATGAGGCCCTTTGCCCTTCGTGAAAAGTTTGTGATGCGAAACTAGGTCAGGTTGTTTGATTTAGGTATTTGTAATATTTGACGAGAAATGTTATCATCTTTATTCATATACAGATGTTAATGAATAAAGATGATTGATTGTTAAAGTTATATAAATAAATAAAATTTGAGCTTTAAATTATTGGAAATTTTCGGCTGACTCAATAAAATATCTCTTATTTTACATTTATACAATAAAATTTTTTAATTGTATATATTAGTGTTGGTAATTTTGTTCATTCGTGATTAAAATGCCTAAATCGGGAAGTTTTTGCAACTTGCTACTAGACTAAATGTCACTCACTGGTTGTTAAAAATTTGGTTGGGTTGTTACGTGAAGGCTCTACAAGAGTGAGGCCCCGGGTGATAGCCCTATTTGCCACCCCCTAAGGCCGCTGTTGCATGATTCATAATTTATATATTAATATAAGTATGTATTATATCAACATCGAGGGCACGAGCATAAGAATATTGTTACAGAGATGGTGTGATATTAGCGTGATATAAGTGTGATATTAGCGGTAATTATAGTAGATATGGTAAGAGTAAGCAACGCGTATATATTCATATAATTTTAATTGTCTTTTTTTATGCAACTTAGAATGGCAAACAAGCTGACGGCCTACCTGATGGAAAGTGGTAACCTTCGTCTATAGACATGAACAGTACCAGAGATATAATAGAGTAAACATTTGATAAACAAGTTGAGGAGTCCACCTGTAATCCCTCTGGTATTGCAGGTGTTTATGAGCTACGGTAATCGCTTACTATCAGGTGGGCCGTATGCTTGTTTGCCACCTCAGTGGTATAAAATCCATCTAAGAGTCGTTGTCAAGATATAAACAGTATCATGGATATTACAGAGCACATAGAGTACTGTGACGCGTGTATGGTACTCCCTAATGAGTTGCCGTTTCTGAGGACTATAACATGAGGTTCATAATACTTATGACTTTTATAAAGCTCTCTAGAACCTAACATTTTTCAAAATTTCAACTGTATAATTTTTATTTATACCGAAATCCCTTATGATGTTAATGTATGAATACGAGTGACAATTTGATTAATTACAATATTCGTTCGGTCAAAAGTTTTAGAGAAAGAAAAAAATATTGGAATTTGGATAGGCTGTTTGTCTGATTAATTAGTAGATAAATAACATTTTAGATTAACTAAATAGATATCTAAGTATTTATACCTCTAGCAAAGGGAAGGTTCATAGCACTTGTAAACGGATCCGATTCTGAAATAAACACCTTGATAAACTTTTAAGAATTCCAGTATTTTCCCGATTTTGAGATTACTTTTACCGGCATGTGAGCGAGAAAGGAATCCATACATGTTAAAAGAGAAGAAACTCGGGGAACTGTTGGTGAAGGTGTTATCAATAAAAAATTCCTTGGATGCAAGAAAGCTGCTGGAATATAAGTCAGTGAACAGCGCAAGAGACCATGATTTCGCAAGTGTTGCTTATCACGTCATAAAAAATAAAATTCGTGATGAATGTGGCGATCTCACTGTTGGAGAAATAAATGAAATTCTCGACAAAGTAGCTACTGCCGAAGTTGGAAATAAAGGACGTAAGTTTTATTTTTACACAACTTGGCAAAGAAGCTAACGGTTTTTTTTTTAATGGATGATAATGGAATGGTAGCCTCGCCTGCACTAACGGTATACGCTGGCGGAGCACCGGTGAGGGGTAATAAGTGAGGATGAAAGGGAAGGTCAGTTAGCTCATCGTGATGGATACACATGGAATTCAGCACGACGGTTTCCAGTGGGGACCACGTGAAGGTCGACCTGATAGGGTATATTGCTAGTAATGGAACTGAAAGTCTACATTACTAACTATCCCTCTCCCCCCACTTAGAAGCTAACGGTTAATCTTACGAATGTGCTAACGGTCTATAGGGGATGAAAAGGGATTGTAACTAATGAAGATTAGCAATCATATTACTAGCAATATACCTTATCAGGTTGACCTCCTCTCGGTTCCCCTGAGAACCAACGTGGCTGATTCATTGGTGAATTTGTCACGATGGGCTAAATGAAGCAGGTCATCATCTTCACTTATCGTCCCTCACTGGAATTCCGTCAGCGTATACCGATAGCGTAGACAGGGTTACTATTCCATTATCATTAATTAGAAAAAAATAAAAAAGGTGTATGGGGGGGGGGGGAGAGGAGAGGAATAGGGATTCTAAGCAATGAGGACTAACTACCTCATTGCTAACAATATACCTTTATCAAGTTAATTTTTGTAATGTCACGGTAAGTCAACTGACTCTTCACTGGTGTTTCAGTACAGGCGGGGTTACTGGTTAATGGAATACATTATCATACCAGTTATTCTTACTAATATTATAAATATGAAAGTGAGTTTGTTTGTTTGTTATCTTATAGCGTCTTAATCGATTAGTTTGAAATTTGGTAAACACGTACTATATGGAATGGAGAAGGATATAGACTCCTTTTTAGTAAACAGCGGGTCTACCATGAAATGAAATTCTGAAATTTTGGACTCACTTTCGTGTTTTTGTTTATACCAAAATCGGACCAATAAATGGAGTTTAACATTTCGTTCGTCATACATCCTATCATAAAAGTCAAAAGAAACAATATTGTAACATTTTTAATATTTCCAAACGGCATGTATTATGTAATTTTAACATCAAATTTCTGTTTCGTTTGGCTCCGAAATTTCGGGAAATATTCCATGGTAGGCCCTCAGATCCCGGTCACGCAGACGAAGTCGCGGGTAAAATCTTGTAGTTTTATAAACATGAAAGTTTATAAAGATATTAAGTTGTTTATTACTCAATAGTATTTAAAAGACTAAACGAATTCGAATTCAATTTGCTACACGGATAAATAATATTTTAATTTAGCACATAGGATACCTAATGTACTGATTCACGCGGGCAAAGCCGCGGGAAACAGTCATTTATAAAAATGGCCGTCAATAACCATAAACAACTCCATGTGCATCAAAGAATATACAATGATGCTCTATGGACATACCAGAATACTGTATACCTAAGTAAGGCTTTGTCATTTATGAGGACTATGGTATTATATGTCGTGTAGTCCCGGCATAAAATAGACCATCCCTTCCAATCCCGTGGATGTCGTAAGAGCCGACTAAAGGAGGGCAAGGGATGGGCAGTAACGTCCCTCTTAAAACATGTCTTAAGCCTGATTGCGATTGCCAATCCGCCTGCCAAGCGTGGCAACTATTGGCAAAACCCCTCAAGAGAAGATTTATGTTCAGCAGTGGACAGTCATGATGATAGTGATGGTATTATATGCTCACCTGATAGTAAGTGATTACCGCCGCCCATAGGCACACAGGCAACATCAAGGAAATTGCAGGTGTGTTGCTGGCCCTTTAAGAAGGAATACCTACTAAATAGTATACAAAAAAAAAACTGATATACCATAATCTAGTAAGTAAAAATATAAATAATAAGAACTTGAATTATATTGTAAAATCTTTATTGTACATAACTCAGATTAAACACTGGTAAATGATTTAATATATAATACAATATTATGTAATTGTTTGTGTTGTAGCTGTGCTGATGGAGACATTCGAGTATGCATTAAAAAAATTAAGCGCCAAACAATTTAAATGGTTTCTTCGGATAATTCTGAAAGACTTGAAACTTGCATTTGGTGTTGACCGAATTTTATCAGCCTTCCATCCCGACGCTCCAAGTTATTATAAAAATTGTAACAACCTTTATAAGGTAAGTAGTAGGTTCCTTTGTTTACAATATAATGTAAACGATAACTGTGAGTTTATATTTTTTTTATACTGCTATGGTGACAAACAAGCATACGGCTCGTCTGATAGTAAACGTTCATGCCTGCTATATCAGGCAATCATTACATTCCCATTTACCGCTTAGATTACATACATACACATCACTGTCTCCTAAGGATTACGGCAGGCTTCTTTTGTCACTAAATGTAGGACTCTGTCTAAAAGGGATGGAATAAAACTATCTGTACTGATAAATTTGGTATAGACTCCTTATAATAATAGTAATCTTTTATATGCAAAATAGAGTGGCAAATAAGCTGATGGCCCACTTGATGGAAAGTGATATTCGTCGTCTATAGACCAGTACCATGGACATTTCAGAGTATACTGTTTCGCGCATGATACCTCCCATGCGTTGCCATTCCTGAAGACTGAGATGTTATTCCTCTGTACCCTGTAAATTCACTGCCCCACCCTATCCCATCCTTTAAACCGAAACACAGCCATGCAAACGCAACTGCTTCATGATAGACACACGAATGAGACAACGATACCCAACAAACGCCTTTTATATAAAGTCTCCCTATGGTTAAATAGTGTTATTTTTCTTTTCGCAAAGGTTAGGGTTAAATTTAAATTTGTAAACAAGCCACCGTAGAAAATAGTATTATTTACTTTTGTAAGTAAATATTTCGAGTATTTCTTAATACTGTAAAATAATTAAAATATGAACTAATAAAGAGAGACATTTTGTAATGGATAAATACAAAAATACATAACCGATAATTTTTTTTTTTCAATTAAAAAGCTATATTATCAGCGAATAATATAGTATGTATTTTATATGTTGGTCTTATTCAAACTATGTTAGCTGAACTTAAACCAGAAATTTTTCTTCTCTTTCCGCGTCTAGGGAAACTAGATAAAGTTTTGTTTGAGAAATCAGTTCAGGGTACAATAGGACTGATATACCTGAAGAAGGTAAAAGCCGTTAAAATATTAAAAAAAAAAAAACCATGCGGAGTCACACGAATTGTTGCACTCAATACGTTGCTGTTTTAGGTGTGTGAAGAGTTAGACGATGGCAACAGCCGGCCGTTGGAGCTGGGTGTACAGTTGTTCTGCGCTGTGAGCCCTATGCTCTCGGAGCGATTGAATATCACACAAGTATCACAGCGACTCTCGTCGGAGAGGAAGTACCACGTGGAAAACAAATTTGACGGCGAGCGATTTCAAGTGAGCGTACTCTTTACTAATAACATAAAAACGTTGCAATATAATTATGTAGATACGTATATATTTACGTTCAATTATAATCTAGTAATACCCCGTGCTGTGCCATGATTATTTACATTTATCTGTAGTTTACCGCACAATATGATTTCATACGATTTTGCTCTCGCGATATAATAGGAAAGTAGAAAGTAAAAAATACATATGGTTTAAATGAATCCGCTTTAAATTTCCGTTCCCGTTAAAGATAAAAATTATCATGCAAGCATGAAATTTTAAAGATTTTAAATATTTACCTGTGTGAAAGATGATATGGTCAGAATAGGGATGAATGATGAAATTACTACGAAGAAAAAAGGAGGAGAAAAACATATTATACGAACCCCAAATAAAAAATTGGAATTCACACTTTTAAATTTAAAGTTTTCTTTAAAATTTGAAATATCATCGATCAGTATCAAAATCAATATCATCTATCGTTTAAAAATATGGCTGGACATCTCGCGAATAGTAACAAATCTAATTGGTTATAAATTATATCCAATTGACTTGTTTTTTTTTTCTAGATGCACATGAAAAATGGAGAATTTGAATATTTTTCAAGAAGAGGCCATCCGTATTCACATAAATATGGCAAGACGTACGAAACTGGCCTACTGACGCCCTTTTTAAAAAGTTGCTTTAGTCCGAGCGTTGTTAACTTCATATTAGATGGCGAAATGATGGGCTGGCACAAAGTAGATAAATCTTTCAGAGTAAAAGGTTAGTCCAAATTTAAAACTTCAGCATATGAGTTGCTCTCTCTAATCAAACACATAAGAATCGTATGTGAGATAGGCTAGGATTGTTAAATTCAATAATAGTTAATACGATTTATGAGTTTGTGACATAGGTCACAAACTCGTGATTCAATTATTCAATCCGGCTTGAAGGACCAAAAGGTCTACTGCTTTTGTCTAACAGTTTTATTAGTTGTCATATTAGAAGTTAAATTCACAGGCAAAAACAATAAAATATACCTTTCTTCTAGATAGATGTAATAGATTTCGAGAAACTGTATTTTTGCGAGTCCATAAAATTTTAAAAATATAAAATCATAAAGTTTTATATATGGATTTATAAAAACAAATATCGGAGATATTGCACTTGTTATAAAGTAAAGCACAATTGAACCTGTTCTTCACGAAATAAGTAACGTTTTTTTATAGGAGAATCGTTCGACGTGAAGAAAATAACCGAGCATTCGAGTCTAAGGCCGTGCTTCTGTGTATATGACGTGTTGTACTACAATGACAAAGTGTTGGTGGGCACCCCAGACAAGGGCGGCGTTCCACTAGAAGAACGGTTAAAGTTGCTCGACACGATGTTCAGTGACATACCCGGGGTCATACAGCATAGTAAAAGGATACCTGTCAGAGATAGGTAAGCTCATAGGTATACGCCATCGTTTTAAAACCAAACCAGTATTTGTGTAATCATATACATAATATTTATAGGAATAGTAATTCGTGTTTCTGCCGTGAAGCCGTTGTGTTTGTATAGCTTTGTTTCAGTTTAAAGCGTTTTTTTTAATGGGTGTAGATGGAATGGTAACCCCGCCTACGCTATATGTATACGCTGAAGGGCACCGGTTAAGGTTGACAGGTGAGGATGAAGATAGATCAGGTGACCTATAGTGACCAAACCAAACCAAAAAGACCAAAATTAGAATGTTTGCAAACAAACGTATCATATCTTGTCCAAACTTGAGAATTTGTCCTATAAGTGAGACATAAGGGTAATAATGTCATCATACCAACCTTTAACAATAGCCTCCCCCTTGGGGGTTTAGCCAGAAGTTCTACGCTTGGCAAGCGAATTGGTAACCGCAGTTAGGCTTTGAAGATGTTTTAAGCGGCACGCTGCTGCCCATCCCTCGTCCTCCCTTAGTCAGCTCTTACGACACCCACGGGAAAAGAAGGGATGTCCTATTCTATGCCGGAACCACACGGCTATTAATTAAGTTATTAATATGAGTGTACTTATTGACTTAGGGTTACTGAGCTATAAAGTCCCAATTATAGGGGTTATAGAAATTTTTCTATGCAAAAAAGTAGAGAGCTCATTACGATTATCAATAGCAGAGATTTCTCACATATCCATCCAGGTCCCAGTTAGCCAGGTGTCATTTTAATACCAAATTTTTTTTTTATAAAATCTGATTTTGTTATCATTTATTGCTAATATATACAGCTACCTGACAAAATTGATCGTTTCGTGAATCATAAGTTTAAAAATGACAAAAAAAATCGATTCTCCCATTCTGATTAGACAGCTGGACGCATCGCGTTAGTAAGGGAGACTCAATTCTTTTTGCCCCTTTTCAATCCATGTTTCATTAGTGAAATGTTCAGTTTTGCTGGTAGAATTATGAAAAAAAATTCGAAACGCGTGATGTATAATTAATTGATTATATATGTATATGATATGTACATAGAATCAGACAGACTGAAAAAACGAACTTAAAAAAACTTAGTGCTATTAGTAACAATGAACTTTCTAAGTTTTTTCGAACTAAGATTGCTCGACGATTTATTTCCACTAAATTCGCACTCGGTTAAATATAGAAGTATTCAATTTAAATTATTTACTTTCAGTAATGATATCTTAGATAAATTAAATGACGCCATAGAACTACAAGAAGAGGGTATTGTTGTGAAAGATGTCGCCTCATACTACGTGCCTCAAGCGCGCAACGCTGGATGGTACAAAATTAAACCGGAGGCATGTAACTACTTGGCTTATCTTCTCTTGTATTTCTATCCAGAGTTATCATTTGGTGTTCTTATTTTTTCATTGGATGAAGAGAGAATAGCATAGGCGCACTGCCTATGCTATACAATGGCAGGGACTCAGTGAAGGATGAAACAATAATGACATCACTTGGCTCATCACTGCGATTATAATTGCCAGACGTCTACCTAATAGGGTATTTTTTTAATGGGTAATAATGGTATAGAAACCCCGCCCGCGCTATCGGTATACGCTGGCGGGGCACCAGTGAAGGGTGATCGATGAGAATGAAAACAAGTCAGTTAGCCCATCATGATGAATTCATCAGGAATTAACCATGATAGTTTCCAGAGGGAACTGCGAGGAGGTCGACCTGGTTGGGTATATTGCTAGCAATGGGATTCTCAGTCTCCATTACTATCAGTCCCTTTCCTCCCCTAATAGGGTATTGTGCTAACGATGAGAACTAGCGTCCCCATTACTAACAATCCCAATGGGATCCCAATTCAACAATGGGAATATTATTGTATTCGTCACGATGGGCTAACTGACCTGATTTTTCATCCTTACCATAACCATCCTGCCTGCCTATACCAATAGCGCAAGCAAGGTTGCCATTCCAATATCATCCATTAAAAAGTCCTTTTCCGTTGTGTTCTTCTCTTTATTTTAGTACTAGCTGCTTGCAGTGTCGCTTATATAAATAAAAATCGTAAAGAAGTATACGACCTGCCTGATGACTATCGGTTATGCGTAACGTACTTGAAACGGTTATATTGTATAGTATTTCTCGTATATCAAAAAAATATCTAGCAAAATGAATTAATTTAATTTCAAACCAAACAATTATCTAAATAATATGTTATAGTACACGAGCGAAACCATGAATGACTTAGACTTCGTGATAATTGGCGCCGATGAAGCAGAGAACAAGCGGCACGGCCGTGCAAACAGCTTCTACGTAGCCTGCGCTGACGTCGCCGCACCAGGCAAAGTATCACTGTACAATATTTTTTTTACGTGAAAGGACGACAAACGTGCATGCGGTTCATCTGATAGTAACCGTTTACCGCAGCACATGAACACTGACGACACCAAGGGGTCACCCCATGTTTTTTTTTTATGTTGTATTAATTTAAAAATCATCATTATCTTCCTATCTTTATCCCAATTATTATTTGGGGTCGGCATGATATGTTTTTTATTCATATTACAAAAAGATTTGGCTTATAGTTTTACTATTGGCCACCTGCTCTTGAAGTCAACGCTCTTTCAGAAAATAAAAAATAAATATTTTTTAATTATTGTAATTAGGTGAGGTCCCTCACCGATGGGTGTCTGTGGGACGGGTGTCATCTGGTTTCTCCAATGAGCAGTTGCAGAGTGTTTGTGAAATGTTGGAACGCCATTGGGTGCCTACAAAACGGACTTCCCCGCCGGCGACCCTCGTCTTCAATAAAAAGAAACCCGATTTTTGGATTATGCCAGAACACTCTATAGTGTTAGAGGTAATATAAAAATTCTTAAAACGTCACCAAAGCCAAACTACGATTGTTAGCCCGACTGCCAAGCGTGACAACTACGGGCAAAATCTCCGCATTTCACTTCTGTGAAATCCGCATCCAATTTAGTGCATTAGTTTTTGCGTTATGCCGGAATAAATATACACACAGAAAGACAGGTAGACGAAATCTCTAAAGATATTATTTTGGCATCTATTTTTTTTTATGTAACTTAGAATGGCAAACAAGCTGACGGCCCACCTGATGGAAAGTGGTTAGTCTATTTATAATTTCATTATATTAGTAAGATATTAGGTTTCCCAAATGCAAGGATGCTTTAAAAATATAACATGTTCATCTAGAATCACATAATAATACCATATACTATAACCATAAATAGATTGGACAAAAATGAAGTGAAATTTACTCTTTTGTGTGAATGCGTCAATACCTCCAAGTATTAAGTCTATCTTTTGACCCGAATTGTGATATTTGCAACACATTGAGTAATGTTCAGCATATGATATCTGAATGTAAAACATACAAAATACAAAGAGAAGCTTTAATACATAAATATAATTTAAATAGACAAGACATTGGACTATTTTTAAGTATACTCACAGATCCACATTCCGAAATGGCAAAATTTTTAATTGCTATATTTTTGTATCATGACTTCCTCTATTTTCGTATGTAAAATAAATAAGTAAGGTTAGCTTATGACATATCCTTGTTGAATAAAAGCCCCTAAATAAAATGATTAAAAAATGTCCACTTTTTCTACCATACTTTCATTTGGTCAATATTTTTTTTTATTTATAATAAATAATAAATAGATTAAATTTTGTTGATAAATAGATACGCGCGACAGAGCTGATCCGCAGCGTCGACTACGGCACCTCGCACACGCTGCGGTTCCCACGACTCTGCAGACTGCGAGACGACAAGCCAGTCAATGATGTAATCACGTTGGAAGCCTTCAATGCACTCACGGAGGTGAGTAAATATTGTAAACTGTTTTATAAATTTAGTAAACATCTAGATCAGCCTTTCCCAAAGTGAGCGATAACGCTCCCTTGTGGGCGCTGCAGGCCTAAAGGGGGGCGGTAAGAGACCCTAAAAAAAATGGGGGCGTTATAGATAGGCTTGGGGGGTGACTTGTTGATCTTGAAGTGAGTGGTTTTTAAGTACATGAAAAAATGGGGGCGCTAAAAATTATTTATTTTCAAAGTGGGCAGTAGAAAAAATAAGTTTGGGAACCCCTGATCTAGATCCTCGTAACTATGTAACGTATTTATAAATTGAATGCATTTCACATGATTACACCAAGCTCCTGGTTCATAAGGTAACATATCCAGTATTATGAGGAATCAGAAAATATCTGTGTGGAGGCACAACCTAGAATACCCTGAATCTAGGCAATTCAGAAAAGTTCATTTTTCAAATTAGACCGAGTGAGATTCAAACCCGGGACCTCAAATCACAGCAAAGCAACGCACCCGCCACTGCGCCCTGAGTTTGTCGTAAACTCTTGCACCTCATTGTGGACTTATCTATCTTCCTGCCTGGTATATTTTTTACTTAGAAGTTGAAAAAAGAATAAAAGTGTGTACTGAATAAAGAATTTACCAGAGGGAGACTTTGTACTAAAGTCGTTTGCTGTACCTAAGCATTCGTGTCTTATTCGTGTTTCTACCGTGAAGCAGCTATGTTTGCATGGCTGTGTTTCGGTTTGAAGGGTGGGATATGGCATGAATTTACAGAGTACAGAGGAATAACACCTGAGTCCTCAGGAATGGCAACGCATGTGGGATATCATAGGCGAAACGGTGTGCACTGTTATGTCCATGGTACTGCTCATGTCTATAGGCGACGGTTGCCACTTTCCAACAGGTGGGCCTTCAGCTTGTTTGCCATTCTAAATTTCTAAATAGTATAAAACAAAAAAGAGTACTTTAGTTGCAACTTTTTTTTTATTCTTTTAACTAATCTTGACTTTCTATTGTGCTCATCGAAATTTAATGTTAACCTTTACGAGTATTTCGTATACGCAGTAAGGTTCAAGAGATTTGGAATCTGCACATGCTCATGGATTTTTTTTTTTGTTAAATACTGCCAACAGATAACAATAAAAAAATTTATTTGTAGAACAAAGGGAATGTGCTCAAATTAGCCACAAAAACTGTAGAACAAGGGCAAATGGAAGTCGACGGCGTCGAAATAAAGCCACGGAAAAAGCGAGCTCCTAATGTTATACAAGTACACGAACAGTTTCGACCCATGATCAGTGGAGATGTTAAATCGATTTCTAAGGCTTTACTCGATCGTAAAATTCGCATCATATCAGGCGATGAAGAGGACGATTTGAAAGAACTAATCGAAATTGTGATATCGCATAGTGGAAAACATGTATTAAACGTTGGTAAGTAAACACTAGTCCAATTTACGTGGGGGGGGGGGGGATTGTTAGTAATGCGGACTATCAGTTTTTGCTAACAATATACCCTGTCAGGTTGAACTCCACGTGGGTCCCTCTGGAAACCATCGTGCTGAATTCCTGGCGTATTCTTCACGGTGGGTTAACTAACCTGCTTTTTCATTTCACCTATCAGTCCTTACTTATACCCCGCCAGCGTATACCGTTACGCAAGTGGGGTTACCGTTTCATTATCACCCATTAAAAAAAAAAAAAAAAAAAAAAAAAAAAATATATATATATATATATATATATATATATATATATATATATATACGATATATACTGGCTGGGCACCAGTGATAGATGACTAATGAGGATGAAAGCAGATCAGTTAGCCCATCCTGACGAATTCAACCTGACAGGGTATATTGCTAGTAATGGTGCTATTTGACCTCATTACTCATTATTTTAGTTAGTTATCATGAAATGTGGTTTATGCGTAATATTTTTAATGAACTAACAATTGGTGAGGACAGGTCCTGATACGTGGTGTGCGGTGGTGGGTCGCATGACCGCGCGCGCTCGAGACGCACTGGAGTCGCGGGCAGTTGACGTGGTTCCCACTAGTTGGCTGCGGCAACTGCCACCATCACCTGAGCCCTGTCAGCTGCGGCCGCTCGACTTGCTTCAAATGAAACCCTCCACCAGCTTAAACTTCCGTAGAGATTACGATCGCTTCGGTGACAGCTATACGCAACCGGTCGACGAGGGCACGCTCAAGAGGTGTTTTGAAAAGATGGACACTGTTAGTATTTGCCTGTGTTACAAATATTTTAAATCTATACCTTTCATTTATTTTATTTTTATCTTTACTTATTTAAAGTACCTAATATGAAGAAGAAAGATTGGATTTTTGTTTGTAATGGATTTTCCAAAAAAATTAGAGATCACTACGAAAATTATTATACTGTAACCCTAATGTGTAATATAATATATATAATGTGTGTGGCCGTGTGGTCCCGGCATAGAATGGGCCACCCTTTCTCTTTCCGTGAGTGTCGTAAAAGGCAACTGGGAGGGCGAGTAACATGGGCTATATTTTATTTTTGAAGAGTCGCGTGAAGCCGGACCGGGTCGCAAATGTCTAGTAAAACTAAAGCTATTCAACAAATTTTATTGTGTAAGCAGAACGTGAAACTTTTAATGCTGACGGTATCATGATTTTAACGATACTAACTAAAGAAACAATAAAAACAAAATAACTAACGAAAACAAACTTTAATCATATTAGCCTTTAACCGTCCACTGCTGAACATAAGCTTTCCCCTTGGGAGGTTTTGCCAGTACTTGCCACGCTTGGCAGGCGGATTAGCAACCGCAGTTAGATTAGTTAAGGTTAGTTAGGGAGTAACCGCTGGTAATCTGTATTACTAACAATCCCTTCCCCCCCCCCCTATTGGTAGTTTCATACCTAGTCATTAAATGCAGTGTAATGCATCATTAATTTCTCGTTTTTATTTCAGGAATCCCAAATATACCTCACAAGGCGTGAGATGTTGGCTGTGGATAAGCATATTTTTGAGGATGGAAATCCGTTTTCATTTCTACGTCGGTGTACCATATATTTTCACAATAGCAGCAGTATTTATGCTATATTGGCAGAGTTGTACGGCGCTGTGGTGTGTGATCAAGCAGCGGATTTGACCCACGTAACCGTGGCACCGACGACCAAAATTGAAGACGTAATGAAATTGAAAAATGAATTTCGTGTTCCAGTAATTTCCGAAAACTGGTTGGACGAGTGTTTTCTTACCAAAAAGTTAATATCTGAAGATAGATTTATTTTGTAATTATCAATAAGGTTGCATTAACTCTTTCTATCATGTTAAAGATATAAAATTAGTATTTTTTATATTTAATAAAATGTATTAAAAGTATTCAACAATTGTTTATTTATCTGAAAATTTTAAAATCGATCGTAATATCTATAATCTATTCACATAACCGTAGTTAGAGAGGCTAGGGCTTTGAGGGCAATGCCCTACCTTATAAGGCGCAATGCCCTACCTCAAAATAAAGGCCCCAAGAAAATTAGACAAATTCGCTTTTTCGAAGTCCTACCTTTTGTCCTACTAAAATGTCCCTTTGCCCTACCTTAAACATGGATCCAGCTACGGCCCTGTCTATTCCATAATTCAAATATTGTATTTTCTATTTAAATACTCCTATATAGGTATTTTAGGAAATACCTCAGTTGACGTCTGCAGCAATAAGGTTTTTTAATCAATGTTAATCATGGCGGAGCACCAGTCACGGTATAGATGAGAATGAAAAGTCAGGCCTAGTCAGCCCATCATGATTTTTATTCATCACAATTTATCCATTTAAAGTTTCATTAAAAAACATATTAATACCGCGAGGAGGTCGACCGTTGTTTTAGTATATATGTTCAGTCTCCATTTATAAAATTTTCCTCCCAAATATTATATTATCTATTTAAATACTGCGATATATAAAAATCGCTTAAAATATCTCAGTTGACGTCTGCAAAAGCGTGAAAATAATTTGGTTTTTTTTTCAGTGTTAATCATTTTCATGGCCAATAAAAAATACCTTTGCCTTGTAAAAATTCTAAAAAAGTACTATCATTCAGCCAACCCTGGCTTTTTACGTTCCTCACAATTTATCCATTTAAAGTTTCATTAAAAAAGATTTATATTAATATACTCATACCTACAAAGTTGCTGGGGAGGGGGGATTGTTAGTAATGGAAACTAAGGGCCCTATTGTTAGCAAAATACTCAACCGGTCGACCTTCCCGTGGTCTCCCCTATAAACTATCGAAACTATATATCATAATGGGCTAACTGACCTGCTTTTTTCATTCTCACCTACCTCATTGATGCTCCGCCAGCGTATACCGTTAGCGCAGGCGGGGTTACCATTCCATTATCATCCATTTAAAAAAAAGAGCTGCAGAATCTTATCAAATTAAATGTACTTCACACGTTTTCGACTATATTTATTTTGTTTCGACAATGAAGATATAGTAATATCGTATTTTATTATAAGTAAAGAAATGATGCATCTTTCAATTTCTTAATCTTGATAGCACATTGTTTATTATTATTGATTATGATTTAGCACATTCAGACTCGCTCATCCAGAAAATGAATCAAAAGCAAGCGTGTCATTATATGTAACCTGACACACAGCGAGTTCGTTTCACAGCGCTGCACTGCACTTTACCAATGAGTGCTTTGTGCCCTGTAATTATAAACATAATAAGGATCATTGTGCACGCACATTATATTTACAACGTTACTGTATACTAATAGATATCTACAGTTTAATTGTACTAATTAAAATCAGCTAATGGAAGTACATACGTACCACTACATAGTTTCTTATATATTTTTTATGCTACTCGGATTGGCAAACTGAAGGCTCGCGTGATGCAAAAATAACATTGATTTCAGACATGAATGTACTAATCACAGATATCACAATATACTGTGACGACCGTGATACTCTTCATGGGTTGCCATATTTGAGGCCTCTGATGGAATATCTCCAATCTTTGTAATTTTACTGCCTTTTTCCTTTATATAATAGTGCCATTTGTTGTAATTTGCAGCTCATATTAAATCTAGAGTGCAAGATAGGCGGGATTAGGAAGGAGTTGCTCAACCTGCTTTTGTATTTCAGCGTAAAACAACTCGGTAACCTATTCTTAGGATAGAGTATCAAATTTGGCATATGATAGGATGTCGAGACAAGTCCCCGTCAAACAATGAGCAGTTCATATTTTAATGTCATGCCTACTTATAATGTAGTCAGTCAGGCGCTATGTCAAAACTTCTCACGATTAAAGGTTTCAAATGGTCTCGAAACTAATGGAGCTTTCTCCACCTAATTAAACGTAAATTAAACCGGTAGTTATTACATTGAAATATAATGCATACTTAGAAAATTTTGCCCTCCGGTAAAATTTTCCCAAATCTTTTTTCTGAATGGTATTGACTAGTGAAAAATGTGATGCTACATCCTAATGTAAAATATACTTAGACAGTATCCATTCACACCAAAAAACATTATAAGGATGCTTATCCATCATTATATAAAATTCATTGAAATAAGAAAATGGGAAATATGATATTGCTAGTAAAATTAGCAGTGGTCAAATCGAATGTAATCGGAGAGTTAATTGGCAATCGTCGTCCGAGATTGGATATTGTTTACATCTCGCGACACCTCGTTACAAATACTAACATTTTTATACTATTTTGATATAAAGGACAGTTAAATGTTTTGCTAGTATTTTATTTATTTATTATCTATTCTATTACATAATTATAACATATTATGATATCGAATTTTACCAAGCGCCAGACGCAATCCAATAAATGCCAACTAGATAGATATGTAGGATCATGTGCTTTTAAAAAACTACCTTTTTGTTGCCAACATTTTCTCGTAAAATTGTCCAACAGTATCAAGTTGTGTAGCCAACACTTTAAAGTACTTATACTATGACATTTTTATGATCTATCGAGTTGATTTTCAAATTAATTCTTCCGCTGTAAAATATGATATCCTTTGCTGAAACAACAAACAGACTGCTTATAACACTAAACCCGAGCCATGCAATAAATGTATCACTTTACTGAGAAAATATAAAAAATCACAGGGTTTTTTGTACAAATGGTAGAATTGGACTCAAACCGCCCGCCTACAATGCCCTTTCGGCCAATAGCGACGGTGCTAGGGCGGAGTTACTGCTCACACTGAACGTTTTAAACTTGAGACCCACTTCAGAGCCGTCAATCTCTGAAAAGATATTTCAGCGGGGACATGACTCGAATTATTAATACCTATACGTTCGGGAGTTGTTTAGTCGTGTTACAATGAAATAAGAGTATACAATTCTAGATGATCAATTAGCATTGGGAAATAGTAAAAAATTCGTCATGCAAAGTGAGACAGAGGGGAGCGCAAGTCGGAAAGCGCTTAGGACTCCAAAGTGCGCTCGGTGTCGAAACCATGGTGTGATCTCCTGTTTGAAGGGTCACAAACGTTTGTGCCGGTGGCGCGACTGCCGATGCCCTGGGTGCTTGTTGGTGCTCGAGAGACAACGCGTCATGGCTGCTCAGGTCAGTACCTATCTATTTTATCTATACATAGTTACTACTATGTCTACTATCTATAATATTAGTCAAATCAATAAATGTCCATGATCTATTAATTGATATTTGTTCTAAAATTATGTGAAAAGAAAAATACATGCTTCGACTACAATTTTCAGTCCTCTTTTTCTCTGCCCGATTTAAAATAACAATTTAAATTAAAAAAAAAAGATTTTCAATTAATTAAAATAACTCACAATATCTTAATTTTAAAGTAGGTAGAAAAGAACCCTACTTAACAGGGGGAAAGAGATTGTTAGTAATGGGAATTCACCAGCTCAATTACTAGCAGTAATTGAGCTGGTGAATTCCCATATCCTAATGCAATATCATATCAGGTCCACAGGGTTCCTCCTGGAAACCATCGTGGTTAATTCTTGTGGAATTTATCACAATGGGCTAACTGATATGCTTTCTTTCTCACTTATCATCCCTAATTGGTGCCCCGCCAGCGTACACCGATAGCACAGGCGGGATTAGGTACCATTTCATTATCATCCCACAAAAAAAAAACATTGAGTTTAGTAGATACTTAATAAATTATAACATTTTTCATAACATAAAACCTACCTACTTTTACCTTATTTTATTCAACTATTCACACATTAGGTTGCATTGAGGAGGCAACAAGGTGCTGGTGGTTCTGAAACACGGAATGGCGGCGAGATGGCGGCGTTAGCAGCACGCAAACGTGCCTACCGCGCCCGCTTGCGTTGCATGCAGATGGCCAAGACGTATCCACCACAGCCACCTTCCTATGGTGAGTATTTTGACCAAATTACCAAAGTAAGGGAGGAAATATTTTTCAAATGGCAAATATGACTATATCTTTGGCGCTATGTTCAATACATAATGTTCTATAATTAACATCTTTTTTATATTTCAAAGTAAATTTATTTACAATATAATCTGTTTCAATAAAACTTATGAAAAAGTAACTGAGTTTTGTTGAAATGATCACAAACATTCTTCATATACGGTCCCGGCATAGAATAGGCCCCGTCCTTTCCCCTGTGTGTAAGAGACGACTAAGGGACAGTGAGCGAAGGAGAGCAGCGTCCCTCTTAAAACATCTTCTAAGCCTAACTGCGGTTGCTAATTCGCCTGCGAAACGTGGCAACTACTGACAATTAAAGGCTGATATGATGATATATGACTTTTCAAATGAAATTGTAAAAAATCGATAAATTCAATCAATTAAAAATTTTTTTACTATTGAATATTAGAAGACCTTTTTACGGTTTTAGGCTCGGTCATTTACCCGTTTGTTTACTTTTGCATTAAGTTATATTTAAAGAGAGTAGCCTTGAATGGCTCCAAATAGATTATACCTAAATTAGGAAAGCACCACAGGGTGTAGGTATGAGTAATATATATCCATAAGTATCAGAAACTTGCAAATAAATATCTGAATGAATGAATGAAATTTATTGCTAAAAATATGTTTCAATAAGATAATATGTTAATATTACAATAGTTGGTTTCACACATTTTGTCATTACTCACATGCAACAGTCATTACAAAAGTTATGACGAAATAATTCTTTATAATAAGATTAATCTATCAGAGTCTGTTGTGTCTATTTTGAAGTAAATCATGCCAATAAAACCTACGGCACATTTTATTGGCATGATTTACTTCAAAAGGGGGGTAAACAGATTTCTTCAGGGTCGACAACGCACGCGTAATACCTCTGGTATTGCAGGTGTTCATAGGCTACGGTAACCACTTACCATCAGGTGGGCCGTATGCTTGTTTGTCACCTCAGTGGTATAAAAAAAAACGTGGTCCATGTCGAATTTTACATCAGAAAATGTTTAGATAGTGTTATTTTTTCTTATGCAATGGTAACAAGAAGACAATGTCTTACCTGATAGAAGGTAGTACCGTCCTCTATAGATATAAATAGTACTATAGATTTCACAGGATACACTGTGACGCCCATGGTCTTCTCATACGTTACTTTACAATAGTAATATTGTGTAGCCAGTGTAAAATTCTTTGCTGAATTTATGGACATCTATAATTCGACAACAAATTACAAAATTAGGGAAGTACTTGAAAATTTGAAGAATATTAATGTAAAACGAATTCGATAAAATTAGACCCTTGTCTAGATTTGACACTCGTGATTATTATGAGTTTGCATAGAATTATCTCAGGTATGATAAAATATTACCAGAGGGCGGAGAGATTTTGTACAAAAGTATAATACATAGTTTGTTTGGATACCTCTGGCCTATTCGTGTTTCTACAGTGAAGCAGTTGTGTTTGCATAGCTGCGTTTCGGTTTGAAGGGTGGGATATGGCAGTGAATTTACAGGGTACAGAGGAATAACACCTGAGTCCTTAGGAATGGCAACGCATGGAGGGTATCATGGGCTAAACTTATTATATACTTACTATACTTTGTTATGTACATGCTACCGCCCATGTCTATAGGCGACGGTTATCACTTTCCATCAGGCGGACCGTCAGCTTGTACGCCTATCTAAGTTGCATAAAAAAATATGTTTTATATTGTTTATGTATTGAAAAAATCGGTATAGGACGTATGGTTAGAAATTATGCATGAAATGGACAGTTTAGATCTTTTACAAGGTATAAAAATTATAATAGGTATCTATTAAAATACTTAAATCGTGTTGGACGATATATAACTGAATTTATTATTATTATTCTATAATGGTAGCCACGTGCAATATGTGTTTACCGTTGACGGAACGGGTGTCTCAGCGCAGTCTCGTCCGTTGATTGTTTTTCTTGTAAGTGAGTAGACACTGTCGAGTGTGTCGTTTCTCACTCGTGAAATGTTAAATGCGAATTAGCTGTATAAATATTTGTTTTGGAACATTAAGAGCGAGTTAAAATTATATATTTTGAAAAGACCATCCAAAGTTTTAGCTGCTTCTAAATTAGTCATGTTGACGGATTTGTTTGTTTAGTTGTTACACACAATAATTATGTTTGTAGATATTTTGAATGCTGTAAATTGATTATTGTTTTATTGATCAACAAAGTCTAAATAAATAAAATACTATTAGGCTTATGGATAGAGTGTAATAATGATAACTATATTTAAATAAAAAAAGCAGGCACGCTACCTACAGATTTTTATATTAGATATAATAAAAAGTATTACGCCGACTCCGAATAATTGTGGTAATGGCAGAAAGATAATGATGAAGAGTTTGTTTCAATAGAACTTAATAAAAAAGTAAATATTTGAATAGTTCACCCAATCAAAAGACAGTCTACTTTTAAAGAAATATTTTTATACAGTTCATCAAATAATAAACGTTCATTGTAGTTTATGAACGCCTGCAATACTGGGGGTGTTGTGTGTGCATTGCATATCCTAAGAATCTTAATACACCCTTTTTGAAGAACTCCAAACCGTAGTCTCTAGGGAAAACTTCGGTTGGGAGCTCATTCCACAGCCTGAGCGTTTACTGAAGAAAATTCCTTTACGAATTAAAGTTTACTGAACGCGACCATTTAGGTTCTAGCGTGTGAATTTCTCTTCCCTGTCGACGGGAGCAGTGCAATGATAAAAGGTGGCTGTCGGCATAACTGCGAATAATTCCTCAGAACACAATCCATAATACGTACCTATAGAGTACACATAGGGAGACAAAATTTAGACTCAGTTATCCATGTACCCCGGTACAATGGATGGATTGATGGGTACAACTTAGCCAGGGCCCACAGATGAGAGCAATATTCCATGGGTACCACAACAAATTTTTGGTCTTTGTGTCGAGGTAATATTTCGCTCAATAGATTGAGCACCTCGAGCTTTTTGATAATCAGCTTGACCCTATTTTCAATCTGACTTCGGAAGTTGACAGTGCTGAAGATGTCGACACCGAAAACCCTAATGCTTTTGGAGATGGTAACAATTACTTAATTAAAAAATCATGTGGATGATATTACATCTATTTATAGTAAAAGTTGTTTAAGACATCGTTTATTTGATTCCAGATTAAAACATGCTGTCGCAAGTATATATAATTATTATAGACATTTTGTATTAATTACTTGTTTTTGTTGTTCCTACATCTAGTTCTTAAAAAGAGTAAAGTCGACTTTATTAAAAAAAAGTCATATCTTCACCAATTTTGGACTGATTTTGATTCTTAAATCAAAATTATTTACACTAAATTTTGTTAATGATGCTCTTGATTTGTTTCTGCATATAAAATCATCACTTATACGTTTTATTTAGATATTTAAAAGGTACATAAGCACAACAAACAGTAAAGAATTATATTAATTTTATCACATAAATATTATAAATGCGAAAGTTTGTGAGAATGGATGGATAAATGGCTATTTTCCTGTTTTGTATGAAAATATCCATTGTATATATATATGGATATCCATTCTCTGAAAAAAATATCCAAATGTCTCTTATGGCCTTAACCGATCACTATGAAATTTGGTATACACGTACTATAGGTGATGGAGAAGGGCGTTAACTCATTTCTAATATATCTCGATTACATAGACGAAGTCAAGTACCTTGGCAATTTTTTACATTCTATATGCATTCTATTAAGCAATTTTTAAAAATGTACTTGTTCCACAGTCTAAAGAACTCTCTACTATTATGAAGTACAAAAAATAGAACACCGAGTAGAAAGAAAAATAAAGTATTATAAATCTTGAAAATGTCCCCACTTCGTTAGCATTTAAAATAACAAAAGCTGTCATCTACACTCGGCAACATTTCACTGTCTATCAAAAAAAAAAAGACTCAAAATAATTTCTTTCAACTATTTTTATAGGCTCTTAAAAAATGTGAAGATTGTTTTACAAGAGAACGCGGAGGCGGCTCTTTGTCGGGATATCGGGTTACAGCGATACTGTTGACTGTAAACATGTCTTTCCGCCTCGTTGAATGATAGCTCCGCGGGTGCCAAAAAGATCCGACCAAATGTTATAGGGAGCTTTGTTCAACTGTACATATTTTCTTGTGTGTAAAGTTTAAATTATCGATCGTATTTATTATGTAATTTAAGTTTCATAAAAAAAAACTGTGTATGTTGAAAAATATTGATTAATATAGGGTGAGGGTAGGCTCGCCCTCTGCCAATATGCTGGGTGAAATATGAGTATGTCGAGTGTTAAGTTTAAGACAACGGCAGTATTTGATTAGTCGACTGACTGCCTGACTACTTTATTTGGAGGGAGGCAGGTTATTAGTAATGGAGAGTTTAGTCCCTATTGCTATCAATATACCCTATCCTCCACGCAGTGGCGTAACAATAGGGTGGCAGGCCTGGCAAAATGACACGGGCCCCCAACCCAAAAGGGCCCCGGCTCAAGAGGCCAAGAGCTCAGAATTTTTTTTTAACTTGTACCTCAGTATTTTATTTTACTTGAAAATAAATGATAGGACCAAATTAAAAGAATTTGCCACAGGCCTCAAATGGTATAGTTACGCCACTGCCTCCACGCGGTTCCCCCTGGAAACTATCGTGACTAATTTATCGTTAAATTCGTCACGATAGGCTAACTGACCTGCCTTTTCATCCTCATCTTTCACCTTTCACTGGTGCCCCGTCTGTGTATACTGATAGCGCAGGCGGAATAACCATGCTATTTACACCGATTAAAAAATCCTTATTTTTTTTAAAGATGAAAATGAAATTGTTATCCTGCCCGTGCTCTCGATATACACTAGCAGGGTACCAGTGTGTGATGATAGATGAGAATGAAACCAACGTTGAGGGTATACGTTGGCGGGGCATCAGTGAAGAATGACAGGTAAGAATGAAAAGGTAGGTCAGTTAGGACATAGTGACGAATTCACTAAGAATTAATAACGATGGTTGTCTGACAAGACTGCATGGAGGTCGACCTGACGGAGTATACTGGTAGCAATGGGATCATTAGTCCCCATTATTAGAAATCCCCTCCTATAACGCTTCCAAAACTATGTAGTTATATACCTTTATTTACTAATATTCTAATGTGGGGGGAAAAGGACTTTTATTAAGGCGTCTGGTTGGCCCATTGCTAGCAGTATACCTAATCAGGTTGACCTCTACGTGGTTCCCTCTCGAAACCACCAACCCTGAACTTTTGTTGAATTCCTCACGATGGGCTAACTGACCTAATTTTAACCTTACTCTCACTAGTACTGCCTCGCCAGCGTATACCACTCTGATAGCGAAGGCGGAGTTAATACTCCATTTTCACCCATTAAAAAATATTGATAGAGAAATAACGCCTGAGTCCTCAAGAATGGCAACGTATAATAATAATAATAATAATTTATTTCAAAATAAATGTTACATTTTAAATATAGGTAAAACTCTGCTCCCTAAAAAGGTAAATCCTGAATGATAATATAATGACACAAAATTATACAAACAAAGAAACAATACAAGTTAAGGGTAAATGGGGGTATGGAATGGATGAGTTATTTTAAAATGGCGTCATAACCTAACACACTATATTCTTAAAACGTGGGGGGTTCATGTCCATATATTCTGTACTACACATATCTATAGGCGACGGTTACCACTATCTATCAGGTGGGCCGTCAGTTTGTTTGCCATTCTAAGTTGAATAAAAAATTCTAATATTACTACGCGTAATGTAGACTAGAATCTGGATTAATGTTTACGCGAACTTGTTAGATCAAATTATAAAATTCCCAAGTTTATCAACCTAATAAGGTTACAATTTGTTAAACATGATATTTTTAACAGGGAATATCAGACTGCTACACAGCGACTCAGCATGGAGTGAACGTGTACGACGAAGAAAAGCATTTGCCGATGCAGAACTGGAGCGCGGTGCTGCGCCGGCGGCGGTAGCCCTGCCCGCCGCGGCCTCCGCGACCGCCGCGACTCCAGCCGCCGCGTTCTGTAGGCACCTGCTCGCCGCGCTCCTCACTAACTACGCGCCGTTATCACCACCACCACAAAGGCAGAAACTTTCCTTCTCTATTGAATCTATTATAGGTGTGCAGTAATTCGAAAGTAGGTGTAGATGAAGTAAAAAAATTAATTCATAGGATGGAGAATAAATATACTGCATCAACTTTTTTAATATTTGTTAGCTTATGTTTACTTATTAACTGTATATCTGTATGTTTATAAATTATAAATAAAATCTAACATACTGTTTGGTATCATCACTGATCAGATCAATCAAAGTAATGTATAAGTACTTAATAAATGAAAAACAAACATTTGAACAATGAGTGCTTTATTAACGAAATGTTTGGTAAAAGAATGTCTATTGTAAGATTTTTGTATTACAAACTGGTTTTATATGTACTGTAACAAAATATTGTTAACATATCTTATGAACTGTCATAATAATTACAAGTAAATTAGAAAGTGAGTACAGAGTATATTTGAAATGAAAAAAATCCTATTTTTTTACATTTAGGTAGGTACATGCAATATTAGTTTATTTGAATAAATCAAAGCCTAATTCGCACCACCTGTTATATTATATTTATAAGTACTCACTTAAAAGATCAAAATTTGTATAAACAAGTGAAGTCACAATTATTTTAATTAGTGTTATAATTAGACATAACAATTCCATATTGTTTATTTTGAACAGTTCCTTTACAATATTAAGTTGTAATGAATAATCGAATGATTCGTAAAGGGAGCTGGAATAATGTAAATTATAATGACTCGATATTTTTTGCGAATAAACATTATACAGATAAATCACATATTATATATGTAAAATTAATATAAATAAAATATACTTGTTAATAAAAATAAAATTACCGTCGAGAAAGTATCATTGCAAATAGCTGAGTATATTGTATAGGCAAGACGAAAACGAATTGTCACATCACAAAATCTATTCTAATATCTTCTTAACAAATGTATCGAGGGTCCTCTTCGACTTCATTTGTTTTGATCAAACATGCGACAGGTCGTGTGAGTGATTAATTGATTCATTTCCTCAGCGCTATTGTCACTAGAAATCGATTTTTGTTTAATCGATTTATAATCGATAAACACATTTCGAATACATACAAAACTGGTCAATTCTACTATTTCAGATGAGTTACAAAATATTATTAAGTAATATATGAGGGAATGTAATGTACGTGAAATACGTGGATAAGTTCGTTTTCTGTAGTATTATTTGAAACTGCTATAATCTAAGTAACATATAATTTGATGACTGGGTCTTTAATAAATAAGTAGGTATATATGATGAAGTTTAGAATTTGATTTGCGATACTCTAATAATGAATATTTAACATAAAATAATTACAAAATAAATATACATATCGTATGCGTTGCAAAAACGTACAATACATCGACATGCTTCACACTATATTCATCTGTACGATACAAATACATCTCGTATATAATATAACTACGCCTCGAGAATGGGAGTGCCTCACGAATGCCGCCTCATTCACTCACACAAACATGCGCACACTTAATAATCTATTATCACGGTTTCATTTTTTTTTAGAAAAAAAAATACTATAATAAAATCATGACAATAAAGTCTACTAACCTTAAAAATAAATTACAATGCCACCCGTAATATTTATAAAAGGATTCTACTTAAAAATAAATATCGTCTCTCAAATGTAATCGGGAGGCAGCAATGTATTTAGCTACAATAATTTTTAATATGTGCCCTACAAGTACCGGGAATTTAAGTTGGTACCATTTTTAATTATATAATGCAAACCTCAGTCTGTCAAGTTGAATAAACACACATTTCAATTTGTGTATAACTTGAAGATAAAAGAGCGAGCATTCATTCAAGCATGTTATGGGCTTCGTTGGCACATGACAAGGAGTGGGACTAGATAGGACTCGGGATAGGAACTGATTGGGAGGTTAAGGACCGATTGAGGACCTACTGACAACTAAAGCCTGAAATTTTGTAAAATGCAATACTTATTATTATATACGGAAATTACGAAAGAAAGCATACAATTACAGTTGTTGTGACAAAGCCCGTCGCTGAATTTTGTTCCTAAGGAATGTTGTACATTTAATGTATCACCCCAAAGCGAATGTATCCAATGCATACCTAGCGCGAGTAGCAAAATATATTGCGTTTAATTTGTACTAAACATTTCAGATCCCCGTCATCTGAAAAAACAAAATGATATACAACAAGTGTTTAAAGTCAGACTTTTAGCTTTTATAAAACAAAAATATAACAATTTTACTTGCATATAATAATAATAATATACATCGCAATATGTATTTACATATACATAATATTATTTTAATTCAATATACACGTAAATAGTACTTTATATCGATCATATAAGTTTCTCAAAGTGAGCCCACACTGGCATATAAAATGGCATTGAAAAAAAATATATTAAGCTGTATTGAATTTTGGAATCCTTTAACTCCAATACTTCGTTTATTACAGCCAGTGTCGGTCAAAGCGAGAAACGCAAACATACAAATCCATTAAAACAATATACAACGTAAAAATACTATTTGGTATAATATTATATAGCAGAAATCTAGCCGTCATAAAAACTATCAAAGCAGTATATTATATCTACACTGACACAGACATATAATCATACACATATATTAGTCAAAATAAACCAGTCACAAATCACAGCTGACATAAATTCTCGATTTCACTAAGTCTTGTAATTTAAATAAAATTATATAGTTAACACATCAATTTAAAAATACTAAATATTTTCGAAAAGCTCTAGTGGAGACATAAATGCTTTTAGACATACGTTCCAAATATTTCTGTTACGTTAGAAATCACGTAAAGGTCACTCACAATTTCCTTATTGTTATATTTAAAGTACAATTAGTGTTAGTTGTATGTAGAAATAAAACAACGTGTCGGTCGGTTGAGCAGTAAATGGTAACAGTTAGTTTAAATACTAAACAAGCATACATCATCTAGGCTTACAGTCCCACACGTAGACGTAAGTTGATAATGCACTACTTGCGGAGAAGTCTTTTAATTTACACCAAATCAATACCAGCTCATTGTACGGGCAGACAATAATTTATATGATATTCCTTAATAAAATAAAATTATGTAAAATCACTGCTATGTGGCAGACAGAAGTAATCCCGTAATGATTCGATGTATAATTGAAATTAAATTTAACATTCCAAAACTACTGTCACATAAATGTTTACTTGGAAAAACATTTCAATAATGATGAGTAGTTCTAATTTCATACAAATCAACTAAACGGTTCATGTTTCCACTATAATCTATCACTAACTTTCATGCAATTATTATTATATATTTCGACAACATGTCACCTTGTTAAAACAATTAGGTGATTACTACAACTACAGATCAGTGGTTTAACACATTATTCTGTTAACGAAAATATAACGGCACGTAAGCATGCAACGCGCCACATTTATTACACGACACGAGTACAGTAAGCCTAGCACCCTACAGCAGCTCGTCCTCCGGTGCAGAGCCGATGCCGAGCCGACGCGTCCGCCCTACTTTGTCCTATGTACAACACTCACAGTCTGTATTAATTAATGTTAAGGGTTGTCGCCGCTATCAAAAATCATTTTGACTATTAACAATTTCAGGTACGACGATCGATCAGAAACCAAGTGTAATGATATACAACCTAGGTAACATTCCTGATAGGTACATGTAGTGTTGAATCAGAAAATATGGTTGCTAGTCTATTGAGGTTAACGTGTTGGCACAATAAGTGGCGTCCGTAGCAGCGACTGGCGGCTGCGCTCCCGCACCCGCAATGTCTTCCCGACCCTTGTTGACATTGATTCCCCTGGAAAGTACAGTAAGACACAATCAATCACAATAACATCTGATAATATGAAATATTCAGAATAATGTTCTGAATATACTGTTTTAGTTTTTACCAAGCTGTCCCTTACACCCTATATAAATATAAACTAAGCTACAAAACAAATAATTGTTATGATCGATTAGCTGCAATAGATTAGAGACTTTGGATTCAATATAAACTACCTAGTCCAAAGAAATACATTTCACACAAATTACAAGTAAGGAGTATGTTAAAAATAGCGAATTATTGAAGATATGTAAATCAGATATACTAATTATACTACTTATTTTAAATACAATTCATATTGTAAAAATTGCTTACCATAAAATAAGTAATCGTGTCTTATATTCCACACATAGCCGAGAGCCGGGCACTCAGCTGCATAGGGAATTGGTCAGTGAACCGGCGCCAGTTCTCCTCACCCACTTGGTTCTTGAACCCGTGCAGGATCTTGGTGAACATTTCCTTTAGATCGTCCTTGGGGTGTGACCACGAGGCGACCGCGTCGCAAAAGAACATGAAATCTGGGACCACGCCACCCGGGTTGACTTGGATCATCTGACAGATGCCCCGGAAGGCGGAGTCCTTTTCGTCGTTATCCCGGATGTTTCGAAGCGATGCGCACCTGAGCCAGAAACATCGACTCTGTTATACAATAATCTATATTTTGTATTTTAATAATATCAACATATTTTGAAGGTTTCAAATGTTAGTGAACTAATATTATATATTAGATAAATATATAAAGCGGATAAGTACATAATGATCAAAATAATTATGTAGTATAATATGTTATGGTTGTTTTAAAGTGAAAAATATTAAATGTGATGAGCACATAAAAACATATTTATAGACACTGATTTTGAGCATTCCAAACTGTAAGCAAATTATACAGAGCATTTTAAATGAGGCTACGATAAATCGAGTCAATAAAAACATAGTATTAAAAAATATAGGATTAAAAAAATATATATTTGCAATAAAGGACATACTTGTATTGTTTTGAAAAATCCGCACGTCCGGTGCATTTAAATCATACATACAACTCGCCTCTTTTAAAAATGCTTTTATATTAAAAATGGTTATATAAAACAAAAAAATCCTGTTATTAACTCCTGTTAGCCGACAAAAAAAAAATTGGAGAAAATTTTTCTTGCAGTTTGGTTAAAATAATAGTTATATAAATTTTAGCTGTAGTATAATTTAGAAAGCGGATGGTGTTCAACACATAAAGAACAACACCGAAATTAAGTATATAATATATTTAAATCAAATAAATACCACCCCATAGGTCAGCAATTCTTCAAGTGAGGCCGTGTAATCAGTAAGTAAATAGGATTAATATCGCATGCCTGGTTGAACTCAAACGATAACAACATATCATATAAAAGAATATTAACAAGCCATGAACAAACACCATCCACAATCGAAATAATACTTAATATAACTTATTCAATATTAAAAGTAATATAAAGTAATAATAAAAAAAATTACTACAGACCACTGGCGTACAAATTGATGTAATACGGGTGCGACGTCGTGGGGGCACACATAACCTAGCCGACCGATAGTAATCGCTACACGCCACAACACGATATACCGAGAACAAAAACCAAGAAAATAAATCAACAAACAATTAAAAACATAGGTTAATTACAAAAGTCAACAGCAAAAAATTAGTGTTACAAATAGAAAAAATGTGAAACAATTTTACGCTAAGTAATTGCTATTAAAAATTAAATGTTGAATACTCGTCAAGAGATGGCCCAGGACTTGTTAAACAAACTAGTATTTATAGAGCACAGATGATGGTTTACGTTACTATTCAGTATTGTTTTAAGGTACAAATCATAGTCAAGTCCAGGCCATCTCTTAATGTCAGGCACACACTTTAGTGTTTGGCACTACCTCTGTAGTTAAGGATATTTACATTACACCCCGAAAACAAAATTATGAGTAATTGATTACAAAAAAATTAAGAAATAAGTCATAGCTCAAATTTTACTTTTTGCAAATGTTAATGTACTATTTATTAGTTTAATTTCTCTGTATATTAGTTAAGTATATATAAATATTATATACATATTAAAATGTATAAATAGGGAGTAGAAACTATATATATGCAACACAATTTGGTAAAAAAACTTTTCACACAAGATGACATACTTAATAAATTATAATATCTGGTAAGCTTTAAAATTATTTATAGATTCTAATAAATAATATTGCAATGTATCACAGACAGAATAAACAAAGGTTATGAAAAGTGAATATTATGATTGGTATGGGCATACAATAGAAAGCAGTGATGACTATTTTTTTTTTTTTTACAAAATTGTCTGCCACCAAGAAGGTTCCTACTGAAAAATAATCTAGCAAATATCAATGAACAGTTTCTCTCTAGGACAAAATTGAAAGAATTAACTATTGCTTTTTTATGACATAATTTTGATGGTATTATTTTAATATCACTTACCTGTGTTTTCAAGTAGTGTTTTGGGTGTATTAGGCTTATTGATTATTTCCACTAAATGGTTTAAGACAAGGGGGATGTACTTTGAAGTTTCAGGTCCTGAAATATAACACAAAAATCAAGTATATCAATATTTTCAAAAACTTTAAATTTCGACAGAAATTTGCTAGTACAAGTATAATGAAGAATGTTGGATAAATAAATACCTAGTTATTTGTTAGAAGTAGCTTTAAACAAATCAATCTTATATTTACATGTGTGTGTGTGTGTGTGTTGTGCGAGTGAAACATTGTATGCATGCATTATGTATTCTGCAATATATACACATATTTGTATGATTATTATCTCTGCAGTTATATCTTTGCAACTCCACTATTTTTATTCTTGTAAGAATATTCATAGTAAACCATTATCTACATCATTATGAAATAACTTATCTATTAGTGAAAGACTTTAATATAGATTCAATAGTTACAGAAATCGTATTAGTGTAGATATGGATGACTTTTTGAAATTAGTTCATATTTATACTAATAACTAATAATGGAACCAATATTTTAAAATTGATTTACAATCAAGATGTATAATCAGAAACTAAAAAGCGGCACTGAAGAATGAAGATAGATTACATTCAACTACTTATCTATGCATTCAATCAAATTATGCTAAAATTTCTACCCAGACAGTGACATTTGCATTTCACAAACATTCTATTACATTCGTGGTCGCGCTAGTTTCCATAATATATCCATAGATAGAGGAAAACTAGACAAAATATATTTTACCCAGAATTTTAAGATTAGAAATGTTTTAGTATTTTAAAAAACTGAATGAATTTCTCCAAGAGACATTTCATACTAAATAGATTTCACAATGATACTATATGACCTTTCTGAAAGTTGTTCAGTCTTGCTATTGCTCGACTTCAAATCATTGTCCCTTCTATTAAGTCCTGTACAGTGTGAGATTTTTTTCAATAATAATAATAAAGTGCTCACCTAATTTGATACTTATTTCGCCGATAGCCCAAGTAGCATTATTGCAAACAGAAATTAGTTCAGGATTGAGGTTCATTCCCAATATGGGTAGAAACTCGGGTATATATGGGTGTACGTGCTGGAAACAAGCCTTAGTCAGGTCTCCCAACAATGCGAACGAAGACTGGCGCACCTACAACAATGTCACGCTCATTATTTTATATTTTTTTTAGATTATTTCAACCCAATACCCATTTTCTGTTAGTAAGCAACTATTTGATAATGTTAAAAGCAATTGAATGAGCATGTTAATAAAAAATATTTGCAGTAAATTTTTATATAGACTTCAATAAAAATCCTATTAAATTTTTAATAGATTATGATGTCGATAAATGCTCCATCTGAAATTACAGTTGTTGGTAGACATATTAAGAAATATACATTAAGAATATTTTCATTAAAATTTTAAGTCTTTTATATTCACTACAAATATCTTTGATTATTTTCAGATCGAATGGATGATAATATTTTTTTTATTAGTGGTCATTTATAAAGATATATAATTGTTATTTCAGATAAAAAGTAAACTTATACAAAACTTTCTGTCCTATGCTCCATCTTCCCAGAATCTATAAAAAAAGTAATAATCACATACAAGATATACCTCAGGCATTGGATCCTGCATGCATTGGTAGAGTAATTGCATGAGGTTAGAATTGAGGACCAAGTGGTCAATATGTCCATCCAAGCCTTCTGCCAATCCACTTAATAAATCTAATGCCACAATCATAAAATCTTTATCGGGAGCCTCAAACTGTTCAGGACTTTGGCTGTTTGCCTGAAAAAAAAAAATAGATGTTTGTATTGTCATATCATACTTAAAAGAATTAAAGTGGAAAATAAACTATGAATAAATTTTCGAAAATAAATGTTGTTATTAATATTGAAAGACTGGATTTTCAGGCAGAATAACCTGTGACACTGCAAACCTTCCATGTTCTTTAGTGCTCGCTCTGTTTTTAAAGTTTGATGTGAATGATAGGAATTTTAAGATGTTTTTTGTAGCGACGTTTTTTATCTCCTCAGGATATAGAGTGTGATTTCCAAATAAGATATATTGTTTATATATTGTATACATAATAGTGGGCTATAGCCACACAGTGCTGCGGAATTTCTTCCTTACTGTGACAAAATCTGTAAATACTTTTTGAACATAAGCCTAATCGGGCCATATGCTTGTTTAGTTTACAGCGTCTAGTGAGAGACCATGTTAAAGTGGTGTTAGTTGGAAAACATATATAAACAAAACAATCAAATAAAAAAACATGTTATATTACGGCAAGAATTTGTTACAATCGTTTTAAATATAAAAATAATAGTAGATACTTACAATATTTTGATTTAAAGTCTGTTCTATTAAAGACACACATCTCCTGAACACAGGTTCACAATATGGTAGAAATCCAGATTGTAATGCTGTGGCTACAGATGACAGGCACTGAAAAATATATTAAAGTTAGACCCACGAGCTATATAGCTCTTATTTAATATATGACTTCCAGTCTTATTTTTTCTATGTAACACAATATAATTCCACCATCATAAAGATAACGCAAGTTCAATGAATAACTTTTACTATGAATATAATTGGGTTTTCACCACACAGTAAAGACATAAAATATGAACAATGATAAGTTTAGTTTAAAGTTAATAAAAAAAAAACATTTTTTTATGCAATTTAAAATGGCAAACAAGCTGATGGCCCACCTGATGGGAAGTGGTAACCGTCGCCTATAGATATAAAAGCAGTACCATGGACGTAACAGAGTATACTATTTCATCCATGAATCAAACAACTTTTGTACAAAGTCTCCCTCTGGTACATACTTTAATTCAATTATATATAATGTATACCAACCTCAAGTAGCGGAAACAGGTCCTTGTCTTCGTCTTTTAGCACATTCCACTTTGTTATAAGAGGCGGCATCAATAGATTGATGTATTCTTGTTTATTCAGGTGATGGCCCACTGAATCGGCTAGGGTGCCGATAGCGTCGTATAGGATTAGTAGATTTTTGTGCTGATACTTGCTAAAGGCGTAAACGAGTGTTTGGAGAATGTAGCCAAGGTACGGGACCAGTTCTGTGCAGGCTTCCTCTTCGAGTGTAGCGAAAGCCGAACAAGCTGCCTCTTGGACGCGCTTGTTGTTGTCTAACACACGCTTCAGTAACTGGAATAATATACAAGGCGACTCAAAAGAAAGTTCACATTTAAAAATTCGATAAAAAATTAAACAAGGAGTTTATTAAAAAAATGTTTATTACATATTAAAATATACTTTTTGGGAATTTATTTCTTGAAAATTATATTGTTTAAGAGTAAACCGTTGCGTTTACGGCATTCATTTAATCGAGCTCTAAAATTTTCTATGACGGCTCGGCATGTATTTTCCGTGATGGCTGCCATTTCGTGACGGATATTTCCTTTTAATTGTGCCAAGGAAGTAGGTTCGTTGGCATAAACTTTAGATTTGATGTAACCCCACAGGAAAAAGTCCATAGGGGTTAAATTGGGACTTCGTGGAGGCCAATTTATGTCACCTCTCCTGGATATCAATATGCCAGGAAAATTTTCACGAACTCGTGGTAAAGACCTGTTGGACGTGTGTGAAGTCGCTTCGTCCAGTTGGAACCATGTTCTTTGGTTATAACTAGGAAAGTTTTGCAGTTCAGGCACGAAGAAGTTGTCTAACATTTCCACATAACGGTCCGAGGTTCACTATAACTGTGCATCCCCTTTCATCTTCAAAAAAGTAAGGGCCGATAATCCCTCGCGCCGACATTGCAGCCCATACAGTCACTTTAGACGAATGTAGGGGATTCTGATGTTTGTGTTTTGGATTAGTTGCACTCCAGTATCGGCAATTTTGTTTGTTTACATGTCCATTGAGGTGGAAATTAGCTTGATGAGTTACCGTTTTATTACAATCAGTTATTTTAATTTAAAAACTAAAGCTCTGAACACATTTTTATAAAATTCCTATGGGATTAATCTGTTAGTTTTAGATAAGTTTTAACCTTTTAGATAAAAAAACTTCCAAATTGGTCTATAACTAATGAAGTTATGAGGTGACAAAAAAAAACCGAAATAAGAATCTTTTTCTTTATGACATTGGATGAAAATGTTTTCACTTTAGCACAAGATAATATCTGCTTCCGAACATAACAGTTGGAACATAAAACTTGTACCTACTTACTATAATAAGTAGGTACAAGTTTTACATATGTTTTCAGCAAATTAAGCAATTATTCATGTAATATAATAATAATATAAGCCTTTATTAAAGAAGTAACATAAACAATTCAATAAAGTTATTCAGTAAATATTTTGTCACCCCTTTCTTGTCCGAAGACAAAGGCCCTCCTCCAGAGCCTTCCATCCTATTCTGTATTTGGCTATCCTTATTCAAAGTGCACCTGCTACTGCTTTTATGTCTGTAACCCATCATGTCAATGGTCTTCTCTTCTTTCGCCTGTTCTAGGATATCAGTCTGTTACAGTTGCTGTCTGTTTCTGTGTTCCCCCCCCCCCCCCCCATATGTCCTACCCATCATCATTTTAATTTTTTTTTATTGTACAAATAACATTTTTGAGTTTTGTTTTTTCTTAAATGTCTACTAATTTAACCCCATTCTTTGTTTTTATGCTCAGATTGAACGAATTGATGAATCAGAAGACAGCTTTTTATGCTGTTTTGACATACTTTTAATTTTCTAAGATTTCTTTTAGTTAATGGTCATGTTTAGTATCCATATGTAAGATAAAATAGTATGCATGTTTCAAACACTTTTTTTTGCCATTCATTGATATATTTGTTTTTCATGATCTCTTTTAATGACCAATACCAAGTCCATGTGTTGGCAATTCTCCTGTCAATCTGTTTGTGTCATTTGCGACAGAAATTATCTGGCTCAAATATAAATATTCTTCAACATATTCAATGGGTTTTCCATTCACTGTTATGTTTGTATGTATACCATTTGTTAATACCTTTGTTTTTTTGATTTTGATAGACAGTCCTACTTTCATACTCTCATTTGCTAGTTTTTGAACCATGATTTGCAAACTTTCAGTTATCTGCAAGGAGGACTATGTCATACGAAAATCGTGTGTGAAACTCTCGTCATTTATATTCAAAACATAATGTGTCCATTCTATTTTTGTAATATTGTTCTAGTGCAGCTGTAAGTAGCTTAGGAGAGATGGGATATCCTTGTCTAACGCCTCTCTATATAGGAAAGGGTTTTCCTGATCTAATCTTATTTTTGTTGCACTCTTAGAATATATTTTACGCAGTAATCTTATATATTTGTGTAATATAGTCTAGATAAATAATAAATATAAAGCGCCATTTAATCTCAAGAATAAGGATTAGAATAATTGGACAAACCTATTAATCCTTATTTATCCTTACTAATATTTTACAGTGAAATAGTCTGTTCCTTTTTGGCACGTTAAGGACTTATAAAATTGCCATAAAATTTATTATATGCAGTGTTAAGAAGGACATAGGCTACTTATTATACCAATCAATCGATATAATACAGTCACACAGGTAATGTTAACATCTGTATAAACTATCAACTGTGGCAGGGTGTCATTATCATAGGTGTGTACCTCTGTCATGACGGGACGCAGATATAGGTCGTGCGACTGCGAGACGATCCAGTGTGAGTAGCGCGACAGGGTCCAGCAGGTGATGGCGCGCACGAGCGCCTTGCGTTCGGCCAGGCAGCACACCAGGTACGGCACTAGGTCGGGCAGGTGCGGCACCATGCCGCCCATGCACCCGTCAGCCACCGCACCCAGCGCCAGAATGCCGCTCTCCTGTTGCCGCAATACAATACATGTCAATGCGACATTTACTTAAACTGACCTACGATCTTCCAATCCCTCTAAATAATACTATTGTTCACTTTAGATGTAATAATTGCATGGCAACATTCTCGATAATTCATAAAAACATTTATTCTTGTATGTGGCAATTAATAATTTTGATTGGTAGTAAGATAAAAAAAAGTTGTTGGTGTCTGCTCTTAAATACAGAAACAGAACAGTTTTGTCGTTGTCGCTCATAAAGTATTTAATAAGTATAACATTTAATTTCACAATCGTGTGACTAGTTTTTGAATTTAATATTTTTGTTTTATAAAAGAACTACACAACAGATAATTTCTCGTGTCGTTCTTAAATATTTAAAAGGATTTAAGATTGAAACGTCTGTCGGAAGATTCAAGATCGAAACCCTTAGTTCTTATAACATTTACGAGGTAATCTCAGGTAACTTTAGCATGCTTTAGGGAACTGAGTGATCTGAGTATGTTGTAAAAGGAATTTTCGCTAATCAAAGGGTAAGTCATTTGAACTAATTTTGAATCTAGGTAATTTAGTACTGCTTTTAAAACAACTTGTCGTTTTTCGCATTCTCAAATATTTCAAAGAACTTATCGTACATACAGTCCACTTTACATTCTCGCACATTTTGGCCCATCGGCCGGATATCATTGATAGGCGACATAATTGTATTATTAGTAAATTTGATTTGCAAACTATAGTAATATAATATTAAAATAAACTGTTATCTAGTTGAACTAATTAGTATTTTTGCATTCCATTGTGCAGTTTTTATTTTAGTCGAGGGTAGATAACTAATTATTAAAATCATTGATAGTGGAATTAAATTATTAATAAGCACTACATTTTTAGAGAGGCAAAGGTACAATTGCTATACAGCCATACATCGAATATTGATTTCAATATTGATTGAATCTATACTTATCGATTTTGTTGTCGTTGCAAATTATTACGTAAATATATCGTACAATTAGTGAATTAGTGTACGTTTTTTAATAGTTTATTATTTTTAACTTCATTTATTGGCATTAATTTGAATTTTATCGAAATGGCGACCAATGAAAGTCTTAGTTATGATAATGGTGATATAAATCGCATTTCTCGTGATTATGCGGTAATGAGATTGGAAATTATGGAACAATCAGACCTATTGGGATTTTCTGAAGTAGACTTTAAGGATTTGGCAAACGAATTTCATATAGCACAATGTAAGTTGTTATCAACATTGAATCGTCAAGAGCGTTCTAGTGAATTTGAAATTACAGTTAAATTTGATACAAAAATGAAACATATAAAACAAAGATTTTGTGAAATTAATTCCACAGATAAAAAATGTGCTTCTAACTTAAATAATAACAATAGTGAGCCACAGACATCTGTGAAATTACCCAAGATCAGTATTAAACCTTTTGACAGTACCATAGACAATTGGATTTCATTCATACAATTGTTTGATTCTCTAGTTCATAATAGAACGAATATATCGAATGTAGAAAAATTACATTATTTGTTGTCAAGTGTTCAGGGTAAAGCTTATGAATTGATTAAAAATTATCCTGTTACGAATGAAAATTATATGAATGCTTATGAAACTCTTACGAAGTATTATAATAGACAGCGACAAATCGCTACAATTTACTATGAAAAAATGTTATATTGTGAACCCATTAAATTTAAATCAAGTTCCGAACTTGAACGTATTTATCGTACATTTTCAGAAAATTTAGCCATATTAGAAAAATATAAATTGCCAGATAAAAATTTTATGCTATTCCATTTGTTGTGGTCTAAACTTGATAAAGTTACAAAGGAAGCATTCCAACTTGATCAGAATACAGAGGATATTCAGGATTCTATTCCTAAGTTTGAACATTTACAAAAGTTTATTGAGAAGCACTATAAAGCGTTAGAATTAAGTGGTTCATCGTCGATGGTTTCCAAGATAAATCAAAATAATAATAAAGGAAATAATCAATTAAAATTTAAAGCAAAATCATCTCTTTTGGTATCCCATGTAACTTGTATATATTGTACAGGCCAGCACTCTCTTGCTAAATGTGAAAAATTTATAAAACTAAATGTAAAATTTCGTTTTGATTTTGTTAAGGAGAAACGTTTGTGTTTATTGTGTTTTTCGAATAGTCATACAGTAAAACAGTGTCGTGCTACCTATCGTTGTGAATTTTGTAACTATTCTCATCATTCATTGTTGCATTTTGACAAACCCAAGCCTGAAACTTCTGTCACTGAAAATGAAACATTAAGTAGCACTGTCTTGACATCAGTGGCCAAGTTTAGTGATAAAACAGTTTTATTTTCAACAGCTAAGGTTTTAATAAAAGATGGTCACGGTAATTATCAACCAGTTCGTGTACTGCTCGATTGTGCAAGTGCATGTAATTTTATTTCGGAGTCTTGTGTAAACAGGTTACAATTGCCTATAACTAAAACACAGCAGTCTATAAGCGGTATTGGTCATTCTACAGCACAACCACTTGGGTCATCGTTTTGTGAAATTAAACCGATAAACTCTTCATCACCATGTAATTTTAATTTAAAGGCTTTAGTGTTGTCGTCGATTTGTGCTCATCAACCAAGCCAGTATATTAATTCTGCAGATTGGTCTCACATAAATAAATTATCACTTGCCGACTCTGACTTCGATCGTCCTGGTCCAATTGATATGCTTTTAAGCGCTGGTGTTTTTGCTTCTGCACTGCTCCCTGGTTTAAGAAAAGGTAAAGTAGGACAACCACGGGCTTTGCGCACTGTATTTGGTTGGATTATTATGGGTGAGTGCAACTCAGCTGATAGTTGTCAAAATCGAAACGCGGATTGTTATTTCGTTACAAATAATTCCCAGTGTAATATTTCGAACTTGTCGTTAGATAATAATATTAAAAGATTTTGGGAGATAGAAAATGTCACATCTTCTTCAAAATTGTCGAAGGAAGATCAGATTTGTGAACAATACTTCGTTAAAAATTCTCATCGTAATCATGAAGGGAGGTTTATTGTACCCTTACCTTTCATTGATCCTAATAATAAACCCATCTTCTCAAATTCGCGGGAGATAGCTATGAGAAGGTTTTTGTCGCTTGAAAATAAATTAAAAAATAATTTTGAATTTCGCCAGCTATATACTTCTTTCATGGAAGACTATGAGACATGTGGTCATCTTAAAGAAGTCAATGTTCCAATCAGTAGTGTCGGCGAATTTTATTATATCCCTCATCATGGTATATTACGGCCTGAATCAGTTACAACTCCACTTCGTGTCGTATTTGATGCCAGTGCAAAAGATGCTAATAATCTGTCCTTAAATGATACTCTTTTGCCTGGTCCTAAGCTTCAATTAAATATCACTGATTTATTATTGCGTTTTCGTTGGCACTCTGTAGTTTTCACAGGTGATATTAAACAAATGTACCGTCAAATAATGGTTTCTGATAAAGATTCGGAATATCAGCGAATTCTGTGGCGATCTTCACCTGATGAACCTATTCGAGACTATAAATTCCTTACAGTCACGTATGGCGTGTCGTCTGCTCCTTATCAAGCGCTGCGTACAATTGCTCAAGTGGCTGAAAACTCGGCAACGGAATTTCCATCGGGATCCGCTGTGTTGAGTCGTGATATTTATGTGGATGATGTGGTATCAGGAGCTGAATCTGTCGAAAAGGCTTTAAGCATAAGATCGGAATTGACTAAAATGTTGTCGTCGAATGGGTTCCATTTACGAAAGTGGACCTCTAATCATAAAGATTTCTTGAATAATATTAAACCATCTGATTTGTACTCAGAGGAATTTAGGAGTTTCGAAGAAGCCTCTGATGTCACACTTAAAATTTTGGGACTTTTGTGGATACCAAGTGTAGACTGCTTTACATTTAAAGTTGCTGAATTCGAAGAGCGGCGACTCACAAAAAGAACAATATTATCGGACATTGCACGAATCTATGATCCTTTAGGTTTTCTTGGTCCTGTTACATTCTACGCTAAGTATCTTATGCAGCTTCTTTGGACTTCGGGCGTTTCTTGGGATAGCGATATACCTGAGGATATTGCCAGGGAATGGTCGAAGTTCAAATCTCAATTATCGTCTTTGTCGTCTATTTCTATCACTCGTCGTATGGTCAACTCTTTTGTGTCTCTACAGTTTCACGGTTTTTGTGATGCTTCAGAGCGTGGATATTGCGCTGTCGTTTATTGTCGGTCTGTCGATGCAAATGGTTGTTGTTCTGTCGAATTTTGCTGTGCAAAAACTAAGGTTGCACCTCTTCGTAAACTGTCGTTACCTCGATTGGAGTTACAAGCTGCTGTTTTACTAGCAGACTTGATAAATTCAGTACTGAGTGCTTTGAAACCACTGCATGATATAAATAACATTTTTGCTTGGTCAGATTCTACTGTTGCTTTGTCGTGGATAACGTCATGCCCATCTAAATGGCAGACGTTTGTAGCTAATAGAGTAAGTCATATCCAAGACATAGTCTCTCCTGAATGTTGGCATCATGTTAGTACAAATTTTAATCCTGCTGATGGAGGATCACGCGGCATGCATCCAGCTGACTTAGTTAAACATAAATGTTGGTGGAAGGGGCCAGTATGGCTATCTGAACCTGAAGAAAATTGGCCAGAATCATTGTTAATTTTGCCATCTTCTCATGACGTTCAAGCAGAGCAAAAGATTCTTTGTCTTCAAACTTCTTCTAATGTCAACTTTGTCGATCAGTTATTAAATAAATTCTCGTTGCTAATAACTTTGAAACGTGTATTGTCGTTTTGTTTCCGGTTTATTCATAACTCGCGTCGAAGCAGTTCAAATGAAAAAAATTTTGGTCCTTTATTGTCGTCTGAAACGAATAAATCTTTTATGTATTTAATTAAATATGTCCAGCAAACTACCTTTTCGAAGGAAATTGATAATTTGAAAAGAAACCGTTCGAATTTACTTCCTAAAAGCTTACGTAAATTGTCGTTGTTCCTCGATGTTGCGGGACTTTTGAGGGTGGGCGGACGACTGGCTAATGCCAATGTAAATTATAATGTCAAGCACCCCCTTCTCTTACCTCGCGATCATCGCCTAACTCATCTCATAATTGATGATTGTCACAAAAAGTTTATGCATCCTGGTGCACAAACACTTCAGAATATACTGGCGCAAAATTTTTGGATTCTGTCACCTAAGAGAGCGATTCGATCTGTCATAGCTGGTTGTATGAAATGTTTTCGGGCTAAGCCTCAGCCGGCTCCAGCCCCTCTTATGGGCAATCTGCCCGCTTATCGTATCAATCAAATTAAACCTTTTTCAAATGTTGTCGTTGATTACGGCGGTCCTTTTGATATTGCGTTAGGTCGTGGTAGGGGCGTAAAGACCTATAAAGGCTACATTTGCGTTTTTGTGTGCACTGCCACCAAGGCCATTCATCTAGAGCTTGCCTCAGAACTTACAACTGAAGCCTTTTTAGCCGCATTAAAAAGATTTATCGCACGAAGAGGTCGTTGTAGCCATATTATATCGGACCAAGGAAGAAATTTCGTTGGTGCTAGTAACTATCTTGCTTCGATCATGAAAGAGATTTCAGAATCTCAAGAAATAAAATTTTCGTTAAGCCCACCTGGTAGCCCGCATTTTAATGGGTTGGCTGAAGCTGGAATAAAGTCTGTCAAGGCTCATCTGGTTCGGGTTATAGGTCTTCAAAGATTAACCTTTGAAGAATTTTATACAATTTTAACTCAGATAGAATCAATGTTATATTCTCGTCCTCTGTCGCCACTCAGCTCTGATGCTAACGATTTTTCAGTGTTAACCCCAGGCCATTTCTTGACATTGGAACCTTTGTCGACTATTCCGGAAGAAAATATAACCAATCAAACTATTAGCATCCTTCAGCGATGGAAGCTAGTTAAAAAAATCCATCAGGACTTTTGGCGTAGGTACCAACGTGAATATATACACACGCTTAACCAAAAGGCTAAATGGGATAAAAATTATACTAATATAGCTATCGGTACATTAGTACTAATTGTAAATGAACAATCAAGCCCCTTAAAATGGACTATGGGTCGTATCATCGCTTTGCATCCCGGACATGATGGTGTCTGTAGGGTTGTAACAGTAAAAACTGTAACCGGTCAATACAAAAGACCAGTTGTTAAAATTTGTCCATTGCCTATATGTTATTAAAATATTTTCGCTAAATTATTTATTCTTAATAGCTGTAATTTCAAATTATATTAGTAAACTTTATTAAGATTCATAATTGTACTTCTTTGTGTATTATTATTATTTATTTTCGTTTAAATACCTTGTATTTAGGTGGGCGGAATGTTCACTTTAGATGTAATAATTGCATGGCAACATTCTCGATAATTCATAAAAACATTTATTCTTGTATGTGGCAATTAATAATTTTGATTGGAGGTAGTAAGATAAAAAAAAGTTGTTGGTGTCTGCTCTTAAATACAGAAACAGAACAGTTTTGTCGTTGTCGCTCATAAAGTATTTAATAAGTATAACATTTAATTTCACAATCGTGTGACTAGTTTTTGAATTTAATATTTTTGTTTTATAAAAGAACTACACAACAGATAATTTCTCGTGTCGTTCTTAAATATTTAAAAGGATTTAAGATTGAAACGTCTGTCGGAAGATTCAAGATCGAAACCCTTAGTTCTTATAACATTTACGAGGTAATCTCAGGTAACTTTAGCATGCTTTAGGGAACTGAGTGATCTGAGTATGTTGTAAAAGGAATTTTCGCTAATCAAAGGGTAAGTCATTTGAACTAATTTTGAATCTAGGTAATTTAGTACTGCTTTTAAAACAACTTGTCGTTTTTCGCATTCTCAAATATTTCAAAGAACTTATCGTACATACAGTCCACTTTACATTCTCGCACAACTATAAAATTGGTTATAAAATCAAAGTATGTGGAATTATTACTGAAGAACTTCAAAATGGGGATTGGCATATTATTTATAATAATAAAAAAATGATCAATCTAGTGATAAGCATTGTGCTGTTACTAAAAGAAGAGGTGAAATATAACAAAAATAATTTTTATTTTATGAATATGTGTTTAGGCTTCGTTAAAAATGGATAAGGCATCGCAAGCGTCGCGCTGACAACCTCGAGAGTGATCAAGTGATTTAAATGTTCAAACTATTTAGATTTTTTTATTAAAAGTATTGTTAGTAGTATGAATTATAGAATATTAATAATTACATTAATATATTATTATACATAACATTAATTTATTTCTACATTTTATTTTAATCACATGAAATGAATATTGAGTTTTGATACTCTCTTAATGTGCTCAAGCTTAGTTATGTTGGCTCACAATCTTCACAAGTCAGAATAGCTTCTAATATATAAATCTGGAATACTAACCTTAATTACCCATTCTTCATGGAAAAGTGTCTCTTTTAGGATAGGAAAGAGTACTGGCAGTAAGTCAGCGCCGAACACGTTGGCAAGCACATCGAGAGCGGCGGCGCTGCACTTGCGCAGGTTCCAGTCCGAGAGCGAGCCGTCATCTGCGTCTGCACCGCCGTCGTCTTCATCGTCCGACTCACCGCCACCCGACATGTTACTGTCGCCTGCGCCCGCTACCCACAAATTGTGTTATTTCAATAACAAACTAATGATACCCTCATCTTATTCGATTTTTGAATTAAAATATATTTACTAATTATTACAAGATTTCATTGAATTTGACTAAAGTGAATTAATGGGATCTATGTACAGTATCATACAAATTTTATCAAAATTGAAATCTATTTTTTTTTTTGTAACAAAAAATCATAAAATATCCATAATATTTAAGAAAGTAAACAAAGTATTCACCATTATGTTTGATGGTATGTGAACGTGGCTTGTGAAAACGGGGCCGTATGTCTGACTCGCGGTCAGGTTCAGCATCATCGGCGTCGTCGTCACGGTCACCTCGCAACAGGATCACATCCATCTCCGAGTAGCGCATACCACGCACCAAGACAGGCAGCAGGGCCGGTAAACGTGGACCGAGGACCTGGAAATATTTAATTCACAATGTCTTTTATCTATACATATAATAAAACTGTAGAGGTCGAATGTTTATACATAGAAAAAAAATGCTAAAAACTGAGTTAGGGGGATGTCAGAATAGAACACATCTAGATCTTTTAAAAACAATTTATTTCTCTGTTTGTTTGTACAGGTGAATCTCCATAACTGTTTATTAACAATTTAAATTTTGCATGGTTGTACCTTACATCCCCGATCAACATTTTTAATTTTAATCACGGAAAATTAAAGAGTTTCCATAGAATAGTCAAAAAACTATAGTAACTTATACAGTTTAGTACACAACCTACTTAAAGTAATTTTGACCAGTATTCCCAGACATAGTTCACTACAATAAGAAGGTTAAAAATGTTCATCGAAGGGATAACAAATACCACACGGACAAAGTAGCGGGCATCAGCTAGTCAATAATAACAAGACTCGCAGTCAGTGTCCAAAAAAACAACTTCATTAAAACAGTACCCAAATGCTAATTTAGACATTCTTTTACTTATTACATTCTATATTTAGAATAAGTACTGAAATTTATTTGTCCTTGTCAATTTATAGAATTCATAGGATGACTATAAATCTAATTTTAATAACTGGGGCGGTTGAAGTAGACACCAGCTGTATCTTAGATTATATCATTACATACCAATAGATAAAATAAGTTCAAAAACAAACCCACCTTGTAGTAAAAAATACAAATTTACTCTTTCATTCATACATATGGTATACTACTGTTTTTTATTCCTAAAATGTAAGAATCATCCAAAGTAGTGGTCGGAACCTTTCAGAAGATGAGGACGACATAATAGCAAAAAATAAAGCAAACCAGTAATCACAAGCCACAAATTGTAACACAAAAGTGCAAAGGAATGAAAACTGAAATTAAATGAAAAATAAAATATTAACTTCTATATATATATATATATATATTATATATATATATATATATATATATATATATATATATATATATATATATATATATATATATATATATATATATGGCAACCACAGTCAGGCTTTAAAGATATTTTAAGAGGAACATTGCTGTCCATTCCTCGCCTTCCCTTAGTCGGCTGTTATGACACTCACGAAATAGAAATGGGTGGCCTATTCTATGTCGGGACCATATAGCCAAATAATAATAAGTTATTAATAATAACTTCATCATCATCATTTCAGTAACTATCCATCCACTGCTGGCCTCCTCCCTTAAAGTGCCATAAGGAATGGTCCTGAGCCACCTGCATCCATTGACTGCCAGCAATGAATTTGAAATCGTCACTCCATCATTTTGCAGATATCCTTGTTTCGGATTCCGTCACATAAAAAAACTCCTTGAGCATAGCTCTCTCAATCGCTCGCTGAGTAATTTGAAGCTTTTGCATATGGGCAATCGTGTAGGACCATATATCAGTTCCATAAGTCATCACTGGCAAGATGCACTGGTAAGATCTTCATCTTCAAACTTTGAGGTATTTTGGATGAAAAGATATGGCGTAGTTTTCCGAACGCTGCCCAGCGGAGTTGGATTCGTCGGTTGACTTTTCGGTCGAAGTTGAACGTGCCTATTCAGACAACTTGTCCCAGCTATATTTTAGACATGGTATAACTTATCCATGTTCATCTTAAGACCTAATTGTTAAAAGCACCATTGAGGTCATTGGGGATAATATTCAAATCTTCCAGGGATTCCGCCATGATTAATATAGCATCAGCAAATCGAAGTTGAGTGATGTACTCGCCAATAATGTATATACCATATCTTTTCTAGTCCAAGAGTTTGAAAACATCTTCCAATGCAGCTGTGAACAGTTTCGGAGATATTACGTCTTCCTGTCTTACACCTTTCTGCACTGAGATGGGTTTCATACTCTGGTTCTGTACTCGGATAGACATCATTGCCTTACTGTACAATGTACATACACTTCAACACTTCAATATTCTCGTACCTATCAATAGGTCACGTACCTATCGTAGTTAATCTGAAACCGCTGGAGAGACTGTCATACCAACCATGTCGCGAGCGAGTCAAAGACTTCCTTATAGTCCACAAACGCCACATATAGAGGCAGATTATACTCTTCGATCTTCTGTCCAATCTGCCGTAGCGTATGTATGTGGTCTATGGTGCTAAAGATCTTTTGGAAGCCAGCTTGTTCGGGTGACTGAAAGTCGTCGAGTTTGTGCGAAAGACTCAGGACACTCAAAAACAGTACGTAGACAAGATTTAGAAGGGATGTCGATCTATAGTTCTTCAATAGGGTATTATTACCCTTCTTAAAGAACAGGACTACTAAGAGCACTTCTGCTCCACTTCTCTGACGTAACACCGTTATAAATGACGAAATTAAATAGCTTCTGAAGGACTACAAGTACCGGTTTTCCATCCGCTCTCAGCTCTGCTGTAATTCCGTCCTTCCCGGGTGCCTTGCCGTTTTAAGCTGTTTGAGAGCCTTTTTAATCTCCTGCAAACTGACGTTTGGGATATCATCGGTATAGTGTCAGATGACTAGCTATTTTAAATAATAATTAGAAGGAATTCATTATCAAGAGTCCCTCCTTCTCTATGAAGTCAACCAACTGCTGTCCCCTAGGATTTCGCTGCCCAATACCGTAGTTCCCCATTCTCATCATCTTTCCTTGTACCCAATTTAGCGTTGAAGTCCCCCATTAATATTGAATATTAGAGGAATGTATGGCTCTTGTAATGTCCTTATACATTACCACATACGTACATAACATCATTGGAGTGTGTCACGGTCGACACATTTATCTGTATAACCTTCAGCAAATATCTTTTGGTAATTCTGAATGAATATACATATATATAGTATATCAGGTATATTGCCCTTGTAGACACATTCTCAATCTTTAAAACAGTATTAACGTTGTTGATATATAATTGATGTATAATTGTTGATTTGACGATCGATGAATCCAACACTACCATGGGACAGATGGCTGCCTTCAGGGTTGTAGAATAAGTGGTAACTTATTCTACCACCACTAAAAAGATATAAATGATCTTTTAATCTGGTAAGATTAAAAGATCATTTATATCTTTTTCCAGTTCCACAATCTTCCCATCAGTCCTCAAAATTTATGTATTGTATATCACCAGGTCCAATCATCTTGGTTGGTAGCAGAATCTCTGCTGGATATTCTTAGGACCCCTTGTTCTGCAATTACCATTACCTAAGGAATAGCGAAGCTACCAGGGACTGGAGGCCGTTTTTTCATGGTGTTTGCCATTGGTAGGTTTTGTTAGTAGTTGTCATGCTTGGCAGGCTGGTTGGTAACCACAGTTAGGCCTTTAATGATGTTTTAAGAGGGACACTGCTGCTCATCCCTTAATTATAAGTTCCCTTAGTTGCCTGCCACCCACGGGAAAAGAGTGATCTGTTCTATGCAAGAACTGACACGGCTATAACTTAGGATTAGGATAGGATTTTATTCCAAGTATTCTTTCCGAGTGTGGCAAAATCTCTAAGTAACAGGAACATTTTAATAATAATTAACTAAACATTTTTTAAATATTTGCCTTTAATGACAATATTACTTTTTATTATATATATATACTTATTACATACATTTAAAAGTAAATAATACTCATAACTTTTGCAATAAAGTATAAAATGAATAAATAAATAAACTTTTTGTGATTTTTTTAATGTTATGATGAGTAAAATAATTAATTAAAAATCATCACTTACCTCTCTACAAACATTCTGTTCTGCTAGAGATAACCAAAATTCACATGCCTCTAAAGCCACACCTTCCTCTGGATCTTGGGTCCGTACCAACATATACTGCAACAAATGAAACATATTATTTACCTGTTCTGCATATACAAAGAACTAATTCATCACTACTTACCTCAATTATGTTGGGCAAATGCGGTATAAGTCTATCCAAACGAACTTCCAAAAGTAACACTAGTGCATGACAAACATTTTTTCTAACATCTGCATCTTCATCAGCTGCTAAGTGGAATAAATTCTGCAAATTTCATATAAATATATAAGTTCTATATAAATAAAGTATATTATGATACTCAATGAGCAAATATGGAACCTAAGCAAAGAATAATCTAATATAAAGATTTCAATAGTTTACCTCAATGAAAGCGTCAATGTGCATCATAAGGGCCTGTGTTCTGCCCAAAATGAAATAATTAACACAAGCAATTGCATGGCATCGGATTTTTGGTGATGAATGTCTGAAGAATTGTAGAAATTTTGGTATTAATACATTCAACGGCCTATTTAATGCATCACTGTCCAGTAGCTCAGTTGTATCTTCACATATTTTTTGCAAAGCTCCAAATGCACCCTAGAAAGTTAAAAATAGTCTTTTTTAAAAGAATCAGAACAGTACAATAAATATTTTTAGCACTAAACCATTTCATACCTCACAAACATTGTAGTCTTGCGAGTCAAGCATCTGACATAAAGCTGGCAAGAGTTCAGGCCAGGAGGTTAATTCACCCTTGCTTGCAATTGTAGTAATAATAATGCCAACTGTTGCACGGATCAGTGGTGAAGGATCTCCGACAGCAGACAAACATTCACGTTTTATGAATTCTGCTACCTCAGGCAAAAAGCTATTGTAATGTGATTTTACATTATTTTTCAAAATCAAACCACTCAGTGATCTTGTTGGTTCTTCTTCATTGTGTAGTTTAGTCAATACGAATATAAGATAGTTATTAAAATCCGGGTACTTGTTTAATTCTTCCAATTTCTGAGAACATTTGCTAAGGAAGTATATCAAAGATGTCAATGACTGTCATGTCGGAAAATCGATTTTATCACAAGCGTCGAGATGAGACGCACACCTCATAAAAAAGCATTTGTAATGAAACATGTAATAAATTCATCAAAATATTTACACATATGATAGAAATTAAACCTAAATAGAAAATAAGGCGGTTAGAAGCATAAAAAATATCCACGCCGATGAAATGTATCGACCAAAACTATGAAAAGGATACTTGTTGAACAGCTCTTTGTGTCGCTGTATCTGGAGATTGAGACTCCTTAAGAAGTGTTAATATTTGTCTTAATCCTTCTTGTTCAGGTTTCCACTCCATTTTCATAATAATTTCACAAAACGGTTTTAATTCACTCGGTACCGTAAAAATCAACCATGCCAAAATTTTACAAATTAGTTGCCAGTAGAAAAATTCTGAACATTGATTATTAAAGGTAGAATAAATTAGTTTATAATCTATAGAAAAAAATTGGAGTCAAATTTATTCCTTAATATATAATTTTAACGTAATTGTTATACAAAATTACTATTTATATACTATCATAAACTAAATATTAATTAAGTCTATTACAGTTTACTTCATATTATCTTCATTTAAGTCAAGACTTTTAAACTAAATCAAATCTATTCGAGAAAGAATTTAATAAGACTGATTCTGAGGTGCAACTTCCCTATCACTACCTTTAAATTTATAGTTTTGCGAAATTACTGTTTTATGGAACATCATATACTAAAATTATAAAAACTTTGCCTTAAATTTATTAAAAATTAGTTCATGTTGATAAAAATTTTGTTGAAATTGAAATCTTAATCTGTTACTATATAATTAAATTTTTATTCTCAAAAATATAAATTATTTAATTCATGGTATCGATTCTGAAATAAATCACAGTCACTTGCCTACTTTTATCCAAAATCTTTGACTTTCATATTATGTCATTTTAACAAGCGATTGCCCACTTACTCTGTGCAACTTTTGTCTTAATTTTCACATGTTTTTAAAACATATTATAAATATCGTGTTTTGATAAAATACGATCTGTTTCTGACTGATTTAATTTAATATTTTCATAATGCCGAAAATCAAAGCAGAAAAAAAGTCTAGGATTCATAATGATATTGCTAAACAAGGTGAGTCAAAAATATTGATTTAATATTATTGTATTTGGTTATAATATTTGTACTGTGAGTACTGGTGAACTAAAATGAAAATATCTTTTATTTTAGGTATACAGTTTAATAAAGATTTTGGCCAACATATTTTAAAGAATCCTCTTATTATTACATCTATGCTTGATAAAGCTGGTTTAAGACCCACTGATGTCGCCTTAGAAATCGGTCCCGGTACTGGAAACATGACCATCAAATTGCTGGACAGAGTCAAAAAAGTAATAGCTTGTGAAATTGATACAAGGTATTTACAAGGTCAGAATGTAACAAAATGAGTGCTTGAGTTTGCTCCAAAGTTAAATATACTTTTTTTTTAACCTAAGCATCTTTTGTACATTCAATATACCATACATTAATGTCAGACTTTTTTTTTATAAAAGGTAGTAATCAAACTTTCTTTAATTACAGACTTGTAGCTGAACTTCAAAAACGTGTTCAAGGTACTCCTTATCAAGCTAAATTACAGATACTTGTTGGAGATGTTTTAAAAACAGAATTGCCTTTTTTCGATATATGTGTAGCAAATATTCCCTACCAAATTAGTTCACCTTTAGTGTTCAAATTGTTGCTGCACAGACCATTCTTCAGATGTGCAGTCTTAATGTTCCAAAAAGAGTTTGCACAAAGATTGGTTGCAAAACCAGGAGACAAGTTATATTGTAGATTGTCAATTAACACTCAACTGCTGGCACGAGTTGACATGTTAATGAAGGTTACATTTTTTTTTTCAATTAATATAATTTTTTAAAATTATTTATATTGGCTTTATTTATTTACTTATGTGCATATATAACAAATTAGACATAACACCTTATGGATTTTTTTACCAGTAAAGTGTGCATCATATATTGTTGACAGTAATAATTTTGGGATTGCCCAACTTTATAAGTAAAGCCAATATAAATATTATTAAAATGTGACAATTAATAGTTTATTTTAGTTTTTTTTTTTTTTTTTTTTTTAATAAAATTAGTATTATATAAATATTGCTCATTTAATACACTTGAATATTAATTGTAGGTGTATTTTTTAGGTTGGTAAAAATAATTTTAGGCCACCACCAAAAGTTGAATCTAGTGTGGTGCGGATAGAGCCACGGAATCCTCCTCCACCAATAAATTTTGTTGAATGGGATGGTCTGACAAGGATAGCATTTGTTAGAAAGAACAAAACTTTAGCTGCTGCTTTTAAACATGCCACTACAATGGCTGTAATGGAGAAAAACTACAGAGTACACTGTTCTTTAAATAATAAGGTAAATTTAAGCTTGACTAATATATCTTTTAACACAATTATTGTGGTTCTGTTAAATGAAAAATTTCTCTCAATGTTGCGTCTTTTCTATATTATTTTTTATTTTACTAGTAAGATTTTATTCATAAACAATAAATGATGATGTGAAGAAATATAAATTTCACTCTTTCATATGAATCACTAAACAACAAAGTTTTGTTTTAAGAGGTATAATTAAAATAATATAGGAATATAAGATTATACATACATATTTTACCCAAGGAGTAGAATTTAAAGCAGATCAAAAGCTTCATGAATTGATATAACTGATATTGTATACATTTGATAATATCTCTTAGTAAAATATAAAATTTATTTATAGGAGGTGCCTGAGGATTTTGATATAAAACAAAAAGTGCAAGATATTTTAACAAAAGAAGAAGCTGACCAAATGAGAGCAAGGACTATGGACATTGATGACTTCATGAAATTATTACATGCTTTCAATGCAGAAGGAATACATTTTGCATAATTATTTTATAAAATATTTAAAAATAAAACTAAATACAAATTAATAAAACTTTATTAACTAATAATATATTTTTTTAACTAGATGTTGCATATATAGATGTTAGATATAGGTAAAATTATAATTTTTTTATTGTAATTCAGTGATATAAACATATTAACTATAAGTTTAAATTACTGAATTCTTGAAGTTCCTGTCGGCATAATCAGAAGGCTTGGATCTTTCAGATTTGAATGGGAAACCTGGTTGGCCTGGAAGAACTGTGGGTTTGGTCCTCAAAACTCTCCAACCACCTTTCTTTGTCCAATCCTATGATAATAAAATCCTATTAATATAATAAATGCAAAAATTTGTAGCAATAGATGAATATTTGTTACACTTTCATGCAAAAACTACAGAATGGACTTGAATGAAATTTGGTACAAAAAATGGAATGTTTTATGATTCATATATAATTGCTTATTAATATTATTAAATAACTATATAATTTTGTATGTTGATATATAATAATATAACTACAGAGCAATTTATAAATATAAAATTTTTGTACAACATGCAGTAACATTGCTGACAACCCATCTGATAGAAGTTGTCACTATTATCTATAGATATGAATTACACTGTGATGTATACAGTAATTGTTGCAGTTTAGAAGAAAATAAAATCGACTTACATTTCCTTGGTATTTGAAATAATAATGTACAGAAAGTACACCAATAGCAATTAGACCAAGCTTTCCAGTAATATATCTATAATTTACAGCACGCTCTTCACCCTGCAAAAAACTACATATCTGTTACTTGTTCTACATTTTTGTAAACAAATTTTTATTTGTATGTACAGGTATAAAATTTCAAATGGCAATAACAAAACATATGTATGCTACTTCATAGAAACATCTAGAATAATTATAAAAGGATCACATTGTTAATAACAAATATATTGTTATTAAAAGGTTATAAACAGTTATGTAATACTACCAGCATTGGAATAAGGGCAGTGAATAATTTATCCAAGGGTTTGCGATAGAAACGACGAATGGGGTTAGTCCTTTCTCTCCAATATTCCTCTACATATACAGGTTCGTTGGGAGCCAAGACTTGATCTTTTAACCACTGTTTGCGCCAAGCTCTTTCAGCATCGGTCATACCCATACATCGTTCCCTCTCAGAGGCCACTCGACCGGCAATGGTCATAGGCTTTACGCCCGCTGTTTGTGCCATTTTTCTTTATATCTTATTGATTATAATTATTCAAGTTATAACTATACAGAAGAGAATAATAAGGAGAAAAGCAAAATTTAAGAATACTCAACAAATATCATTCATTCGCTAAGTCAATGACATTTGAATCCGTCAGTGTAAGTCAACTGTAGCTATTAAAACAAGCCTAGATGTCGGAAACCACAGAGTAAATAACCACTATGTTATCTTAGTACGTTATTTAGAAAAAGAATTCGGAAATCTCAAAGATTTCGAAATCTGACGGCCTACTATGAAATGTTTTCCGAAATTTCGGAGCCGAACGAAACACAAATTTAATGTTAAAATTACATAATACTTACCGTTTAAAAACATAAAAAATATGAAAATATTATTCCTTGGGACTTTGATGATTTATGACGAACGAAATGTTAAGCTCCATTTACTGGCCCAATTTAGGTGTGAACAAAAATACGAAATTGAGTCCGAACCTTCGGAATTTCATTTCATGGTAGGCCCCGTGTTTTTAGATTTGACTAGAAAATATCTAAGAACAAGGAATTACATAGAATGAATGATAAAATAAAAACTGTAAATCCTATCATTGCCTCCTTTTTTCTTATATAAATATAATTAGTAAAAAGAGGACGAAAGATATACCATCAGTTGCTATTATTGTCAATTCATTTGTAGGCTAGTGTATAGAAAATGTTATACGGCCGTATAAGCCTCGCAAATTCAGATGCAACCTGCTTGCATACTTTCTAGATAAACTGTGTCGAACATATTATCTAGCAATCTAAACATTGTTATTACCATTAACACCTCTTAGATTAAGAATAGTTCTGGCAGTAGGTACTCCTCTGCTTGCTTATTATTTGATCTGTAAAAAAAAATATTTTTTATTTAATTGATCTGTGTTTGGTTCAGTCAGAGTATTGCTTACGCAAAATAGAATTTAATCATAATTTTTACAGAATTAATTAGGCTTGTATTAATTCCAATAATTGACATTTGCATTCTTTTGATTTCCTAACAGAACTCAATATGCCTCGATTTCATAAAGTGGAAATTAATAAAACAGAATGGATTGTGCCTGAAAGATATCAAATGTTAACACCTGTGGGATCAGGGGCTTACGGTCAGGTTTGGTATGTATTTATTTGTAAACTGTTTCAGGCACCGCGCCAGTATTTATTTTCGATTCTAATTCAATCTAATGATAATCTTGTATATTCACTGCAGTTCCTGCATTGTAACAGTGCATTGCCCCTACGTGGGTGGACCGGTTATAAATTGTCTATCATTTTCCCAGTTCCGCTGTTGACACTCTGCATAATGTAAAAGTGGCAATAAAGAAATTAGCGAGGCCATTTCAGTCAGCAGTGCATGCTAAGAGGACTTACCGAGAGCTTCGCATGTTGAAGCACATGAATCATGAAAATGTTATTGGTGGGTGTACAGTTATTTGTCACAAAAAATCATATGAATGTATTTTTAAACATTATCAGTGTATTATTTGCAGTATAATATGTAAATAATATATATATTATGATACTGCACTTGTGTTTCATATGAAATATGTTACAGAATAATGTTACAGCATTATGTTTTTAACAAAAATTATTTCCTATAAAATAGGATTGCTGGATGTATTTAGTCCAGAAAAAACCATAGAGGAGTTCCAACAGGTGTACCTGGTCACCCACTTAATGGGAGCTGATTTGAATAATATAATCCGTACACAGAAATTGTCTGATGACCATGTACAGTTCCTTGTGTACCAGATTCTTCGTGGACTTAAGTATATACATTCTGCAGGAATTATTCATAGGGTATGTTAATTTATCTACTGTAAAATAATTTATATCAATTAAAGCAATTATGTTGTGAATTATGATAAGTAATCTATAAAGGTGTGATAAGGAAAAATCATAATAATAAATATAAAAAGCAAATGTAAATTTTCTTTAGACTCATTATAGAAAAAGGTAACCTTTCATGGATCTATCTTCACACTTCACTATAGCTTAGAACTATGTGGCATAGTTAAATATTATTATACCAGTATAGTTACATCAGTGGGTTATATTAATAGAATGCTAAAATGATTAAAGCAGGTTCTTTTTTAATCCTCCAGTAACTATTGTTTTGTTTCTTTTTATATTAAAAAAAGTGGTGTTAGTTAACTTAGGTGAAATGATTGACTATGGTTTCATGATCAAATTGGAGATTCAGTCTACTAATATCTGAGGTATTAAGTAATTCTTTGATATTATGCTTTAATGAGTGCAACTGTTGTTATGTAAACCATAAGAAAGGCTTTCACAATATAAGGGCCAAAATGGGATATCTTTTTTATAATTAAATTTGTAATAAAAATTATAAATAGTATAATCTTATTAAAATAATAAAATTGGAACTAGATAATGTCATTGGAGATATTTAAGAAAAAATAATATTAGGGCAATAAGAGAAGCCAATACAATAATTTTTTGAAATTTTGTCTGCCTGTCTGTATGTTTGTTCCAGCATTATGCAAAAACTATTGTATCAAATTAGAGCAGATACACAGTAGTATTACTGAAGGTCTAACTTAAAATTGGATGTATGTTTCATCTTGATATGCCATCTGAAAGTGGTCCTTTTAACTGATATTCCTACTTCTGAAATCCATGTATATAAGTAACAGAAAAAAATTGATTACTTTAATAATAAAGATTTACACTAAATACCGTGTTAAGTCTCAAAATTATTATATTACAGGACTTAAAGCCCTCAAACATTGCTGTTAATGAAGATTGTGAGTTAAAAATATTAGACTTCGGTTTAGCTAGGCCTACTGAGACTGAAATGACTGGATATGTAGCTACAAGGTATGTTGTTGTAATATTAGTATTATTATTATCATAGTAATCAGTATGTTTATATATGTATATGTTATGGACCAAGTGATTAATGAGAGCATTATACAAAATGCTTGGGCATTATGAATAATGGCCAGCTATATTAGACCAACTGATTTTAAGTGTAATTTGATAATAAAGCTACATTAGGCGAGGTACAGGACGGATAATAAGCGAGTGTTGTGTGTTGACCAATCAGAGACCGGTATAGCAGCGATGTAACTGTTGTTAGTGTTTGTTTAAGTAATTAATCATGGATATATCAAAATTGAGAGACATGAATCGCCAATTTGATGAAAGATTGAATGAAATAATATAGCTAAAATAACAAAATACTCAGTTTTTTTATCAATGAAAGCTATACAAAGATGATTGCTGAAGTTAAATCTGCAATGTTAAAAAGGACGCATAAAAATCAGAAAATTATCAGCGATTGCGAAAATTTGATGTCATGACTTTTTAGGTTAGGTTAGGTTTAGGTTTAACGTCAAAAATAAAAATAATAGTGATGAACCATGTGATGGACATTATGTATAATGCCTGGAAAATTTAATTATTTGAATAGTTATTATCAAATTGTCATCTCATAATGGTCATTTTTCATTATGCTCGGGCATTATTTATAATGGCCCATTTATCACTTAGTACATAACATATATAATATTCAGATGCATGCAGATATTATCGAGCATACTGATAAGTTATTATTGAGAAAAAATTTAACTCATACATAATTTTTTTTTTTATTATTGTGATAGTTCCTACAAGATTTTTTGAATAAAAACTGAATACATAATAATGATAATGTATTTTTCAGTAATATAGTAAAATCTACTTACCTATATTGTCAAAAAGTTTTAAAACAATGCCCTGTATTAGTAATAATTTACTGTGCTGTTATTATATTCTGCTTTCAAGTACACATATCAAATTATAGGTGGTATAGAGCACCTGAGATCATGCTCAACTGGATGCATTACAACCAGACTGTTGATATATGGTCAGTTGGTTGCATAATGGCTGAACTGCTGACTGGCAGGACCCTATTTCCAGGCACAGATCGTATCCTTTTAATACTGGCATTTAGAGCATTCAACATAGAATGTACTTTATATCTTTCTTTGAATGTATAAATGTAATTGACTTAATCAATCAATAATTTTAGACAATTCTATGTCTGACCAATTTTGAATTTTATTAGTATCATTTTCTTGTAAAAAGTGGAAAAATTAAATATAAGGTGTACTTCATCTCATGTGTTGAATGCTTTAAGTTTATTATAAAAATCGATGTATTACTTTTTCATGCTATATCTACCTACACTGTTTTATATTTCAAATAGAAACGGGCTACATGTTTTAACCAAAATTATTGTTTCACATGCTATACTCATTTTATACTCCTTACTAGATTAGCAGTTTAAATGCTTATGTTTTTTTTTAAAGAATATTATTATTATTATATATTTGTTTCCGTTTCACGTTATTATCTAACTTCCTAGTGTAGTATTAGAAACTGGCGCCTTATTGGCTTTCAACCTTAATGAACGAGACAGATATTCATCAATTGAATCTAATCATGGAAGTACTTGGGACGCCTAGTCAGGAATTCATGCAGAAGATTTCCTCTGAGTCTGTAAGTTGACTTCATTAATTATAGGGCTTATTTTGTAATCGCAGTACCTGCACCAACGACGGGGACACCCATAATTCAAACAACTGAGAGCTGAAAATGTCTTTGTATATATTTTTTTTTATAGTTTTACATCTATGATTTTAACAATACTTAGATAAGTCATAACACAGCTTTGCGTTAACATGCTTATTGGTTTCTACTGTCTACATGGCTTTTGTAAGTTTGGTGCTTGTAACCTTAACATTCGTGCGTCAGATATCGATCACCTCACGAGAATATTGTTTTTGTGTGGGAGTCCCGAACAAGAAACAGTTGATAAAATCATTAGCGAAGAGGTAAGCGAACTAACGAGATTATAAATGGTCTAAATATTATATATTTTCCAGACAGTTATATAGCAATATAATAAATGCAATAATATATAGTTACGATTAGTGCAATTAACTGAAACTACAATAACAAGCTAAATTGCTATTATTAATGATTGAAGCATCCTATTGCCCATGTATATATTGTTAAATTAGTAAATTTATAAGTAACTTAAGAAAATATGCATGCTAGGCGAATATTGTAAGAGGATGAAGTTACTTTTATTTTCTCTCTCATAATCTCTAGGGATACATTCATTACATACATTGTTGTGTCCAAAATGTGCCTCGTTTAAAACTTCTAATAATGCTCTTGTGTAATTGTCTATATGCAAATGTGATACAAGTTGTTGTGTTTGTTACTGCAACTCGCTTTGTCTGATTCATAGGTTACGTAATAGCACGACTGTGATTACGGTAATTGTAGATTCATGAATGAATAAATGAGTATACTTTATTTGCATTATACAATATAGGAAATAAGACAATCAACAAATGTAACGAAACAATTGTATAAGTACAGTAAGGCGGTCTTATTGTTGAGAGCAATCTTTTCAAAACGGCTTTAGGATTGTCATCATTATGCAAGTAACGCATTAATGCAACTTATGTTCCAGGCTCGAAACTACATCCAGACCCTGCCCCGTATGAAGAAGCGCGACTTTCGTGAAGTGTTCCGCGGAGCGAATCCTCTTGCCATCAGCCTGTTGGAACGTATGCTAGAGTTGGATGCTGATAAGTAAGACTCTGTAATTTATTAGAAATTTAATTAATTTATTTACATATGTTCTTTGGCGTTTTGATGGGTTTTTATTATATTAAAAATCGGGAAATTAATATTGTTCTTATTCATTAATATAATTTATATATATTTAACATTACCTTTTTTTTAAAGGTCTTTATCTACTATCTGCGAAACTGGACATGTTTTCCAAAAAAAAAAAACATGGATTTAAAAACGACAAATAACGTTGAGCCTCCTATACTAATACGATCCATATAGCTTTCATTTATTATTAAAATGAATTTAGAAGACATGAATACAAATGGTTAAATTGTAGGCGCATTACTGCGGAGGAAGCGCTCGCACACGAGTACTTGGCGCAGTACGCTGATCCGACTGACGAGCCCGAGTCTACGCCCTACGATGAGAGCTTCGAAGATATGGATCTTCCCGTTGAACAGTGGAAAGGTAATTGCATGTATACAAGTTATATATTATTATCAGTGCTATATCACCTTATGGCATATTGGCTGTAGTTGGGGGAGGGGGGGGGGGGAGGTTGGCATTAAGGAGCAATGCCCTACCTTAAATGCCCAATACCTCTTAAATTTGAAATGACAGATTCGCTTTTTCGAAGTCACAGAATTATAACTTCTGCCCTACCAAAAAAATATTTTGTCCTACCTTAAAGATAGGTCTAGCTACGGTCCTGCCTTATAGTATATACATGGTAATTATAAATATTTTGCTTGAATGAATCTTCTTCGATTCAAGGAGTTCCCATTATACTGTAGATTATAATTTGCAATCTTCTACAATTTCTAAAAAGTAATACTTGAACAAGGGAAGGGAATGGTAGATAAGATTCTGTTTATGCATTCACTGCTCGGATTCCCCTAAAGGACTAAGATTAGAAGGTAGTCTATAATTGTATGTATGTCACTTCAGACGTATACAGTCATCAAGTTTAACTTCAAGTGTAGATAAATATATAGAAAATTATGTACCTATCACTAGAGGGAGATGTTGTACAAAAGTCGTCTGCTTGGGTTCCTCTGTTCCATTTGTGTTTGCATGATTGCGTTTGTTTGAAGGGCAATATGACAATAAAATTACAGGGTTCAGAGGCTTAACACCTTAGTCCTTAGGAATGGGAATACATGAAGCGTGAATTTACTGGGTACAGAGGAATAACACCTGAGTTCTCAGAAATGGCAACGCATGGGGGGTATCATGGGCGAAACAGTATACTCTGTTATGTCCATGGTACTGCTCATATCTATAGGTGACGATTACCACTTTCCATCAGGTGGGCCGTCAGCTTGTTTGCCATTCTAAGTTGTATAAAAAAAAATTATCATGGGCGACACAGTACAATCCATTATGTTCGTGGTTCTTTTGTGACTTTTAAACAGTTTTAACTTGCATGTATTTTTATTTATATGAAACGCGATATATTCGGCTATTCTAAACCGATTTTAATAATTCAGAGCATTACTCCCGGTTCCGTGTTGGTTCATACATGACAATGTAAGTCAAGAGTGAACTCCTTTTTCTATTATTGAGAGACATATTCCATATTCTCTTAATTGAAACTGATTGTCGATCTCTGACTTTATTTATTAGACGACATGGCACAATATGATTTGGAGTAAGTTCTTTGTTTTGTAATTATTTTATATTTTTTGCTCCAATTGACGAGTATAATATTTAAATATTAACTCATATTTTTTCTTACTGAAAATAAAATAGTGAATTTTATCGGATTTCAGATTTGGTTTGGAAAGAAACTGTTGAATTTAAACCTCACCCACAGCACATGAGCACCGTGGTCGAAGTGAACACGTCATAACTTATGGTTTGATATTGTTTTTAAAGTGTATCCTATATTTTATTGTTTACGACTTGAACGAACCCGCTCGTAATACCAACTAGTCCAATGCGTTGATGTTATACAGTGCAATATTATTACAATTTGATTGATGGGCAGAATTGGGATTTACGGGTGAACATGTATTCGCGGCATTGCTGGACAATGCATTACTTGCAGCGATATTTTATTATTCACATGCTGGTTCATTGCTCGTGTTTTATAAAAAAATTCTTAAATAATATATGTTAACGAAGCGGTTTTATTTTGTTACAAAAATATTTGAAAAATTTTAGAAAAAAAATTTGCCTATAAGTGTAACTAATATACGTAATTAATATGATTCGCGCGCAGTTATATATAATTTGTATGTTTAATAATCAAATATAATTTATCGATTAATGGACGTCAATGGATTGAAAGTAATCACATAAATATGCCCAGTGGCTAATTTTAATTATATAGGTTGTAAAGTAAAATATTTTCAATTGTATGTTTAAATAACTGATGAGGTAAAATGTATTTAGTGGTAAAGGCAAAAGAAAACCTTATTAGTGTTAAAAGATATGTAATATCTATAAAATAGATAATAAAGCATGATTATGTATTAATAGATAGTGGATAACATTCTAGCATACAGTGGTAATTTGTTAAATTTAACATGTCATGGATTGACGGACAAAATAGAAATATAGTTTTTTCTAACCTAAAAGGTACTAAACTAGCGATTGTCTGATTTGTATGAAAGAATTGAAAATTCCATTCACATTTCGGCCATGTTGGGATTATTATACTTTGTATTATAAATAATACATTTAAACAGTATCATATATTAAATGTAATTGGAGCAATAACGCGTTTTATAAGATAGTGTTATGTATGCTTATATGAAAATAACAAAACACAATTAGTAGATCTTTAGAGCACTGGTGCTAATAAATAATACGCCTTATAAAATTAAGATTCACTGCTAATTGTTACTGGAACATATTGAAAACAGGGTTTTTCACGCTAATTGCTGTAATTGGTACTAATACATTCAATAGTGTTCGGCTTTTGTATTCAACTACTTACTATACAGCGACAATGGTAGCTGTCCGCCCACGTGACATTTATTTTGCTTTGGTTTTGTTTGAATTAGCTATACCATGTGAGTTTTAAGTGTAGAACTACAATATCTTTTAAGTAACTATGGTTTATTAATTTTATTACGTCTATCGCTATCTGATATATTGGTAGTATGGTCATGCTAAAATTAGACGTAGTTTTGAAAAACAGTGATATATGTGCAGTTTAGTTACTAGCACAGTTATAATTGTATTTTAGTGTACTAATTGTATTTAATATGGCATAAGAGGTAGTCATATTTTGTTGTATAATTTTGGAGTAGTGAACCGTAGCCTGAATTGTGCTATTTACATATAAATATTTTAATTGACAATATCTAAAGCTATGTTAGTCATATAGTACTCTAACTCGAAAACTATTCATTCAAAAACTATTCATAAAATTCATAAATATCGGAATTGAAGGGCTCAGTTCTACATCTCATTTTGATCGCAGGAGTAATAAAGTATTAATACATATTTTTATTATTGTGGTAGAATTTGGATTTTGTCTAAACTATGTCTAATTTTAATAAGTCAATGGCTATTTTTTACATTATGGTTTATATATAACAAAATTTAAAAAAGCAATATATATATATATATATATATATATATATATATATATATATATATATATATATATATATATATATATATATATATATATACTTGAATCTAAAATTCATCACTAATGAACTAAATTTGCGAAGATAACTGTCATGCGAATTCATTATATTTTTATATGTGTATAATATATTAAAAAACTTGCCTGTTATGGAACGATTGTTTTCAATATTCCACGAGCGAAATATATCACGTCAATTATGTGCTAGGCCTATGTGCGTTCGGAGGCGTCTTGGTATTCATTTTTTTTAAGTATCACTTATCTAGTACTTTAGTAATACTACTGTATTTGTAATGTATTTCTGGATTACCACTATTTCCATCACAAATATTTTTTATTTACAATTACATCTAAGTTCTATACTACAATTATATACTAGGTTTTGACTTGATTTTGTTTATATAATTTTGTATAATGAAGTTAATACCTATATGTCACATTGCCTTCTGATGTATAAAAACACTAAGTCAGCCATACTAGACTGGGTAGGTAGTATTATATTTTTCTAAGATGCTAGTAATCATCCGGTACTTATGTATCATACGGAACCTGACAAATGTTAGATACAAGGTCACCTACAAGAAGCTGAATATTGATATAATATATTTTGTCAAAAAAAAAAATTGTGGTAAGGGCTTAGAGATTTGAAGCAAATACTGGTCTGGTTCTGTATAATTAAATATAGACTTGTGAGAAATAAAGTACAATTCACCATAGAAATATTGTTTATTATTTATTCTTATTCTCTTGTTAGGCTAATTTACTTGAAATGGCACGTTTCGAGTAAATTAGCCAAACGATATTGATGGCTAATTTGGAAGGTTGTGGAACTTTTGGTAGTAATAAAATTAAAAGTAAACACATACTAATAGTAAAGGAATTAAACAAAATAATTCTATTCGAATACTTCAGTAAAATAATTTCAATCTCTATATCTATATTATATTATATTTTTTTTGTCTCCACCAATTCACCATTTCTATCAGGCATTTATAGATTGTCATCATGGGCGGCGGTAGTCACCATCAGGTGAGCCGAACGCTTGTTTGCCTCCTGTGTTATAAAAAAATAAAAAATATTAGGCATAAGTAGGGCGGAAATAAAGCTTCATAAGTACCTACTATACTCTCGAATGTGTGGCAAAGGTTTAGGTTAGGTTAGGTTGCGCATAATAAAAGAGTGTGATAAAGTTGATTTATTTATTGTAAATCTATACAGCACTGTGCAATAAAATAATGTTCATTTGCCAGGAACTGAAATTTGGACTTGTTTCAAATACATATGTCAAGTATTGAAGTTTCTTTATTTATATCAGTGACTTTATTGAGCCAATTTAATTTTACATTATAGTTACATGTACATTTACTAGATTAGAAACAAGATTATAAATAACGAAGTTACAAGATATAATTTGATTTGTATTAAAGTATATACCAAATATATAAAGTACACTGATATAAACCGGTGAATTGTAGTTTGAAGAATAGAGATTATGCACTTATTATAAATAAAGTATTTACCAATAGTCCAAATTAAAGTGCAAACACAAACTGCAAACTAAATTTGATAAAACAACATCATTGATAAACCTAAAGGGAAAGAAATAAAAAAAAAAATACTTTATCACATTGTTTGCATTGCCATTGACTAAAATCCACCATTAAGATGTTTTCTGTACAATCAAATTCAGCAGAAGATTATATCTTTTAAATCGGAATCTATGTTACTTCTCATCATCAGTTTATAACTGAGGAAGGTTTTTCTTCAGCTAAACCTTTTTCAGGTAATGTATAAAGATTCGAATTTGTTATGGCACTATTTATAACCTTACATGTTTCATTTGAACTTGATTCACCATTGTTTTTATTGTACACAACATTAACGACATTTTTCAGTATTTTGCTCTCACATCTTGTCGGCCGTCGATTGCGCTCTCTTCTAGGCCTGTGTTTGTGATTATTGGATATGCTGCTCATCTTTGCAATGGATCCGTGATGTGGTGCGTTTTGTTTTACTCCTCTTCTCGTCTTTCCCTGTACCAATACTTTATAAGGTTTTCATTTAGTTTTTCGTTTCAGCATTTTGTTTCTTTTACTGCTAGAAGACGATGTATCACTGTCACTAGAAGAATCATTATAGTTGTCGCTAGTGGATGTGGCATCGGTGGATGGGCTCATCAATGATATACAGGCCGTGGTGCGGCAGGTGTCGCTGGTGGTGGTGGAGTCGTCAGAGAGCAGGCGACGGCGACGGCGCACGGCCGGCGGTCGGATCACACTTTCGTCGCTGTCCGAGTCATCGCTCTCGTATATTATGCGACGTTTCGAAGTTAACTTTACTGATGGCTTAGGCCGATTTTTTTGAGCATCTCGAGTGTTTGCTGTTATTTCCGATGGCACAGTATCTTGTCCAATAACGTCACCGTCCACCACTATGTCTAAGTCCACTACCTCACGCGTTCTATACTTGGGTTCGGAGGAATCATCATCATCATCAGTGTTTGATTGTAACATTTTTTCGATAGTTATGTCGAAGATGGGTAGCGGAGGTCGACGGTGGGGCGCCGACGCTGATCCCGACTCCGGCGCCGGCGGCGGGTACAGTTCCGCCGCCATCATGCACTGCGCCAGAATATCCCGGACAGTGATGCCCTCATGTCGCGAAAGCGTCAACGTCGTCCTGCGCACACATTACAATAAAATGTAAACGACCTGTTTACATTTTATATACTGTATACAATTTTTTGGGGTTAACGGATTAATCGACTACTATGAAATTTAATACACCCATACTAATACGGGCTCGAGATACTTTCCTGTTAATTAACATATCCCGGTAACGCGAAATAAGATTCAGGTAAATTTAAATATGTTTGTTTGTTACCTTCTGGAGGCTTAATAGCTTAACTACCAATTATCATGAAATTTGGGGCACACCGAGTATTTTGTATTAAAGTATTGGATAAGTGTAATGTATATGTAATTACTTACATGTATGTGAACTTCCTCATATAAGGACCGTCATTGTCCAGTCTCTCAATTGTCTCCTCTTCTTCCCGCTGTTCCACCATATATCGCTCATACCGACGACTGGAGATTACATTGTGGATAATGGATTTAAAATTTTGTTTACAAAGTGGACATTCTGTTTTGACCTGCAACAATGGTTTATTAAAATATCAGTAAACAAATAGTGGTAATTTCATAATGTACCTATGTAAAGAAGGGAAAACTGACAAAAACCGATAAAATTTTCTGCCAAGGTCATAGCAATATTATGTAATGTAAACTTCAATTCTGTTTTATCTTCAATAGTGACTTTATATCTAGTCTATTAACTTTTGTATGAAGATTATGTTGTTAAACTTTCATTTCACTGGTATATACATATTTCATGTAGGCATGTTTATCTAATATATATAAATTTCTTATAAAAGATAATGTCATCAAAAAAGTTTTAGAGTTAATAAAATATAAACTTACTTTACTCCAAGTGAAAATACACTTAAAACAGAACTGATGAAGGCAGGAATCAGTAAATGATTTGTGTTCACAAGTGCCCAGACATATTGGGCAATTTGATGATGATGAACCACTCTTAACACTGCTAGGTTTGGCATCTGAACTGTCTTCTGGCATTGCTTCAGATACAGTCTCTATTTTGTGTTGCCTGCGATAGTAATTTTAGTAATATTAATATTCTAATTTGAAAAGAAAAAATAAAATAAAGATATTAATATAGATGAGAATAATAAAAGAAACTGCCTGTTCTCAAGCTTGAACATCTTGTATTATATAAGAAAAATAAGCAATTGTGGGCACAATATGTTTAACTGATTTAAGACAGAAAATCTTAAATCAGTTAAACATAGTGTATATAGTGACATGTAATTGTAATAATATTAAAATTACAAATAGAACTATTTCTCTTATATGCATATATAGTATTATGGAATATGGACTTACCGGTTGGAGTGTTGAGGCAGGTCCATGCTTTTAAGAATTACTTCTTCACTTCACGATTACTTGCACTAAATGACGCGGTTGGCGAGAAAGTATGCGCACGTATCGCGGTTAGGAGCTCCGAGAAGCGACTGACTAAGCGTCGAGCGTTTGAGCAGACATTGGCGAAGGGAGAGCGGGGCATGCGTCAGGGAAGAGTGACGTACCACTCACACGGGTAAGGCGAGGTGCGTACGTACGTTTTTTAATAACAATAGTTTCCATTATTGTTTAATACACTAAAGTGAATTTGCATTGCTTATGTAGCTGTTTTTTTGGAAAATTCAAAAATTCTGTATTATGAATTAGCTAGGTTTTTTATAACGCATTCGATATCGATATTTAGGATAGAGCCGTATACGCATACATACATACGACACTATGGATATCTATATTTTTTTTTATAATTTTTCCATTGCTTTGTTACTTGCATTTTATTTTCCCATTAATTGTTTGTCATTAATAATATCTTCGTTGTGACTTTCCATATTGCAAACGATTCTTCACTTGAGACTTTTTTCACGTTATTAATTTCGTCGTTCGACATGATTTCACGTACTAACCATGATGTACCAATTATACTGATGATGTAGTTGATGATCTTCATTTTAGTTTTTACGGACATAGACGCTAGTAACGTATTTTCTTAGTATATTTTACTGTTACTGTTTTTACGACACTTACAACTTTTTATCACTCTCGCTGGGCACATAACCCCACAAACACGGAAGACAGACAATAACAGTATTGCCAAATTATTTTTCCATAGTCATTCGGAATAAAAATGCGAATGTCCTCTTCAAGACAATCTGGGGATATTCTGCATACGCGTTACTTTAGTTTTTTTGTATATATGTTTATTTGTATATCTTTGATTGTGTATTTATATATGTATGTATTCATCATCATTGTCATATCAGCTTTTAACTATCTGATTACTGATACTATTACTGAACATAAGCTTCCCCCTTGGGTGTGTGTGTGTGTGTGTGTGTGTAGAGGGGGGGGGGAGGGTTACCAGTAGTTGCCACGCTTGGCAGGCGGATCGGCAACCGCTGTAAGATAGGGCATAAGTCCAGAATAATTGAGTGACTTCGTCAAAGCGATTCTGTCTAATTTTTTTGGGGCCTTTCCCATCCCTCGCCTTCCGTTAGTCGCCCCTTACGACATCCACAGGATAGGAAAGGGCAGCCTATTCTATGCCAGGACCATGCTACATATGTATTATGAGTAAATATTTATATTGTGATATTTATGTACTTCCTTATTTATAATATTAAAGTGTTATGCTTTGTGATATATATATATGCTTTCAGATGTATTAGTTATCATTTAGATGTGTTATTTTGTCTTATAGACTTAGTATACCGTACTTGTTGTCCAGTATTAATGTTATGCTCGTGTTATAAACACCTATTATTATTATATTTTTTAATTGGCTTATTTTATTATTTTTTACAAAAAATCTGTTTTTATTATTTTATTTATTATATTTTTTTTTGTCTCCACCAATTCACGCTTTCTATCAGGCATTTATAGATTGTCATCATGGGCGGCGGTAGTCACCATCAGGTGAGCCGTACGCTTGTTTGCCTCCTGTGTTATAATAAATTAAAACATATTAGGCATAAGTAGGGCGGAAATAAAGCTACATAAGTACCTACTATACTCTCGAATGTGTGGCAAAGGTTTAGGTTAGATTAGGTTGCGCATAATAAAGAGTGAGATAAAATTGATTTATTTATTGTAAATCTATACAGCACTGTGGAATCAATGTAATGGCAAATTATAGTATCAATTATATATAATTATAGAGCTGCACCTCATTCGTATGTTGGATTTATATCCTCGTTCGACTTCTGTAAGCACTCACATGACAAAAGCGAACGAAAATATTATTTGGCATGAGTTTTCAAAATAATTAAATATGCTACCAAATGTTCGTAACGTTTATATCTAATACTATAATTTATAATCCTGTTATAGTAGTAAGTCGTTACCCTTAAATGCAACATAAAAAAGGTGCAGTCATCTGATAATAGCAAATAAAATATGTGAACTCTTAAAATTCACATTGGCTATGTACATTTTTTTTTTAATGTTACAATGGTTTTACTTAATGCATGTGATTCGGATACGGCATGGTTTCCAATAATTCCTACAAAAAAATAATGTTCATTTGCTAGGAACTTAAATTTTGGTTGAATCAAATACATATGTCAAGTATTGAAAATTCTCTATTTATATCAGTGACTTCACTGAACCAATTTAATTTTACATCACAGTTACATGTACATTTACTATATTTCATTCAAATATCCGTATTTCAAACAATATTATAAACAACAAAGTTACAAGATATAATTTGATTTGTATTAAAGTATATACCAAATATATAAAGTACACTGATATATACCAGTGAATTGTAGTTTGAAGAATAGAGATTATGCACTTATTATAAATAAATTATTTACCAATAGTCCAAATTAAAGTTTTATAAAATAAACAAAACACTATTCGGTTGTGTGTAAGTAGGCATGTACAGTGAGTTACATTACTCATACACTATCTTAAAATCCAGTCTCTGAATCTAATTCAAGTAACATACAAATGTACAAATATACAGATTGACTGTAACTATATTTTTCCAAACACAAATTGCAAACTAAATTTGATAAAACAACATCTTTGATAAAGGGAAAGAAATAAAAAAATTACTTTATCACATTATTTGCATTGTCATTGACTAAAGTCCATCATTAAGATGTTTTCTGTACAGTCAAATTCAGCGGAAGATTATCTTCTGAATCAGAATCTTCGTTATTTTTCATAAAGTTTATAACTGAGGAAGTTTCTTCTTCAACCAAACCTTTTTCAGGTAATGTATTAGGATTTGAATTTGTTACGGCACTATTTAAAACCTTACATGTTCCACTTGATTCACCATTATTTTTATTGTACATAACATTAACAACACTTTTCAGTCTTTTGCTCTCATAGTTTGTCGGCCGTCGATTACGCTCTCTTCTAGACCTGTGTTTGTGATTACTGGAGATTCCACTAGTACTAGGTTGGTCTGTATCTATAGAAGTCGTAACTGGTGCATTAGAAGATTCATTCTTTTTTGATGATTTACCAGTTTTACTAGAATGTGATTTACGTTTCCTAGGTTTATCCTTTTCTAACTTAATAGATTGCTTATCTTTGTGATGAGTCCGTGATGTGCGTTTTGTTTTACTTCTCTTCTTGTCTTTCCCTGTACTAATACATTCTTTACAAGATTTTCTTTTAGTTTTTCGCTTCAGAATTTTGTTTCTTTTACTGCTAGAAGAGGATGTATCACTATCAGTAGAAGAATCATTATAGTTGTCGCTAGTGGATGTGGCATCGGTGGATGGGCTCATCAACGATGTACAGGACGACAGCGAGGTGAGTGACTCGGATGTCGGTTGCCACTCACTAGCGGGGGAAGGCGTGGTGCGGCAGGTGTCGCTGGTGGTGGCGGTGTCGTTGGAGCGCTGGCGGCGGCGACGGCGTACGGCCGACGATCGATTCACACTCTCGTCACTGTCCGAGTCGTCGTTCTCGTACATTATGTGACGTTTTAAAGTTAATTTTACTGATGGTGTAGGCCGATTTTCTTGAGCTTCTTGAGTGTTTGCTGTTGGTTCCGATGGCACAGTATCTTGTAAAATAACATCACTATCTGAACCGAGTAAGTCCACCACCTCAGGTGTTCTATCCTGGGGTGGTTTTATGTAACCCACAACCATAACTTCGGAAGAATCATCATCAGTGTCTGAGTGTGATATACTTTCGATAGTTATAACATTATTATTTGTTGTAGGCTCAGAAATGTAATTTTGTGGATATACAGGTTCTGGCGCTCTGGAAGGACCCATTATTCTGGAGGATGCCTGTAGCCTAGATGGCCCCGGTATTCTCGAAACACTGGGCACTCTAGAAGGTCCTGGAGGAGGTTCTGCTGGTTCAGAACTGGATACCATTACTATGTCAGAGTCGACACTTCCTTCTGACTCTGAACTTGAAATAACTTCATTAACCATTGTTGATATTCTAGTGTCAGTAGTGTATTGTACATATCTATCATAACCAGTCATATCATAAGGGGTAGAAGCGAAACAATATAGTTCATGAAGGAAATGCTCAGTCCGATCCCTGAAATACACTTGTACAGCTTCTCTGAATTCTGGTGATGTAATATGGTACCGTGGAAGTAATTCCAAGATACGAGAAATTACATATGATATGTGTCCTACATTTTCATTCAATAAATAATGAAGTTCTCTGTTGAGCCAAGGCACTAACCGATGCATTTGCGTATCATTATATCTGAAATATTAGAAAAAAAATAAGTAAATAAAATATATCTAAAAACGCAGAATTAAAAACATCAATTTCAGATTTGAAAATGCATTTTTAATTACGAGTACCTGTAGAATTCCGGCGTACAGTCCCTGAAGCGGCCGGTGAAGTCAGGTAGCGGACGCGCCCATAAGCGGTGGCGGTACACTGTGCGGCGGAAGGAGGCCGGCGAAGGGCGACGGCGGGGCGCTGGCGCCGGTGGCGGGAATAGTTCCGCCGTCAACGGGTACTGCGTCAGCAGCTCCCGGATAGTGATGGACTCGTGTCGCGGAAGCGTCAACGTCGTCCTGCGCACACATTACAATAAGATGTAAACAGGTCTATACAATTTTTTGGGCTTAACGGTTTAAACAACTACTATGAAATTTGGTATACCCATACTAATATGGGCTCGAGATATTTTCCTGTTAATGAACATATCCCGATAACGAGAAATAAAGTTTCAAGTAAATTTAAATATAAACATAAAATGAAAATGAGTTTGTTTATTACCTTCTGGAGGCTTAATAACTTAACTACCAATTATCATGAAATTTGGGGCACACCGAGTATTTTGTATCAAAGTATTGGATAAGTGTAATGTATATGTAATTAGTTACCTGTATCGGAACCTCCTCGTATAAGAGCCGTCATTGTCCAATCTCTCAATTGTTTCCTCTGTTTCCCGCTGTTCCACCATATATTCCTCATACTGATGATTGGAACGTACATTGTGAATAATGGATTTAAAATTTTGTTTACAAAGTGGACATTCTGCTTTGACCTGCAACAATGGTTTATTAAAATATCAGTAAATATATAGTGGTAATTTCATAATGTACCTAGTTAAAGGGAATTTCTCCTTTTTTCAATTTAAATAGCTGCCACCAATTTCGATTGGTGATTCTGCCAACGTCATGGTTGAGACATGGTGAAATATTCTTATTTCTGTGGTTCTTGAATCTGACCGATATTGAACAATGTCACTTGGTGTTGAAATTGTAGGCTAAAAACGAATACAATACATGAGTTTTAAAACAAATAAGCAAGTGTCCGTACGGGTAAAATTAATAACCAAGGGACAACATCTGTAAGAGCGACAACAAAAAAGGCCAATGCGACTTTAGGAAGTCTACTTTAATTTCAAATTATTTAGGACAAAAATTTTGCCAGTATTTTGACAAACGGAGAGTGGACTAATATTTAAAAATATAGAATATTGATAGGACGGGGTATATCATAGGGTAACAGGTCATACAATGACAGCATCTGTGACAAAGTGTCCATTCTTTAAAATGTTCTTCAACAATTTTATTAAATTCCTGATTGGTTGTAAGGGAATGTTTCTGTATACTAAAATTTAAAATAATCCTGATATGATGATGGGATATTGAGCTGGGATATGGGAAAGAGTCGAAGTTAGATTAAAAAAGAGGATGTCGATGCATTTTAACTATTAAAGTATTCGAATTTTTAAGTTTCTGAAAGCTGTTAAGGAGTGGGGGTGGGGCCTTATGTGATCAATATGAAGAGGAAGGAATTAAATTGGATATGGATTCTAGTACAGGGAGTAAAGGATGAGTCCTGTACTGTGCGATGTTAAGGAAAAATCGATCGGAGAGGAATTGTCTACGGAGATGTAAAGGGGGGACAACACACTCTACTTAGACTGCATTGGTTGGAGAAGACTACATTGTACCTAGGATAATAAAGCTATCTAAGCTTGAAGTCTGTCAAACTTTGCAAAAGCAAAAGTAATGGCTCTAAAAGAAAACAACCAACCAACAATTAGGAGTTAATTTGATTATCAAATTGACTCCAAATTATGGCATCGTAAAAAGTTTTTGGCTATAGGGGTGTGAGCCCTAACGGACTCCAAAAAGGGTTTTTAACACATTAATGCCGCTTTCATACTTTTCAGATATGTAGGAAAGATGATGAAGGCCTATTAGTCTAAAATTTTACTTTGTCCTTAATCTTCATTATTTCGCCATTAAAATATACGAAGGGAGGTCAAAAAGTTCGCAGAATGGCGGGGTTGGTGGGGGTTGGTTTACTCGTCCATGTAGTCACTTATTAAGCACCTCATTAAGAGTATATATACCAAGTTTGAACCAAATCGGGTTATTAACTTTTGAGTTATCGATCTGCAAACAAGTGAATCGAGAAGAAATCGGCGAGTATGGAGAAAATTAAACACTGCACTGTTATTAAGTTCCTCAACAAGCAAGGAAAATCCGCTCAGACGATTTATCAAGAGCTGTTCGCTGTTTACGCGGACTCTGCTCCTGGTAAAACCATAGTTTACAAGTGGCATGGTCTTTTTAAACAAGGTAGAGAGTCTATTGAATGACCCCCGCTCCGGACGGTCAATTGAGGCCACCACACTGGAAATTGTCGCATAAGTAGAAAAACTTGTATTAGAAGATACCCGGTTGAAGAAGAAGCAGCTTGCAGCAATGGTTGGAGTATCCGAAACAAGTATTTTAAATATTCTACATCATCATCTTGGCATGACTAAAGTCAGTGCAGAATGGGTTTTAAGAATGCTCACGCTACTTCAAAAAAGTAAGCGTGTTGAGTGTTCTCGCCAGTTTTTGAAGCTCTGTGGAGAGAGTAGGGAAGAAGTTATGGCTCGAACTGTTACTGGAGATGAAACCTGGATTCACCACTATGAAATTGAGTCGAAGCAAGAGTCGATGCAGTGGCATAAAAAAGGCACAACTCCTCCGAAGAAGTTTAAGTGTCACAATCGGCCGGAAAGGTCATGGCGACTATTTTTTGGGATACAGAAGGTATTTTAGATATATTAGATACTGATAGATTATAAAGATTGTAGTGTGACTATAACGTTTTTATGGAGAAAAGGGACGAATTTGAGGAGACGAGTAGAGTAACCTGCAGGTTAACCATATCAGGTTCTATTCTATTCACATGTACAGGGTAGGGAGCAGATTCTGTAACTTTGTATTTATAATGCGTATCATTCTCGAATCCTGGCAAAATATACATAGCTGGATAGAGACCGATGGAGGGTTTGATTTTTTGTTATCGTCACTATTCAAGTTTTAGTTATCTGTCGCTTGGGTTTTCCATGTGACTATCAGTAAGGTCTCCACCATCTGGGAGGTTATCATCCGCACCCATCTCCATCATATTTACAATGGAGATAGGTCACATATATATAAATAAATACTTACCCCCCAACAATGAACGAACACAACACAAATCAGAACAAAAGCACAAAATCTCAGCACAACTAGAAGTTTAAAACAGTCAAATAATGCAACCACGTGTCAATCTAACACACTTCCGAAGGCTGAATCAAGAAGGGAATTTGAAAACTAACAAAAGCAATAAAAATTTCTTCCAAGGTCATATTAATATTATGTTATGTAAACTTCAATTCTGTCTTATCTTCACTAGTGACTTTATACTATATGACCTAGTCTATTAACTTTTGTATGAATATTGTTGTTAAACATTCATTTCACTGGTATAAATTTCAAGTAAGCATGTTTATCTAATACATATAAATTTCTTTTAAAAGATAATGTCATTTTCATCAAAAGGATTTTAGAGTTAATAAAGTATAAAATAAACTTACTTTACTCCAAGTTAAAAGACACTTGAAACAGAACTGATGAAGGCAGGAATCAGTAAATGATTTGTTTTTACAAGTGCCGAGGCATATTGCACAATTTGGTGGTGGTGAACCACGACCTCCTTCGTTACGTGGACTACTGTCGTCACTCTTAACACTGCTGGGGTTGGCACCTGAACTATCTTCTGGCACTGCTTGAGATACCGTTTCCATTTTGTATTGCCTGCAATAGTAATTTCAGTAATATTAATTTCTTTATTTGAAAAGAAGTAAAATAAAAAATTGTAAGCACAATATGTTTTACTGATTTAAAACTTCCTTTCAAGGTCCTAAAATCAAAGTTGAATAAGAAAAGTTTGTTTCATTAAAGTAACTTGACTGGAGATTTCTGCCTTTAATTGACTACTGCTATACATAGGCATTCCCCTACGGGAGGGGGAGAGGGCTTTGCCAATAGTTGGCATGCTTGGCAGGCAGATTGGTAACCGCGATTAGGCTTTGATGTTGATTTTAAGAGGGACTTTGCTGCTATTTGCTCATTAAGTTCTTTTAGTTGCCTCTTAGGACACCCACAGGAGGTGGTCCATTGTATGCCGGGACCGCATGGCATATAAGCATAATTATATGTAAACTAAACTTTAAACCTGTGAATGAAAACCTTGAAAATTCAAACCCACTAGATGTTTTGGTACTGATCTGATTTTGAAAATTCTTTCATTATTAGTATATTATCTCTGAGTGCTATAGGCTACATTTACTAACACAAATAGCTAATTTAAAATGGAAATTTCACAGAGATAAAAGTTTAATTTTAGGTTATTTTTCTTTTTTTTACAACTTGGAATGGCAAACAAGCTGACAGCCCACCTGATAGAAAGTGGTAATCATCACCCATGGACATGAACCATCCAACTAATAAAACTATATAAACATAGACAAATGAAAATGCTAAATAGGTTATTCATTTAAAAATCCTAGAGAATATTAGTGCAGTACTTTTACACAGACCAAGATATCAGCCTTACCAAAATGTCGAACAATTTAAAAGTTACATAAACAAACATTACACTCATACAAAGTCGGGGTGGGTCACTAGTATTATATAAAAGGCACATTATTAACTATCTAATGAAATCAAAATTCTATTATCCCCTTTTATCTTTTAGTTCTGGTTTCAGGAGTTAGGAATTAAATTATTAATTAAAGAAATTTTAAAACTGGGATTATAAAGGGGAGCCATGGAAAAGAAAGCTACAGTAAACAATAGAAAGGTGTGTTAATTTTGAAAATTTGTTAGAATATAAGTGGCTTGTATTCTCTCTCTCTCTCTCTCTCTCTTGGGCTTAGCCTGTACTTATCTTTATGGAGGCATTATAAGAAAAAAAATTAATTTGAAACTAACAGCACTAGTCAAAACCTTACTAATTCATCAGGAATTACAATCATGAGCACATTTATCTTTATTTAATAATAATGATAACTGTAAAGATTAAGGTTACAGATGTGAGACTAGAAATTAGAGCATACAGTGAGACAAGTATAAAATATGTTTTTAATGTAACTGCAGAAATTCCACATATGAAATTTTATGTGAATGTAAAAACTAAGAAGCTAACTAGAAAATTTATATTTATGTGTAGTATGTAAGATTTTTACATCCATTTTTAACATTTACTTCCACAAATTATTCTGGGCAAGGATTACGACATTAATAACTTAATAAATTTACTTGATATTATTCATAATTCACGAATTAAAAGTAAAATACAGATCAATATAATATCCAACAAAATAATAGTTAGGTACAAACTTGCTTACCTCAATTTTTATGTCCAGAAGTACCTATTTGGTGATAACAAACCCCGATCTACATAATCAATGTGCGTGATCTTGACAGATTTCCACTGGAACGTGACGTGACGAAGAAGTCCCGAAATTGAATGCAATAATTTTTAAGAATGAATAAACATTGAACTGTTTTTACACAACATTAATTATAAACATAACGAGGAACAATATATCAATATCCCATAAAACAAGAACTAAGCAAATACACTGTCTACTAGTCAACATTGGTCGACTAGTTATGGTTCATTTCAGAACTCAAGCAATGATAAACAAGTTGATTTATCGACTTTCATGATTAAAATAAGTTAGTTTAAATATGTATTTTAAAGTATTAAAAAGCCACGAATTTATTGTTCTTTCATCACAAGATAAGACGAGATTTAAGAAGATAATATTAAAGAAATCTAATTTAATCGCAACTTATATACTACATTCTTCGAAAAGACCAATCAATCAAAGAGAACATACAAATAACAGAGTAATATATAATGAGTAAAATGGGCTCCGTAAACGCTCTAGTAAAATCAAAGACACGATAAAAAAAAAAGACGGAATACCTTAATCTAAGAACAAATTAGAATAGAAGGAATAAATAAAATAAAAATAGGTAATTATATGACTGCTTCTTTTCTTCTTATGATATTATAATGAGCAAACAGAGAACATTAACAACAACAAGACGCTTACGACAGCTAGAATATGGTTGTTGGAATGACATTTTTGTAGGAGGAAGGTTTCTGTTAATGGAATTGGAAAAGAGCGTGTACGTCAGTGAGAATCTAAATTGATATTATTTATTTTCTGATATCTTTTCATCTTTTTGGTGTTTTGTGTTTGTACTGTATTAGTGGCAGCGAGCCACCTGATATACCGTTTGATACATTCCCTGATTTATTTAAATACTCACTTGTCTTAACAGTGCCCTCTGATTTTTGAAACTTCTGTTAGGAAAAGAACATTAGAGATACCTTCAGAAAATTCATCCTCCACCAAAGTTTTAAAACAAGTTGTGTATCGTTTAAAATACTCTCATGCTGATAATTCTCATTATCTCGTCTACGTATCACGGATTGAATTCGATCCATAATCAGATACTTCCCTCCACTCTCTACATTACTCAACATCCAAGAAGGGTTCAGGAATAGAGCGTTTTTTCGAGAACACAACTACGGCACTTTTGGCTGCGGATAGTTTTAAATCATGAAATTCCAGTTATGTATTTAAAGATTCAAGGGAAATTTGCATGGAGGATACAGCGGCTATAATGTCATTATCAAAGATATATAGTGCTAAGTCCTCTCTAAGGAATTAACCATGATAGTTTCCAGGGGAACCGCGAGGAGGTCGACCTGGTTGGATATATTGCTAGCAATGGGATTCTCAGTCTCCATTACTAATAACCCCTTTCCCCCCAAAAACTATCATGGTTAATTCTTGATGAATTCATCATGATGGGCTAACTAGCCTGTTTTCATTTTCATCGATCACCCTTCACTTTTGCCGCGCCAGCGTATCCCGTTAGCGCAGGGGCCGGGGGGCGGGGGGGGGGGGGGTTAACATTCCATTTTCACCCATTAAAAAAAACGAAAGGATTACAATTCTTGGATCCATAGCATGTGGTTTACAAAGATTTTGTGTCAACTTTAAACGTTGCGATTAATTTTCCCAACATAGTAGACGAACACAACATTCAAAAAGTTGATGACGAACTTCAACAAATAAAATTTGATAAAAGTATAAAAGATTTGTTAGAATAAGTGAAAGTAGTATCACCAATACGATTTTGAGTGTAGATAAATTTTGGGAAGCGATTGGAAAAAAATCCAGGCCGCGAATAGTAATACAAAGTTTTATCAAAGTAAATATTATATATTTTGCGAAAGCTTTATTATGTTTGCCCATGTCAAACGTTTCGTACGAAAGAATATTCTCTCAGGTGAATCTAAACAAAACAAAAACAAAGAATAGGTTCCTAAACCAACATGTTTTAGCTATAATTACCACAAAAGAGGGTATAAAGGAACACGAAGACTTTGTTTCCTTTAAACTAATCAAAAACATAATAAAAAAGATGTCTCCAAATTGTATGTACTTGAAAAATAGAGACGAAAATTATTTGCCTCCAGGCAAATATTGATATGTAAAGTAAATTATTTTGTTGATTAAAGAAATTTTATTAAATTTCTTGTGTATTTTTTTTCCATTTCCTTGTTGCCTACAAGAAAATGGATATTTGGATTTTATTGGGCATTTTTCACAGCAATTCTGGCAAATTTTGGTAGATTCGCTATTAATGAGATGGCCACACTGCTTCTGCCGCAGACTATAGTTAAGTAGTCTGTAGAAAAAAGCGCGGGAAACGTTTAAAAAAGCGGGAGTGTTTTTTGATCTTCTTTAAATTAATTTTATTTTTATTTATATAAGGATTAGTCTTTTTTATATATTGTGTATTAGATTGTATATTTAATTGTATATTTTGTAGTAATAGTGTTTGTTGCTGTAAATATTGGTAAGTAAATTACCTATATTAACATTATGGATCCACCTATAGACCCTGGGGGGACAACTCCCCAGGTGTCTGCAAATATAACTATTCCATTCAATAATAGTTTTGATATATTGGGTGAATCTAGTATGGACACAGATGGTTCTAGCGTTGCAAGTTCTAAACGTAAGCGAGTACGTGGTGAACGTCGCATTTGCAAACATTGCAATAAAAAACGAAGGAGGCACACCAAGGGTCTTGAATCTAAAATTAAAGATAGTGATTGTCAATGTATTGAAGATGAGAATCAAACTCAAGTATCAATCCCAGTTGTAAACAATACCGAGTCTGTTAAACCTGCTTCTCCACCCAGTACTTTAAGCAGAACTTTGTACAATGCCGAGGATATAGCACCTTATGTCGTTCATGTACAAAAAAATGAAACACATCCTAATGATAACACTACATTACATCCTATTGCATTTGGTCGCTTTTTACACACTAATAAGATAAATAATATAGTGAATGGTAGCCTCAAAAGAATAGGAAGAAACCGTTTATCGCTTTCTTTCTCAAATTTTGAAAATGCAAATGCATTTTTAAATAATAGTAACTTAGAAACACATAATTTTAAGGCATTTATACCTTCTTTCCATGTAACCCGTATGGGAATTGTGAGGGGTATTCCTAAAGATTGGACAGAAGAGGAAGTAATCCAAAATATATCAGTACCGATAGGTTGTGGGAAAATTCTAAAAACCAGAAGAATAAAGAAAAAGACAATTAATGAAGGACAACCAAGTTTTATTAATACTGAAACCATTGTTATTACTTTTGATGGACAAATATTGCCAAAAAGAGTATTTATGTTTTACACATCATTAACTGTAGATTTGTACATTTACCCTACTATCCAATGCTATAACTGCTGTAGGTTCGGACATGTCAAGATGCAGTGTCGTTCAAATCCTCGGTGTTATAAATGCAGGCAAAATCATACAGGTGATAAATGTGAAGTAGATGAGGAAAATGTTTCTTGTATCTTGTGTAATGGTTCTCATTCAGCAATTAGTAAAAAATGTCCTGAATATGCACGTCAGAAAGCCATTAAAGAAACAATGGCCCATAGTTGTGTTTCTTATGCTGAAGCATCAAAATTTCATCCTCCAACTTCTAAACTATATTCAGATGTATTAACATCATCATCTCCTTCAAATAAATCTCATTTTCAATCTTCTTTCCTTAAAGAGAAATCATCATTACCACATATACAATCATCATATAAAAAAACAGTTACACTTAAACCACGCTCTCCTCAAAAAATACAACAAGGATATGATCGTTCTGCCCATGAAGCCATAGTTAAGGAATATAATATTCCTGCTCCCTCTAATGGTTGTGCATTATCATCAAATAATATTGACAATAATCAATCCATCATTGATATTATTCTCATGCTTATTAAAGTGTTATCGCAATCAAAAATGATACAAACAACTTTACCACCGTCCAACGATGCCATGTACAATGTATTGTCTCAATTGTTAACTTCTCGCAATGGATTACAAAGTCCAAATAATTCAGTGGAACTGTCGTAGCATAACAAATAAGAAATCAGACTTATTTTATTTGATTAATAAATATAATCCTTTTATAATAGCTCTACAAGAGACTTGGTTAAAGCCAGGATATCCTTTTAGGATTTCAGGCTTTACAAGTCTCCGTGATGATAGAGCTGACGGATATGGCGGTGTTGCCATATTGGTCAAAAACTCCCTTCTTTTTTCTTCTTTTTCGCTTCCTGTATATAGCGGCATTAATGCAGCTGCTATAATTATAAATGGTATCTGTTTTGTTACTTTATATATTCCTGATCCTACATGCCAAATATATTCACAACTAGAACAATTATTTTCAATTTTACCTAAACCTTTTCTCGTAATGGGCGATTTTAATGCTCAGCACCAATCGTGGGGCAGTTCTACTTCTAATTTTTATGGTGGAAAACTCCTGACGATAATTGACACTTACAACTTATGTATTGTTAACTCAGATGTACCGACACGTAGAACTGCACCGAATGAAGGGTTTAGTGCTCCTGATATTTCAATATGTTCTTCTGATTTAGCTTCTTCACTGTCGTGGTATCCTCATTCCTCTACCTTCGGAAGCGATCACTTTCCCCTCATTCTTTCTTTTCCAATTTCCATTCCCTCAAGTCGAAAGAGTAGTCCTCGACTTAAATATAATTTATCAAATGTAGACTGGAATATTTACAAACAATATTTAGATAATAAAATATCGGAGTTACCTATTGTTTATCATGGAAATGAACATCAATGTTGTAATGACTTGATAATTAATATGAAGGAGGTTGCTGATTTATTATTTCCTGTTAAAAATAGTGCTTCAGGGAAAATTCCCTCCCCACCTTGGTGGGACAAAGATTGTACGGAAGCAATTAAAAATCGTAAAGAGGCTGAAAAAAATTATAATAATTACATGACATCAGAAAATTTTGAAATTTACACCGCAGTTTCACGTTCTACTCGAAAACTACTAAAAAAAAAGAAATTGGAAGGTTGGAGAAGATTTTGTTCTTCTATCTGTCCAGAAGTTAATTCATCAGTCGTTTGGAATAATATTAAAAGATTCAGATCTGCCTTTAGTGATCATACATCACGTTCTGCACTCGATTTAACTTTAGCGAATAAATTTTTAGATCGCCTTGCTCCTAGTTATGTGCCGGAATGCCTTTACAATATTTCTCTATCCGTCTCTGACGAATTATCCGAACTTGAGTCTCCTTTTACTCTTGTAGAACTTAAAGGTGTTCTAGCTTGTATTAAAGACTCTGCACCGGGAGAAGACGGTATACCGTATTCCTTTTTAAAAATGCTAGCGATGCGACATTAATTTACTTTTTAAATATAATTAATTCCATAATTATTTCGGGAAATATACCTACTTCATGGAAGTCTCAGATTATTATACCATTTCTAAAGCCTCATAAACCACCTTCTGAACCATCTTCATACCGTCCTGTTGCACTTTCCTCTGTCTTACTAAAGCTAGCTGAACATTTAGTGAAGAACCGTCTAGAATGGTTTTTAGAAAGTAATAACTTACTATCCCCGAACCAGTTTGGTTTTAGGAAAGGTAAGAGCACCTTAGATAATGTGAGCATTCTTATTTCAGATATTCATATAGCTTTCTCACAAAATTTGTCAATCCTCTCAGCCTTTTTAGATATAAATTCTGCCTATGATAATGTAATAATTTCTATTTTAAAAACTAAATTACAAGCTTTAAATGTACCGGTAATGCTTTCTAATTTCATTATTAATATTTTATCAGAAAGAACAATACATATGGATCTAGATGAAGATACCAAATTATCTAGAACAGTATGGAAAGGCCTTCCACAAGGATCTGTTCTCAGTCCAATTTTATTCAACATATACACATACGATCTAGAATCATTCCTTGATAAATCCGTCAAAATTTTACAATATGCTGATGATCTCTTATTATATTTTATTGCGAAGTCCATAGAATCTGCTTCTGCCAAATTATCTGATTCATTAGATTTGTTAAAAACGTGGTTAGATGCAAATGGTCTTAATCTTTCTGTAACCAAGAGTAGTGTAGTTTTGTTTTCAAGAATGAGATCACCGCAACAAATTAAGGTTCTTTATGATAACTCATACATTCCTATAAAGACTGAAATTAAATTTTTAGGTATCGTGCTAGATAATAAATTAACAGGTCTGTCCCACTGTAATTATATTTCCACGAAATGTGAGCGTAACCTCAACATTCTTAGGTGCCTTGCTGGAGTTTGGTGGGGAGCACATCCCGTTTCACTAAAACTTGCTTATAATGGTCTTATAAGGAGTGTCATTGATTATGGAACTTTTTTGTTAGCTCCAGGAAGTTCATTTGCTTTTAAGAAATTGGATTTAATTCAATCAAAGGCCTTGAGGATTATCTCTGGAGCAATGAAATCAAGTCCAATCAATGCTTTACAGCTCGAAGTCGGTGATCCACCTTTGGTTTTAAGAAGGCAATATTTATCTGATCGCTTCTTTTTTCGTTGTTTACAATTATCTGATCATCCGCTTATTCAAAAGTTATCTCAACTATATATCTTTATTTCGTCTTCATCTTATTGGAAACATAAAAAACCTCCATGTTTAATACAAAGTTATGAAAAATATAAATCCATAGAATCTCCCACTTTTACATCGTCCTGTTTTCCCATTTATAAATGCTCATATCAATCTTTAGTTTTATCTCCTAATATTAAATATGATTTTGGGTTATCAAAAAATGATTCAGAATTGAATGCCAAATTTATGTTTATAACTGACATTGAATGGAATGAATGGCACTACATCTTTACAGATGCATCAAAACCAGACAATAGCGGTTGTGTAGGTGTGGGTGTGTTTCATTCACAATTTAATATTGTTCAAAAAATTAAACTTCCATCGGAATCTTCAGTTTTTACCGGGGAATGTTATGGTATTTTAAAAGCTGTAGAATATATACTTTTAATGAAATTACATAAGGCAATAGTTTTCACTGACTCTATGAGCTCTTTGCAAGCTCTAGCCAAATATCCGTTTAAATCAAAACCAGTTTATCCCATTATTTGTGACATAAGACAAAGTCTTTATCTTTGCATGTTGAGAGGGTATTCCGTTTCTTTTGCCTGGTTACCAGGACACAGTGGTATTAGCGGCAATGACAAAGCTGACCTTATGGCAAGAGAGGCTGTAACTTGTGGTGATATGTATCCGTATCATAATTACTGTAGTGACCTAGCTTGTCTCCCAAAAATATATTTAAGGTATGCCTGGAAGGAATATTGGGAAAAAACAAGTACAATAAAAGGAAGATTTTATCGCCTTATACAACCCGATATTCCTTTCAAACCATGGTTTTGTAAATTAAAGCTTGGAAAGACCGCAACAACTATTATAACTCGTATGCGTCTAGGTCACGTATGCACACCTTCTCATTTATACAAGCTTGGTATTGTACAAAGTTCGTCGTGTAATTGCGGTGCTGAAGTGGCGGACTTGAATCATATATTCTTCTCATGTTCTAAATTTGACCACACCTCCATTTTTAATCATCTCCGATCCATCCGTGTTCCATTCCCAACTTCTATTCTTACTCTACTTTCTTCCAATGATCCTATTATCTATAAAATACTATCTTCATATATATATAATAACAATATTAAGATTTAGTTATATTACATGAATACATTTATAGTTGCATCAATTGCTTTTCCTATATATTTATAAGTATATTCTCATATGTACAAGTATATCCTTCATATCCTATAAATATCCTAGACCTAATCCTTATCCTTTCTAAATTCGTTTGTGTTAGGTATTTTTATTACTATTATCGTTTCCCCGTTTTGTTCTTGGCAAAATACCCTAATATCGGGGTGAACGCCACAAAAGAAGAAAAAAAAAAAAAAGAAAAAAAGTAGTCTGTAAGACTATCTTTGTTGTTACCTAATCATTGAAATAATGGGTTTACTAAAAAAAGTATATATAATTTATTTATTATAGTTTGCTTGCATTAAGTTACGAATCTTATTCATTCTAAGTTTATAAGAATTGAATGTTTGATTTTGTTACTTTTAGACGTGAACCAATTTTTATAATTTTATTACTAGTGATTATGGTTTAGTAATATTAAAAAACTTTAAGCTTTCATTTATTTTCAGACAACCGGACTTACGGGTCTTGCGGTGGCTGCAAATCCACATCATACTTTAGGTGCACTTTATGGTAAAATTCTTAGAACCTTGCAAAAAATGCCGGAAACATCTGTATACCGAAAATATACTGAGCAAATTGTAAGGGAAAGGGCTGCTGTACTTACACAGGTAACAATTAATAAAATGTATTGTTTGTTATTAAATTAATAATACCTGCCAATTGAAGCTATTAGCTCTAGAACTGAAACTAATAAGAAACATTAAGTTTTAATCATCAGAGACAAGTGTTAATTGTTTGTTAACATTTTTGGCAGTCTTACTCTGCCATAGTTTTTCTCCCTATAATATATCCATTACAATAATTTAATAATTAATATTTAATAGTTGGGTTTCACAAATTCATAAACACATTTTTCTCTTCTCTCTCTATTGACCTCTCCTCACATACACCTCACCTTCACTACAGAATGGTACTTAAAAAGAGATCTGTATTCTGAAATGTAATATTTGATTTTATAATTGTTACAATTTAATATTTCACAGACAAAGGATGTGTATGAGATTGAACAAAAGATCAACTGTGGCCAAGCTGAAGAGTTGATAATTCAAGCTGAAAATGAACTCAATTTGGCTAGAAAAATGCTGAACTGGAAGCCATGGGAGCCTCTTGTTGCCAAGCCACCTAAGGGTCAATGGGATTGGCCTCCAGCAAAATCTTAAATAAACTTGCACATATATTATGGAATTGTTAATTTGTCAGTTGTTTAGAAATAAATTTTATCTTATATTTACCGTACAATTATTTGATTATTATTTTATCTTCCATTAATTTTTTATTTTAATAAATATTTATTTATAACACATATATAAATATTTTTGATGAGCCTTACAGATTTACTAAAAACCATAGAACATTATAATACATTAATGGAAAAACATTGTGGTCTTTTCTGACAATGTTGATGGAATTTAACATTAGTAAATTGCTGTGATTTTAATTCCAGGATAAAATAAACATTTGTATTTAATAATAAGTCTGAGATTTTACGGATATTAGTGAATGTCTGCATTATTAAACCTTGTTGTTTATGGGATAGGCAGAAAGAATTGTCAACTAGGTTTCTACATCTACACAATATTAAAATTAGTTACTTTGTAATGGATAATCTTCTATTAGGATGAATTATGGCATTTATGTCAATGTCAGGTGTGATTTGCCTGCATTTCTGAATATCTAGTAGGTACTTATCTAGTAAACAAGTGTATATTATAATGAAGACGTTAGGATTACTTTTTGTAATTCTGTATAAACAATCATCAGACAAAATTAAAATATAAGTATTTTTTTATTTTAATGAGTGCTAAAGGTTTCTTTAATGTAGTTTATATATCAGTGCATTTTTATTTATACAACTAGTTTTGGAAGAAACAAAGTGGAAAGTGGTAAATGCTATATAGATTTGTCCTGCATGATCATGTTTATAGATGATGATTACCACAGAATATGCTGGTACATGGTATTGATCTATGATATATACATTGTCATTTCTGAGGACTAGTGTCTGTGTGACTAAAGTCTCACACTTTTTTTGTTCAATCCCACCTTTTCGAATTGAACACGACTATAACAACAAGCTGTATGCCGCCAGAAATAAGAGTGAAAGTAATAAAAAAAATAAGATCAACAAATGATTAGTATAACATGTAATATTTATTTATAAATTATTCTCGATGTGATTTTTATGACATTGCTCCAGAGGCCTTAAATAAAATATAAATTATAGCCTTAAGTCCATCCCTTATATTAAATAATTAATGAAAAAATATAATTAATTTAGTAGAGTATTTAAAATTGTAAATGCACATTCATTCTCCTACAAATGGACCTTAAAAATACTAAGTACATACATCGTTTACTTTGTATTATTACATTTATTGAAAGTTAGGTAATGTAATAGTTTATCTTATGTGTTGTTAAGGTTTATTTTAGTAGTATAACTCTTTGGTTCATTACTTCAAGATACAATCTGACTGAAAATGTGCAAATAGGTATTTATTTAGTCACACTAATAAAAGCGAATTGGAAATATTGGAATGTGTACATTTAAGTGCATGCAGAGTCCATTATTTTAATATGAGTAAACTTTATGTATTTATAATAATAAATAGTAATGATTTTGTTATTTTCAAATATATTCATATTATAATGAGTATGGCTAATATTTGATTTGTTTATATGAAATAATTCATATAATTAAAAATTAACACGAATATACAGGATATATTAGCTTGAAACACAAAGATAGTATGTATAAAACAATTTTTCCAAATGAACATGAGTTGAAATGTGAAAATAATCTAAACCTGTGGTTTGCTTTGAGTATATATAGATAGATAAATACTCTTTGTCATTTTCTCCAAAAGATTACACTAGTAAATTTATTATAAATACAAACTTTGAGCATATAGTGATTGACTTGTATGCAAGATTCAAAATTTAGAATGTATACAAAGACCATAATACAGCAGCAGGTTACACATATTGTGTTGTTCTAGTTTAGGAATGACACAATTGGTGTGATTGTGTGTCACTTATTATTACTATTTATACAATTGGTTTATTTTTCTTGCCAAAAGTTGTTAAGTTTTTTTTAATATGATCATAGGGCTTCAAGTTACTATATTGCCTGGTTAACACTGTATAAGTTCCTATGTATTTTTATAGTGGACTCTGTATATAATATAGATAGCTATAATAATAATATTTGGCACAGCACATTAATGTTGAAATGTAGATTTCACAATAAAAATGTTCATATAAAATTTCAAGTACCAATATACTAGTGTACCATACCATAACTCATTAACAAGATAATGATTTACATACAACCAATAATAAATTTTTAATTTTTATACTTAACAATAGTAAATAGGTGAAAATCATATTTCAACTAAATGATAATTAGTTTTGCTATATTATAAAAAAGTGGAAACAATTGTGTCTATGTCAGCATAGTACATTATAGTGAATTATTAAATGATAATGGTAACTCACTTGTAAAACATACCATCTCCTAGCAAACTGTTTTGTACTATTCATAGTACATTTACCAGACAGTGATTAACTGTATCAGCATATTTGATATTCACCAAATTTCTTAACTACACAATATTTATGTATAAAGTACATAATCCTTACATTTATAAAATAAATAACTGTATAAAATCACTTGTTTATATAATACTTAAGTTTAGTGTGGGCTCCACCAGGAATAGCCAACTAACAATGCTATAGCATTTGTAAAATGTCTATATCAAGAGTCAATATATACATAATTTTAAAACATATTTTTTATCTTTATAGATTTACTTATTGCTTTAACTGAATTCATAAAAATAAGTCAGTTTGCTCTTCATAGTGGATTTCCTGTTGTCTCCATCAACCAATTATCCTGAAGAATGATAATTTATTCCTTATCTTGATGTGGCAGATTATGTTGATGTAACACCTTTTCTTGCTACCAACAAATTTAAAACAGGGTGTTTTTTTATGTAACTAACTGCCTTTTTATGTGTTACCATAGTGAAGTCATAACCATTGCATTGTAAGATTTTATCATGCATTCTTAAACCTGATTTAGCAGCTGGACTTCCTTCATGAACTTCTGTCACATAAATGCCCTAGAAAAAAAGTAAATATAAAATAAAATTTTAAACTAACAAGTTTGTTTCAATATAAAGATTTCAAATGAAAGTTTATTATTGTCACTGTATCTACACCAGTGTTTTATTGATATAGAAAACATTTCTCATTACATTGAACCGATGTGTAGATATGTGGCGAATGACGCATGAAATTAACGTTATTTATCACTTACGTTATCAGTGTATCCCTGGGGACTTTTACGAAAATCTTGGTCAATTCCACCACCGATTTTGAAGCCACATTTCATAACTTCCCGCCCTTCAGCGTCTACCCCAGCCTCTTTTTGTAAAGTTATTGGTATCTGTGAAGATAATTATATATGATAAAAAGTACGAAATGAGAGCTTTCGAGGAGAATACATTGGGGAGTGGTCTACAGAACTTACACTGAGACACTCCATAGCCGTTCCGGCCTGGTGTTGAAATGCCATTTTCGCCATGATGAAAGATTATTTTTTAAAATCTTTTGGACGTTTCACTATAAAATTTGGGTAAAATAGTCAATAATATTTAAATATAAAACACACGTAAAATTAATGACAACAAGCGAAAATTTCACCTATTAAATCTATGGTACAATATGAATCATAGATTTTTATATAGAATTTAGTAAACTTTATAGCTTTGGGTTCTAGTAAAAACACATTAGGTATTACAGCGCTGGATTATAATCAATTTTTTTTTTATTTGATTTTAAACAATATTTATAGACATACTTGCGGTAAAACTATAATAAAATGCGAGAAAAATATAAATATGAATATTAATAAACTAAATTTTTAAATGTCATTAATAATAAAACGAATTCAAAGGACTGTGACCGATAAGATAAGCAATAAAACGTGACTTAGATTGTATATATAGAGTGTCTCCATAAAATGCTTCGAAAAAAAAAGGGTCACCATTTTTATACTATACAATTTTGCGTGATAAATAGTTATGAGTGACTCCTTTATAACTTCTATATTTATTTTGTTTTATAAGTTCTGCAATTTTCATTATTCATTCGCAAAAACTTATTTTATTTATTAAATAATTAAATATAGACAAGTGAAGATACATTATATGCGTCTATACGTATGTAGAGCCTAATTAATAAAGATATGAGTCAGCTAATTTGACAATTAGCTGACAAAAAGTTGATCTGTATTTGAGGCTGAACACCCTATCCATATAATCTAAGATCTTGATTATAAAATAAGATAAAATAATTCGGAATAAGAGCCTCTTATAGAAAAATGGTCGTAAAAATAGCAACTGATTGCCATTGAGCAAAAGAAGAAAAAGAACACAATTGTATTACTAGTATAACACTTGATGATTTGATAGTTTTACAATAAACTGAATCTAAATTATAGCTGAAGACCAAAGATTTGTTCTTAGGTAAAAAGAAGGCGAAATGAACTTTGGTTATAACCTGTCCGAAAGGATAAATTGAAATGACTTAACAACACCTTGTTAGTGTAAAGAAAATTCCAAATCAGACTAGGCTGTATGGGTTTTATCTTCTTTGCTTATTTTTTTTGAGGAAAAAGAAGTATTGTCAAATATCAATTCGACATTGACGTTTTAGATATATTGTGTGATTTTGATTGACAGAAAGGAAAAATTAAAATTATGTTTTCTCTTAATTAGTTATTTATTTATTGTAACAAAATAAAATAATTTTTAAATGTAAGTACCTAACTTAATAATTGTTATTTTTAATGACTAAATTCAAACTATGAAGGAGAGTTCTGTGTAGGCATTATAGGCAATGAATAATATTCTTTCGTTGTGAAATGATGTGGGCGATAGCTGACTTTTAATTTTTACTATAAAATAACATTTATTAACTGAGATAATTATGCTGTTTTTTCACAATCATCATTGTTTTGTTGAATTGTATATATGTTTTGGTGGCCAAAACACATTTTAAAGCGTATACACTATAAAGTTCAATTAGTAATAAAAACTACGCATAGAATTTATTTAATAATACATGATTTTTAAGTATTCGTCTGTATTTTGACAGATGTCCAATGGTGAATACCGTCATTTATGGCGGATCGTGTTTAGGAATTTTATTAATTCTTTTAAACCAAGACCAATAAAGGGAAATAATGTTGGTAAGTTATAAAAATCATTGTTTCAATGCTTACTAATCACAAAACTGTATGTAGAGCATTATTGTCATGTAATTTATTAATTTGTGTAGGTAAAGATTACATAGGAAATATATATTATGAAATACCAGCCAACCCCAGTCTTGGTAAACGAAAACCTTCTAGGTGGTATGATCCACCTAAGGGCCAGGATTTTCAGGATCCTATTCCAGCTGAATGGGAGGCATGGCTGAGAATGAGGAGGTTGGTATAATTAATATTTTTTGTTTTCATTTACATTTTTTTATAATTATGACAATATTTGTATTTATGTTAAAAAAATTTAAAATTGTTTTTTAATTGTAAATATAATATTGTTTATTTTAAAATAAAATTTTATATGATTTACAATATGAAATGCTTTATTCAAGATGTGTGACATGTCATAATTGTAAAGTGATATAACTTTTATTAATATTTTTTATTTCTCATAGGACTGATCCTCCCTCAAAAGAAGAAATAGAAAAGAATTTAGCTATAGCTCAATTGAAGAAGATAAATGCGGCTAAAATTGAAACAAAGAGGCTTGCTGAAGGAGGTTCTTTGCCAACAACACCTATAAAAGGCCCTGAATCATTTCCAACATATTCAGAGTACCACACGGGAGACCCAGAAAACCACCCTAGACATAAATAGATTATGTGATTTGTGTTATGATGTAAATAATAGTTGTTATGAGTAGATTTTATTTTATTATATTGGAAACTACTACTTTTATTTTTTATCTGTTTTGGTGATTTATTTCCTCTAAGTAAATTAATTTAGTTAATTAATAGTCTATGACATAAACAAATTGCTGTGTAAAAATTCCCTAGGCTTTTGATAGTGTTATATAATATGGGATGTCATAGTAAAAGTATACAAGTAATTGAGAGAAAATCATAAAAAAAATTAAAAATAATAAATACATAGCAGTAGGATATGTCATAGTGCTGTCTACTCAGTATCTAACTAAGTACAGCTTGTATTAAAATATTTCTATCTTTCATCTCCAGTCGGCATTCATGACAAGGGCAAAAAAATCCTAAATATTTGATAGAGTGTCCTTATCTTAGGTCAATACTTGGAGGGAGTGTATAAATGCTTCAATAGAAATGCCTTTATCTTTTTAAAATTGCATTCTTTTTCAATCATACTATTTTTGTAATTAGTAAGGGTTTTACCACAAAAACGATTATTTATATTTATTATAAGCTAACCTGGTAAAACTTTTGATCTCTAATGGGAGCTTTTCCACACAGTGGGATCATTTTGTTATAGCAAATAATATACATTACAAAATTTCATTAAAATCGGTTATGTGGTTTCAGACTTTTTTATGCAATTTAGAATGATGAATAATCGTCGCCTGTAGAGACGAACCATGGACAACAGATTATGCGTGTCGCTTATAATGTCCCTCATCCGTTGCCATTCCTGAGGCCTAAGATGTCAAGCCTGTGAACCCTATAATTTCACTCCCATACCTCTCCTTTAACTCGAAATACAGCTATGCAAATACAACTACTTCTGTATTCAGCATGCACAGTTGGTTCACTACAGAAACCGTGCGTTTTTTCTGGTATCAATTTCCAGCAGCAGTATTTCCGAACCAATATGACAACATAACCTTAAAAAAAGAGAATATTCCTTTTTAAAAGGCCGGCAGCACACCTGCAATGCCATTGGTCTTGTGGGTGATCATTAGGCGGCAATGGTCACTTACCATCAGGTGAGCCGCATGCTCGCTTGCCCCTGTGTTGTAAAAAAAAAGAAACAGGCCAGTTCCACTCATCGCTACAAACTTTCTCCAAGAGAGAGAGAAAGGTAGAGATAGATAAAGATAACCACGCATATAATTTTTGTACAAAGTATTCTTTTTTTTATTCTGAATCTGGTTAGCGACCAAATTAGGAAGTAGTCGAAATAGGTGTCCCGTCCTCGCTATTTTAAAAAAGGGGGGGAGGTAAACCCTGAAGGGGGGAGGGATTGTTAGTAATGCGGACTACCAGCCTAATTGCTAGTAATAGACCCTTGCAGGTTGACCTCTACTTGGTTTCCCCTGGAAATCATTGTGTTGAATTCCAGGTATATTCATCACGATGGGCTAACTGACCTGCCTTTTCAACCTCACCTATTATCCCTCACTGGTGTCCCGCAAGCGTAGTCCGTTAGCGCAGGAGGAGTTATGTGAAGATATTGTTTAGAGTAGCAGTGTCCATTGATGATTTGCGTCATGGAGAATATAGTTGGAAAAACGTTCTTATATGCCGCAATGTCTTTTAAATGTAAGAAGCTATAAGCTAATTAAAGAATTGGATCTTCCTTCGGTATATTCCTCACCCCATCCACGAATGGTTTTATTCTATATCTCCAAGCGAGCATAGGACAATTGGAACGTATTCGAATGGTTACGAGGATTGTAACCCAACTGCCTGTGTTTTTAAGGCCATCATGAAGTCGACAAATAACTGCTGCGGGCGTTATGTCTCCTGTTTCCAATTCACTGCCATCAGTGTATAATAGTGTAATCAGTATTGGCAGTGAGTCGTGACTTATTCGTGATTACCTCTTGTACAATGAATAATATATATGATGTCCGAAAAGAAAACAAATATAAATCAAATACGATTAGATAATTTAATTAGTTAAATGTTTAGATTTGCTACTAACTACATTTAAAAGAACATAAATAAAAAAGTAATAATCAATTTTTTCTATATATATACTCATTTATATACCCAGGTAAGTATGGAACTCTCAAGGCGCCAGATCGGCTCATATTGTGTACAAGCTTAGTTATGATCTTTATTACTTTTTTAATATTTTTAAACGTGTACATATTAATACAAGAATTAGTATAAGTTGACACTTCTCAAATCTTTTCTCATTAAGTTATTAAATATAGTTTAGTATGTGCATACACTATGTTTGTAATGCTATAATGATGTCTATGATAAACTTAAAGATTAAGCGATCGCTAGGCCATGGAATGTATGTGATAACGTAATACCAACTTATTTTACCCAATTTAGTTGATCTCAGCCTGTTTTTATCTACTGCTGAATATGTTGTATGCTTTCCTCATATGGGTATAACGTGTTTTAACCTGCTTTCCGTGAACTCCCAAGTGTATTCATTCCGATGGGCTAATTGACCTGCCATTTTCATTCTCATCTATCAACCCTAACTGGTGCCTCGCCAGTGTATACCGATAGCGCTGGCGGGGTTACCATTTCATTATTATCCGTTAAAAGAAAAAAAAGCTGCTTCCCGCAATAATTTCGTATTCTCTTCTTTTAATTTATTCATCGTTAATACGGAGTAACTTACTGTTACAATCCATCATCATCATATCAGCCATTATCTGTCCACTATTGGACACAGGTCTCTCCTATAGACTACCATCCACTGACTCCTTACAATGTATTTGAGATCGTCACTCCATCTAGTGGAGGGTCGTTCTATACTGCGTTTTCCCAAACGGGTTGCCACTTAATAACCTTTCTTCCCTATCGGTTGTCGATTCTTCGAGCTATATGACCAGCCCATTGCTACTTCAGCTTGCTTATCCTTCAGGCTATGTTAGTTATTTCGGTTCTTTTGTGGATATCCTCGTTTCGGATTCCGAGATGCAAAGAAACTCTGAGTATAGCCCTCTCCATAGCTCGCCAAGTAATTTAAAGCCTTTGCATACGGGTAACTATGTAGGACCATGTTTCGGTTTTATAAGTCAACACGCATTAGTTAAAGACCTTCGTCTTCAAGCTTTGAGGCATTCTAGGTAAGAAGATGTGGCGTAGTTTCCGGAACGCTGCTTAGCCTAGTTGGATTCGTAAGTTGACCTCTCGGTCAAAGTTTGACTTACCTATTCAGACAAGAATGTGCTGTGCTGGTATACATTCAATCATTTAATACATAAAAAATATAATTAACGGTACAGATTCGAAGCTGAGAGTAGTTATAATAAATATATGTGTTTTTATATATATTACACCAGACATAGTGGCAGATTATTTTAAATCTTCTGTATGATCTTACTGTATGTATCAGGTCTTGGTGCTAAGTTTAGAACGAGTTATTTTGGAAGTCGTCATTTAAATAAGACGTTTGGTTTTTTTTTAATTGAAAATGGTATGGTAACCCCGCCTGCGCTAACGGGATATGGCGGAGAATCATGAAGGGTTTGTTGAGAATGAAAACAGGCCATCATCATGATGAATTCATCAGCCATTAACCGATAGTTTCCACTGGGAACTGGACGTCGACCTGGTTGGGTATATTGCTAGCAATGGGATTCTCAGTCTCCATTACTAACAATCTCTTTCCCCCCAGACGTTTGGTTAGGACTCTCGAAAACAGTACCTACGTTAGTCGTTAGTTGCGTCTACACGCAATTTAGAAAGGATATTGATCTATAGTTCTTCATTAGGGTAATGACACTCTTCTTGAAGAACAAGACCACTGCACTTCTGCTCGGCGTTTTGGGCGTAACATCTTTGTGGATTACTATATTTATACATTAATATTTAGACGAGAATGTGCTGTGCTGGTATACATTCAATCATTTAAAATATAAAAATTATAATTATCGGTACAGATTCGAAGCTGAGGGTAGTTATAATAAATATATGTGTTTTTATATACATTAAAATAAATTATTTTGAATTTCATTTTACTGTACGGTCTTAGTAAGTATAGAACGAGTAATTTTAGACAGTACATTTAAATAAATACATATGATGTGTGTATTAACACAGATTATTAAAAAGGACAACTGCCGAATAATAGAATCATAACTGTTTCAGTATTATCCGTCCACTCTGGATATAAGTTTTATAGTAATTAAATAAAGAACGGTCTTGCGATATCTACTTACTTAGTTAAACCTATTTAATACAAAGATCTTGAGTGGGGCATCGACTTATACTACGTTTACCCATAAGTGGTCGCCATTCAAGAACCTTTCTTCCCCATCCGTTGTTGGTTCTTCGAGCTATTTATCAGCTCATTGTTACTTCAGCTTGCTTATCCTTCGGGTTATGTCGGTTATTTTGGTTCTTTTGCGGATGTTCCCATGCCTAATGTATATTAATTTAATTTTGCCCATTTTTAAAGCACAATCATTTGGGTCGCTACGTTTTTGATGCCTCTTTCCTTTGTAGATTTCTTAATTTAATAAATCTATGTGTATGTGTGTAATTAATTTATTACAAAAGGACACATAATAATAATTGTATTTTGTATTGTCTACGTGATTCAATGTAGATATAAGTTTTACTTGTAATTAAATAAAGCATTATCATGAGATATTTACTTATTTAGTTAAACCTGTTTAATACAAAGATTTGAGTATTACGATCAACATAATTCAGATATTTGCATATTCATCACACATTGTTTTATTAGTAAAACAAAGTAAGTATGTCAGTTCAGTACTTAGGATAATGAAATCTATGAAAAATCGTATGTTAATTTTCAATAAATATCTATATAATAATTTATACTTTAAATGTATTAATATAATAATGGGATTTATTTATAACAAAAATACAGAATTAGATAGAAAAATAGAAAATTAATCTCGTGTGCCATAAAAAGAAAACCGACTTCAATTGTGACTAAATCAGTTACTTTGATTTAAAAATTTAATTACTAATCCGACTTTGATAAAACTTCTATGGGACCAATCTGTAAGTAGGTACATTCTTTCAGATAAAAAAAGAATATTCCAAACCGGTTTACAACTTATGGAGTTTTGAGGTAACAAACACAAGAAAAATATGAAATCGAATTGAGAATGTTCTTTTTTAAGTCAATTAAAAATAACTCTACGAGTATGTGGTTATTTACGGTATTTATATAGAAAGAGCAATCAACTTCCTGGAAGGCCGTAGACACTAGGTCACGGTACCCTCGTAGCCATGAACTACAAATATGTAGATAATATATATACATAATAATTAAAGAATGCTGTATGTTGATTATTTTTTATGATAAAACATGAATACCATACATATTACAATAATTTTTTTTTATACAACTTAGAATGACAAACAAGCTGACGGTCTACCTGATGGAAAGTGATAACCGTCGCCTATAGACATGCGCAGTACCATGGACATAACAGAGTATACTGTTTCGCCCATGATACCCCTCATGCGGTGCCATTCCTGAATACTCAGGTATTATATATATTCCTCTGTACCCAGTAAATTCACGCCATATCCCACTCTTCAAACCGAAACACAGCCATGCAAACACAACTGCTTCACGCTTTAAACGTGAATGGGACAGAGGTACCCAAGCAATTGACTTTTGTACAAAGTCTCCCTCTGGTATTATGTGACCTTCTATGCAGAATCAGAGCTCTTGCTAGTTTTTTAATGATGATACTTAGAATGGCAAGACTACTAAAACAAATTGAAAATCCATCTGATAGAAAGAAGTTATAGTTGTCCATATACTTGAACAGCACCATGGGCTCCACAACATGTTTTGTGATGTCCGAGGTGCTCTTCAAGTGTTGCCATTCCTGAGGACTATAGTGATAGGCCTCCGTACCATGTAATTTCTCTACCATATCATAGCAATTTTATTCCCATAGTTTCGGCTAAAAGGGCGGTACCTTCAAACCGAAACACAGTCATGTACATACAGCTACTTTACGACAAAAACACTAGTGAGACAGAGGTACCCATAGCCCATGCAGATGACTTCTAAAAGTGAGTTGATATAATTATTTATGTATTTGCGTATAGTCGTACCTCTTTATTTTTATTAATATCTTTTTTTAACTCGTTTGCTTACATTATGAACAAAAACAGGAGTAAACTCGATCACTGCGTGCAAAAATGACCCTTAACATGGTAATCTGAGTTTGTTGTTGATAGTACAGTATATTAAATATGTATTATTAATATAGGATTTTTTTTAAATGGGTTCTGGGTTATTAATTTTTTCAGATTGCTCTAGCCTTTATTTTTTGTTTTGGAGAGACTCACATATAGTGTTTTTTCCTATATTTTTCATTGTGTCAATACAGCATGTGTCAGTGGTAAATATGGGCGAAAAGTTATGACTGTTAAACTTTTTAAATCCATATCATATATAATTATTTGATGTTAAACATAGTATAAAGGAGTTTATAGTGTAATAAAACTTGTGTAGCAGGTAGGTATATAAGGATAGTTGAATGACGTAAGACAATAACTGAACAAATCAGTCGTTTAATCTTCGTTTCATGAAGTATTTTTCCGACGATCGCGGTAGTGTGGCACTCAGTCGCTGAGTTATTTTGGACGCTGCCACATCTCTCGCGGGTTCGAGGGCGCTCTTCAACGACGCGTCGTACACACGAAAATTAATTTGAACTTAACCGTTAATACACAATACCCACAAGGTTAGCCAACATTTTTTTGATCGGTGTTTCATTCATTATTCTGGATAGAACACTGTGTGACGTCATTACTTAAGTTCATTGTCCTCAAGAGCTTTTCGTATTTGCTTTATCGATGTAACAGCTGTTAACAGTGATTTTTTTTATGTTATATTTTATAAATTTGTACTTATCATTGACTTTTCATAATGTCTTTGACTTTTCAATATCCACTTATTCATAACTTATTATTTTAACGGAGATTAAAATGGGCATAAGTATTTGTTTTTAATAAGTGCTTAATATAGACACAACAATAAATCAATTGCAATCATTTGTTTATATTTTCATTCATTGTCATAATTGTTTTTTATTAAATGTTTTCAACAGTCTATTTGCGATAAGTATACCTATATATATATAAGTTGTTTATGATATATTTTATACATTATTGCACTGCAGTTGATAGCTGGTGTGAATGCCAATATATTACTCAAGATATCAGTTTTAATAATTTCTTGATCTGTCATGTGAGTCTATTCTCTATTTCTTATTATTGAAGCTAATTATAAAGAGAAAAGATTTATTTTTTGCATGTTTTTTGGTAATGGATAAACTCAAAAAATAATCGATTTTAAAATTTTTTGGACTAAATTTTATTAACAAAAAGTGCGAGTCTGGGTCGGTTACTACTAAGTATATGTACATACAATTTTGCGTGATAAATAGTTATGAATGATCCCTTTATAACTTTTATATTTAAATAGTCTTATAATTTCTGAATTTTTTAATTCGTAAATACTCATTTTGTTTATTAAATAATACGTCAAGATACATTGTTTGCGTAAGTATATAGAACACTGATAAAACACACGAGTCAGCTTATTTGACAATTGCCGATCCTATTTGAAAAGCCTCATATTATAGTTTCTATATTTTTTACGATCATTAAATTACACTGGTCATTAAAAAACCCTTTTTATAATTAACATAAAGTCTTTTGTTTAGTTATGTTTAGGACAAGGTATTAGATAATAGAAATAAAATTAGAAAGATCTTTCAAATACGAATATCTTCTTTGATTTTATTAAATATTAGAAATTTTTAGTTTTTATCAACAAATAGAAGCTATTCCGTTACATTGCAACATTAATATAAATTTTAAAAATAAAAACATAAAATAAAATGTAGTTTTATGATTTTCGGCTATATTTTACTTCAGGGATGTCTTGTTCTAATGTCCAACAGTAATCCGTTAACATACGTGGATTCCACTTGCCCTGATATCGTTTTTCTATGGTTAAAATATTTTGGTGAAAACTTTCATTGTGTTCATCGCTAACGGAGCCCAAATTTTGAGGAAATAAGTCTAAATATGAAGGAAGAAAATTTATTTTCAACGACATTACAGCCCCAAGCCTTATAAGTAGATAACAGCTCCGCGACATTACTTTTATAGTCACTTAATCGGTGATTTTTTAAAAAAATTAAAGGAGCTTTTATGAAAGATTCCAAAGCTGATTTTTCGAAACCACTAAGCTTTTCTTAAAATATCATCTTTTATCAATTGCTTGATTTAGGGCCAACAAATATGACCTCTTTTATTTTTACCTCACTCAGTTTAGGAAATTTTTCTTTCAAAAAGCCATTTATAAAAAGCCATCACCATTCTTATCCATAGCTTTTACAAAGTTTTTCATCAGCCTAAGTTTTATGTGTAAAGCTGGTAAAAACATATTATGAGGCTGAATTAATAGATGATATTTAGTATATTGGCAGATCAGGATACTTAATTCTATTTTTTGTTTTAATTGTAATACCTTTTGTATCAGTAAGAGAAAAATAACAATCAGAAGAGTGATTTGCTGGCTTTTTCCAAATCATAGGGATCGCAAAAGGCATAGATCTAAATCTTTTCATCCATCCTGTAAGAAAAGCCACACATGTAACACAACAGATATATGGGTTACGCTTTGTCTTGTTGTCCGATAGCAAAGCCAAAATACAGTTCATATAATTTAGTTACTAATGGTGTTAAATTCCTTCATTGAGTTTTACAAATAATCTCGCCACAAATGTAACAAAATTTATTAGGATTGTTTTTACACTTATTTGACATTATTTTAAAATCACTTAACTCAAAACAGAAAAAAAAACACTACGCTCTTTAAATAAATAAATGCTCTGAATCCGAAAGTGAAATAAAAACGGTTAATTTTCAATTTTGTGGGTAGTAGCTGTAACACGAAAACGAGACATGATTTAATAAAAATAAATATGATGATAAATTGAGGGTAGGTGAGGTGGGTCATCACAAAATTAATAAGAATCGTTCTTGATACAAAATTTTGTTGACCAGTGTTATTGATCATAAAATAGTAACATTTTTATTAACAATATCTTAATTTAATATCTGTAATCTTTTATTTAGAATGGCTACTGAGAAAACGTACAGTTCCGAAGAGATTTTCTCCTTAGAGGATAAATACGGATGTCGTAATTACGCGCCCCTGCCCGTCGCATTATGCCGTGGCGAAGGTAAGTTTGTTATTTGTACTTAATTAATAAAATACTAGGTACTTGGCCACTCGTTCTCTTTTGTATTAATAGTATGGCTAACCTGAAATATGTTTAAACATCTTTTTATGTTCTACTGTTGATCGGCAGGTATCTAATATATATATCTCTAATATATAAAATTCTCGTGTCGCGGTGTTTGTTACCAAACTCCTCCGAGACGGCTTAACCAATTTTTATGAAATTTTGTGTGCATATCGGATAGGTCTGAGAATCGGAACATCTATTTTTTATACCTCTCAATGATAAGGGTGACCCACACCAAAATTTTTTTTTACAAATTTTTTTATTTTAGTTTTATTATGATGATGGCATTGAAAAATACTTATAACTTGAAATTTTTACTCTTTCACGTTCAACCCCTGTGTTTTAATCGCGATTTTTATATTCCTCAATAGAGTTGGAAGATGGCAATCGAATATAATAATTGTAGTACGATGAATTTTCATGTATAGTTCTAGATATAATGTATATATTAAAACAACGTTTGCCAGGTCAGCTAGTATAGTTAGAAAATTATAATTTTTAACAATGTTTTAGTTTGGTCCTATGAAAATTAATAACAATAATCCATAAGTAGACGTTTAGATATATTTCTAAGTATCAACACATTTGTCATAATTTTATGCTCGCGATGATTATAGTATTTATTTAACAATTTATTAAGGAGATTATGTAGATAATATACAAGCATGTCTCTGAAATTTTGGCATTACGCTATGGAGCTTTGCTTTGACAATTACTGAACTTTTATTTAGAATATATTATTTATTATTTTATTGTAAAGTTAATTTATTGTAAAGTTAAGCGTCAATATTATTATTTCTTAAAATTTTAAAGGCTTTTACCTTCTTTAGGTATATCAGCGCTATTGTACCTTGAACTGATTTCTTAGAAAAATTTTATATATGTACTTTCTCTACTCACGAAAAGAGATAATTTACAGACATGTTCAACAATTTCTGATTTGGGTTCAGCTTTCATAGATCAATATTTAATGTATTTAGGTGAAAATGGCCCATGGATTCTTTTCGTTAACTTTATACGACACCATCATCGATGGCATCACAAATTTGACAATGGAAAAACTTTTGCATCGTATGTATGTGCAAATTTTTTTGATCAGAAAGAGGGTTGACGTCAGGCAAGCGGCCGGTGGAAGATGATGAATGAGCCAGATCAGCTAAATTTAGTATTATATATGTTCATTTTAGTTCTACAAAACCAAAAAATGTGTTCAGCTAATATTTTTATATAGTTTTAGTATAAAGCTGAATAGTTTTATAACAAAAACCCTTTTCTTTTTAAATTTCGTTAAAATATCTATTCCAAACTTTTTGATATTGAATTATAAATTTAAGTATATATTTACTAAAGTGTGGTAATGCTGGTATTTCCTTTCCTTCTTTATGGCTAGTTTAACTAAACGGTTTGCTTCTTCGTTGTCTCTTAAGCCAACGTGTGCTGGAATCCATTGCAGTGTTAAGTCAAATTTACTTTAGTTTAATTTATGAATGAGGTCTATAATTTTGTAAGCAATATAGGAATTCCTCTTATTATCAACGCTGAACATATGTTAATAATTTATTTATAGCGATTGTCGTAAAACAATAAAATAATCTCATCTTATCATTTTGTTTTTCAAACAACCTAATGTAATTGCTTATGTAAATAAATAATATATTTACGCTAATTATAAAATGATAGTAATTAAGAAGGGATTTAAATGCATGTTGTTTTTTTCATCGTTCTGTTTTTGTGTTTACCAGTTATTTAGGATATCTCCGTAGTCTTATACTTATCCTTGATGCGGTGTCGTTTTAATACTAAGTTGATAAGATTATATATGTGACTGGAGCTTACAAATAATAGTTTATTATAGTTATACAAAATTTAATTTTAATGCTAGATAATCCTATTTCTATGTGATATAGATATTTATATGTGAGGATGTTGGATGGATGTTTCTTACTCTTTCACGCAAAAATTTCTAAATGGTTTGGAATGAAATTTGGTACACTGATAGGTTATATCCTAACTTAAGGTATAAGATTATTTAATACTTAACCACGCAGATATAGTTAGCATTATAATTCAGTCATGCCAACAAAGTTGCGGGTAAAAGCTAGTGTTGTTTAAAATCTTCATATTATTGTTATTGTATCTACTTAGGAATTTTAGAATTTCATTTAATATTTCAGGTGTATTTGTTTGGGATGTAGAAGGAAAGAAGTACTATGACTTTCTAAGTGCGTATTCGGCTGTCAACCAGGGTCACTGTCACCCAAGGATTGTGGAAGCGCTTAAGAGACAGGCTGAAAAACTCACTCTCGTCTCTAGGTAACCTAACATTGATTACAATAATTAAATTAAAATAATTCTTAACCAACATCGTAATATATAAGTCATTAGTGAATGTTAAAAATTTTAATATTAGGCAATTTTGTTTTGTTGTTCATTTACGCAAAACTGCTTAACCGATTTTTATGGAATTTTGTAAATATACATTTTTGGTGTAACTTGAGTATATTTCTTTATCATGCTTTTTCACTCTGCTTATGTTTCTTTAGTTTCATAAAATAAACTGATTTAAGGTAAACTTGAATAGACTATTCGTGGGTTCGCTCCATTTTAGACCACATCATCATTTTTCTTTAGGCGTAATCGTGATTAATCGTGGAGACCATCCACAGTAAATAATAAAAAAAAGATGGTATAGTTATTACCTCGATAAAATAATGGATCAAGTAGGTGGTGGTAAGGAACAAAACCACGTTTACCGGGTTAGTTAGTTAGTTAGGTTAGTATAATTACTTATTTCTGTTGCATTTCTAAATTAAGGTATCTACTTGTGGAGTGCACTGAGTCAGGTTGTATTACGGTAGGAGAGATTTTTTAATGAATGAGAATAGAATGGTAACCTCACCTGTGCTGTCGGTATACGGTAACGATGGAAAGACGTGAAGGTTGCGCTGATAGAGTATATAGGAATGGGGATGTTAGATGCCATTACTAATTACTCCTTTCCCCCGCTATAGGACTTATAGGTGTATTTAGGGGACAACTGTAAATTAATATAATAGTAATAAGTATTATATTTGAATTTTATTTTAAGCGTGTCTTTGGTTTCTTTTTTTTAATATATAAAACTTCTTCCGACTTAGGATTTGAATTATAATAAAAATTAAATGTGCGCAGGAATTAGGTAGTTAGGGTTGCCAAAAACAGGGAACAGCACTGAAACAAAAAAACTAGTGTCTTAGTTATTTTATTATTGATGGGACGTTGAAATAGGAACCGTATCCAATAATATAGTTTTTAAATCAAAATAACTGGTTTTGTCATCAACATTGAAGTCGCTTTTTTGTGGTCTTTATTATTATACTTTAATTGCATTGTCTTATATAGACACATAGGAAATAAAAGAACCCAAACAATAGATGCACTTTTCTAAGTTAGCAGCCGTAGTATTCTGATTTGGATACTATACCTGTTATAAAGTCTTGGCAACCCTAGACAATGGAAGTTACATTTACCTAAATATTGTCAAATATGATGACGTTACTTGTTTACTTTTTGCGAAGAAACGATTAAATGTTTATTTATAGGTACTATTTGTTAATGAAATATTAAAATTTTCCGTAACTATGTTTTGTTGTCAACTCACTTCTTATCTATATATAGTCTATATTAATTGGCACAGGCAGACGCTGCATCACAATACTGGCGATAAATAAGTAGTAGAAGCTATTTTTAGTTAATGAGAAATGTGTTTGTTACACTTTGCGATATTTTCAAGTATGTTTATTTGTTTATTTTGTATCTACATAAAGGATTATTACGGAATTTATTGTCAAAATTGACTCGAGAAAAAAAAATCACAGCGAGCAAAGCTCCAAAATTATATTGAATACAAAAGTATTTTTTAGGATATTTAACTTCAATTAACAGAGCAAATATTAAAAGTATATGACAAATTAAATCGAGATTTAATGTAAATTGTTATATAAAAATATTTATGTATTTTCAGAGCTTTGTTTTCCATTCAATTAGGCAAATATGAGAGGTCTATGGTAGATTTATTCGGAATTTAATGTAAATTGTCCTGATGTAGGCCCGCCTGTATAGTAAGTAATCCCATGAGAAAAACATAAATACTAATATTAAAAATGAGTAAGTGAGTTTGTTTGTTACCTTATAGTGCCTTAACGGCTTAACAAATCTCTATGAAATTTTCAAATACACGTACTACATGGAATGGAGAAAGACATAGGCAATTTTTTTTATTCTAGTGACGTGGACGAAGTCGTAAGTAAAAGCTAGTAAATCATAAAAGGTTTCGTACGTATTTTTCAGGGCTTTTTATTCCGATCAGCTGGGTAAATATGAGAAGTATATGACAGAGTTATTTGGATTCGAGCGTCTGCTACCGATGAACACTGGCGTGGAGGGTGGTGAAAGTGCGTGTAAAATTGCACGCAAGTGGGGCTACGAGGTCAAGAAGATACCAGAGGGACAGGCCAAGGTGATAAGTCGAGTTCAACATAATACCGGGCGTAGAGGCGGTTATCTCTACATTGATATTGTTGGAACTAGTTTCGTTTGGTTACTACATTTAATAGAGAACAATAAAAATGTTTATATCGATTATCGATGCAATGTTAAGTAACTAATATAGGAGGTTTGATTTTAATATTTCTGTATTTAATGAAATTTTAAACATAATTTGAAAAAATTGCTAATTATTATATCTAATATAAATAAAAACAAATATTATATAAATATTAAAAATCGAATCAAATCTTAATATTTTTTTTATATGTATGTGTATAAAACCTCTTTAAATGAAGATCATCAAAATCAGTTTGGAATTGAAAAGGTATCAATCAAATAACATATAAAAATATCTTTGTCTTATCGAATAACGTAATATATTATATTTTCTCTACTATATATATATATATATATATATATATATATATATATATATATATATATATATATATATATATATATATATATATATATATATATATATATATATATATATATATATATATATATATATATATATATATATATATTATACGTAGTCGTTTACTTTTTTATCATTAGTTAATGTTATGGACAATTTAATTTCAGATTATTTTCGCGGAGGGTAATTTCTGGGGGCGCACGCTATCTGCAGTGTCTGCTTCGTCAGATCCGTCTTGCTATCAAGGCTTCGGACCTTACATGCCAGGATTCAAACTCATTCCTTATAACAACATTCCAGTTTTAGAGGTAAATAATAATTAAAGCAATAATTTACCAGAGGGAGACTTTGTACAAAAGTTGTTTGCTTGGGCACCTCCGTCCCATTCGTGTTTCTACTGTGCAGCAGTTGTGTTTGCATGGCTGTATTTCGGTTTGAAGGGTGAGATATAGCAGTATATTTATAGGGTACAAATGAATAACGTCTGAGTCCTCAGGAAAAGCAACGTATGGCCCCCCATACGTTGCATCACGGGCATCTCTGTTATGTCCTTGGTATAGCTCATGTTTAAAGCTGTCTATTACGTCATCAAGAGAAAAGAGTGAAAGACTGAGAAAAACATTTAACACAGACGTAGTATAACCCACTTTAACCAGATATTAGAATTTAATTAGGGCAGGAGGAAAAAAAAATGCGATTTTACTAGGCACTCTTTATTACGAGTAAATTGTTACTCTCGTATTAATCTCCAGCTGGGTAATCAATATAAGTTGATCTTGATTATCAAGACGACGAATTCCCGGACACTATAAAGAAATAGAATTTTCTATACGTACTTAAGTATACTTAAACTTACTGTTTTTTTCATATATTTCCGCTAAAAACATTCTCATAATTTCAAGGATAAATAGTAGGTAACCCTGGAGAATTTTAACTTTTACTTTAAGTAACTATGAATAAGTATATTAAATTGAAGTTATGGCATTTACTTTACAGAAAGAACTACAAGATCCGACCGTAGCTGCGTTCATGGTAGAACCCATTCAAGGCGAGGCTGGAGTTATAGTTCCAGACAAAGGGTACCTGAGGAAGGTTCGAGAGTTGTGTACAAAGTACAATGTCCTCTGGATTGATGATGAAGTGCAGACTGGTCTTGGTGAGATCCACAAGATATTGACAATCCTATTACTGTGAAAGTTTGAATGTTTGTTACTTAACATTTTTTTTTTTATACCAATGAGGTGGCAAATAAGCATACTGCCCACCTGATGGTAAGTAGTTACCGTAGCTTATGAACGCCTGCAATACCAGGGGTATTACGCGCACATTGTCGACCCTGAAGTTATCTCGTTAAGACTTTTTTGAAGAATCCTATGCTGTAATCTTTTGCAAAAACCTCGATATATGTTCAAACAACCGAACAGATTTAAATGAGATTTAGTGCATAGATAGATCATATCTTAGATAAACATTTAGATAAAGAGGCCTGGATCCTTAAAAAACATCTATATGTACTTTCAGACATGTTTATATTACAGTTCCTCAGAACACAATTTGTTATACAAGTTATATTAATACCATTTTCTCAAATTAATTTTATGAACATTGAATAAATTACGATGATTTCTAGGGATGTATGGACGGTGTCTTACCCCATTATGTGACCATACGGGAGTAGAATTATGTATATAGTGTTTTTTTTTGTCTATTCCATTTTTCTTTTTGCTTTCATCAGGTCGTACCGGCAAATTGTCGGCCGTCGACCATGAAGGAGTTAAACCCGACATCATGATCCTGGGCAAAGCGCTCAGCGGTGGCACGATACCGGTGTCAGCTGTACTAACTAACAGCAGTGTAATGAATGTACGTATGCACTATGGCTATTCATATATTAGCTTTAACTGTCCACTGTTGAATATAAGCCTCCCTCCTTGGGGGGTTTTCAGTAGTTGCCACGCGTGGCAGGCGGATTGGCAACCGCTGTCAGGTTGTGGCGTACATATATATATATGTATGTATATATTACAAACCTTTACATATAACTAAACCTTTTGAATTTCTGTAGAAAAATAAATTATTAATAACAGAGCGCATGCGAGGTTGCGCGCGCAGTAAAAATTGCAAATTGTCATTCTTTTTAAATATATAGACGTTTAAATATTGGATTAAATATTTTACTTACTCATTTCCCATTAGGTTTTACACATGTTTTAAGTGGGACGCTGTTGCCCATCCCTCGACTTTTCTTAGTCGGCTTTTACGACACCCATGGGAAAGAAAGGGTTGGCTTATTCTATGCCGAGACCACACGATATTTACGGCTATTATTTGAATTGAATTCATGAGTGAAATAATAACAGAGATTTTGTAAAGTTTGCATGGGTACCTCTGTTATCAAGGATTTTACATGCTGTATTTGAAGGTTTAGGTATGTTATGTCAATGAAATTGCTGAAAATTGTGGCATTACTATATTGTCTTTCTTGCTTTTCGTGAGTTGTCATAACTAAGGGTACTAAAGTATTGTGTGAGTATCTCGTTATCCTGTAATATCACTGCCATAACCTACTATTTAAACCGAGCTTCAGTCATCCAAATATCGGTTTGGTCGCAGAAATATAAGTGGAATTTAGATTTTGTCAGTCTTCTTTATAATTGACCTAAAGGGATTTAGTTAATTTTAAACTTTCGTGTTGTTTATTTGTTTGTATCTAAAGGGTATGTCTCTGGTAGTCACTTACTATTAGGCAAGCCGTATGCTTGTTTATCCCCTGTGTTATAGAAAAAAGGGATTTAATAAAAATAAAAGTTGAATTTATTAAAATCTAATCTGAAGCTATGTGTATTTTTTAAAGGTGTTTACTTAAATTATATATTATAGCACCCTAAACGAATTTTCCAAATTATTTTTGATTGCAGGTAATAAAGCCGGGGACACATGGTTCCACGTACGGGGGCAATCCTTTGGCATGTGCTGTAGCTATAGAAGCTATTAAGGTATTTTATTATTCAGTATACTTACCTATTGTAACAAATTCAATACGTAGAACGTAAAACATTGTTTTGAAAGGAATTGTTTTGGATTTACAACTTTCATGAATAAACTTTCATAATGGTTTTAGAAGAAAGCAACAATTGAATTACTTGCTTTTTATTTTAATTATATTACTCTAAAAATGCATTTTGAATAGGTGGTAGAATGCATTGCATGCAAACATTATGAATATGATTAAATTTAAAGTTACTTGAATTCATAAAAGAACTTTTTTTTTTATGGCAAACAAGTTGACGTCCCTTTCGATGAAAAGTGGCAACTGTCACCTATAGTCATGTATAGCATCAAGAATATCATTGAATTCACTGTAACGCTTATGCGTTGTCATTCCTGAGAAAAAAGCTTAAATGGTCGCATACAGTGCAGGTTTTTTTAATGGATGATAATGGAATAGTAATCCTGCCTACGCTAACGGTATACACTGGTGGGGCACTAGTGAGGGATGATAGGTGAAGATGAAAGCAGGTCAGTTGGCCTATAGTGATGAATTCATAAAAAAAAACCTGGATTTTTTTTTTTTATGAATTCATTTCCAGAGAGAACTGCGTGGAGGTCAATTTGATAAGATATATTGTTAGCAATGGGGTCTCTAGTCTCATTATTAACAAGCCCTTTCCCCTCATACAGTGCGGTTTTAAAATAATTTTCTCCGGCGAATGCTCAGGCTGTGGAATGAGACCTGCCAAGGTTTTCCCTAGAGACTATAGTATGGGATGCTTTAAAAAGTGTACATTATGGTTTCTTCAGGGTCGGCAATACGCATGTAACACGCCTAGTGTTACAGGCGCCCATAAGCTAGTGACCGTTTACCATCAAACGGGCTGTATGCTTGTTTACCAACTTTGTGGTATAAAATCTCAGTACCCTGTAATTTCTCCATATTTCACCCTCCGAATAGAAATAACCATGTGAGACATATTCGTCGAATTTGGACAATTTAGGAATGTAATATTTTTATGTTGCTATTTTATGCATAAACAATGTATTGCAAAGGTATTGCTGGACGAGAAGATGTGTGAGAAGGCGGCCGCTTTAGAGAGTGTACTCCGCGAGGAACTGGAGAAGATCCCAAAGAAGTACATCACCGATATCCGCGGGAGAGGATTAATGTTTGCCATTGACGTCGCCGAAGGTAGGAAGATAGTTATTGAAATTGAAACAGAAATGAGAGACTTAATTTATTGGCAACAGTTTAATACACTGCTTCACATTCCGATGGTCACGACTTCGACCCCCGCTCTTTTCAAATATTTATTTATAAATTTTTATTTTTTTTCCTTGAAAACTAAAAGAAATAATAACATGCTCGATAGATTTTTTTTTATTTATTATAACAGCACTAAAATTTGAAAATTTACCATAAGTGAGTTTGCTGCGTTTTAGTTACCACAGGAGAGTAAGTCTTGTTTTTTAATGGATGATAATGGAGTAGTATCTTTGCTAGCGCTAACGGTATATGCTGGTAGGGAATTAGTGAGGCATGATAGGTGAGGATGTAAAGACAGGTCAGTTAGCCCCTTGTGATGAATACACCTGGATTTCAGCACGATTTCTAGGGGGGACCTGACAGGGTATATTGCTAGCAATGGTAATCTGTATTAATAACAATCCCTTCCCCCGGGCACTAATGTTGTCACAACATATATACTTTTCACCAGGAGTGTCAGCGTACGAGGTGTGCCTGCGGCTGCGCGATGCCGGATTACTCACCAAGACGACACACGGTCAGACCATTCGGCTGGCGCCGCCGCTCGTCATCACCGAACAGCAGATCCGTCACGGAGCCGCCCTCATCCGCCAGGTGTTCGAGAGTTTCAACAAATAAACCATTCTCAACCTTATTATTATAAACACATAAAGTTGTTATTGCGATTCTGGTTGTCGGGCGGCGAGTGGATTTGTTCCAGCTCCCGATCAGCTATTCAACAGAATCCGCACACTTACCCATATTTTTATTGTATATATTGTTTAAATTTATATTAAAGGTGAAAAGGATATTTTGTTCGCGGATTTTTTATTTATATATAATTTAATTATATTTTATAGACATTAGTCCGCGGACAAAAGTCCCTCATCTAAACAGGTCTTTACTGTGATCTATTATTATATCTACTTAATAATATGTATTAATAATATTATTTTATAGTGGAATAATTTTTTAATGTTAAAATGCGATATAAATAAGAATAGGAAAGTCAATGACCCAGACCTTGACCTGTCACCTGTCACTTGAAAAGGACGGTTGGCAAAGACTACAACATGAGTCATCCATAGACAAATATAAAAAAAAAAAAGTGTCTTAGTCAATCTAAATAACTGTTTTATTTCGAATAGTAAGTGATTACTATTCTTATTTTATCCTATTATGTTGGTATATACATATTATAATATTTATTTTTATGACTGTCATAATAATAAAAAGGAAAATAAACATTCTGTGCAATAATATTGATTGTATTTATTTGAATATTATTAATTTTAACAACCGCTTCACAACGCATATTGCAATCACAGTAGTCGAGGTAAATACTGTACTTTTTTAATAAGTAATTTGTGCTCGTGTACTGTTCTATATAACAATTATTATTATATAATATTTATTATCACAATTTCAAGTACATTTGTTCCCGTTATACTGGCACTTAATTTTATAATATCTAAATTAAAATAATTTTAAATGTGGCATCAAACACAACGCTTTAGTGCATGTTTATCTAAACTAGCAATTCGTATTTAAATAATAAACCTTATTATTAATAATATTATAGTCCGTTTTCTAAGATGCCCAATTGCGTTCTCATAGTATCAGTTAATTTTGACAGGAGTATACTTTCATCTAAGCTCATTTTAGGGCTCTCTGTTTCACCTGTAACAAAATGTAATTAATTAGTAACTAAAATTTCAGTATTTATCTTAATTAAGCTAGCTTAGTTTCAAGTTCCGTGATTTTAAAGTTTTTTTTTTTTAATAAAAATTAACCCCTTTATTCATAAAAACTAAAATCTCTTACAAAACACTACTGTTTTAACTATTATATTGTTATGTCACTTTCATTTAAACTGAGAATTTGGCACAAAACAATAACATAAAACAATTCAACAGTTAAAATAGGTTTATGATAGGTTAGATGTTTTTATGAATAAAATACTTTATTATTTTTAAAATGCAGGTTCATTTTTATCCAATATCTATAACATATGTAAAGAGAAATTAATGAACTCACTGTGTTTTTGCCCTTTCCGCTAATTGTTTTACTTCATTCGGAAGTCTTATACAGGGAGTGTTTGACGGTTTGCATATGTATACAGACATCGGGCAAGACTTTGTTCACAAATAAGCGATTTTAATTATTACAACTTTAGTAAGACCAGCACGAAAGTATCAGTAATTACTTCAAATTATTTATTTTACTAAATAAAAGAAATATAAAAATAATCGGTTCAGATTAATATATAACACAGAGACAAAAAATGAAATGCAGTCGAATTGAGAATTTCTTCTGAAAATATAAATATATTTTATATGTAGACGCGTAGTCTAGATAAAAAAAAAAAACAGTTTATATGTATGCGTGTATATAAACACATGATTCATACAATATTAAAAATTCCTAATACTAACTCGCGTTACTTTACTTTTAATATTCCACGACTTGTACCCAGTACAGAAGCGATTGCTTCATAATATGAGTTTCCACAATTTTCAATATGTAGTAGGGATAACAAAATAGATATATTTAATAGTAGCAGCATTTATATTAGAAAAACCATCGGAAATTACTCATTAATTGATTTTAACGACGTTTAGCCTGTGTCTTCAAATTTATTAATTACCTAGACTGTAAGTAATCCTATTTTTGTTAATTATATGTGGTAGCTTCTAATTAGCTTATTGTTGTCATGTATAGTTAAGTTATTAAGTTATTACAGCTGTTCCTTAAAATAATAAAGAAAGAAATAAATACGACAAGTAATAAATATAAAGGAATCAATACCTTTGCTAATGCAGTCCCAGCATTCCTGTATCTGATAGCTGAGTCCCGCACTGTTGTGAAAGTGGAACTTATATTTGCCCTTTGGTAAGGACCATTCAGTGCTGTTAGCGGCCGATATGTGTAGCACCGTGGGACACCAGAAGTAATCCAACTGTAAAGAGTTTTAATTAGTCTTCATTTTTGTACAAAAGTCGATTGCTTGGGTATCTCTGTCCCATTCGTGTTTCTACTGTGAAGCAGTTGTGTTTGCATGGCTGTGTTTCGGTTTGAAGGGTGGGATATGGCGTGAATTTACAGGGTACAGAGGAATAACACCTGAGTCCTCAGGAATGGCAACGTATGGGGGGTATCATGGGCGAAACAGTATACTCTGTTATGTCCATGGTACTGCTCATGTATATAGGCGACGGTTACCACTTTCCATCAGGTGGGCCGTCAGCTCGTTTGCCATTCTAAGTTGTATAAAAAAAATTGTATACATATTAATATAATACATTATAACCAAACTATGTCTGTCTTGAGAAATCATCATCATCTCAGCTTTGATCTGTCCACTGCTGGATATAGACCTTTCCTATAGACTATTATAAGGAACAATCCCGAGTCACCTGCATTCACTGATTATCTGCAATGCATTTAATGTCGTTACTCCATTTAGTAGGAGGTCGTTCTACATTGCGTTTGCCCGTAAGGTGCCGCTACTCAAGAACTTTCTTTCGCATGGGTCGATTATTCTAGCTATGTGACCAGTTCATTGCCCATAGGAAATATTTATGAAAAATTAATATGAGTGTTCTCAATAGGAGGAACGGAAGCCAAGACAATATTATTTAGGAATTTTGATTATCACTTTGTAGGTTTGTAAATATACGCACATATTATTGCACGAAAATGGATGAGCTTTTCACAGTTGTATTCCTAAAGGTTTCCTTAAGAACTGGTGTAGGTATATTTATCTTTATTAGCCATCTCGAAGTAGTATGTTTAATTGATTTTCCTACGAAAAGGGCAAAAAATAGTATAACATAAAAGTAACAAAACAACCTTTTTTTTTTAATATCGGGACTATGAAGTATAAAAAAAAAATATTCGAAAATCACTTATTATTATTATTATTAATCCAGGATGGAAATATTAATTAACAGCGTTTACCTCAAAAGTTCATAATTCCATGATAATTTAAATTTTTCATCAAATTGCTTTTAATTTACGTTTTTTTTATGGAACTTAAAATGGCAACAAGCTGACGACCCACCTGTTGGAAAGTGGTAACCGTTACCTATAGACATGAATAGTATCATGGACATAACAGAGTATACTGTTTCGACCATGTGTTTTTAGGCATGAATTAAAAGCAATTTTTATTTAATTAAACTAAAGAGTCTGCCCAGTTCAATCTCGTCTATATCAGACTACATAATTACATGTAGCTACAGTTATTGTACAGTAACATAATAAGCTATAATTATGGCAAAGTTATTTCATTCGCGTATCAGGACAGAGTATAGGTAAAAAAATATATAGGAAATTGAGAACTGCCTTTTGAAGTAGCTACAAGAGGAACCCTGGTTGAAATGATTATTACTGACGAAAGTGACTTACGACAAGATTGCCCTTGGTGCCGATAATGTCTGCCTTATTAGTCATGGTGGCGCGCGTGTGCGCGGCCAGGGTGGCCGTCCTGCCGTCCTTGTACTTGAGCGCGCACGACACTGACTCGTCCACGCCCGCCTTGCTCAGGTGGCCAGTGCACACAATATCCACAGGCGGCTCTTTGTATATAAACTGCACTAGTTGCAACATGTAAATACCCAGGTCCAATATCACTCCGCCTCCTAGATCCTTCATTCTGTAATTATAGAATTTTGTCTCTTAATATTATACAATAGAATTGATTTTATTATTTTGAGTTTTATAAGTAATATGCAATTGTATTTAGGGCCGTCTATTAATTAAGTGAAGTTTTAGCTTTGGTAAGATTAAATTTATCTTAAGCTGTTTTTTTTTAATATACCTATTTTTTTTTAATCTATACTTATAATAAATCTGTAGAGAGGTCAATTCTGTACATGAAATATATTTACAAAATAACTATCAGGGGGTGATTAGTGATCGATATTGATGCAAAAAATGCTATCAGTAAAATTTTTGTCTGTCTGTCTGTATGTTCGTTATAGAAACAAAAACTATTTGACGGATTTTAACGAAATTTGGTACGATTATTCTTCATACTCCTGGGCAGGTTACAGTATACTTTTTATCACGCTACGATCAACAGGAGCAGAGTAGTGAAGGGAAATGTTGGGAAAACGGGAGAAGTTACTCCATTTTTAAGTTTCCGTCACGAATGCAGCCTTAATGGCCATGACGTGGGTTTTAATAATAAATAACAAGAGGGTTAGTTTTTAATCTTCATATCTTCTTTAAGACACACACACACACACACACACACACACTCATATGTATATATATATATACGTATATATATGTACTATATATATATATATATATATAAGCTGACGGCCCACCTGATGAAAAGTGGTAGTGGTAACCGTCGCCTATAGACATGAGCAGTACCATGGACATATCAGAGTATACTGTTTCGCCCATGATACCCCCCATGCGTTGCCATTCCTGAGGATTCGGGTGTTATTCCTCTGTACCCAGTAAATTCACGCCATATCCCACCCTTCAAACCGAAACACAGCCATGCAAACACAACTGCTTCACGGTTGAAACACGAATGGGACAGAGGTACCCAAGCAATCGATTTTTATACAAAGTCTCCCTCTGGTAATTACTAGACAGTTCATTACTATCAGTTCACGTAATTAATAGACGCTCCTGTATATTAATAATTTAATATATATACTTACATCCCTATATTAAAAATATTCTTATTCTTATATTATTAATGGCTGAACTATCATTTAATATGGATGCGGCATTGTTTATGTACAAAGCGATTCAGCGAATGAAAACAAATATCTTACAGGTTTCTTTCTATGTCGTTAATTTCAACCCCAAACTGTACGCTGATGTGATAGATGTCCCCAAGCCCGCCAGAAGATATGTGCCTATCCAAAGCGTCGTAAGCAGGAAAGAACCTCGACCACATCCCCTCAAGAAGAAAGAGTTTCTTTTCGCGAGCCAGATCCACCAGTGATTTGGTTTGTTTGTAGGTCATACCCATTGGCTTCTCGCATAGAACATGTTTGTTGTTCTCTAACATTAGTCTAGTTATTTCATAGTGTTGCAAGTTCAGTACACTGACGAAAACAATGTCTGGAATCAAGAAAAACGTAGTGATTTACAGTAAGAAACCGACTTTCTGTTTGAAGACAATTTGTATACAACTTTATTTTAATTCAAAAACTAAGTAGATAAAATCGGCTCAAGATTACCCAGAAACATGTCAAATAATATACACATAAATTTGATTTTTTTTTTTGTAAATACGTTCGGTGAAATTTTCTTAATATAAATATAAATAATAATAAAAATAAATAGAATAATAGATCACATGAGAGTTCATATGAAGAGTCCAAAACTTATTTTCCTATTCCGTTCCAAGTTCCTTGATGTACTTTTTTTTGTTTATACTGTATTGATATGAAAGTTAATGTGATATGGTGTGATGCGATCAATGGTCTAATTCCTAGTTGCGTTTACCCACGTCATTAGGGTGAGTATTCACAGAAGACTATTCGCCTGTTATATAAAGGCGAAGTTAAAAGAACAACAGTTAGAACATAGAAGTAGGTTGGTAAAATAAAAGACTAAAAGAAGTCAGTATAAAACCTTAAGTTACATAAGAAAAGCCAAATAGCTCATTCGCAAAATAATTAATTCTTATTTGTTAAAATAAGCAGATAGTGGGGGAAAATGAGGATTTGCTCCCCTATGCTAATTCTCTATTTACAACTCAGGATCTAACATAACATGAGGGGGGAAAAGGGATTGTTAGTAATGGAGACTAAAAATTCCATTGCTAGCAATATACCCAACCAGGTCGACCTCCTTGCGGTGCCCCTGGAAACTATCATGGTTAAATTCTGATGAATTCATTATGATGGGCTAATTGGCCTGTTTTCATTCTCATCTATCACCCTTCACTGGTGCTTCGCCAGCGTATCCCGTTAGCGCAGGCATTCCATTTTCACCCATCAAATAAAATAAAAAAATACAAATAAAAAAAAAAAAACATGAGAGAATACAGTATCATGTAACACTGTGGTCAGCGGAATATTTTTACTGTTAATACTAATTTTAACCATAATTGGAATTTTAGTGAGATATGCAAAAATTTTGCATATCTCACTAAAATTCCAAAAAAAGTTCGAAAAAGTGAAAGCTAGATTGTTATTAAAGTTTAATTTAAAGGCAGGAATAAAATCTTTTTTTTATGACATTGGTAATGTTGGCATCCAGTAAAAAGTATTTAAAACACGGGAACGGAAGAAAATGGCGTCCGTGGGACCAGAAGCGGAAAACAGATAGTGTTATAATAAATACCTATACTGGTCAGAGAGATTTGAATGGAGATATTTGACGTCGCTAAAAAGCTATTAAAAATGAGTAAAGGAATATTAAGACAATTACGATGGTATTTATACCTATAGAATCGTCACGTGCCAGTGACTCGTAGCCTTCGTATACTGTACTGATTTTATGTAGTGAGGCCAATCTGTCGGCGCGCTCGAGGTCTTTCCCGGCAATGGCGATGACCTTGTGTTGGTGAGCAGGCAGAGTGCCCAGGGCGGTGATGAAGTCGTGAGCTATCATGCCGACACCTGCTATGCCCCATCGTAACTGGAAATCCATCTGAAAACATGGAAAATTTTCACTCAAGCTGCCGTTTTCGACGCGTGTTGACACATATGAATGATGTGTTTGATAACGATTGTTTTAAGAGTTTACTTCTCATATTGAGTTCTTGTACAGCGAGGCTTGCTTTAAATTATTGAAACTAGCTAAATGATGCAGTAAATCAAGATTCTCCGGAAACAAGGTACATGCATGAGACGAAGTGGATGAAAATAGAGATGCATGCAAGAATGGGAGGCTTTTGACATTCGGTTTTTTCTACTAACTTCGTAAGGGACAACGAAATAACGCTAGGTGATCAAGTGTTTAAAATTTATTAAATATTGTCTTATTTTTCAATGAACAGTACGTCAATTTGCTTTACAGTCTTGAAATTGAAATTATACTAAGGTAATGAATTAACTAAAGATAGTAATAGTAATTAACTAAACTTACTATACGTTGTTCCTAATACACCTATCAATCAACAAATATTTTGACTTCAGACTAGTTTACGACGTTGTTTTATGTATAAGAATTCAAGATAATAAATTATATTGAGTACCTACTTGAAATCACTTTGTGTCAGCAAACGTTTACGCACCTTTATACACTTTTATACTGCTTAGTAAAATGTTCAAACAGTTTATTAGTTCACCACAAAATGACACCTAGTGAAATTTGACTCCCGGCGCCGCGTGACCACCCAGCAATTATCAACAATGTAACTCAACACTACATAATGAGCATCGTACGAATTGCTGAATTTTAGATAAGTAAAAAAAAATACTTAGTCGCTCTTTACAATTTCTTATCACTCAAGATAAACATACAAAAATAAGTAAGGCGTTATCTAAGATTTTCTTTATGAAGTGGAATGATTTGTTGTCGCTCAAAATCACATACAAATTGGCTGACAGACCGCTTAACTATGTGCTAATTGGACTGCGCTCATAACACATGTTGTACTATGTTTATTTATAGGCTAGTCAGTATTAATACGGTTATAAGTACATACTAAAGTAGCATATGGTAGCCATAACAGTATGTTTTCATTAACTAAGCAGGTTGTTTGCTATTTGCACAGGCACTTGTCTATATATTTATGGCAATTTTATGGGCACCCATAACGTCTGATTATGGTTATGATTACATGATTGATATGTTGACGCAATTTGTCATATCAAGTGCGAGGATGGTGCTATTCATATCTTAAAGTGACGGTTACCACTTTCCATTAGGTGCGCTGACTGACAGTCATTATAATTTTTTTTTAATGTGAAATGGTGGTAAATGAGCATGCGGTTCACTTGATGTTAAATGGCTACCACAGTCTATGGTCACTAATGACACGAGGTCGCCAGTTAACGGGCTTGGCACAAAAAATAGTATAACTGCTTGAAAGTGGAGGAGACACGAGTGCGACATTTTTACTATGAAATATTTTGTTAAAATATAATAATCGGACCTCAAATTATTTACTATTACTTATATTAATAACCTTATTCGGGGAAAAATTTGTTTGTAACTTAACTTCAATCAAAGTAATGACCTTCCATACAGGTTTTTAAATAAAAATGTACTTAGTAAGGTTTTTTGACGGCCTCCATGAAGCAGCGGTTGGCATGTTGCTTTGCGTAATGAGGTCTCGGGTTCGATTATTAAAAATGTAGTAATTGGTAATTTTTATTATAGAAAAAAGTGTCATGTTATTTATATTGACTGTATACTGTACGCTGCGGCTTTCTCCACTGTCATATGGTATCATATCAAATCAGCCGTCTACTGTCCACTGATAAACATAGGCCTCCCCCTTGGGGGAAGTCACTTTTTGCCAGTATTTATCGTATGGTAATGTAAATAAGTTCATATTTGATTGGTATTTCCTGAGATAAGCGCGTTCAAACAAACAAACTTTTCCGCTTTCTTATATTGGTATAGACTACACTTTTAAACTAGTTTGAAATCGTATATATGAAATATACGATTAAGAATAAAATCATTTTTTTGAACATTCAGTATGAAAAATAGACAAATTGACAGTTGGCTGAACATGTTTTGTGCTATTTTTTCTCACTCGTTGCCCCATCTAGGTGTAAATAAATGATCTCTGTTTGCAGTTGGTATTGTCAAAGCACTTGTTCGAGGTTAATTAATATCTATTAAACTTCATTGCCGTACGTTACACGAGCTTAGGATATGGCCTTATTGAGAGCAAAATGTTATTTATTAAATATATTAACCTTATCCGTCATATAATATTATATTATGTACATACATGTATATATAAAACCCGTTCGGGTATAGAATGGGTAACAAGCCGAAACCTAGCGTACGTTACCTTTATATCTATATTATAATTTTATATTGAAACTGGAAAATATGTAGTGTCACTTTGGCAGAGATATATATACTTATAAAACATACAGTCATAATCACAATAATATATTCATTGTAATTAAGTATTTTCCTAATTTCAAATCGATAGGTATTTTGTCAACGAATTTTTTTTTTTATAAATTGTTTTTTTTTTATACAACTTAGAATGGCAAACAAGTTGACGGCCCACCGGATGGCCATGAGAATAAAATTATAAAAAAAGATTCATTCAAGACCGTGGCGAACATGCACCAATAGAGGACGTGCTATAAATTTATACATATTTATATTTTTATTTTATTTTCGTTAAGAACATATTTTTTTTTTTATTTTTATACAACTTAGAATGGTAAACAAGCTGACGGCCCAACTGATGGAAAGTGGTAACCATCGCCTATAGACATGAGCAGTACCATGGACATAACAGAGTATACTGTTTCGCCCATGATACCCCCCATGCATTGCCATTCCTGAGGACTCAGGTGTTATTCCTCTGTACCCTGTAAATTCACACCATATCCCACCCTTCAAACCGAAACACAGCCATGCAAACACAACTGCTTCACAGTAGAAATTGTAATGAAATGTAAAATGGAATAGAATGTACATATATTACTCGTTTACGCACAACGGCCCAAATGGGAGGCTAAGTGCGGAAAACAGAGTCTTTCTTACATATTACTCGTTTTTACCTGTGATTTTGTATGCCTCATTTCGTTATACTTTGTACCTACATGTGATGTATACGAAGCCATTAAATGTTAATTGACCAGGATAAAAAGTGACATATGTCTTTTTCCATCCTATGCAGTAAATGTATATCAAATTTTATTACAATTGGTTTATACAGTAAGGAACTAAGTATATTAGCTTCAGCCTGCAACTTTGTATGCATGGATTTTGAATCAATGAAATAGACAGAAAGACAGATAGATTTTAAAGTAAAAATAGTATACTTACATGTGCTGGTTCAGGCATTTCTAACATATTAATAATTTATATTGTAATTAACAGATTAAAAGAAGAAATAGCTATAATAGCATTTCATTCAAACAGAATTTCTACAACCATCTATACAGTATCTGCAAGAAAAAATAAATTGTATATTATTATGTAAATTTTAAAAGTATTTATTGAATTACAATTTACAGCATTAAATTAATTTAAATTTAAACAATGGTGCATTTAAAAGCAAGCATAAAATAAATGATTATCAGGTTTTGTCTATCACTATTATCTTCACTTTAATAAATTTTCATTATATGTATGTATAACTACCATTACCTCTCAGTTTAATATGTGTGAAATCTACATATGTGAACAAAAATAAATTGCCGAATGTATTTAAGAACATTACTTCAGAATGGCTGCAATCTTTGATGGATTTTTTTGTTGTTATAATTGTCAGGACAAAGTTTGTATGATAGACAATGGTTGAAATATCATAGATGTGCTTAGAAGGGGTGGACATTTAAAATATAGCTAAGATTAATTATTCAAGAATAATATAGTTCTCTTATTCACAGACATGGTGGTATTGATAGTAACAGGGACACAGTGAGTCCATTGCTACTCCAACAGACTTCATTGTCATCTTTCCTTTCTATAGACATCTTGTTAATGAATAACAATAGTGTAGACAGGATTACCATTCCATTTATTTATTTATTTAATACTTTATTGTACACATGAGTTATTAAAATATGACAGAGGTAAACAAAAGTACAAAGGCGAGGCAAACCCAAAGTGGAAACGAGCATCAATGTCAGAGGATACAGTAGTGTACAATTTTTAAACAGCCAAAATTAAATTAATTACATTATATTTTATCGTACAAATACACATATACATAAATATATACCTACATCTATGCATATACCTACAAATATACATACAATATACCTACATATATAGATATATTTATTTTGTTAATAGAGATAGAAGATGCTCTTTAAGTCTACTCTTAAAAATATTTTCAGCAGTTAAATAGTATATATAAATATATGCTTCAAGTTTTTAATTTATTTTTTCTATCATATAATTGTGGAGGACAGTGGGATACATATTACTGTAAAGAAACATGCAAGAATTCATATTCTATATTTAAGCATTTTTATTATCAACCCATTTCTCTTAACATGTTTATTAATTTTAATATTCATATTTTATTTCATTAAAAATAATGAGTGATGTAATTTTACGTGAGCACTTACGTTATACTGCGACTATGGTGGCTTCACTTAGTTATGTAGAAAGGTATTCAATTAGTATAATTTAAAAATTGTTTAAATTTTCATTCACGGAATTAGATGATTATGATAATCTAAATAAAAAAAATGGTTTACCCTTTATGCACATGTTTAAATGGTTATAAGATCCCAAACAACTTATAAATATCTACTAGCTCTAAATATATTACGGCAACTACTATTATTTTTACTATTTTTAGTAACTAGAAAATGAAACACTTACAATTAATTCCAATCATTGTCAATGAATGGGTGAATTTACTGTGTAAAATAAATAGAAAAAAGCACAACTAAAGAATACACATGATGACCACAATTACATTTAATATATATTTATTATTATTTACCCGTAAATCAGTAATCACAAGCACAACCGCATCTATTCAATACAATGTAACATGTCATTTGTCATTCATAATTTTCATTAGAATGATGCTGTGAATGATATTTATCTAATAGGAATGTCATTCATAGCGTCATATTAAAATTGATTATAAGGTATGCACAATTTAATTAGTTTTGTTCTAAGAACAAGGAATAACATAGAATTCATTCTGATCCTTAGATTTAAGATATTGTTGTATTAGCAAATCGAAATTTTAATTTTAGATTTAGCTTTAGAAATATGGAGCCTTAGAATCGACCCCATTGATAGTACGGCCCTAGTACAATGGGACTGACTGACAGCCACTGTCATATGAACTGACTGTCAGTCACTGATATATCTATCACTCTTATTCATTATGTCATTGTACATAATGAAATGATGATCATTTTTTATATTTAAATTGTATAATATTTTCAATTTTGTACGAAGTTGTTATTACTATTTATACATTACGCCTAGCTAGAGTTTATAATTATTAATAACATTTCATCAAAACAGTGATTAGTGACAGTATTTTTCGTCTGTGAAATAAAACAAAACAAATGCGCAATTAGTGGATTTAATAGTATGTCCTGTTTTATAAACAAATATGGCAATAGTATTAAGATCCTATTGCAAAGCTCACAAAAATGTTCAAAAATCTGTCCTACCTTCACTTTCCACTCTAATGCCAATGTTTCATAAAACATTCAGCGATGATAGAGTGATCGACAATGCCGACTTTTGTGACAGCACCATTTTAGTAGAAACTGGTTTCAATGTGCAGGAGCTACCAGTGATTATCAGAAAAATAAAACACATAGAAGTGGAAAAGGAACAAGCGAGCAGTGAGCAAGAAAAGAAGCACACAAGTGATTCCATCAGCTATAATCTCATACAATCTGAGTTTAAACAGTGTGTAGATCTTAGAGATGTTTTTTCTTTGTTGACAAAATGTACTAAAATAACGCCAAACATTGCTCTAGGTGCAATGGAACGTATATATGATTTGGAAAAAAATCCAGGTGCCTTGAATTTAGACATTAAAAATGAACATATTAATTTGGCAAAGGGTGCTATTTTAGACAAACTATTAAAAGTAGTTATGAAGACTGACGATACACAAACAATACTTAATGTATTGCAGTCAGTTTCATCATTTATGGTCCCATATAAATATAAATTTTGTGATGAGCTTTTGTTTAGAACAGTAGATAATAAGCTAACAATCGAACAGCTTTGTACATTTACTATGTTTTTAATTAAAAATAAGAATGATCCTAAATATTCTGAAACTATAGACAAATTGTGGGTTGGTTTTGTTCAGAAAGATGTTGATATTAATGAAACAAATATTTTACAAATATTTCAAGTCTTACCACATTTAAAAATAAGTAAAAGGACAGTACAAACTTTACTTGAACAAAAGTTATGCGATTTATGGCCTAAAATTAATGTAAGTACTATGCAAGATATTTTGAGTATTTTTATTGAAGAAAAATATTTGTCTTTACAGTCTTTTGCTGTAGTAGGAAGTTGGCTCAAGAAAAGCATAAATATATTAAATGATGATGCATTATTGGATATGATTACAAAACTTACCAGGTTAAATTACACTGATGACCAAATAGAAACAGCTGTAGAAAAATATATGAGACTGAAAGTGACAAAGATCGAGTCACATGTTTTAATTGTGGGTGTTTTAAACTATTGTATGCAGTTTCAAATACGAAATAATAATATTATGACTGCATGCAGTCAATATTTTTTAACACATGGCAAATCAATCTCACCTAGTTTTTTGAAATCAATAATTTATCCATTTGGATATTTATTACTTGATACAAATGATTATGATGAATTTTGGGACTTTGCTGTAAGTGTTATTGAGGAGAAATTTTATAAAATTGACCCTGATCATCTGTGCTCAATATTATTGTCTTATATTTATGTTCGTAAATATCCTTTAAAATTAGTTAACAGGATATTTGCTCAAGAGTATTTGTTTAATATGAATTCCCAAACATTAAAATCACTTCATATTATTGACACTGCTTTGTCGTTAGAATATTCAGAATATTTAGGTCCCCTCTTGCCTAAGGACCAATGGTCGAAACCTATTACACAAGACAGTAGAATAAAAAATATTATAGATAAAGTTAGAGACAGTTTGGTGGCTGTTGCTGGCGGTGAGGACAAGTTGTCAACAGCTGTATTAATTCCTCATTTATATTCTCATGAGACATATTTGATAGATGTGATGCTTCATCCTACTGGTTTAGGTAGTAATATTTTCAATTGGAAAACAAAAACACGTAGAAATGAAAATATAGCTATTTTAATTCATTTACCAGATCATTATTGTTCAGATAATGAACAACTTGTTGGCCCACAAATGATGAGAAAGAGACATCTGAAAATTCTTGGAATGAAAGTTGCTAGTTTGAAGTATACATCAATAAGTCAATTTTATACGTCTTACAACTCTAGTGGTTTAAGACAATATCTGGGTGATGCAATAAAAAATGCTGAATCATGTTCATGATACATGCATTGATTTTATTGTTATTTTTCTAATATAATATTAATTGTATTTTTTCCTTTTGTTATCATGACTAATACCTCTATTGATTGTGAGAAATAATAGTGCCTTTATATGTACATAATTATGTATATGTATAATGATATTAATAAATAGTCCTGGGTTACATTATGAAATAGTAGCTTTTTTAAAAATATAAGCTTGTCATATAAATATAATCATGAAGGAATAGCACCATGCAATTATGGATCAATTCTGACCGTGCCAAAAAATAGTAATTGTATGCTTTTTATCTTGTGATATTGATCAAATAGCAGATGCTCTTAGTTGTTGTTAAAAGTTTTAACCAAAAATTTTTTATACATATTTATAATTTATCACGGCTGAGTAATTTTTATCATAGCAGTTAATATTTGTTTTTTTCTTTATTAAATATTGTACAATATAATGTACATTTTATAATGTAAAATATACGGTTCCTACATGTAAGGAAAAGGTTATTTACATTTATTAACAGTCATGAAATATGTGTGTGTAATTAAGTACAGTAGAGACTCGATTAACTGGTCTAATTGTTGTCGTAATGCATTCGGATATTAATCTGGAAAATCCGGAAAATTAAATATATGAAGTTATCTCGCATATATATGTTTATTAGAAATTATAAAATCGCATTTTTTATACTTAAGAACCTACTTATTTTTTTATCACGGTTCACACTCTGGATAATGACGAATCCGTGTAATTGAGGTCTGGATAATCGAGTAATATTTTTACTAGTCTTGCTGAATACCGAAGTCGAAAAAGTCAATATCTTTAATATAATTATCGGATGCAAATGGCAAAACAATGTCAAATGAAATATTTTTCTACATTTAATATTGTACATAAATGTATGGAACATTTTTTATTTAACTTTAATTAGGTATGTAACAAATATATTTGTCATCTAGGTTTAAATTATTTATCATAGGGTCAGAAATAAATGGTGCGATAATTTTATCATTAGTTTAATTCATTATACTCATAACATCTTTCACTTAAATATACTCACCGACTAATTCACTAGAATTATTATTTGAATATTTTAGTAATTTCTTAAATAACTTTTACAATTCGAAATATTTCACTAATAAAAACTCGTTCCAGATCAAAATATTTATTAAATACATCATAGTTAAATCCTAGCATATTGCACCGCGGTGACAAAATTGTATTTTATCTCTATATATTTTTTTTTTATTCTGCGATAATGAACGTGGATAACATTTTACGAAGACATGCTCAAACTGTTCAATGTACAGACAAACTTGTCATAATTTTTTGTTTTATTTATAAATTACGAGGCGAAAAATCATGAACTACTTTTATACTTATATTTTACTTGCCGAAAACTCAAATGATGATTCTTGGGCGTTCAAAGATATTTCCGGGTAAAAGGTGCACTACTCGTCAGTGAAATCACAGATAGAATATGGCTTCATTTTTTATATTTCATTGATTATAGCCAGAAATGACTACTTAATAACTTTATAGCCATAATGGTGTATCACAGCAACTCTAGCCTGAATATTTAATTGTAAAGAATGTGTTTACGCTGACTCACAGCCTAAAATCTAAAATACATTTTACATCGATAAACTTGACACTCGACAGATTGAATGGGTGCAGTCGCCGGCAGAGCGGTAGCACCATAAAGCCCTTTGGCATACATGATGTTTGATGGTGCATATTACTTTGCCGGCGATCGCACATACATTTATACTGGCTCTGAATAAGGCTAATGTACGATTGAATTTACGAACACGACTTTATATCTATTTGAAATAGGTTAACTATGTATGTGCATTTTTTGAATTACAACTATGTTAGTTAAGTGATATCTCTAACACACAATGTAACTCCAAAAGCTTATGATTACACATTATAATTATCCCATTGAAAGTTTAATCTGCAATTAGTCTACATATCGCGCATATCCCATGGATTGTCACCGTCTATGATACCTATAGTTTGGCACATGTCTGTGTAGGTATAATACAAGCGTTTGGTGTAGTTAGATATTAATTTGATGCATCAATACGCTCACAGAACATATCAGACAAGATTCAACGAGAATCGAATTTGAATTCAGGTAGACGTCTAACAGATTGGTAACAATCTAATTGCCTATGTAGTTAATTCATAAAAATGGTATTTACACAATATACCTAGTAATTAATTTCTTGTTTGCAATAAATATACGTACACTGGAAAGTAGTACATATAAGGTAGTAGTTATTAATTATACATAGGTAAATTATGTAATAGGTAGTTTCAGGAAAACATTTTATATATGATACTGCATAATAATATTCAAATTTGAATAATATTTAAAGGTGACGAGAAAATACGTGATAATTGATTACACACAATACAGTATTTGATTGAATGACAACTCAACTATTTAATTTATTACCAGAATACTATTATATTTGAGTATGTATTTAGGTCACACAGTACTAGAGATATTACAATGTGTTAATAAATTATATAAAGACAGACGAGGAAAAAAATTCTGAGCGTCAGCACAAGTCCATAAGGGAAGTAACCATAATAAGCGAGATTGCATGTGTGCAGGGCTTTAATTGGACGCAGTGTCTTTTATTTACTCGTCTCTGATCGTTTAGTTAGTTCACAATAGGTTGCTATGTGTACATTGTTATACATAAGCGTAATATTTGGATAATTAATCAAATTCGATTGGCAATGTATACATATACATATCAAATATAAGTTTTAAATTTTGATGTATATAATTCAATAATTTATTTATTTATTCAAATAAATTTTATTCCTTTACCTATTCATAGGCATAAACAGTTGATTGATATAATTTTCTATGCGAAAATGAAGATATGTGTGTACTATTTCAATAATACCATGAATTTTGTATCACTAGGTGATAAAAATAATTTGTTTCTTTCAATATCACGAACTTAAAACAATTATATTTCATTTTTTGTTAATAAGTAAATATCATTTAGAATAATATACATCTATTTACTTCAATGAAGTGAAAATGGCACCGATTATAATTTATTTTCTGAGACGTTCTCGCCTCTATATCGAGAAAGTATGTATTTATAAGTAGATTCATATAATTTTAATTCATAATTTGTCTTATAATTAAAATATAATTTGTCCCATGAAATAGTGTCCAATAATATGAAATCTATGCATAAAATATATAGAATTTATGACGTCATATTTAGTCGAAGTGTAAAATGGCCAAAGTAACCATTAAAGGGTAATTTATGCCTGTAGGCAGATATACATAAATATAGAGAAATATGTCCAGGACCTACATTTGAATAAATCTCAATTTCAAAGATATAAAATATTACTGAAGTTTTTAATTGAAAACAACTATTATATCGTCTATGACTTTAAGATCGCGAAGTTGGAGTATAGGTATTCAGAAATCACCACGAGTATTGTCAATAGCTTTATGAATATTGCAACATAACCGTTTACGATTATAGATTCAGATAAATGCTTCATCTATGGTTCACTATGTACGCTACCTAGTAATCATTATAGTGATATCATGCACTAGACTCCTCTTACAACAATTAACTTGATCTTTGATCTAATTAATATGAATTTTGAACAATGAAATTAATTAGAATTAGGTACTTACGGACTAGGATATTTTACAACACCGATTCCTATTTGGCAGTTACCTAACACTCTTTTATTATGAATTAGAAATATATTTATTCTTAGACTTACACCTTTACCAAAAATAAAAATCGTCTGATTTATTTCGAAACCGCTATCTAACATCTATTATATGAGTACTATGTTCTACATTGCGCGATGTTTCGGTAAAACGAAACGCATTGAATTATCAGAGCAGATTTAAATTTTTGGTAACGGAAATGATGTTGAAATAAAAATTGACATTCCATTCTTTATAACGTATATGCTACGTTTTAGATATAATATTTTGTAGAATTATGGAACGGATACTTATATCTACGTATAATGCCATTTGGTGTTATTAATTTAGGTGATCGTTAACTAAGGTCCGAGCTGGCAGAAAAATATAATATTGAAAACGCTTTGGTATTACCATTGAGTGGATATATTATTATAGTTTACACGTATCAATGTAAGGAATATATAATAATTGCTAAAATAAATGTACTCGTACCTAATTAGCTCAGACTCGGTACTGATAGCGATCACAGTAAAAAATCATTTAACTTCGCGAATGTGCGTAACAATTTTTTATAGTTAATTATGTAGAATTATTGCGACATGAAAATAAATGTTACATTGATAAATCCGGACATGCCTTACCGAATTTCTCACAATACCTACTATTCAAAGTCAGTTACATGTTATAATTACTGCATATTGATTAGTATTGTTTATTTTGGGATATTTGGATCTACTCACCATAAAACCCGGTGGAGGGTTAGAGAAAACTGGTTTAAATTAAATATTAGATAAAAGACTAATAAGAGTAGGTAGGTATGTAAAAAGTAGGTAGTTATTTTTTGGTATTTTTTTTTTCATATTTCACTTTAGGTAATAATAAAGTCAAATGACTAGAATGATAAATTGATTTAGTATGTTCGTAAAGTCACCTACGAGGGCTGGGATGTATTGAAGTAAAATGTCGATGCTTCAGTCCCACGGTAAGTTTTAAGTTGAGCAGATGTAAAAATCTTAGAACAAAATAATTATTTACAAAATACATTTTTATATAAGTAGATTAAAATCTTTAATGTTCTTTTTTAATAAATGTATATGCTTACAAAGTATCTACATTCTTTAATATTGTTAGAAAAACAAATAAAATAGTACCATTAAAACAATAGCGAGGGGCTACGTCATAAAACGAAAACGATATGGCATATCGGTAACCAAGGAGTCACTTAGATACCTAAATTAATTCAAGTCTAGTGTCTAATCTAGGTACGTAACAAAAACAAACTTAGAGCTAACGACCGATAGTTTAAGGCTCCTCATTAGATTCATACATACATTTATCCATACATATCTATACAACAGTGAATAAATTTCAAAACAACGACTCCCTAAACAGCAAATGTAACAAAACATTTAGAACTAAGCTAACATTTACAGTCAAACGAACGTCAATATAATAGTAATAGTAAGAAAATACAATATTTATAAACAAATTGGAACGTAACGTCCGTCTCGGCAGTCTTTCGAGAGCGATTATGCGATTGTTAATTTTACAAAACGATTAACGAGACACGAACTCGAATTCGAACGTTCAAAATAGAGCACTAACAGTTATAATAGAATCACAAAGACATTTCATAAGGGCGCTGGCGAGCGCGGTCGCTTCCACTAACAGTTCGAGTTGGGGAGAGGGCGTGGCGGCGGCGTGGTGCGTTCACGAGTAGATAGTGATCACCTCGCGCCCTCCTCCGCGCACCATCAGCACCTTCTCCAGGCCCTCGGTCAGTACCTCCAGGAACTCCATGTCTGTGTAATTCAAACGCAAGTTTTTAAAACAACAAGTCTTGAGAACTCTAAGAGTTCAACTTCAGTCTCGGGGGGATAAAACCTTCTTTACGTGAATTGTAATAGCTCTTATATAGTACCTATATAATATAATCTTAAGCCTTTCCTATTTCCATGAAAAACTCTGGAAATCCCTTTTTAGTAATGCAATTAATTTATGGGGGAAAAGGGATGGTTAGTAATGGGATCTAATTGCTCCATTGCAAGCAATACACTCTATCAGGTCGATCTCCATGTGGTTCCTCCTGGAAATTATCGTGATTATTTCTAGTGGAATTCGTCACGATGGGCTAACAGACCTGCTTTCATTCTCACAAATCGTCCCACACTGGTGCCCTGCCAGCATATACCGATAGTGCAGGTTACTGCAGCAGGTGGGCTTACTATTATTATCACCAATTAAAAGAACTACTAACTTAGAGCTCACTCGTTTTGGTATTAGTTATTGGCTGTTAGTCAGTCTTTTTAATATGTATATTTGTTTAGAATCGAATTTCGAGGAGAGTTCTTTAGACTTTGGTCTAGTATATGGTAGTATTATATTATCTATGTTTTGGTATTATTATTATGTGATAAGGGTCACGTAAGCATAGCATTATTTTTAATTAATGTCTACAGTATTATCACAGAACTGTCTTTGTATTATTAGTATTGTATATATCAATATTCACATAGGATAATGTTCGATACGTTGAGCTCACGTAAATATTTTAAATATTAAATTCAAGGGTATTCAGGTGAATCAATGAAGGTGGACAGTGAATGAGTAGAGTGATAAAGATTTGAATAGAACATGGCAAGGGTACGACGTCTTTTCAATTGATTTGCTTTGATAATGGTTTTTATTATTAGTCTCTGCCTGCAACATCATACGCGTGGATTTATTTTTATGCAAACAAGCTGACGGTCCACCTGATGGAAAGTGGTAACCGTGGCCTATAGATAAATTTTGAAAATAGATAACCACTTCTAAATGGCATATCGAGATAAAACATACTGCAAATTTTAAGTGTCTCTAAAAATACAACTTCAAAACCTGATTCAGTTTGTTGCAGTGATTTCTTTGACTTCTATTGCTCTTATTAAGAATTCTGCCGTTAAATTTTCTTAAATATCTCTCAGGTACAAATATCGTTTAGTTATAATTGTATAATAATAAGCTACTGGATAACCACAGCTTACCTGTAAAATAGCCCAATTGACAGGCATAGTGCGGAAATGGGAGTCCAATTTACATTTATAAGATTACTGGATAGTTTAGAAACTACTATAATTTAAACATATGCCCTGAATACTAGTTTAATTCAAAACATGTCTAAGTGAACTCACAGTTGGATTCTCTTTCGAATTTGGTGTCCCTGGGCGGGCCGGGCAAGTTCAGTATGACTAGTTGTGCGTCGTGGGAGCGTGTCACAATCACCTCGTTCAGTTTCACCGCTGTGTGCATCCGCCTCACTGTGCCCTCATCGCTGCATCGAACACAGATAAATCATTGATATAAAATAAAATTAAATAAACGCAAGATGATATAAATCATCATGGTTAGAGACTAAAAAGCATCACTGAAAATAGAGTGCATTTAACTAGATTATGCACTCATTTTCTTCCAACACATTACGTTCATTTTCAACCATTCTACAACTTTGGTAAAAGCCACGTTTGGTGACGAAAATTTATTTTTATGTTTATGATTATTTATGCTGATATATCATACGTTTTTATATAACATGAAATTACAAATATACAGTTATAGACAAGAACAGCACCTAGTCTTCACAGGATACAATTTGGCGCCCTTGGTTATTCTTTATATCATTGTCATTTTTGAGAACTAGTGTGTTATTAATCTATGTCTTGTAATTTCACTGCCATATTAGATCCTTTAAACTGAAACAGCTATGTAAGACCAGCTGTTTCGCGGCAGAAACACGAGTGGGGCATATTTATGCAGATAATTTTTCTACAGTCTCCTTGTGGAAGAATGAATAATGAATAAACTCACGGTGTAATATCCATGTTGGGCTTGGGCTTGATTGCATCTCCGTTGGGGTTGTTCTCCTTTTGCTTGTCGGCTTCTGGCGGCGGCGAGTTCCCTCCCTCACACTGCGACCGTTCATCGGGCGAGTCCCACATTGAATCGATTATGTGCAACAAACTACTTCGAAAGTCGTCCTACGTTACCCCAATTGCAATCCCGTTTCATTGGTCCAATTTAGATTCGCGCACCGACAGTTGCACATGACGGATTCAAGGCGAATAAAACACGGGATGTCATATATTACTTTAATTGTTAAACGATAAACCACTACGGACATTTAAACATCCAATCTCTCAACTACCGGTGAACAACGAAACGAACTAAAGTGAACAAATCAACGTGGATGATATCACTGGCAAACATATGACCACCGTGTGTAGATTCGCTAGGACTCATTGGCGACCATTGGCGTATTTAAAATAATTCTTCAGGGGGGCCCAGGCCCCTAAAAAAGACGCTTATATATACTCAGGTATATTATTGTGCATAGTTGAGAGATCCGCTCGGATCCTAAGGCGGGCATCAGATAATCTGGAGTGGGCATTGCCCACTTAGCCCCCCCTTAAATACGCCTATGTTGGAGACAAAATAATGACGTCATTCGATGGAGTGGTGAATAGCTGAGTAACATAGCGAGGGTTATTGTAATGGTGCTGTGCAGTGATATTTTATTAGCAAAGTTATAGTATGGCCGCTTTCAACATAAAGAAAACTTGCAGAAAATAATATATTTTTGTTTATTCAGCTAAGTATATGAAGATTTGGAATTAAAACCACGTTTTGTTAATGTGAGAGCGGCCTTTGTAAGCATTTGTGTTGTAAATTAGCTCGATGAAAAAGAATGAAAAATTAACATTTTCACTTGAAACTGAAAGGGGAAAACCATAAATAAACCCATTATAATATAAAAAAAAACATTCAGTTTTTAGCGAATTGTTAAAACATAATTTCGAACAGAGACATGGATGTTTTAATCTCGTCATTAAAAAAATAAACTTTCAATAATATGTACAATTAGTTATAGGAATCAATTATTAAATGTTCTATATTTTTGTATATTATCTAGGCTATTTCATTCTTTAGTTATAATTTATTACTCTATTAAGTCTTGTATAGATGTTTGTGTTAGGCTTGTTTATTAACACAGTTACTAAGCCATATATATGTTTTTTATTGATTGATATTAATACTAAGAATTTACTAATTGTGATCATAGAATAGGTCTAAAGGAACAGATATGTAATGTATCGATACCTACATATAAACGGCTTAGAAAGGTATGTGCTTGTATAGTACCCAATCCGTTATTAAGGTGAAAATTAAGATAATTTTAATGGAACAAATGAATGAATATATAGATTTTTTTTATTACATAGGTATTTCAGATTTCATTATACATTTCGATTATATATATTTGGCTATACTGATATAGAGTTGATAAAAATATAATTGCTTATTGTATAAGGATTGAGTACTCTTGCAATTTTATATCAATAAAACACCATAGTTAAGGTAGAATGGCTGTATTATTTAATTAAAAAATATTTCTATAGTCGTTTAGCTTCAGTTAGTTATAGTAATAGTAGGATGATTGTTTCTATTGTCTTAGATCATAGATAGAGAATACTATCTAAGCTGTATTACTTATCTATGTCAGAGACAACTAAATATAAAAAAAAAAAATTATACTGTTTATCTAAATAGTGTTTAACAAAAAGTAAAAGTAATATTAAGTTTTAAAACTCACTTAGTTATTTAAACACTACTTTTACTTTAATATTGTTTAGTCGATGTTTGATAAATTACATATAAAAATAATATGTCAAAATCTATACATTATTGTAATAAAATTAAACACTTTTTAATCGACTTTAAAAAGACGATTGTATGTTTTTTTTATGTTTGTTACTTTATAACTCCGTTAGTTGTAAAACGGTTTTAAAAATTCTTTTTTTTTTATCTGAAAGGCTATACTTACAGATTAGCCCCATAGACATTTTATCAATATCGGTTTAGTCGTTTAGTTTCTAAATCAAAATAACTGGTATTGTCACAATTGAAGTCAGTCTATTTTGTGTTACATAATTATTATTTTTATAAACAAATGTTAGAGACGATTATTGTAGTAAGATATCTAAATATGTATTGAATACTTGTTTATCACAAGTTTATCTTTTTTGTGGTAAAGACAGTAAATATTTAAAACATATATTCTCTATCTATGATTGACGTCGCGTCGACGTTTTTCTAATAAAAGAAGCCGTTCTACCTCCACTTGTGTCTGCTATACAAGAGCGGTATTAACCGATACAGACTCGTCTAAAGCGAAGGGAAAGTCGAGAGCAAATCGGTTTATACTCAAGATCAAATCATTGATTTGTTAAGGTTGGCTGCACACGTACGGCTTCCTGTTTAGGTTTCTGTTTGATAGTGTAATTATTTTTAGGAAATGCGTGCCTGGATATATGCAATTTGAATTTAGATTCACAAACGTTCTTAAACAGGAAACTGCGTGTGTAGCTATCCTAATTTGGAGGGTCGTTTACACTATCAAATATAATAAAATCATAGCCAGTTCTATTAGATCTTATAAATTAGCATTTTATAAATTAAAATATCTTGTATAGTTTAGGAATAATCAGGTGAGATAAACTTTCTTTCTAGCATTTTCACGTCAATAAGATGCGAAGCTAAATCGATAGACATGTTATCGTTAATGGCGGAGAAAGAGCTAAATTGGATTTGGTGACAAGATACATTTTGCGTGAGATCCTCTGGTAATATAAAGAGTGTTTAAAAATATTTGTCTTGTCTAAAAAAACAAATTCATAAGGCATGAGGTTCGTCAGATCACAAGGCCGTAGGCGGTGAAGAGATTATTAGTAATGCGGACTATCAGTCCCATTGCTAGCAATATGCCCTCCCAGGTCGACCGTCACGTGATTCCCCTTGGAAACCAGGTGTATTCTTCATGATGGGTTAACTGATCTGCCTTTTCATTCTCACCGATCATCCCTCATTGGTGCCCTGCCAGCGTATACCGTTAGCACAGGCAGGGTTGTCATTCCATTATCCATAATAAAATATATCCCGGTTACGCGGACGAAGTTGCGGGTGAAAGCTAGTGATCCTATATGTTTGATAGTGTAATATACCAGTAGGTAAGTTATAAGATGCGCGTTCACCTTGTCGTCCTTGTCCTTGTCCCTGTCTTCGGTGTCTGTGAGCGGCGGTGAGGGCGCATCCTCCGCGGTCTCGCCGCCGCCGCTGCCCGGCTCCGCGAACCGCACCTTGCTAGCGGTCTTCACGTCCGCGTGGTGGTGGTCTACTATCGCTTGCACCTGTATTGACATGCCAGTGCTTAGACAGGTATTTGTTGTATTTTTTATTCAATTCCGACGATTCTGTTGTTCCTTCGAGGAAGGTTTAGTCGTCAGTTGGTAATATTAAAAAAAAATCTTTTTCAGGATTCATCCCTGTATTAAAGAGGAGTAAATGACACTTTTAGATCCGCGAGTATTCAAGAGTAAATATTTTTTGTTAGACGAAGGTTTTTGTAATATAATAATACATTAATAAATAATATAAATCAATTAACACTAAAATATATAATAATATTTTATAGTAATAGTCTTAGGAGTTTATTAAAGTGTGTGGAATACAGTTTCATTATTATATATTATAAAGAAAAAAAAAGAATAGTTGAAATCATTGGTAAATTTGAAGCTGGATGAATTCTGATGTATAGATTAATAAGACTAGTATGTCTGTATGCTAGGTCCTTTATGGGCTAAGTGGAGAAAATAGAGTATCAAAGATCTTTACATATTTATATATGATATATACATGTTGTTGATAGATATGACAAAAATAGAAACTACCTATAAAAATAAAGTATAATATAATAATAGCTACATATCATAGAAAAACTTGTTCTACCAAATTCCAGAATTATAATATATAAGCCAAATATTTATTATAAATTATTTACATACAACATAAGTAGGTTATAATAAAGGACAATATTCTATTTTGAAATGTATATGTGATATACCTAATGATATTCCCGCCTATTAATAAACGACAAGAAGCTGAAATAATATGCCTAATAAAACAACTATTACAATGGTAATCAGTTAAGCGCCTATGAGAACAAATAGAAGCAATCACAACAACAAATAAGTTTCCCTACCGAACGAAGTGGCTATAACGATAGGGAAGCGATTGTAACGGAAAAAATAAATCTTATAAGGAAATCGTGTATCATTTCCTGTTGTCGTCGCCAACACTCTCATCACTTTTACTCATATTGGTTAGATATTTTCATCATAGTACTATATACATATAATTAATGTATAGATATTCTTATTTATTAGTATATTTGCAAGTGTGAAAATGAGTTTGTTTGTCATCTCTGGGGCCTTAACTTGATGGTTTAAACAATCACTATGAAATTTGGTTTACAAGGATTACATGGGATGGAGAAGGACATACTTTTTAAGGCTATTTTTTATCCCGAGTAGTGAATATATCCCGGTCAAGCGGACAAAGTCGCGGGGAAAAAGCTAGTTAACTATATATTACTAATATTGAAGAAGAAAAAGTATATAGTAGTAATATTGAAAAAGTAATCATAGGTAGTTCGATGATAGAACATTAGTGCATTTACAATATTATGAATGAACGGTTCAAACTGATCAATGCAAGCGAAATTGCGATTAATTTATATTATAAGTTGTAAAATATTTTAATAAATTCATAGATAATCTTAACAATAAAATATGGTGTATACACTTAAAAAAAATCTTCAAAGCATTCTTCTTTGTAGAGTTGTATATTGTAAAGACAGGTAACTCGAAGTGCATAATTACCATATTATGATTTGGTATATTAGAAATAAATGCTATATTAGAAAATATAAAGAAACATTGATCTAAATTAGAATAGTGCACATTTGGAAGTAGTGAACAGTTTGAAAATAACATTTAAAAATTTATTAACATTAAAAGCATCTAGCATTTTTTTGGTGCCTATTATGGTGGTAAGAGACTACAACATTATGGAGTGGGATGATTGTGAAGTGGGTAATGCACATCGAGAAACATTTAGGCGTAATCAAAATCAACTAATTCAGGGCCGTAGCTACAATAAATTACGGGTAATTTTTTTAAAAGAGCAAAATTGCTCCAGTAGCTACATCTATTGATTTAGTATCATTTGAAAAATTTCTAGCAGCAAACGAATTTATAAGATAGATATGTATGAAAGAGATAACAGATATGTTTTCGCTGCCGTATCTATAATGTAGAACGAGAAGGCAACTTTTGGCGTTAGTAACGAAAACGCATCTGCTAATCGATTCGTTTGCCACTTCTTTACAGGGCTGTCTAGTTACGGCCCTGTGTATTATTAGTCCAGTAGTTAAACGCAGAATACTAAGGAGGGAAATACTGAATGAAGCTTCAAAGAAAATACAAATCCATTTACATATTGTTACAATAATAATAACATTAACAGTAGAAAACAATGTGTAAATGATATAGAATGCGGGGAACATCCATGAATGAAATTAATAAATAGCTATATTACAGAAAGTGGACTTTATCGGGGTTAATGCATCTATTTTACCAGAGGCAACTTCTCCTCAGCGTTTTCACGATAGTCCACGAAATTTTGCATCTGTGTTCGCAGCGACAGACAAACATAATGTTAGTTGTATGGTACATAAGAACATTGTAAAGCTTTGTACACATTTGTAAAGCATGAATATTAGTATCGTGGCGATATAGTATATCCTTAGCATTATTAAACTACGCTTATTTTTTATTTTTAAAAGATTTGTAATCCAAAATATTATTTATTACTATATAATTATATTTGGATTTTCCAATTGAATATTTGGAATTGCAAATATTGTTTTGCTTGCAAGGTAAATTTATATTATGAATACATTTCAATGAAGTATTTTGTTGTTGTCTTTCAATGTATTGCAATTTGTGAGGACAATTCATTTTATGAACATCATAAAATGTAGTGTTTGTATACATACCATGCCGAGTGTTTCTTTTTTGTTGAGCCTCAGTTCGCGCAGCATTTGATTGCGTTGCTCCATCATCAATGTGCGTTCGTACGTGTACGCAGATATATCGCTGTCAGTCTGAAATATAATTTATTTAATAGCATTTTAATTTGTAGATTTACCTACATAGTTACTGTAGAGTTGGATTTTTTTATAAATATTATGCTATTATGAATGGAATTAAAAACATTTATAGATCATCTGTTAAAAGGTGAAAACTGTTGCATTTTCTTTTTAAACTCAAATCTAATAATGCTTTATGGCAAAAATATCAGAAATATATTCAGCCCATGATCTAAAAGCACGGAGGGCAGAGAAAGTGTTTTCAATGGTGTTATTAAAAAAATGCCTACCATAAAAAAATAACAAAAAAAAAAAACTGAAACTAAATGTATAATATTTTGGCTAAACTGCACTACACAATTTACATCACATAAAACCTTAAAGTAGATTTTAAATTGTTTATTCAAAGTGAGTTAAGATTGTTAACACAATTTTCTCCAAATCAAATTACTCTCCATTATCAACTATTAGAGAATAAAATTGAAAATGCACTGAAATGGTGAAATCAGTAAGAAGGTATAATGCAATTAATAAATAAAAACTGTGAAAATAGTAAGTATACCTAAGTGGAATAGATAATAAAAAAAGATGTCTCACCATTTCAACAACTTCCACTTCAGCTTCGATACGCAGTTGGTACAGGAACATTTTCAGGTCTTTCTTCATTTGTATGGAGTTGTCCTCCATCTGGGCCACGGTGAAGATGCGCATCTTGCAGTTCTTCCAGGTCCGGTGTTGCTTGAGCAGGAACGGGAGCAACATCAGCATGCCACCGTCGTGTACGATCCACCAGATGTCAATATTGCCAGATATCTAGAATATACATCATGCATATGGAATATTTATGTTTTAATACGAGTACATAGTCTATTTTGTTCCAAAATGTCCAATATTAGTGGCAAAATATAATAAAGTATACTTTGATACATATTAATATATAATTTTAAAATAGGTTATTGGGTAAATTACCTTCTCAGTGGAATCAGGGAAGAAGTTGATCCCCTTGGGTACCAGCATGGCCATCCTGGCGGCGGTGACGGCGCGCACGGTATGCAGGAAACCATGCCACTTGGGCAAGCTGCTCGCCTCCAACTCTTCGGAGTGTCTCCAACCGTACGGCCACCCCACGATCACCGTGTTCGGTTTCAGACCTCCAAGACCGCATGTTTGGACACTAAGCAGAAGAATAATTTCGCTAATTTAAGAAACAATACACACCCTATTTATGTTACTATCATTATCATTGTTTAGTCTATATTGAACATAGATTTTTTGTAAACTGTCATAAAGAAGCATAAATGGTCCAAAGCCAACTGCATCCACTTTTTAAAGTCATCGCTCTATTCAATGGGAGTCCATCCTATGTTGACATCGCTTATACGTGGTTATCACTTAAGAACTTTTCTTCTCCATCGGTTGTCAGTTATTTAAGCTACATAGTTGGTTTATTTTTACTATATCGGATGTATTTTTCGGATTATATCGATCACTTTAGTTCTTTTGCGTATGTTCTTATTTTAGTTTTATTTATGCAGCGAAACATTGAGTACATTCAACTCCGTAGCTGCCTTGAGCGAGATTTTGTAGACATATTGTTCTAATGTAAAATATCGCATTTCAGTATCCATATACGATTCTGTAACTCGAGAAGTAGGAATATATAAATTTATTTGAAAGTAGTACTTACAAATGGCTCAGTCCATCAGATATACTGGGCGCGACAAGTACATCGACGAAGCCCTTGAGTTTCTCGTCGTCCATGCACTTGCGGAGGTTCTGCCTCGCGGTGGAAGCTTCGCCCGCGCGTCGCGTGAAATCGCCCGGCAACACCGACACACAGACCGTCAAACCCTTACCTATATAGAATGAAACCATATCAGATAGCTGCAAACTTGAGGGGAGGGGCGGAAGCGATTGTTAGTAATGGAGGTGCAATGAGTACCAGATTAAAAGTCTTTGATGCGATAGCTCAGAAATTTAGAAAGCACTGTCAGGTCTTTTTTTAATTGATGATAATGGAATGGTAACCCCATCTGTGCTAACGGTATACATTGGCGGGGCACCAGTAGGGATGATAGGTGAGAATGAAAAGGCAGGTCAGTTAGCCCATCGTGATGAATACACCTGGAATTCAGTACGATGGTTTCCAGGGGGTATCGCGTGAAAGTCGACAGGGTATATTACTAGCAATGGAACTGGTAGTTCGAATTTTGAACAATCCTTTCCCTTAACACTGTCAGGTTAGGTAATATAAAGTCATTTATTAAATTAGGTTTGTTTAATTAGTATTGCAGATTTCAAGTAAGGAGTAAAAAAGGAAATATAATTTTTGATACGAGAATCGTAAGAATTTAGTCTATAGAAATAGTAATACTCGTATGTATGTAGTGGAACAAGTGTCATATTATAGTTTATGATGGTCATATATTCACAATATATTAGCTTTATATAAAGTATATAATAGAATAAAAACAACTTTGCTCTGTCTCTTATGACATCAATATTAATTTAATAATTCAGGTAAGATATTCATACCAGCTTTAAGTTGACTAGCAAAAGCGAGCATCTTCCTGTACGTGGGTTGGAGCTCGTTGTTAAGCTTGGCGAGCACGAGCACCTGCGGTCGCCAGTTCTTCGTATGCGGAGGGCCTTGCTCCAGTCGCAGTAGGGAATAGCGAGCAGCTGATAGTGCGAGACCGCGGAGCCCATCGCCCCATTCTTTCTCCGCTCTGGAAATAGTAGCAGAAGTCAATCACTTATTAATTATAGAAATTATTTTAGGTTAGTGGTGTTTTAATAGATTCTGAAGTTTGTGAGTTTTAATTTGGCTGACATTTAATTTAAAGTTAAAATTTAAAGAATCAAATTAGTCTAATATATTGGATTAGGCTCACCTCGGATCAAATTGGATTCAAATATGTTTTGCGAAATGTTGGCAAGTCGAGTGATACGTTCAACACAACGGTAGTAGTCAATGGAGTATCTTTGACTATGAGCCGAGTTAAGTGGATAAAATAAAATAATAAAAAATACGATTTTTTTATTATTTTATCCACTTAACTTGTTTTATACATATACTTTGTTGTCATGACAAAATATTACTTAATTCAATATAACATTAAAAAATTTAAAAATATATATATTTAAAGATAAAAAATTTCTTTAAGATTAGCTGTACGTTATTATATAGCAATATTGTTGACAATAAATGTTTTCCACCAGCCGGCGTGAGATCTCTTTTTCATGGCTACGGACCCAGAGTTATGATATATATCCATTCTGAATATCCATAATGTGTTGCGGCGGCACCAGCCCTCTTGGATGTACTTTGAAGGATGAGACGGTGCCACCGTGTCGACGCAGGTGAAGTCCCATACAAGCGGAGTCAAAGGTACCAGGACATCGGTCTCTTGCCATCGTCAATCAAACCAGGAGGTTTTGGCAGGCACGCCCGCGGTTGTAATTGTTTGTATTTATAATATAGTGGTGTCCCACTATTGTCCCCACACCTTAATGGGGAGCATTCGTTTTGGCAATAAGAGAGATTGATCTAAACGTTGCGTTATCATAATGTTCCGATATGAGGTTTTTGTTCCCATTTGGACACCGTTTCAGCAGAGTTCTGGGAAGAGTCTAGTAACGAAGTTCTGTATAAATCGTTAATGATCATTGCCTCTGAATATTTATAAAGGACTTGGGACCCAGAGACGATACTCGATCACCGAAAAAAGGTGTACTTGTAGATGATAGAAAAGCTGGTAGGGAGATATGGGAGATTTGGCGGATTCGGCCCCCATGCCATGACCGGCAAAGATGAGTCCATATACGGTCTTCGAAAGTGATATTAAAGAACCAGGATGCACTTTGTTGTCAACATGTGATTATGTAGTTATTATATGCATATTGTTGTAAATGTTTACTTTTTTCTATTATGATTATTCTTCTCTATCCAAATGTAGCCTGGAAGAGATTGCTCTTAGCAATAAGGTCGTCTTGGTGTAATATTTTCTTGTAATTGTTTGTATTTATAATAAGTTTACTATTGTAATTTTATGGAGGTAACAATAAAGAGTATCTATGTCATATTTTTGTATGATGTGTCTGCGGTGTGATTGTACTAAGATCATTAATATTATAAAGGACTTACCCGCGATACTCAATGTACTTGTAGATGAGACCGGCCATGCCCATCGCGATGAGTGCGTAGAACCAGGATGTCATGAACATGATCGAGATGCACAGCGTCAGTCCCGCTAACGACAATGACCTGTAGGCAGTATATCATAAAACTTCAATAAACATTTGTGTACATATAGGAATTGTCAACTATGGATCAATGAGGAAAGAAAATTATCATTGTGGATCCTGATCATAGATTCAAGAGAACTGAAAATTTTCAAGTACAAATTGACGAAGTCTGTTGATCTTTCCCAAATCGTAAATTAGAGATTTTTGTTTCAAATTAACATGATTAACTTTGAAATTAGTTATATGAAATTAACAAATAACCAAGTACGTTAGTTAAGATTTTTTGGAAAACTCGGAAATAAAAGAAATTGAATTACAAGATATTAAATACTCACCAATGGTAGTACTTGAATCTAGGACGCCAGTTAGGAGTCTTGAGGAGGGTCTGTAATGCGCAGGCGAGGTTCACAAACCCGTAGCACATAAGGAAGAACATAGAGAGTAGTGGCGCGAGGATGTCTACGTTGCCGAGCAGGATACCGCATTGGCAGATCGCCATTGTTAGAAGCAGGGCTCTGCATAAATTAGACAGGAGCATAACATTCAGTAAGTGTAATTTACAGTGAATCAGTTACTGATTTTAAACAATAGGTTAGTGTTGACCTACTGCCTTCACATATTTTGTTTATAATATGATGGTAAATAACATCACACATCGAAAGGTAAACGGTTATTATAGCTTATGAACGCTTGCAATAAGAAATTCGCCATATGTGTATTTTTGATCTTTAGAAATATAATCATCTACGTCTTTATTGAAGAACCTTTAATTTTTTGAGAAAGTAATGTATAAATTTGAAATCAGTTTATATGATAACATTAGTGGATAATTGTATTGAATTTGGGGTTAGTAGCAAATTTAATATAAGTTTGTATTAATTTTGAATTTCATTAACCCATGTTAATGGTATTTATAAATCAATTCAACAATCAAACAATATACTTTAGAAAGCAGATCCTTACCTAGTAGGTTCGCCCCTGCTTGACGAAACGGCGAAGGGTGCTAAGAAGGGTATAATTTCATCTTTTGCGATGGCTTGCAGCAGACGTGGAGCTCCTGTCAATGATTGCAGACCTGCTCCGAGGGTGGAGAGAAATGAACCCACCAAGATCACCCACTGGTTCGGCCATGCCATGTTGGCAACCACTAGTTTACCGCCGATAGATTGGCCAAATCTGAAATATTTAAATTTATGATAACATGCAATTTAATATAACAAATTTGTCTAAAACTTAGTAAACCTCGTAGTTTTTGTTCGTGCAAATAAAACTAATTTATGAAAATGAATGAAATATAATTAAACAGTTTTAATTAACAAAAACTATCCAGTTAAATCAAAAATTTGTGATCATAGTGATTTATAGTAGTATTAAAATACTTTGTCATATATATTTCGTATTATTATCTAATATGACGGATTATTACATAATTATAATTTTTAAAGTTTATTTTAATTTATGGATTTTCAATATATGAATAGATATTATCCAAAACAAGTTTATTTAAAACTTATATGTAAATATTATAATACCTCGTAAATGTTTAATTTACGTTAAAAATAAAGGTTAAGAGTTAATCAGTAATGCATACTTGTCTCGTAGTAATAAGTTATCGACGGTGCCGGCGAATAGCAGTACACAGGAGAGGTACACAGTAGAGGTGGTGAGGATAGCGCAGATTGTGCCAATGGGGATGCTCTTTTGAGCATCAGCTAGGTCACCGGAACGATTGGAGCCGGCCATGATACCTGAAGTTAACATTATATTGTTTATATACATCAAGTCAATAATTATTACCACAGTACCATAGTTCTCAGGAATGGCAAAAATTGAGAGGTGCCATGTTTATCACAATATATTAGGTGTTATTCACTTCCTATTCAGTAAGAACTTGTTTGTTATTTTAAGATGTATAAAAAATCATCATTAAAATGCAGTTGTTAATATAATAAAAATGTAAAAATGCGAACTCTAAGAGCCAGGAAAATCTTTGCGCGAATCAAACTCTGAAGCGTTAGTAAGTGCTTAACTAGAAATGACAATTAAGAAATATATATAAACAAATTGTTTTATACAATTTCAAATGTACATCAAAATCAGTAAACTTGGTTAATTTATCTTGAAATGATAATCTATAAAATTTAAAAACAAAAATATATAACAATGTATTTACCAGTAACAGAAGGGAAGAAGATCCCTATAAGGATTGTGAACGTAGTTGTGAGGTCGGCGTAGACTTGGTTATACGTTGGCCGCTCCATTTGTTCAATATCATCAGGTTCCTTTCCGTAGGCGATGTACTGGCCAAGTTGCAAGAACGAATCTTGTAAGTTGTCGAAGAAAACTCCACTGGACAAACCCTGGATAATAAAATAATTTATTTAGTTGTAAACTTAAAATTTATTTAAATATAATACAGACAATTTTAAATCATCTCTTTAATATATTACTTATGCAGTTTTAGAAACTCAACTGAGGATATATTACGACAAATGTTTTTTGTAGTTTCTTCTCAAGAGATAACAGGCTTTTACAAGTTACAAGTCTTTTTAATATATATGAAAGTATGTTTAAAATATTGCAAATAGTTATTAAATATTCACCAGATTAACAACTGAAGCACTTTTGTTTTGTATTTAGGACTTTTCACTTTAACAACAGCCCGTTATTAAATACTCGTGTAAAATTAAATAATATATTTCCCATTTTTTGTACCTTGATGCCTTGAACGATGCTAACGTTGTGTGCAGAGTAATATGGATCACAAGTCTTGTTAGGACAAAATAGTTGTTCCAGTTCGCCTTTAGGTGCTTTCGTACAATTGCTGATATGAATGTCTTTTAACAGTCTTTTTCCAAGTACGCACATTCTGAAAATTTGTTTAATCAATTTAGCCTCATGAGTTGAATATGGTGTGTTACTAGTTTTAAAACTATTGCTTCTATTTTAATTTTGTATTATAAAATTATATCTTTAGATTGGGATATTACCGATTGATATTAAAAGTAGCCCATATTATCTTTATTTAGTGCATGCAATGTAACTTAACTCTAAGGAGATTTCGTTTCTCTGCATTGTTCAAATATATCAAATCAGTATAGAGAGAGAGAAGACATGTAATTAATATTTTGGTTAAAGCAATTTTTTTCGAAACTTGTATATTTGTAGCAAAACCGTACGTTAATAATTACGAGAAAAATGACTTTAGTACATAATTACATATAATGTTAACGAAATACTTACTGCAGATTCGAGTTTCCGTTGAAATTGACAAAGATGCCAGCGTAAACGGCGGTGATGGAAAGTATAACGCACGCGAGCGCAATCGTCGCGAACTTGTTCACGAACTTGACTCCGACAAACACCACCATGCCCATTACTAGTAACAGACCGGTGCCGTACACTCTGAAGTTGTTGTACATCGCCTCCGGATCTTTGGTGAAATCACCAAAGATTGACATCCAGGGAGCCATGTACGTCTGCCAAAGATATAGCCAAATAAACCATGGGAAGAGCAGTTAGAGAGGCCTACATAACTTTAATTTTTGTAATGCTAAGATTGCCTATAAATACAATTACTTTTTAAGTGGTACGTAAGATTACATATCAAAGCTCTTTGAAGCAATGGTTGTTGAGTAGAGTATATTGTATTGTAATACGCACGATGTAAGATATTCGGAGTTTTGGAGGCATACATATTGTACGGTAACCGTTTACCATCAGGCGGTTAGAGTTGTCCATAAAAGTTAACATTAAGTTACAATTATTATATTATTCTTGAAGTAACAAGAGAAGAAGTTTGATATTCGTATTGGAAGCACGAGTTTAGTTAACAATTACTTTTATATTGAGGCGGAAAGTTAGCAAGTTCGCCGCGCTGTATTCTGTACACGATCTGTTCGTAGCCGCGAACGGGCTCCGCAAATTCCGGTAATTGAATTTAGATCTTAGATGAAAGCAGACCACTTACGGCAATAATAGGTTTAGGTCATAACTTTTACGTTATATAACTGAAGGATTTGTTTACAGTACATAAAGTTTCGAAGGATCAAATAAAGTAATGGATGAAACGCTAAAGAAAGTAAGTTAACGTAGAAGATTATAAGACTTGGATCGAAAACAATTTTATTATGAAATTGTTCGTGAACATTATTGTTCTTGTAAATACAACAGAAGAAATATGAGCCGATATTGGAAGCATAGGCGCAGCTAACGTCATCTAAGATATTATAAACGTTGAGGCAGTGTCCCATTTTGGCACTGTTTGGCTTACTCCTCCTTTAGATTGAGCTGTGCAGGAGGTTCTGTTATAAAATTTGTTACTTTAAAATTAAACTAACCAGAACAATTTCGACTGCACCGACGATGTACATGGCGGCTGCTAGCGTGGTGCCGGTGTAGAACAGCATACCAACAGCGCCTCCGCACTCGGGACCTAACGACCGACCGATCATGAAGTACGACCCGCCTGCTGGCACCACCCCATTTGTCGCAATTGCTGACATTGATATCGCTGTAAGCATTGTCTGTGAAATAGGAAAATAAACATGAGCTTTTACATATTTTTTTGTGACATTTCGTGGTTTCAATTGTGATTGAATTCGCTTAGTAAAGGATGAGTTATTAGATTGCTTAAATTACATATTAACATTATTTTAAGTTACATTACCAAAAATGCATCGGTTTTTTTATTAATACAATCAAATGGTAATAAGAAAATCTTTTACCATCTTTAAAGAATATATTTAATATAGGTCGGTTAGTACTTAGAATTTTAGAATATCAAGATTTAAGTTGATTGTAATTTAAACAGAGATATTATTTTTGTACTACTATAAGAATAAATGGATATTTTTATTTTACAACCCACCCTACTTGTAGTAGTAAAGATAAGTCAGAATTAGAATGTATATTTTATACTATCTCTGAGATTTGGCTTCGACACGCCAATCGTATATGCTCTCGGGGGAAATCTAACATTGGAAATATCATAGCAAATTTAATCAACTCGGAAAATATACGTATTTCATTGTATTTATATAGTGTTATGTATTTACATGATAACAAATAAATCTAGTCATATGATTTTGGCTATTGAATAAACTTTATGAAAAAATATAGAAGGCATGAATTATTTTTATCCAACGTTTCAGACGAGTGTGTCACTATTTATTGATATATAATATTAAAGTTCTGAGAAGTATTTTGGAAAAAGTGGTCCAAAGATGAAAGTGTCTTATTTATTTTGAAGAAGACATTTAAATTATCATTATTACATTGAATTGAAATTACAAGAAATCGTTTTAAAAAATTTAAATCTATATAAAAAAAGGCGTATAAAATAGGTAATATTTTTAATGACTTACCGTACAACAGCATGTAAGTACAATCAGGAAGCCTTGTATGGCGCCCGCAGTGCCCACGACCCATGTGAGACGGATGAATAGGATAACACCGAAAATGTTTTGAATACAAGGAAGGTAGACGCCGATGAGCGTGCCCATACGGGCAGGGGGCGCCGGTTTAGCAGCGTCAGGGTCCGCCGCCGACGCCGTGGGAATGGTATTCGAGTAGTCTGCCAGAGAGCTGAGGAATGTCGCCGCTCGAGGTCTGTCTTCGATTTCTTCCTATAAAAAATATAAAGATCTAATAAAAATAACGTCTTACGACTTTCTTTTTCAACAGTATGATGTTCGTAATAGTCACTTTATCGATTCCCGTTTTTTTATTATAAATTCAACTTTTATTTGGAAAAAGTAACCGTCGAGTTTTTTGTCCATTTTCAGCTGAAATTAAATTTCAAACTTGGCGGTAGATTAATAAAAGAATTACTATCCAAAAATGCTTATAATTAAGTTTACTTAAAAAAATATTTTTATTTAGTAATTCTTTATTTTCTTTCCTAGTTTGGACGACTCCTACAAATAACGGTTTTTTGATTCATAGTTATATTAAAAGATTATATCGCTAATTCTGAACTGATTCCTTTTTGCAATTAATAAGATGGTTCCATATTAATTTGTTAACGATTAAAATTGCCTTTTTTACGAAACAAGAAAAAAATTAACCGCGCTTTAAATTAAAATATTTTAAATGTAACATTACTAAGTAACATTTTATTGGTAATTTAAGTCATTGCATTGCCATTGCATAAGCCAAAAGAATTTATAACTATTTTTTTATGTAAATAGTTTCTTGTTTATATGATTAGTCAGTATTTTATTTTGGTATATGCAAAATAAAACGCTGATATACATAAACATATATACTTACTATAGTGTTTATATAGTAACTACTACATTATTATCATCATATGAGCCTTAACTGTCCACTGCTGAACATAAGTCTCCTCTTATCGGAGGGTTTTGTCAGTAGTTGCCACGTTTGGCAGGCGGATTGACAACCGCAAGGCTTTGGAGATATTTTAAGAAGAACGCCGCTGCCTATCCCTCATGCTCCCTTAGTCGCCTCTTACGACACCCATGGGAAAGGAAGGGGTGGCCTATTTTATGCCGGAATCACACGGGAATCTTCACTACATTATAGACTTTCCTATTATTTATTTAAAAAAATATTGTTAAGACGATATATAAGCATGCACTACGAAACTCTTTGCAATATCGGAATATCTACCTTAATCCTAATACCGCTTCTAGTAAAGTTGGCGAGTGCGGCGTTATCCACATTACTATTGGGATCACGTTGCCGGCATAAAATGTATTCTCGCCATTCGTGATAGAAAGTTATATCTACCACAGTTTTAGATATTGTAATACTCTGCAGTTATACGTAGGTAGATACCAGTGATATGTAGCTACCTAACGCCTGTATTTTATTATATAATTAGCCTACAGGCTAATTACATAATAAATGCTTTATATATATGTAGTACACTACATATATATAAAGCATTTCACCACAGGGAGACTTTGTACAAAATTCGTTTGCTTGGGCACCTCTGTCCTATTCGTGTTTCTACCGTGAAACAAAATTATAAATCACTGGGTTGTGTGTTAATTATGAAGAATATTTTAATTATATTTTTATTCAATTATAATTTTGTGTGGACAAGTATATTCCAATATATTAAGATTCATATTTATCATAATATAATAGGGTGTATATGTTAGAGAAGCAGAGAGAGAAGTAAAGAGTATATTTCATGTTTCAATGTGTACGAGTTTCATAATTTTTAAAGGAGTTTATTATCTTAATAAGTATTTGAAAATTATTATAATATACGATTTCTACTGACAACCAATTTTATTATTTTTATTATTTCAACTGTTAACTGTCCACTGGGGAAATAAGGGGAGTTTTGCCAGTAGTTGCCATACTTCGGAGGCGTGTTGGCAACCGCAATTAGGCTTTTACAGATGTTTTAAGAGGGACGCTGCTGCCTATTCCTCGACCATAAGTTCTCTTAGTCACCTCTTACGACACCTACAGGAAAAGAAGGGATTATTATTATTTATTCTATGCTGGGGCATACACGACGAAATAACCAATTCGTAAAGTAAAAATACGAAGTATACTGTTGTATAACATTTTGTCTAGTTAATTAAAATTTGGCTTTCGAAACTTTCCTACGTAATAATAAAAGTATGAAAATGACTTACTTACATATGTATATAGTATTTGGGACAAAGGATTATATGAAATCGGGCAAAAATTTGTCGAAAAATTCTATACATTTAAGTGCGGTAAATTTTTTTGCTTCATAAAATATGAGTGAGAGACGAGAACGTTGTGTAATGCGATTCAAATTCTGAAATATAGCCGCCGTGGAAGGTTTTTTAATTTGGCGCATGTAATATGATATAAGTATGTTAGCGGAGGGCCCTGTTGGAGCGAGATTCCGAGCTCCCGGCTCAGAACTCTCGTATTTTATTTATGTGCCATTTGCATCGCTCCATCGCTCGCCGTAAAGGCGAGTCCACAATTTGTACGAACCATAGAATGTTTGAAGTGGCTTGAAACTCTATCCTAACTAATCGAACTAAGGTAACGCCTGTGTTCGGTTTAAGTAAACGTATAACCTAGTAAACAAAGTGCAAACTTTACTCGCAAATAGCCTTTGTATCCACTTTAAAGGAATATATGTGTATGAATAATTTACCAACTGCTAAGATATAGTGATATTTATATACTGCTGTTACAATATCTACACATACTCGTGAATTGATACAATAACAGATATAACTATCGGTTCTCCAATATATAAAATTGAAAAGAAAAACCCGCTCATAACGAATATAGATATCCAATCGCAATGGGCGGTCATCGATGTATTTTATTCATATTTCTTTTTATTATTATTTTTAATAAGGAATTTCGCAACTGACTTTCGGCCACAACAGAATATCAGTGTTTTGCTCTTAAAAAGCAATAAACTGAGTTCTGACCATTTTATGTTACTATGGCACACGCATGAAAAAAAAAGGATATTGTTGTTTTATATGTTTTGCTTATTGGTTTTTTGTTGCTTTTTTGTTTTTAATTCTTTTATCTCTTTTACTGTTTCATGTGTATGTTTGTATTGTAATTTGTGTCCTGTAAGTAATGTAAATAAATTATCTATCTATCTATCTATCAATGTCGTGAAGAACTTAATATATAGATATAGGATATTACCCATCTCTGCTAACTGTACCTATTCGATATATCAAAATAATTGAGAGCCCCGATTAATGGAACGGAAAAATTAGATTTATATGTATGTGAGTGTATAAGATTACATAGAGAGTGTATTTGAACATTTTAGCTATATTTATGTTGTTAATTGCCACTGAACTGACAGGTCATTAGCACTGATTGCAAATTTAGTAACGCTCAGAGTGACGTTTGTGAACGCCAAACCCCAGCGTAGGTACTCAAGTGATTTATCATTATTGCAGAGTTAAATGCACTGTCACTACCCTCGTAATGAACAAGCATTTGAGAAAATTAAGCCAAAGATGGTGGATTTATCATTAGCTGTTATCAATGACCATTAAAAGCGGCCCAATTTGTTATGCGTTATTTGGTAACGTATTTTGTGAGCGCTTTAAAATGCCCGCAATTATCCTAAACGCGGCATTATAAATATTCTGAGCAATAAAATAAAGGTTATAGTCTGCGAATCGCGCCATTTATCACGGGAGCTTTTTTCCTATTTGTTTTCATTTGTTCTGTCGCCATTATTCGACACTTTATTTAGGAACGGGATTCCGGACTGTAGAATTGCGAACGTAATGAAGTCCTTTGTTCTTTCGATGTCGACTTTGTGGCGAGAAAGACAGACTATCGACGTTGATGTGTTTCATTATTAAATTATTAATTAAAGTATAAAATGTTCTTTAGATTAATAATAAGAAATAAGGTCCTTGTTAAGATTTTGTATTATGTTTATTTTATAACATTCATAAGACTTTTGATTATTATATATTCTTTATTGCACTAAAACATACAGTAACAACAATAAGTTAATAACAATGTTAGCAAAGGCGAACTTATCTCTAAAAGAGATTTCTTCCAGTCAACCTAACGCAGTGGCATAGGAAGTAGTGAGTGGGCAGTATTATGGTTTAAGCTAATAATTTTATCTAAATGAACTAATTGTATATGGATGGATTATTATTATTTGATGTCAAAATGATACAATTTGTATTATTGAGTAAAAAAAAAGTTTTTATATGGTGATGAAATAGGTGATCTGAAGAAAGTGATCTCAGGAAAGTCTTCAAATTCTTGCTAATATTGAAAATTTCATAAATATGTTGGAGTTCTATTCGATTAAATATCTTAAAAGAATTAGAATGGAATTCAGTATAAAGACTATGGCGTTTATTTGGTCTACTCCTTTTAGCTGAGTGATTTAAGATAAATATTACTATTTTATGTACAAGAGAATCTACATGACATTTTTGATGCTCTGTCAATATTCCTATTCGATGAACTTAAATTTTATATTCGCTTTGTTTTTATGGGAGTTAAAACTTAAGTTTAATATTTAAGCTGTCAAACTAAATACAAGTAGTTTTTTAAATATTCTATATTCATATTATATTCTAAACTGAATGTGTTCTTTCCTTTTGTAAGCGAGAATGTCACTTGCGTGTTGTCAACCTAAAATGGTATAAAATCTTATACCTATATGTTGTTAAATTAACATAAATATTATTTTGAGTTTAGCATCAAATAAATTTTGTAAATAGCAAGGTCAGGAATATCTGAAGAATTTGCTGAGGAATAATGAAGAATTTGCTCGTAGATATAATAGAGAATTAAAACAGGTTCACTCAATTAGAAAAGTAAATAAAGACATTATAGACAGATAATTAACTTGGAAACTATGGTGGTTAAACCGCGATTGGGAAGTTTATCCACAGATACATTGTCGTCGTCTACTTTCATTTATTGATCTAATTATTCTAATCTTGGATCGACACAGTGGGTGAACACTTTGCATACTTGAGTATCCATTTTAAAGTTATACTGTTCAACAATATAATGAAATTAGTAAAGTTTCTAATAAAGATGTTGAAAATGGCATTACTTTACACATAATAGGCAATAAGATTGAGTAGAGCAAGATGTGGTTGTCATTTCAACTTTTTATTGAGGTAGTACAATTTACTACATTATG